ACTTCAAGAAATGCAATTTTAATATTATCAATCGAACCATTTCTTCACTTAATTGGGACAGGCAATTCAGTTATTTTTCTACTATTGATTCCAAATTAAAGCATTTTCTCACAATATTTAACGAATTAATCGCTGATAACTGCCCTTTTTTCCCTTTTCCTCTCCTTAACCGCAACCCTTTTAATTCCGATCGTAGGATTCGTAGACTGTTACGTAGAAGATCTCTTTTAATTAGACTTGGTCTTTTTTCCAATGCTACTCGCAGTTCTTTCAATATGATTGTTAGAAAAATCCGAAAACGTGCAGCTTTGATTCTTCGCAAACAACATATTAAAATTTCTAATACTTTCAACTGCTCCAAACTCTCTAAATTCATATCTCGATCGCTCAAAACTGACTCTGGCATCCCTAACTTATATTATAATGATAACTTTGTCACGGAAGATGTATCTAAAGCCGATCTCTTCTCATCTGTTTTTCTCCTCTAACTTTTCACATGTGATTCACCCAACATTTCCTGTTTTTACCCTCACCTCGTCCTACCGATTGTTCTATCAACTTCACACCTGAAACGATTTTTTTAAAACTCTTTTCTAATCTTCCACCTAAATGCGGTTATTCTTCTGATAATATCAACTATTTTTGTCCTAAAAAGTGCTCTGTTTCTATTTCTCTTCCACTTTCTATTATTTTCCAGGAATCTTATCTAACCGGTATCACTCCTTCATTATTTAAGTCTACTATAGTTATTCCTGTGCATAAAAAAGGTAGTCTTTCTGATCCAAATAACTTTCGCCCCATATCTCTCACTCATCCAATTTCTCGTGTATTTGAACGCATCATTACTCAAATGATAAGATCTCGTTTTTCTGAAAAGTTCTCTCAATTCCAATTCGGCTTTCTCAATCGTAGGTCATGCAAACTATCTCTAATCAGCTCCCTTTCCTCCATTCAAAAATCCTTGGCATCTAATCTTCCTATCGATGCTGTTTATTTCGATTTTTCCAAAGCCTTCGATAAAGTAGATCATAACCTTTTACGCCTAAAGATGTCCAATTTCGGCTTTAATGATACTCTCTGTCGCTGGTTCTCCAATTTTTTATCTAACCGTTCCTCCATTGTAAAAGTTAACAACTCGTTTTCTAACAATTCTTTTTCTAATCCTTCGGGTGTACTTCAAGGGACGGTCAGCGGCCCCCTTCTCTTTCTCGTTTTTCATCAATGATATTGAAAAATTTTTATTGATCCTCAATCCTCGATCTCTATCTTTGCTGATGACCTCAAGGTTTATAGCTCTTGCCCTGATTCGCTTCAAAGAAGCATAAATGGTATTTTTCCAATGGTGAGAACTTTGGTCTCTTCCACTTGCTGTTGAAAAGACTTTTTCTCTTCACTTTGGCTCTAACAATCCTCAAACGGTCTATTTTCTTGATCAATTTCAAATCCCACAAAGATCAATTGTTCGTGATCTAGGCCTTCAAATTGATGAGAAGCTCTCCTTCAAAGACCATATTTCCCGTATCTCTGCCTTTGCTACATTACGGTCTAATCAAATACTAAATACCTTTTAAGTTTTTCTTCCCCCTGCACTACCTCAGAATGTTTCAAACCTACGTGACGCCTATTCTCGAATATTGTAGTGAAATCTTTTTCTCCCTCTATCTCGTCTGAGGAATGCTTCAAACTCGAGTCTTCTCTACGCCAATTCAGTAGAAAAAGTTTTTTTATAAGATGCAATGTTCGCTTCAGTTCTTATTCTGATCGTCTCAGCCAATTTGGCTTTAAACCTCTCTTTGTACGTCGTTGTATTAACGACATTATTTCTCTTCATAAAATAATTTGCGGCTCTGACCATTTTTCTCAATCGCAATGATTTCTTCACTATTTCTCCTTTACAGAGGAATCCACTTCGACTTCGCACTTCCGGTCAGTTCTCTAAAGATTTTCCAAAAACTATTCCATTATGGAATAAACTTACCTCTAGAATAAATTTTAACGTCTCTACGGATGCGCTACGGGTTAAACTTAATGATCTCCCCTAACTCTGCCTTTTTCGAATCCATTCCTTCCCGTTTGCTCTGACTTCCTTTTCTATCCCCGGGTCATAGTCTACTCGTTAGGGTGGACTAATTCCCGTTTTGGTTATTCTGCTGCTTTCGTATTCTGAACTATTTTATTTATTATTTTCTAACAGTATGCAGTGAATAAACCTATTATTATTAAAAAAATCCTTTTTTTCATATTTTTCTCTTACAAAAAGGTTGAAATAAACATTGAAAAGAAGGAATAATCGCCAAAATTTGACGTGAAGATGGAATGAGACTCGAGGAAACTAAATGACATACGTTTCCTGCGTTTTTTTAATTAGATCTTCTGCTTTCGAAAGCTTTACTCATTATTCTTCCCTCATCTTTATAAAATTGAAAAAGTAATTCATATCAAAGTTCACGAAACTCAATATAAAAAATTTTTCAGAAATTGGAGTCGATATTGTTGTGAAATCGGAGAACTTCATGAATTTATGAATAAATAGATAAAGTACACAATTTATGGCTTAAGTAAAAAAATTTAGGGAAAAATGTTTGTTTCTAATCAGATTCGAGTCGTTTTTTTAGTGAAAAAGGAATTTTTTTCAACTTTTTGCGGTTTTCTCATACAAAAACTATCAGTCATTAAGAAAAATACGTCCTATATCTAAATTTTCAAAAACAGCAAAATCATCTATTTTCCACCGTTTATTTAACAATTTTCGGGCCTTTGGTGTGAAGACACTTGTCGCGTTGGAGCGCGACTTTTCTCGAGATTTTCGCCGCCTTTATCTTTTGAGAGGGCCATTTGTCCGGCTTTTCGGCATCTTTGATAATTTTCCTTTTTTTTTTTTGAGGGCGAGAAGGATTTTTCTCATCTCAGTTCTTTTTTAACGGTTCTTGAAAATTGAGAAAAATAAAAAAAAAGGAAAAATTCTTCTATTGGAGCATCTTGGTCGCATTTGGAATGGCTAGGAAAATTTCGATTCAAAAATAGCCTCAAAAAAAGTTGAGCTCAAAAAAAATTATTGGTAAAAAGCCACTCAATCGCCCTTTGGAAAAACTCGAAAATTCTATTTTTCTAAAGTTTAATTTTTCTTTATTTCAGTCTATTAGAAACGACTTCTCTCCTGATTTCACCATTAAAAGAACCACATAGAATTCCCTGATCTTGTAATTTTTTCTTGAATTGCAAATCAAAAAACACGTAAATCTCTTGATTTCACGGCTGTTGACTGTTCAAGATTCCCGTTTTCGTTTCCCTTCTACAGAAACCTCCCAAAAAACGACGTTTCTTTTGTTGTACGCTTTTCTCGGCCATTTGCGCCCGTTTCAGCAAGTTTTTCTTTTAGTTTTATCATAGCGAATGCCTCTGAAGATTTTAATACCTAACTGTTTAAGACTTGCTCCTTTCTAACACCTGCAAAAGGTATCCCAACATGCCATTGATAACACCATTCCATGACCTTCGTAGGGCCAATAAAACAACGAAAATATATAGGACTACTTCCGAAAAAACCGGTTGAAATTCGCCCAAAAATGTGAAGAAAGGTTGAAATTTCGACAAAAAACTACGGATTTTTGGCGAAGAAGTTGATTCGAATGAAAAGTTGTGAATTACACCCAATTATTCGACAAAAAAGTTCTATATAACTTAATTACCCGCACTCTCCAAAAGGCAGAAGCCACCGACAGAACGTCACATCGAAGCTGTAGGTAGGTAAAGACCGGTTTCCTGCGGTCGTGTCGGAAATTCGACGCCCGCAAATCATTTTAAGTTGCCGCTTACCATTTTTCTCGTTGCCTTTTTTTCTTCTTTCGTCTTGGTTTTCGGCCTAAAATTAGCTTCATCATTAATTTTATAGTCGCATTACTATTTTGAAAAACTCCCTAACGAGAAATATAATAGAAGAAGTTCTAAAAAAACAAAAAACAAAAAACGAAAAGTTTAAACTTTTCGTTTTTTTGAATTAAGAAAGTACGGTATGCGCGCGTGAGAATTGCAAATCTGTACGCAGCTCGGTGTAGTTCTTAACTTTTTATTTTCAATTGTTTTTCAGTTTTTCATTCGATTTTTCTGTATTTTCAAGCTTTTTCACTTTGCATCGACCCTTTTAAAAAAATCATGTATTTTCCCGCGAAGATTAGAACAATCTGGCAAGAAAAATTCGGATTTTTTTTCTATTTTTCTTCACAAAATAGAAGAAAGCGATCAGGAACCTGCAACGTCATTAAAAGTGAACAATGCCCTCGGGTCAACAGTTAAAATGGCCCAGAAGAATTTCCAGTTCCTTACCCCCACACCCACCGCAATTGTTTTCCAATAACAATGTTGTGTGTCCGTCAAACGAATTGCCCTGCCGTCTTCTAATAATTTTGACTTTTCCGATGTCAAAAAATAAGTCTGAGTAGTTTGATCATCTGGATAAATGGAAAAAAAAATACTTTATTGACTTTCTAGACTTTTTTTTTGGTAATCGTTCGACCTATTCGTATTCAATCGATTCTTTCTTTTTTTAAAGTGAACTTCTGAACTTAGTTCATTTATTTCGTAGTATTTTCAAGCCAAAAACTTCTTATCCTGTTATTCCGGAAAAATTGTCAAAAAATGGAAGTTTTCCTAATTTTTTTCGAAATGATTCACTTTCCTTTTCCCATGCAATTTTCACAAATTTTTGCGTTAATTTGATTTTGCAAGCTTTTTCAAAACAAACCCAAGACTTGGTTTTCATTTCTCCGCCCTCAATGTCTACAAAATTAGTTGATCAAACGTTAATTTGGGTATTTATTTACCTTTTTTCATAGTTCAAATATCATCGGATCTTTTTCGGACAGTTTTTGTCACAACTTCATTGATTTTTCATTTTTTTGATAATCAACTTCATTGAGCTTCAATTTATTTTTTTCAGTTTTTCCAAGTCCAAGAAGGTCGTCCCTTCTCCGCTTTTTTTCAAGACCTGCGTCATTGGCAAAATGCCGAGTTTGTTTTTCATATTTTATTGACTTTTTCTTTGAAAAAAAGAAATTTTTTTCAGGGGAAATTTCTGTTTTGTGTAGATCATTAGCGTTATAAAAAAACTTTAAAATAAATTTTTGGAGAATAAAGATTTTTTTATTTTTTTAGAAATTTCCGTCCAATAACCTGATTTTGCCGATTTTTCTACATGTTTTTCAACGTAAGATCGATTTCTCTATTCAAAAAAATCTTTCCACATTTTTCTACTCTACAAATTCCAGGAAATTCCAAATTTCGTTCAAATTTGAAAAAAAGACTGATCAAAATTTCTTTCTCTTGTAAAATTTTCTTCAGCCTTCGCATATTTTCAAATTTTCGGCTTTTTTGAGTCAATATATGAGTTTTTTTCAAGTTTTGATAAGAAAATATAGAAAAAGTGCTCTCTGACTAGTGAGGAAGCGTGCCAAAATAAGAGGGTTCAGAGAAATTAGCCTGTGATAGAGTGTAATCAAAACTTTATGATAATTTAATGGCCAAAAAGGATTTTTTTTTTTTGATTTCTATCCCAATTAGGGTTATAAGAAAATCAATTTTACTGACTTTTATAGTTCAATCCTAGTCTTTTAGGCGCCCCCAGCTCGTCGGCGGCGACGTCGACGTCGTCGATCGGCCGTCAGAAACGGGAGAAACGCCGCGGATGCTGGAGATTCTTCTGCGCGGCCGTACTGCTCGCCGTCGGTCTCCTGTTGCTGCTCACGGGCCTCATCATGCACCTGGCCGTCGTCCCGACGGTCGTCGAGAATAGTATCATCGATGTGGGTGGAAGTTTCAGGAAGAAAAAAACTTGTTTTAATTCAAAAATTTTTTTATTACGATGCTCCAGTTTACGGTCCGATTTTTTAACTTTCAAGGTATTTTTTTCAAATCAAAATGAACACTAAAAAAAGTTTCCATTTCGTCTTATTTTTGTTTCAAAAAACTGTTTATTGCATCTTCAATGTGAGAATACATGTTCAATCGACTTTCATTATTTTTAACTGTCTTTAAACGGCGGCAGGAGCTGTGAATTTCGCTCGTAGAACATAAGCTACAAGAGAGGTCGTAGGAAGAAGTACGATGCCGGCTTTCCAAAGGCGGATGGCAGCTGCATGCAGCTCCCAATTTTATCTACCCTAGAGGCTTGTTCGACCTCTGGGGGACTCGAACCTACGACCTCGCGGACGTTAGAAATGAGTCTTACCAGCTGAGCTATGCCGCCCCCTTTCCCTAGGTGTTTCGGTCACTTTTTGCAAGCCCCGACAAATTGAATTATCTACTTGCCCATCTCTGATTCAGCCTTCATTTTTTTTTCAAAGTCTAATCCTCTAATTAAATTAATACCCTTTTTCAGGCTTACTGATTTAATTTAAAGATTGCAGCCACTGATACTTGTATCAATGATATTGATATCTTCTGCCTATTCATAAAAACGATGAAACATAACTTATCAGGGAAGTCAAAAGATAAAAATGATCATTTTCACGATTTTTCATTTTTCGTCAAGGTTTCACTTTCAAATCTCATTTTTTTGTCCTTATTCTCCTCTCTCTCTTTCTAATTCACTCGGAAAATATATTTATAGAACTATTTATATTTCAACGAATATTTCTCAAACTCACCATTTTCATACAAATTATGAAACGTATCTTAACGAGGAAATAAAGAAATTGAAAATCATTGAAAAACAATTTTTCGCCGCTTTTTTTCCAATTTTGATCAATTTTCCACTTCGAATCAAAATAAATCGGAAAATCAATTCTCTGTTTGTTCTTTGTCTGCACATGACAAGAAAATCGAAAATCTTTGATTTCTTCTCCCCAACTTTTGTCTTGTTTTGCAACAACTTGACACGAAATCATTCTCAACACGTCACTCCCATGAATTATCACCCCGAAGGAACCTATTTTGAACCCCACAAAACTTATCAGATGACCACGTTTTCGAGCTTTTTTCTTCTCTTTTTCGGAAAGAAAAGAGAAAAGTTCAACGAGCGCCTTGATTTGGTTTGAAAGGAGAAAAAAAAGGTGACGTCTTTTTTTTCCGGTTTCTCGAGAAGAAAAGGGGGATTCTGAATGTGTCTGTGTGTGTGTTGTAAACTGAACTGTTTGACGAATCTAACCGGGTTATTTTGCAATTTTTGGGGTTTTTTTGTAGTTTGAAACTATGAGGAAGGTTTATGAAGGTACAAAAAATAAATACCGTCTAGTTTGAGACTATAAAATGGTCATTTCGTCTCTTTTTTTGGGGTTTGTAAAGTTTGAATCTATAGGGAAGTTTTTTGAGGCCTAAAAAGTGTCGATTTAGTTAAAAAATTGCCATTTCATCGCCTTTTCTCGATTTTTTATACTTTGAACCTATCGGGAAGATTTTTAAAGGTTGAGACAGTGAAAAATGGATATTTTGAGGCTTAAAATTAGTCGATTTAGTTAATAATTTGCCATTTTATGCCCTTTTTTTTTGAGTTTTTGTACTTGGAAATTATCGGGAAGGATTTAAGGTAAAAACAGTGGAAAGTAGATTATTTTCAAGGCGAAAAAGTCGTTGATTTGGTACAAAGTCTGTCATTTTATCGTCTTTACGGTATTTGAGATCTTGTTACGGCCCACTAGGCTATGGGAAAAATATGTAAATAAGAAAATTCCATGAATTTTTGAAAAATTCAATTTTTCTCTTCAATTTTTTCAGTTAAACTCGTCTTCGAAGAATTTTATCGACCTCTGAAAAAAATTATGATTCACGAAATGTTCAATTTTTGAAGTGAACTGGGTCTTCAAACAAGTCCAAAGGGACTATTCAAACTTGAAAAGTCAAAAGGACTTTGAAAATTACTCACCTTTCGGCCACAAACTTGTTTCCTTTCAGAATTCCTGAAGTTGATTCGATTAAAATACCATTTTTCCCGGGAAAACCAAGAATTTATCGCAAAAAAGACCATTTTTGACGTCTTTAGTGCCCTAATCCCAACACAAAAGAGACACCAAACGCTACCGTACACTTTCGATTTTCGGATTAGGTCCTCCAATGACCTCGTCGAAGTGTTTTCTGGGAAAAAAATAGTCTTGGAGGGAAAATCGGAAAAAAATAGGGGAAAAATCGGAGGTCTTGCTGTGGAGTTGAGGTGGAATGAGTGATTTTTTAGAAATTTAAGTAGGTGAAAGAAAAATTTGGATTTTAGGTGGGAAAATCAAGTCGCAAAAAGGTTTAAACTACGCTTTATTGTCGATTTTTCAATAGAAGAAAGAAAAAACGGACTTTTCGTTGAAAAATGAGATGAAATGTTCAAAAAAAAAAGCTTAATTTGTAGTCCAAAGAAGGTAAATTTGGACGCTAATAGCCGTAATGTATCAAAAAAACCTGGTCGGAAAGCTTAAAATTATGCTTTTTTTGATAATAGATTTTTTTGGCAACGAAAAAAACGAATTTTTTTGTGAAAAATTAGATGAAGTGTTCGAAAAAGCTGAATTTACAGTTCAAAAATGGAAATTTGGGCACTAGTAGCTGTAATGTATCAAAAATCCTGCTTAGAAGCTTAAATTATGATTCTTTTCAAGTCATTTGATTCCAGGAAAAAAATCATGGATTTTTGGAAAAAAAGCTTCAGATTGAATGGAAATTTTTTTGCACTTTTCGGGTGGTTTTTGAGCTACTTTTTTTCAGATCTGCAGGTGTACGATTTTTCGAAAAATTTAAAAATTTCAGATGTCAAATTTTTCAAAAAAATTTCAAAAATTTTACCAGTGAAACTTTGAAAAAAAGCGGTAAAAGGCTAAGAAAAAGCGATAAAAATCAATTTTTTTATTCAAGATGGGCTTTTTGGACTCATATCACAATAAAAAAATGAAAATCTACTCATTAAAGATTATATTTTCTATAAAAATGACTATTTCAGAACTCCCGACTGCTCAGCGGCTCCCTCCTTATGGACAAATGGAAGAACCCCGCCTACAAAATGAAGTTCAAACTGTTCGTCTACTCGATGAAAAACCCGGACGAGTTCATGGCCGGCGCCATCCCGGAAGTCTCCGGATCCGGTCCCTATACTTTCGACAAAACCATGCAGAATCATGTGAGGAAGGAGATATTGTAGTTTGGAGTTGAAAATTCAGGAAAACGGGTTATTTGAGAACTTTTCAGTAGAAAAATTGACAGGAATTTTTAGAAAATTTGCAAAACAGGGTTTTTTCCTCTTTACTGCTTTCTTTGATGATTTTTTTTGAAGCGGAAAATGGCTTGCATTTGAGAAAGAAAATGAAACAGATGAAAAGCTCGAAACTCAGAAAATTTGATTTCTCGAGAACTTTCTCAATATAAAAGGTGACTGACATTCCAAAAAAAGTCCGTGACTTTTTTTCTAAAAAAATTAACTTTTTTTCTTTTTCTTTTACCTCTTTATTTTTATGACTTTTTTTAAGCCATGGTAGTTTTGTACTTGAAAAAAGGACCATACTTTTTTTTCGGAATGAAAAAAGGTAGTACTCGAAAATTCGATTTTTAAGCGCTTTTCAATAGAAAAAAGTGACAGACATTCCAAAAAAGTCCGTGATTTTTTCATAAACCTTTTTCTCACTCTTTACCTCTTTTCATGAGTTTTTTGAACCCAAGGTAGTTTTGTACTTGGAAACAGGCCATACTTTTTTTCAGAATGAAAAAAAGGTATTACTCGAGAATACGAAAAAAGTCGATTTTCAAGCACTTTTTGATAGGAAATATTGACAGAAATTTCAGAAAAGTCGGTGGATTTCTCATAATAATCTTTCATTTGCCTATAAAAACTGTTTTTTTATTGCATCTTCAATGTGAGAGTACATGTGCAATCGACTTTCATTGTTTTTAACTGTGTTTAAACGACGGCAGGAGCTGTGGCTTAGGCAGAGAAGTTGTGAATTTCGCTCGTAGAACATAAGCTACAAGAGAGGTCGTAGGAAGAAGTACGGTGCCGGCTTTCCAAAGGCCGATGGCAGAGATTGAGCCTTTCGCTGCATGCAGCTCCCAATATTATCTACCCCCCGAGGGATGAAAGGCTTGGTCGACCTCGGGGGGACTCGAACCTACGACCTCGCGGACGTTAGAAATGAGTCTTACCAGCTGAGCTATGCCGCCCCCTTTTCCTAAGTGTTTTGGTCACTTTTTGCAAGCCCCGACAAATTGAATTCTCTACTTGCCCATCTCTGATTCAGCCTTCACTTTTTTTTTTTCAAAGTCGAATCCTTTAATTGAATTAATCCCCTTTTTCAGGCTTACTGATTTAATTTAAGGATTGCAGCCACTGATACTTGTATCAATGATATTGATATCTTCTGCCTATTCATAAAAAAACGATGAAACATAACTTATCAGGGAAATCAAAAGATAAAAAAATGATCATTTTTCACGATTTTTTTATTTTTTTCGTCAAGGTTTCACTTTCAAACCTCATTTTGTCCTTATTTGCCTATAATTTGTTTTAAAAAAAAGTCTTTCCGATGAATTCTTGATAAAAATTGTGTGGAATCCTGTGAGGATCACAAATTTTGAGAACAGAGGTCAATTTTTTTGGGAGATAAATAATTTTTCTAACGATTTCTAACGGGGAAAAAAATCACTCTCTTTTTCCTGTAAATGTTCCATTTTCTACTGTAAACCTTTTTTACCGTAAATTTTCAAGTAAATTGGATTTTTTTTGCTTGATATTTTCCCTTCCTTTGAGTGAAATTTTTTCCCATTCAAATTTTTTCCAAAAATCATGTTTCCAGGTAATATCAACGGGCAACGGGACGGTCAAATATCGTCGTTTCGCGACGTTCCATTTCAATGAACGGGAATCTTGCCAAACGTGTATCCTGGGCAACAGAATCTGGGTCCCCAATATGATTTATCAGGTTTTTTGAAAAAGGGGTGTGGGGTTTAAGGAATTTTAGGCGTTTAAGAGAAAGTTTTTTTGAGTTTTTTTTTTTGGAAAAATCATTATTGTGATGAAAAATAGGGATTCCACGGTGGTGCCTAAAGGGGTTAGAAGGGAAAAATACCCCTATAGGGGCTAAAAAGGGGATCCCTATAGGTTAAAATCAAGGTAGTCTGACCCATGAGCCCCTGAAGCTTAAGTGGTCCCTATAGGGGTCTTTCAATTTTATTCAAAAAAAGTTTTTTGTTGAGTTTTTTGCAAGGAGATGCTTCTTTGCATAGAGTTATCGAGTAGCATGTCTCCTATAGGGACCACTTTTGCAAGCTTTAATGGCCCCTATAGGGGTTGGTAAGGTAGTCCCTATAGGGATCACTCTGGAGTTTTTAAGATTTATGATGTTCCAAAGAACCCCTAGAGTGACTACTTTTGCAAGCTCAGAACCTTCAAGTGCTTTTAATCTTGTCCCTTTAGGGATCACTCTGGCGTTCTAGTGGCGACAAAAGAAACCTATAGATTGTAACTGAAGAGGGTCCAGAGAAGAAAACATAGTTATCGATTTATTTTTAACGCTGTTGTTTTGAAGAAGCTGGATAATCAATAACTGTCCAAACTTGAAGAAATTCGTCGAGGCTGCCTCGACGGAAGGCATGAGGGCCGCCGGGACGACTCTTCTGTCCCAAACGGCTTTCCTGGAAGTGGAAGTCGACGAACTACTGTTCGAAGGCTACAAAGATCCCTTTCTCGACAAAGTTTCCCCCCAAAATAATCATATCTCACTCAAAAATCCCCATTCAGATCTGCGAAATCCCCTTCATGAACTTTGTCTGCGAGGCCATTCTCGACGTCCCCGACCGAATCGGCCTTTTTTATGAAGTTTTTCAGACTCCCTAGGGCTATACATTCATTTGGATTCCAGGCCAATAATACGGACAGTAAGGTGATCGAAATTGCCGATGGAACGGCGGATGTCAACGATCTGGGCAAGATCTTGTCCTATAACAATGAAAAGTTGCTCGATGAGACATGGTTTGTTAGTTTTTTGCGGATTTTTTGAGAAAATTGATTTTGGTGATTTTAGATGAGAAAAATCGGTTTTTGCGGTTGAAAAATGAGTTTAAAGCGATTTTTGTTGATGAAAAATGAATTTAAAACGATTCTCATGGATTAAAAATGAGTTTGAAATCAATTTTGGTGGATTTCTATAATAAAAATGGGTGGAAAATCGATTTTCGTTGATGAAAAATGAGTCTGAAATCGATTTTTTGTGAATTTTGTTGATCAGAATCAGTGAAAAATCGAATTTGAAAGATTTCAATAAGAAAAAAATGAGTGAGAAAAATCGATTTTCTTGTGAAGGAAAAATAGGAGTTAAAAAAATCGACTTAAGAGCTGAAAAATGGAAGATTAGCTTTAAAAAATCAGATTTTAAGTCGAAAAATGAGCTTCTTTGCTTCTGAAATCGATAATTTCACTAAAAAAATCGTTTTTTTATAAAGCGGTATTTTTTTGATCATTTTTTTATCAATTTTTGGCTCGTTTTTAAAGCCTTTTATAACAAAAATTCGAGTTGAGGAACCTCTAAAAAAAGGGAGAAAACGAGAGTTAAAAAACTCAAATTAAGGTTTTTTCGTTTTTGTATCGTTGAAGATCCGAAAAATCGATCCTAAATTTGGAAAAAGCGCTAATTTTTGTCCAAAAATCAGAAATTTGAACGGTGTTTCAGTTTTCAACCTTCAAAAAATTCTTCCTTCACCTGAAATTTTTTTTTGACGATTTTTTATCATTTTGTGACAATTTTCTTCAAGGTGGAACACGGAAGAGTCGCGGAAAATCCGCGGAACCGACGGATCACTTTTCAAGCCATTCATCCAGAAAACCGACAAACTCTACGTGTTCGTCATTGAATTGTGCAGGTTTTCAGATCAAATCCGGTCCGAAATATGCATTTTTTGGCGAGTTTCAGATCGATTTGGCTCGAATTCAAGGAGGAAATCGAGTTCAAAGGATTGAAAGCCTACCGTTTCATCATGCCTCCAGAAGTTCTTGACCCGAGTTTCGAGGGCAACGAAGGCTTCTGCAATCCCACGGAAAAGGTCTCGGACGGAAAATATCTAGTTGCCGCTTAAGAGGCTCCTCAAGGACTACTTGGAGAGGACACTAAAGTGGCCCCTAAAATTAACTCTATAGAAGCCCTTATTTGGTGTCTGACATTGTTCTCTCCACAGATTCAGAAAGAGTCTGTAAGAATTCCTTAGTGACGGAGAAAATCTCTAGTGACCCCTTAAGAGGCTTCTCAAGGACTACTTGGAGAGGACCCAGTAGTACTGATTTGACTTCTAGAGAGGCCACTAAATTTTAGCCACTTAGGTGGCCACTAAAATGTTAAAACCCTGAAGAGGTCGAGGAAAAAATGAGCGATCTTGAACTGTTCTTGTCAGTTTTGGGCCTCTTTTTCGACTTTTTTTCAAATGGAATCTGTGAAAGAAAAATCATGTCAGTTTTATAGAAAAAAAGAACTATTTTTAATATTTCCCAATCATTTCTCGACTTTTTTAGCGCTTCTTCGATTCACAAAATGAGACAGAGTGCTGGCCCAAAGGATTGTTGGAAATTTCCCATTGTCAGAGAAGTTTGTCTTTTTTTTTTCTGCTATCAAAAGAAGAAGAAAAATATATCAATTTTGTGAAAATTTGGAAAAACTAATAGAGAAAGCTAAATTTTCGGTAAGTTTTTTCTTTTTTCAGCCTCAGATACATGTCAAGAAAGGGTTTTTTCGATTTTCAGGATTTAAAAAAACTTTGACCTAACTTTTTTTTATTTTTTTGAAAAATATAGAAAAAGTTAATTATTTTAAATTTTTTTGTAAGATCATCTCCATGTACCTTCTTTGTGTGTGTGTCATCAAAATTTTTGGTGGATTTATTTTTTTTTTTCTGAGGAATTAGATGATAAAATCGGATTTCTTTCAAGATTTAAGCTTTTTCCCTTGAAACTTAACTCTCGAAAAAATTTTATCATTAAAGAATTTTTTAATAACTCTTCATTTTTCCGAGAAAAAAATTCCGCTTCAGGCCAAGCCCCGATAATGATTTCGATGCCAAACTTCTTATTCGCCGATGATGAAGTCAAAAAAACGGTCAAAGGCATGAACGAGTCGGATTTGGAACGCGACGGGATCACCGTCGACATCGAGCCGGTAACCAGCAACCATCAGCTAGAATGAGCAATGATGAGCGATTTTCAGCGACTCGGAACGGTTCTGAGGGCCTGCCGCCGGTCTCAAGTCAACATTGAGATGTGGAAGGGCAAGGATCTGACTTTCCCGTTGGTTTTTCCTTTGATTTTTCAAGGAATTCGGAATTTTTAGGCGTCTAGAAGTAGGGTTAACTTTCCAACTCAATCAGATTTTTTTTTTTTGGATATTTTGAGGGCTAGAAGTAGGAATAGAGTTTCAGGTGTTTCATAGGTTTTTTTTTGAATAATATGAAGTGTTTTTAGTAGTTTCAAGAAAGAGCAGCTTTCAAGGTTTTTAGGAAGATTTTTTTGTAAGTTTTTAAGATTTTTAGGTCATTTCAAGTAGGAATAGCTTCCTAAGCGTTAAAAAAAATTTTTTTCAGTTTTTTTAGGATTCGGCTGCTTTTTTTAACACTAATATGAAGGTTTAAAAAAAATTCAATAATTTCTTAGATATTTAATAAAACTTCTAGAGAGCCTTGAAAGTTTTGAGAACTTTCAAATTATTCAGAAAAATTTGGAAGATTCATAGGTTTTTTTATTTAATGATTTTAAAGTTTTTTTAGGTAGTTTCACGAAAGAGTAGCTTTCTAGGTTTTTTTGGAAGATTTTTGTAGATTTTTTTGAGATTTTTTTAGGTGATTTCGAGTAGGAATAGCTTCCTAGGCATTTCAAAAAAACTTATTCAGTTCGAAAAAAACCAGCAGCTTTTTAACACTAATATGAAGGTTTAAAAAAATTCAATAATTTTTTTCAGATATTTAATAAAACTCCTAGAGCCTTGAAAGCTAGGAGAACTTTCAAATTATTCAGAAAAAAATACGAAGGTTATTTGTCAGTGTTGTTTGAAGTTTTTTATAAGAATTTTTGGGTTTGTCGGATTCTCGGAGTGAAAAATTAGCTTCATAGGCTTTTTGAAGTCTTTTACGAAGGAAATTCTGGATTTTTAGAAGTCTCAAAGTGAAAATAACTTTTTAGGATTTGCTGAAAGAATTTTTCGAGTTTTAGGAAGTCCTTGAACTTCATAGCCCTCTAAAAACATGTCAGAAAGTAAGGAAAATTTTCCTGGCACGTTTGAAGATTTTGGAAAACGTCCAAGTGCCCAAAAACTACCTAAATATCGTTTGATCACTGTGGCTTGGTCATTTTTCAAAATATCGCCAAGATTTTTGGATTTAACCTTAATAATATAATGAAAGTAGAGACATTTAATCATGTTTTTGAAAATAATTGTGTAAAAAGTTAACTGTTCATCTAGTAAATATAGAATTTGCTATCCATCACGCTGAGTTAACATACGTTTCAACGAGTTTTAATTAATAGAATAATCCGAAACACTTCAGTGAACATGAACTCCTTATTGCGTTCGATTCAATAAATTAGCGTCATTTGAACGAAAAATAGAGAAAGATTTTATCAAGTTTTCTTTTTAATTCTTAAATCTGAACAAAGAGTTGAAAAACCCTTTCAGGGGCCACTCAAGGTTTAGAGGCTTGTGGTCAGTACCTGATCTCCTATAGGGACCACTCAGCTTTAGAAGCTTTGTAGTCAGACCCTAAACGCCTATAGGGACCACTCAAACTTTGTGAGCTTCATGGTGAGATCCTAAACTCTATAGGGACCACTCAAGCTTTAGGAGTGTTGTGGTGAGACTCTAAACTCCTAGAGCGATCACTAAAACCTTTAGGGGCTTCGTGGTCAGACCCTAAACTCCTATAGGGACTAGTCAAGCTTTAGAGGCTTTGTTGTCAGAGCCCGAACTCCTATAGGGACCACTCAAACTTTGTGAGCTTCATGGTGAGATCCTACACTTCTATAAGGACCACTCAGCTTTAGGGGCTTCGTGGTCAGAGCCCTAACTCCTATAGGGGCCACTAAAACTTTAGAGGCTTTGTTGTCAGAGCCCTAACTCCTATAGGGGCCACTCGAGATTCAGCGACTCAAAGATCAGGCCTTAAACACCTATAGGGATCACTCGACTTCGTTCTATGGAAAGAATTTCAGGAACAAGTTTTATTGGCTTGAAAACCTAAACTCCTACAGAGACGACCTAATTTATAGGAATTACATTTTTGTCCCTTATAGGAGCTCATTTTTCTCTTAACTTCTTTAGGAACCACTCTGCCGTCCCTAACATGTAAGAAGCTTTCAAGTTCTATGGAAAGAATTTCAAAAACAAAAGAAAAATTACTTCAAAGATCTGTAGTTGTATAAGAAGACACTAGAGAACCTCCGAAAAGAAATGAAAAAGGTCCAACTTCAGAATCAACCTGAAGAAGATGAAGTCGTCGTTGATCCCGACGGTCGTCGTCCACGAAGACATCGAGATCGACGACGAATCCCTGGAGCAGATCCAATCGCAACTGTACGACGCCGAGTGGTACGCCTACACGTCGGCCACCTTCATTTCCGTCTTCGGCGCCTTGGTTTTCATCGTCGGCGCGATCTTCTTGGCTTATTTGGTGAGGAGTAGAGGCTATCAAGTTATTCTAGAATGTTTCTCGAATACTTGACATTCTTTATTGAAAATTGTTACGAAAAACTAGTTTTTAGACGGGTTTTCCAGCAAAAAGTTGTGTGGGTGTCATGAAAAAAATAGCCGCGATAATGAGCACTTGCGCTCTACGGATAACTTTTTTTGAAAAATCATTTTTAGGACCAAATTTAATCATTATGGCGACATTTTTTGTATCTTTTTTCGAATAATATCTTTAAGAGCAAGTTTATTTCGCTATTTCTTTCCGTAGAGGTATTTTTGGGCCGGTAAATTCATTTTTAGGCTATTTTTCAGGTATATTAATATAAACCCTAAGAAAACAACCAGAAAAAAGTATAGCAACGGAAAATTGAAGTGGAACAATTTAGCTCAATGGAGAGATTTCCCTGGATCTCATTTTTTTTTCAATTTATTTGAAAATTCCTGAATTTTCAAAGTTCTTGGTGTTTATAGGGACCACAGAAAACCGAAAAATTGAGACTTTTTCTTGCAGCTCGGCGCATTTTCGAAATGTTTCGGCGGGCGTCCAAGAAAACATCAAGTTTCGCCGCAACGGTTACCGCCGTATGTCCCAAAAAATGGGGCTCCTTTGGGACAAACCAACGGAAACGCCTTCCATCATTTGTACTTGTAACACTGTTCCACATGACTAATGTTCATCTGTTTCCTGGATTTTTTCACTTTTTTGATTCGATTTTTTCGTGATTCTGTACTAGAAACGCGTTTGAAAAGCAGAAATCTCCATTTTTCTTGATTTTGGTCATTTTTCTCATATTTTGATGTCAAAAATAAGACTCGAAAAATCTCAAAAAAGCCGATTTCTCCATTATTTTCACGCGTCGCGGTCTTGCGTTGCGGCTCGAATATTTTTTAATAAGTTGAGAGAAAATCCCATGTATTTAGTCCTGCAAACCTCTCTTCATGCATTGTAATATACCTTTTTCCTACCTGTAATTAATCAATAACACTTGTAAAATCATTGACACAACTTTGACACCATGATTTCCCGATTTCTTCCCCCCATTATTGCTCATTTTTCAAAAATCTTCCCCATTATCGTGGCCTTAGCTTTATTTTCACTTTTTTGCTCACTTTTAGTTTGTCACATTTCTTTTTTGTATAATGATTGCCGTCTTCGCAACGGGTTCTTGTCGAATTTCCCTCTACATTGTCAATTTTTGATTTATTTGGACATTTGTGAGAATAAAATGAACGAGATAAGGGGGTTCCGTGGTTTTTTGTATGCATCAAGTCGTTATTTTGATTTTACATTGAGTTTTTTGAAATTAATAACCTTTCCAATGATTATGATACTTCAGAGCGGTTGAAGCTACCCAAAAATTGGGAAAAGGATTAAAATTAAAATTTTTGAAAAAAATGGCAAAATTAAGTTTTTTTCTTGTAAAATGTTTCTTTTTAAACTCCATATTTTTTTACTATTTAGCCGTCATTCAGGGTTAATTGAAATTAAAAAGTAAAATTTCTATCATTTCTACTAGACTCACTAACTTCACTTACTTGTAAGGTTGGCTATCCTTTTTCACGTTCAATTTCGAAATTTTTAGACTTTCAAAAACGAAAAATGCCATCCTTTTGCAATTTGTTCTCGACTTGTTCTTCAGTTCCCACTTCTGTGAGCTTTTTTTATCAAAAAAACAAGCTCAAAAATGATTGTAAGTATAAGCGCGTCCATTTTGCATAAATACCCTGCCGCGCATCTGCCGAGTGGGCGTGGCTTCGCCATCACCCGATTTTTTTGCCTTTTTAATTTTGTTTTTAAAGCTTTTACAGCCTTTTTTTATAAGTTTGTGATTCGTTTAGAACTTTGATAGAACGCTATTAAATGGTAAATTATTCACCAGTAGTTGTAAATACCTTAATTTGAGATGTTTTCTGAAGAAATTTGATGTTTTAACTATTGTGTTTGTTTTTGTTGCGTAATTAGAGATAATTACGTATTTATTTTTCAATTTTAAATTGATTCAGTTGATTATTTTTGGTCTGGCGAAAAGAAGAAAGGAACTAGATGAGGATAGTTTTCAATAAATTTATCTTTCTCTTTTTTTAAAATGTTTTCAGCCCTTTTTTTCATTTTCAACGTTTTTTTCTACCAGTTATTATCATTTATTTTAAGTAATACACCACTTCTAAGGATTGCTCTTGAACAAAACCATATGATAGGTTTCAAACAAACAAACTTCTCACCAGTGAAACGGCAATCATCGATTTTTCTCATCCAATCAGCCTGACGTTGTGACATTTCTTTTTTTTTCTCCTGTTACGCGTGACTTTTGGCGATTTTTATCGGCCTCGCATTTTTCTTGTGTTCATCACGTAGTTTTCGGTTTTTAGGATACTTTTCTAAAAATTATTGAGTGCTGCGGGATCTTGTATTGAAGATGTATGAAACATTTGAACGAGTTTTTGAACTTTTTTTAAATTTTTTTTTGAATTTTTTTACGTTTTTTTCATTGCATTAAATTTTCTTTAGCCTTAGGTAACAGTTCATTTTCAGTATTTCAAAGGCGCGAAAAGTAGAGTTTTCCCGATTCAAGCCCGAAAAGGTCCTATGAGTACATTTCAAATCCTTCGAGTTAAATTTTTTTTTGTTTTAATGGCAGATTTTAATTTTTCATTGATGTTTTTAAAGGAGCATAGACAAGTTTTAATAAAGGTCTCGAGGCGAAGAGCCGTTTCCAATGCTTTATTCAGTCATTAGAAGATTCCTGCGCCTTAAATGTGAAAATAATGACTTTTGAGCAGAAGTTCCTTCTTTTTTCTTCCCCGCAATACACATTGATACATTGAATATCATTTTAATATCGACCATCCTTCACTTTATTGATCTATAACCCATTCCGAGTCAGCTTGTCATAGTTTTCGAGTTTCTCCGAGCTACAGAACTCTTCCATTCGATGGGCGTGGCCTGTTCCTGTCGATGCGCCTTTAATATAACGGATTTGTAAGCCAAATAAAATGCGTATGAGAAGAGGAAGACCACACACGTCGAAAGAAAGGGTTATAAAGCTAGAAAAAAAATTGTGACGGTTTGGCTAGGAATGAGCTATACCAATACCAGAAAAGATCGAAAAAGTGATAATGATCAGATAAGCGGGGCGATGCTGACCGCACGGGGACCACAGATGCGGGCATTCACACAGCGGGTCGCCTCCTACTCGACCCAGGCCCTCAATTCCTCGCCGGCCGTCATCTTCGTCGGCAAGGCTCACACTTGTACGTCTTCTGTCCCTTTCAAAGGGTGTTGGAAGGATATTCAGCTATAAGCTCCTAGGAAAGTCGGTTTATGAGGTCGCTTAAAGTAGCGTCCGACTAAAAACGACTTTAGTGGGACACAATTAGTCTGGGAACAGGCCTTGACAAAAAGTATAAAATATATGATGTGAAAATGATTTTTAATAATTTTGAAGACGTGTGAGGTTATATAAAGGTGTTAAAGGAGTATAGTTAAGCTTTGACACCAGATTTCTTTATTTTGAACTGAATTTTCGCTGAAAATCAAGAAAGAAACTGAAAATTTCAGTGAAGGCTGGACAAATAAGCATGAAAACCGCGAATGTTTGTGAAAAATAAAATCAAAAACTTTTTTTTCAAAGTTTAAATTTGCCATTTTTGCCGTCGATTCGTTCATTTTAAATATTTACAAGAATTTTATGAGATTATTTTAACTCCTATTTGGCTCAGATCCAAGCACAGGCAAAATCGGAAATTTGAGATTTGAGCCACAAGTTTCATACAACCTAGTCAATAAGATCAAAAAAAATAACTGTAATATTAAAAAAATTTTTTTGAATAGGTCTTTTTTTGAACTTTTACTGCTTCAGATTTGCAAGAAAAAAACGCGTTTTTATTTTTCTAAAAAAATTTGTCGGAAATTCTTGGAGAAAGTCGTGAGAATTTCGGATCAGCTCAATAAGTACATAAAATTGAAGATATTCACGAAAAATAACCAGATTAAGTTTGATTCAAATCAGAGAAATTGGTGTTTATTCTGCATATATTTTGAAGAGGTTGAAGGAAAGTTATTGATTCACTCGGAAAAAGAAGAAAAAGTTGAGTAAATCCGAACAAGATCCTTCCAATTCAGTGCGCCAAAACTCGTTACTTGGACCCAGCGATCAGCAATTTCCGCTTCCCGGCGACGTCGCCTTCGGAAAACAGGCTTTTCAGGTTGATTTCTATAATGAACTGAAAAATTATTTAAAAAACCCTTCCAGGAAACGGCTGATAGACTGAAGCAAGAACGGGAACGAATGGACGTTTTCCGGCCTTCCGCTTTGCAAAAATCCCATTGCAACATCAACACCATCCTCTCCGCTTCCAGTATCAATGCCGACACGGCTCATTTACAGAAAATTAAGGTGAAAATTTCAAAAGAAAAATTATTTTTGTTCAGGTTTTGAGTTGACTTTCAAGAAAAAAAGAGGGTGAATTATGCGTTTTTTGATGGAAAAAATATGGATTATTATGAAAAAATATGGTTAGGTGTCAGAATTTCGCTACAAGACCTTTAATGACACCATTAGAAGTGTGAATAAATTGTGTTGGAGATTTTTAAAATTTTTTTAAATGTTCCATCAGTAAAAAAATTCATCCTTGAAAGGACCACATTTCGAAGTTTTTTTAACGTATAAAATCGATTTTTTTCGACAATTATTTGAAGAAAAAAACGGCTCCAGATTATAGATTTCTTTGAATTGCGAACAGTTTTTTTGAAGTTTGAAGATATGAAAAACGACTCCTTTACAGAAAATTAAGGTGAGAATTAAATAAAAAAACCCTGTTTTTTTGTTCAGATATTAAGTGAAATGTGCGATTTTTCATGAAAAAAATATATTTTAGTGTTAAAAAAATTCGCAACAAGACTTTAAATGACACCATCAGAAGTGTAGATAAATGGTTTTGGAATTTTAAAATTTTTTTCAAAACATTAGCAAAAATCCATTCTTAGAATGACCACATTTTTGAAGTTTTTTTAACGTATAAAATCAATTTTTTTCGACAGTTATTCGATGAAAAAAACGGTTCCGTGTTGCAGATTTCTTTAAATTGCGAGCAGTTTTTGAAGTTGGAAGTTTGAAATTATGTTAAAACATGAAGGTTTTTAAATTTTGTGTTTTAGCAACTTTTTAAGACAACTCGTTTGCTTTTTTTGTAATGATATTCGTGACAAAAAGTAAAAAAACGAGTAAATCCTCTTTTTTTAGTTCAAAAATGCTCCCAAATCTCATTAAATCATGAATATACTTCTATTTTTTTGGCCAAATGAAACGGTGCGAATTAAATTTTTAGGCCAAATCATTGCATTTTCGGCTTTTGGTTTCATTAAACTGCTTTTTGATCATTTTGAGCATCTTTAATAAATCTTTATCAACCCTTTTGAATCGTCAAAGAAAATGGTGGAATACAACTGGAAAAAAATATTTTTTTCATGAATTTCAAAGCTCTTTTGCAGGACGAAGCCTTGCGGGAAGCTCAGCAAAACGCTCCGGACTGTCCTGTGGAGTTGACGGCTCAAAATTGCCCGAGGCTTTTGAAGAAAGGTAGCTTTAAAGAGAACGAAAATGGTTTATAACCCGAAAAATGCAATCTTTTTCATAGAATTGGTTAGGAATATTGTAATGAAATCAGGGTTTTTCCTTGAAATTTTTTTGAAATACTGATAAATAAAGTATTCCTAAAGGTACAGGGGTCATTTTTTTAATCGAAGTTAGGGTTTTTTTCGAACACATGCAAAGTCCAAACGACCTCAAAAAGATGAGCCTTGAGCTCCTTTTTAAGTTCCTAAAAAGGTGTCGAAAATTTCTCGGAACCTCTTTTTTTCACTTTTTTTGACCTCCTTAAAAGGTCTTTTTCAAAAAAATGTCTAGAGAAATTGCGCCTTTTTGAGACCTTTTGGACTTTAACCATGTAAAAAATGAACATTTGAAAGATTAACTATTTTTTTTTGCGACCAGTTTCAAAATTTATCCTTCTAGAAATGCGCAGCCTGTTCCCCGAGATCAAGTTCAACAAGTTGGACGAATTGTCGGTCCTGAACCTGACCCAGAAGTCGGAGTTCGACATGGCCGCCTGGAGCGAGGCGATGGAGGAGGAACGCGACAAATTGACCGCTTCGGTATTTTTCTCTCTTGTTTCTTGGATTTCATTGTATTTTTTTGGATTATTTTTGTATTTATGATTTTCTTTTGAGAAAAAAAATAGGTCTTGAGAAGAATTTTTAAGAAGTTACTGTAGGAATTTCGAAAAAGAAATGCGAGAATCGCAAAATTTTTTTCAAAAGAAATATTTTTTTCCTTGACGTTTTTTTAATGAAAAAAATTTGTTAAGCGGATCCGAAATTATTTGAATTTTTTTAATCAAATCAAAAATTGAAGTCATTTTCTTTTTCAAAAAAATAATATATTTTTCAGAGTTTTTTTCCCCGAAAAAGGACTGAAATATGTCTCGAAACTTTGAAAAGTAGCATAAGTTTTGTCCTAAAATGCTCAATTTTCATCAATCTTTACGTAGAATTTCGAAAAATCACCTTTTTTCAGTTCATCATGTCGGCCCAAGCGATTTGCACGACGTTGAGAAATTGCGGGTATTGGGCCGATTTTATTGACCCCGCCTCTGGACGGCCCTACCTCGAAGCGTTCGTTTTTTACAGATTTACCCGGAAATTTTGATGAAAAATGATTTTTTATGCTAGAGAATAGGTGATATGTACGAAAAATGAAGCTTGGAAACGAAGAAAATCTTTGGAAATTTTAAAATTCAGGGTTCATTTTGATTTCTCGTAAGGAAACTGTATGGAAATCATAGTTTTTCGTGTATTTTTTTTTCAGTTTTTAATTTTCCAGGTACACCAACAACACGCTGTTCGAAACCAACGACGCCTACAAGCAAATGGGATTCCGAATCGACGATCAGGGATGCTGCAAGGTTCGCATTTTCATAGTGTATCCTGGAAAAGTGAAGAAAAAAAGCATCGAAATCTCTCAAAAAAAACAGGATATTTTTTTAAAAAAATATTTTTTTATTCAACTTCATTTTTTTAAAGCAGGGTTAAGCTTCACAGGAAAAAGTAATTGAAAAGTGCCGATTTTTTTCAAATTTTTTTGAGGTGTTTTATTTTTTTAAAGTCAAGGTTCATTTAATGTTGAGTGGGTCCTCCAAGTCGCCCCCTTTAGAAAAATAAAATATTTTTTTGTTTTCTGCATCATTTTGTATTTATAATTTTTTTGCGAAAATAACGGGTCTTGAGAAGAGTTTTAAGAATTTACGTTGAGGATACTGTAGGAATTTTGAAAAAAAGAAAAAGATTGAATCAAAAAAATTTTTTTAGAAGAAATATTTATTCTGGACGTTTCTGATGAGAATTTTTCTCAAACAGATCCGAAATTATTCGAAATTTTGATCTATAGAAATTTCTTGCTTAAGACTCTCTGAGTAAAACCGAAAATCGAAGGTTTTATGAACTTTTTTTGAAATTCGGAACTTAGGCTCCTCACAAGGAAGGTCGTTTTACTTTGCGCTTAAGTTTTTACGTGGAAATTGGCCAGAACGCTTCTAGATGTACCAGAAGAAGATTCTAAAAGTCTCAACCAGCACAACTTCCTTGTTTTCGAGAAAAGACACTTCAGAGTCAAAGAAAGCCCTCAAAACCCAAAAAATTGGCTATTTTGAGACTTTAGGCCCATATTTATCGGAAACTAGGAAGTTTTGCAGGTTGATACTTTCACGATCTTCATCTGATACATCAAGAAGTGTTCTGACAAATTTTCAGGGATTTCCCAACCACAGAAAAAAGGCATTCCTTGTCAGAAAATTCTTATTTTTCTTAATTTTTATGATAAAACTTGATTTTTTTTTTCGAATCAATAACTTGAACCCAGGGCTGACTTAGTTGGATTTCGGTTGAATACAATCTTTGAATCAAATCAAATCATTTATTTTGTTGGTTTAGTCATAGATGTAATCGACTAGGCGGTGAACAAGAACTTTGAAAGCTATAACGAACAACCGCCTTTGGCGAGCTAGAAGTCCAAACGTGTAGTCGAAAGAGTTGAAAGCATGGTCTTACGGTCCTTCGCACCGTTCTTCTGCGCGTGGTCCTTCCAGTTGCGTCTTCACGAGCTCAGAATGTAGCGGATGTTGTGCTGGAGCCCGGAGACCGTGCTCTAGGTGGAAGCCTCAGAATGAGAGCTACCACTTCGAGTGAAGATTTTACACGGAATGAATTACAGAAAATTTTTCAGTGTTTTTATTCTTTTCTTCTAATTTTATTGATTTTAGGTCCTTCAACACGCCCTCTGGGGCTCTCACGCGTTTGTCGGCACAATCTTCACCGATGCCCCACTTGATTCGACGATCGTCAAAGACATATTGAGCAAGGTTCATTTTTTCAACGATTTTTTTTTGGGAGGTATCAAAAAAACTAACAAAAGTGGCTACTCTAGGGGGGAGGGCTAGTAGTATTCGTCTTCTTATCTTTCGGAAATAGAACAAGATATTTAAATATCCCTCAAAGGACCACTTAACCTTTGAAGGTGTCCTTAAGTAGTGACCTTACCCACTAACTAGGGAGTTTTGAAGGTTGAGACTTTCAGGATCTTTTCCTGATACATCAAGGGAATTTTTTTCAATTTTTATTATATTGAATAAAGTCGAGGTTTTTGTAAAATCTGTACATTTTTCCCCAAGTTTCGGATTCTTAGGAACTCAAGAGTGGTCCTTATAGGGGTAACCTTAAAGACCCTTGGAAGGTTCCCACTAGAGACCACTTTACCAACCCCTATAGGGACCACTAAAGCTTGCGAAAGTGATCCCTATTGGGGTTTTAGTTAGTGACTCCTAAGGGGGATTTTCGATAATTTTTAACTCTATGCGAAGAAAAAAACTGAATAAACAAGCGTTTTTTGAATAAAATTGAAAGACCCCTATTGGGATCACTTGAGCTTTAAGGGCTAAAGGCTCAGACTTTAAACCTCTTTAGGGAACCCTTTGATTTTACCTATATAAGGACCACTTTTTTGGCCCTTATATAGGCGGTTTTTCCTCCTAACCCCTATAGGGACCACTTTAAAATCCCTGATTTCCATGGATTTTTGATTCTTTCGATTTTTGACCTTTTTCGGCTCTTGTCGACCTTCTTGATATTATTCTTACTCGATTTTACCGCCATAACTTTCAAATTTCAGGTAAACGCCGACATCGCCGAAACGGAACCAACCGCCGCCATTTGCACCGAATCGACGACGGAAAATTGCGCATGAATATTCACAATTTCTCTGTCCCGGAATCTGTAAATGAACCTTCTCACCTCATAATAGCTATGTATTGGTTTTGTACATTTTCCAACGTTTTTTTTCTTTTTCAATCATGTTCAGTTTAGCATCGTGTTGCGTTTAGTGAAAGACTTGTACAGGAGAACGTTTTATTTTGGTTTTTTTTTCACCGATGGAAATGTCGGGAAAATCGAGATTTTTGAAACTTGTGAAGCGCCAAAAATAGCCTCAACTTTTTGAAAGTGCGCTCTATTGCGAACTATCTATTTATCACTCGAATTCTCTCAATTTTCCTTCATTTTCTTCGAATTTACAAATCTTTTCGCATTTCTTGTCCGTTCGTCGTCGTCAGTGTTGATTCTCCTCCCGGTTCGTGCGAATAAAGTTGCCTTTGTGGAGGGGAAATCTGTGCGATAGAGCGACTTTGCCCGAAAAATTTCTAACGGAAACTGAACGATTTTGAGCGATCCTAGGGGCCCCTTAAGGGTTCTGACGCCGCTAAAGTGGTCACTGGAAATGCTCAGTCAAGGTCTCGAAGCGAAGAACTATTTTATGGCAGGAAAAATAAAATAAAATTTATTATTCCAAAAGTCGGGAAATCTATTCCTTCTTGCTTTTCTTTTCATTTTGCGCCTTCTTTTTTTTCGACGTTCTCGGGGTGTGCGGCAGTTCGGCCTTCTTCTGGACGAACGATTTCGCCGACTTTCTCTTGGGGTGACGGCGACGGTGGCTGGCGACCGACAGCGAGGAAATCTTCTCCAAACGAGCCTCTTTGGCTGGAAAAAATGCGCGTTTTGATTCAATTTTGAGCTTTTTCAATACCAAAAATGCGTTTGGCGGCGTCGCCAACCTGCTCGCCGGGCAGAATGGCCTGCTGTACTTCGATCTGTTCTGAAACATCGTCTTTTCTTCAAAAATTAAGCTTTTTTGAACAATTTCTTGAAATAAATGAGGACTTGAAGGCGCAAAAGCCTCAAAATAACACTGAAAACTTCCCCAGATTTTCAATTCAAATGGCAAAAATCTTGGCAGGAGTCGATCCAGCGACCCTTTGAGTGACAGTTGGATCTCGCAACTTTGAATAAGAGCTATCCAATGCGCTTGAGGGCCTGGCCTGTCTGCGCTCTCCACCAATCAAACACTATCTCTTTTATTTTCGTTTCAAGACCCTTTTTTCGATGGCTCAAGCCAGCTGTGTGAATCAATTATAGCGAAAAAAAATTTTGCTTCCACGAAATATTTTTTGAACTCCAAGTATACATTTAAGGGGTTTTAAAGCTTCTTAAGCGTCCTCTTTAGATCGAATAGTCTTTGAGACAAAACAAAGTCCGTAAAAACAACTTTTGAAAGAAAATCAAGGAGAAAATCTTCCGAAGACCGAAAAAAAAGGCCTCTTCGCTTCAAAACCTATCCATAAAATTCGTGTATGCTCCTTTTAAATCCATAAAAAGCTGGGAAGTAAAGGTGATGATTAGACGGGACTCCCCATGGCGACTCGACCCTTCTTTCTCACATTTTTCCTCATTTGCAGCTTTTTGGGTCGACCCGGGGCGCCTCGTGTGAAAAAAAAAGCAAACTATTGTAGTAGAAGTCGTAGTTGAGGCCCTGGGCGTGCAGGAGGTTCGCTCGTTCGGCATTTTCCGTCTCCAACAAATTGAGGAGCTCCTTGTCCTTGGGATCACACTGTTTCCGGAGTTTCGCCAGCTCTTCAAAGTAACCTGTAAAAAATCAATAATTCTACTCAGAAAAAATATTGGAAAATGGAAAAAAGTCGCTAATTTGAATAAAAAAAATTCTTCAGCTGAAAAGATAAGGGGAAAACTAATATTATCAATGGAGCGCACTATCACAAATTTTTTATCAAATCAATTTCAATTTTAAGCACGGCGTTTTTGTTAGTGGAAGAAAATGTAAAACCAAAAGTTAAGGGGGCGTAGTCAAAGTCTCCGCCGTTCCCATGTGACGTCATGGGAAAAACGCGTGAACAACAGGAAATATTGAAGGCGCATCAATGGGTCCCGAGACGAATTTATTTCTCATTTTTTTTTAACGCGATTTTTCTGTTTTTTTTTGTTTTAAAACACATGCCGTTTTGAAAGTAATTCCGCGAAATTCAAATTAGCCACCAGAGAGTGAAAAATATAACTGAATTTCAGTGTGCCAGAGCGCCGCAGTGTGTGCACACGACACACTACACTTTACGAAAAAATATGGGCGGGCGGTCGCCAAAAAACGCCGTGTACGAGTAGCATCCAAGAAATCAAAAAATCACGAGTGACATCCTCCGGGGTCTGGATAAAGCCGGGACTCGGAATCCTGGCGGCTTTCACGGGGAACTGAGCGTTGTTCTTCTGGACTTGGTCCTTGAAAGCCAGGCGTCTCGTCAGGGCGATCGTCTGGGCCTCCATGTTTTCATAATTGGCATTCACCAGGGCCATGACTAAAAAGAAGCGTTTTTTGCTGGAGACAGCTCAGGAACGGCAGGGTGGTCACTAGAGGGGTTAGGGTATGAAACAGCCCCTACAGGGGACAATATAGTGGTCTCTATGGGGGTTTAGAGTGTGACCCCTGAAGGGTAAGCTTGTGCCTCTTGATATTGTTTCATCGAGTTCACAACAATAAACGACTAGCATGCTTCTCAAGAGCTTTAGTGTTGCCTTTAGGGGGATTCAAAGTGTTCTCTAAAGGGTACCTTCAAATGGTCACAAACCCGCCCCTCCCGGGACCACTCTGGCGTTCCTAAGAGTGTCCTACTCACCATCTTTGTGCAATTCGTAGAAGAACTGCATCTGGCAACAAATCATGGTCATTACCGTGAAGGATTCCTCTGAAATTCTTCCGGGTTTTAGATTTTGAATTTCAAGTCTCAAGCTCCGCCCCTAATGGCGTGATAGCCCCAGTTGCCAGAAATTTACTTGGAAGTGTTCAAATTCAAGCCCAAAAAAGAAATTTACTATTTTTTTGATGGTTTTTTGAAAAACTCCACTAACAGAAGTCTATATTATCCGTACTTTGACAACTTCAAAGGGACAAAAAAAAAGTCTTTTTCTTTTTTTAATCGACTTATAGACAAATTTCCAGAACAAATCCTGGATTTTTCCCATCTTGCAACTCACTCAAGGCCTTTGATTCGCTCTTGAACTGATCCCCGTAGCCAGTGACCGTCTTGTTCAAACTCAACGGCTTGCAGGCCTTTCTCTGTATTTTTTTCGAGGGGAAAACGAACTTTGGCTTGTTTTTCTCGTCCGGCTGCTTGGCAGCATGTTCCTAAAAATCGGCGACTTCCAAGTTCCATATGACCGTATACAAACAAGAAAATGATGAAACCTCAAGAATCGGGGAAAAGTTACCTAAAAGAATAATGATTTTTAAAAGGACTTATTGATTAATTTTGAAAGTTTTCAACACTTTTTCCATAAATAAGAATTTCGAGTGTTCCTCTACAAACTGGAAGATAAAAAAAAAATCTAAAAATGAAAAAATTCATTTAAAAACGGCTGATCGTTTCATTCTTCAATTTTTAACGGAACTCTAGGGTTTAGTTATAAATTTCAGAAGGAAAAAAATCGTTGTACTTCCAAGAGGTCCTACTCAGCTTAAAATGACGCTCTAGAATTCTAAGACGAACCACGAGACTGACAATCTCGAGACAAATCGAATGGTACCATTTAACTTGACTTTTCTATTGATTTTAAATTTTCCCTAGTCTTTTCTCTCTATTTTTAAGAAAGGAAAGTTCCCAAGCGACATGAGATCCCACTGAGTCCACTAATTCGTACCACGGGAGTGGCAGCGGGGGTTCCGGCCGATGCAGATTCTTTAATGGGAGTTTGGGCGTCGGTGCGGGTTCTGTCGGGCGTTTGGGGGTCGCCGGCGGCTTTCTTCCTCGATTCCGGCTTGTCCGGGAGTGGGACTTCGGGCAGCTTGGCCACGTTGATTAGCTCCGCGTTCTTCTGTCGCAACTCCGACCACATGCCTGGGAATTGCAACTTAATGGGGACTTCAAAGCAAAGTAATGACCCTGAATTTTCAACAAAAATTGAATTTCTGGAAATCTGACCAGAACACTCTTGATGTAGCAGATGAAGATTCGGAAAGTTTCGACCTCCTAGTTTTTTCAGAAAAAAGAGCTTAAAGCCGAAAAATAGCCGATTTTTGAGAGGTTTCTTTACGGTTTTCTTAAAAAACAGGAAAAACTAGCCAATTTTCAGAGAATTCCCATTCTCAAAGTATGTACCAACTTGGTGGTACTACCAAGTACCTAGGAGCATACGGGAATTTCTGATTCTCGTTTTAAACTTGAAAAGCGGGCAGAGATTTGCGATCTATATAGTCTGATCATATAGATAATGTCAAGTCAATGCTCAAGCTCCGCCCCTAATGACGCGATAAACCAGTCAGAGATCGTAGTACTTACAGAGTGTTTTTGAATGACGTCGTTCTACTTAAAAGTCCTAATTCGATCAGACTATACACGCAGGGTTTTTGTTAGTGGAATAAAATGCGAAACCAAAAACAGGGTGGGCGGAGCCAAAACCTTCGCCGTTCCCATGTGACGTCATGATAAAGGCCGGCTCTAAAAGCTTAAATAACATGGGGATATTAAAGGCACAACGGTCGCGTTGCAATAAATCTTTAAGACGAATCGAACTTTTCCTACATAAACGCAATTATTCTGCACGAGAGCGCCGCAGTGCATGCACACGACACACGACACTTTACGCAATGCGTCGTCGAAAAACGCCGTGATTCACATACCAGTTCCCGTAGGCGGAATGAACTCCCGTCCAGCCTCATGCTCCTTCTTGACCGCCTCGAACTTCTTCTTGGCCTCCGCATAATCGGGCGTAACTCCACGGACTTGATTGCAAATGTCAAACACGGCGTCTCGTTTCAAGAGCGTGCTTTCGACGTCGAAAAAGTCTTTTTTCGGGTCCAGACTTAGGCTTTTCTCAAATTTCTCCATGCGTATCCTGCACACCTCGTGGAAGTCTTCCACGTTCCGTTCTGGAAGACAATATCATTTCTCATGACTTTTTGGGTTTTTCTGCTATGTTTTGGTATCTCAACGGTTTCTACATGTGATTTTCTATATTTCGATCATCTTTAGATATTTTTTGAAGTTTCAGAGTGGTCCCTATAGGAGTAAAATTAAGGTGGTTTCTAGAAATTTTACCTAATTAGGTACCTGAATAAGCAGATTTTTGTTCTAAACTAGTTTTGAAGTCAATTTTCAGTAAACTTATTAGTCAAAGTCTATCCATCCAAAAATCCCTTTCTGAACTCACTGACGATCGCGCGCTGAAGATAATTCGCGTCCATCATGATCGAGTGGACTGAAACTTCATTTTTTGATCGGGAAACCTTTTTAGGAAACTAACGCATTGCTTTATCGATGCCAGTTTGAACGTACATAATCGAATTGATCATCTGAGCAGCATAGGAGGCTGAAAAAGACCGAAAAGTGGAGCTACACTATGCTTTTTCTATCATTTTTTCATGTGGGAGTCTCTGGCCCCATTTGAAATGACTATTAAGAGTTTCTTTAAGATGCACCTGACTCAAAACGACTTTGTTTCAGTTAGCCATGGGAGCACATTTTCAAGCGCCTTTTGCGGCTATTTTTGAGCGGTTTTCAAAAGACTGAGCTGTCATATGATTTTAGAAGAGAAAACTCAGGATTTCCGAATCCCTAAGCCGTACCCAGGCCGGCGATCTTGGTGTCCTGATGTTGACGGAAAAAGTACATCTTTATGATCATCACCGTCTCGACAAGCACGATGATCAGGAGCGCGGCCACAATAGTCACGCCTCCGATGAGGAAATGCGCTGCAATCATTGGTTCGGATTCTCGAAAGGCACTGGAACTACTGTAGTTGGGGCATTCGTTGTCTTTGTTCTCATCTTGGGCTGTGGCAGAGGCTGCGGCGGCAACACTTGGTGGGCAATTCTGCGGGACTCCCGCGGGCACTTTCATCGTATTCGGACCTGCTCGGGCGGTCGTCGTGTTTGTTGGGGCTGCTGTTGGGGCTGCCGTTGTCAACGTGTCACAGACGGCGAGCGTCTGCGTAGAAAAAACACCAAAATATAGTCAGCTTTTCTTGACTTGAAAGGCATTGACGCGTTGCGTGTGCGACGCGGCTCTTTCTGGCAGGAAACTCGAGATCTCATGGAAAAAATGTAGAAAAGAATAGGCTTCTAATTATTTACATATTCTTATTCATTACTTTCTAGAAAAACTGTCAAAAAGGGGGAAAAATTGTGGCTCTTGTTTAATTTCAGGTTTCCCGCCAGGAAGCCGCGTCGCACACGCAACGCTTCACCCTTGCCAATCTACCCATCTCGTTTATCAAGTCTGGAAGTGTTGTACAGCCTGTGTACCACGACTCGGAAATTCACCAAACGACATTCCGCTGTGCCGCTGCGCGTCTTTGCGAACCTTGGTCGCACTTTTAATTTTTCTTTTAGCAAGGTACTCTACTTTCATGTGCTCTCACAACAATACCAATCATTTGGAAGCGTGATCTAGATTCGAAAGACGCTTCGCGAACGCACGCAGCGGAAGAGCGGAATGTCGTTCCGTGAAATTTCAAGTCGTGGCACACGACTATACTAACTATTTATTCAAAAGCTCATTCTAACCCAGGCAAATTTCAAACGACATCAAAAAGGCTGTAAGAAATAAAAGCTCCTCATAAGAAATTAAAGATAAAATTTTTCAAAAGAAGGCCTCTCTTCAGCATACAAATCCCCTTGAAAAACAGCATTTTCTTCGAGTTTTCCTCATTTCAAAAAAAATTTCAATGAAAAACGGCACTAACCTTCTTAGATAACGCTTCCAATTTGATCCTCAAATCCTTGTCCATATTTCCCTCCAAAATAATCAGATTGCGATCTTTGCAGTAACGCAAAGGGTCCACTGTTATTTTTTTAAATTAATGAAAGATGAGCTTGCGACAAGACCAGAATTGTTCAAATGAAGGGCGGGGCCTGCAAAACTCATCCTAATCTATCAGCAATCATATATATATATATTTTTTTGAAGTTTTTGAAATTATAACGTATTGATTATTTTTGAACGGATTTAAATTAAAAATATTTTTGTTATTTTTAAAAAAAGTTTTAAAAAAATCACGAAATCTAAGCTGACTATGCTATCAACCGCCCGAGCAATCACTGTAGGGTTTAAAAAAATGGAATCCTGAATTGAACAAAATTGTGCCCCCTAAAGGGGTTGAAAACAAGTTGGCCTGTACGAGTTGGAGGTCTCACTCCAAAGCTTTTAAAGCTCGTGATCGCTGAGTAATCGCTATAGTAGTTATTCATTTAAAAAAAAAAAGACGCATATAGTCTGTTCAGATTTTGAATTTCAAGCAGCTAACTCCACCCCCAAGGCTACAATATCTCTCGCGTCAATGTTTTATCTACATATGCCAATGGCCCTTTAATAAGGCTGCTTTTTTGACCTCTTTTTCTATCTTTTAGATCGAAAAAGATCAAAATTAGTCCCGCGCGATGAAACATCGACGCGAAAAGGTACCGTCTCAGCAGGGGCGGAGTTAGTTGGTTGAGATTCAAAATCTGAACAGACTATAGGTATGGTTGTCCCTGAACCAGGCTTGTGCGAGGGCCGGCCCGTCACCCTCCCGGCCCCCCGACCATTTCGTAAGCCCGGCCCAGCCCGGCCTTAGCGGGCCTTAAGAAAAAATGGCCCGCCCGGCCCGAATCGCGCAATTTTTTTCTAGTCGGATATCAAGTTTTTTTAAGACAATAATACCGTTTTTTTGCTCATTTTTTTCTCTCAAAGTTTAACAAAAAAACTATGATTTCAGAAGTAAAAGTCACATTTCGGTTAAAATTTTTTTTGAAGCCCGGCCCGGCCCGAGCCCACGCGGGCTTTTTTTATTGAAAAATGAAGCCCAAAGCACGGGCCAGGCCGGGCCGGGCCGCCCGGCCTGACGCACAAGCCTGCCCTGAACCAGCGCGAGTTCGGGTTGCAACTCTAGTGACCACTCTGGCGGTCCTATTTATTAAAAAAATTCTAAAAATAATTCTTTTTATTTTTAATTTCAAAGAAAATGCGAATATGCATATTTCAAGTTTTTTTGAAAGTCAAGTCTAAATCTCATCTTTTTTTAATCTTCGAGTTCTGTCAATATTCTTAAAAAAATTCATTTTTTTCCTTTTTTTAAGAAAAAGTTCGAACCCGGGCCGTGATGGACAATCTCCTCGAGGTTGGCAATGGAGAAGAGCAAGTGTTTAATGTTGATCAGGGTGATAGCGCCGGTCTTCCTAGCTCTCGACAAAAATCCCGTGACCATTTGGGACTTAACATTGGCGTGTTCGACGAAGACCGCGCCTTCGGTGCACGAAACACTCGACGACTCGCATTCCTCCGGCATAGCGTCTCCCGAATGGTAAGCATACATGTTTCTCTTGCAGCACCCTGTGTCTGGAATCATGCAATTAAATGAACGATTCAAAGAAATCAAGAGAATGACTCAACATGCATATATCAAGGTTATTGTCGAAGATTCTATCCTTTGCCTTTTACGATTTTATTAAATCATATGGATCAATTTTATAATTTTCTCCCGAGACGCTATGAAAACTTGCAAAAAAACAAGTATCAAAGCGAAGTTCGCAGCAAAAATATAAAGTTTTTTTTTGCAACTTATTTGAATAAATTCGATGAAGAAAAATAGTTTACCTTCAGAACGAACCGTCACCGTTGCCCATATTAGCACGAAAAGATAGAAAAGTTGCCTTTTCAGGCAAGCCTTTGGCAACGCTGAAAAAGCAAACTTCAATCGAGCAGATGATGAAAAAAGTTCAAGAAACTATTCGAGCAATTTTAATGAAAACTTGTGAAACCGCCGATAAATGAGCCTCTTATTTTCATAATTGAGGTTTTTTTATAATCTCTTTCGAAACTAGCAAGGGACAACGCAGAATAGTCACTCTGTGAGAGGAAATAATGGAAACGCTCAAAGTTACCCATGGAGAAGCGAGTCGACGAAACTACCTGACAATAAATGTCATAAACCCGACTGCTAAAGTCACGGTGACTTTTCTTATATTCCGCATATTAAAATCAAGTTCAAACTGAACTTTTTGAAACCGATAACAAGAAAAGAATTTAAAACGCGACGAGTTCCCTCATCGATAGCTTATTTCTACATTGTGATCGATTGCAAGGCGCTCAGTCAACAAATATGGAGAGGAAGTGCAAGATTGGAGACGTGACGGAGAAGCTCAGAAAAGGGAATCGGAAGAATCAAACGTTTAGTGAGAGGCACGGAGGTATTTTTTTTTAGAAAGCATTTTTCAATTTTTAATTGTTTTGTTTTGAATGATAATCAAAGAAATAAATTTGAATTCAAAAATGGTGAAAAATGAACCTAATAAGAACACAGCGTTCTAAAACGGGGTTTACGCAAAAAGACTCAGGCACTGGTGCGCGCACGCGCGGTACTGATTCTTTTTTCGCCTTTTCCACTGAAATACGGTTTTGAAATATAATTTTCATATTTTTGTAACACTACCCAGTGCCCCTGCTCACGTTTTAAAGTTGTTCCGAGCACTTTCTAACACATTTATGAAAAAAACAATTGTCAAGGGAAACTTTGTTATTTCAAATTTTTTTGAGCGTTTTTAATTGTTATAAACTGGTGCAGAGCAATGATAGAAGATGAGCAAACATGAAAAAAATATTAAATTTATAACTTTTTTAGTTAGTTAAAAAGCCAAAAAAATAAAAAAAGACACCCCGCGCGTGCGCGCACTTTTTGGCAACAAACACGCACCGTCAGTGCCTGAGGAGGCGCACACTATTCTCAATGGAGCGCGTAACTTGGAGCGTTGTCAATCAAAAATCAAAGTGCTTTTTTTGTTTAATTTACATGCTATTAACTTTTTTTGATTGTTTTTTTCAAAAATCTTTTTTTGTTTCTATGCATGTAAATTTTTTTAATTAATGTTTTTTTAACGTATTAGAAAGTTTTTTTAAAGTATCCATAGCTCGGTAATGTGTCGAAACGTTGTTTATAAAAGAAAATACTGTATCCAAGAGATAAAACCGAAAATCGAAATTCCAACTCCAGGAATCGATCAAAATATCAGTTCCCAACTAATAAACAAGAAAAAAAAGCTGTCAGTGTCCGCGCAAAAGAGAAAAATTTCGACTTGACGAAAAAATTCAAAAAAAGGTGTAATTGGTCTGTACCTAAGAGACAAAAGAGAAAATCGAAATTTCAACTCCAGGAACCGATCACATTATCAGTTTTCAATTACTTGAACTGGAAAGAAAAGAATACAAAATCAAACCTGAGTTAAAAATTTCGACTTTCGTGAACAGAACAATTATGTAGTCCTTTGAACCAATCAAACCACAAGAAAATAAACTGCGAAATTTCAAGAGAGTTTTAGGAAATGACTAGCAACACTTGGAAACTATAAATGTCAGGAAAAAAAAAATGCTAGCCTTCAAATAATCAAAAAATCCGGACTCTTAATTACGACGCGAAAAAGACGATTGTTAGCCACGCCCACTCATGCAACGTCCGCATGCTTCTCAGAAAAGGGGCGGGAACCCCGCTTTAGAACGCTGTGAGAAATGAAATGATTCAAAATAGACAGAACCATAACAAACAAAGATAATTGCAATGGCCGATTAAACAGTTAAATACCCAACGTAAATTCGATAGAGAAAAGGTTGATGGCGTGTTCATCGGACTGAACGGAAATTGCTTCAAAACGCAAAAAAAGTTGCTCCAAAACAAAAATTAGTATTGTTTTGGAGCATTTTTGGTGCGCCGTTGAACACGGTTTTTCGTTTAAAAGCTTGTTCCGTTTTTCCGATGAACACGCCATGAAAATTGGAAAAAAAGAAGTAACAATCGAATATAGTCTGTTCAGATTTTGAATGTCAAGTCGATGCTCAAGCTCCGCCCATAATGGTGCGATAAACCAATCAGAGAGCGAGCCATCCACGGAGCGCTTTCGAATGGCGTCATTCTACTTGACATTCAAAATCTGAACAGACTATATGTCGTGTTCAAAGTAATTTCCGCGAAATGCAAAATGATCTCTGACTCTCCAAAATTTAGTGATCTTTTCCTTTCTCTAACGGGTATTTTGCATTTCGCGGAAATTACTTTGAACACGGCAATAAGTAAAAAATACAAAGTTGCCCAGACCTGCGCCTTTAACTATGCACAGGCTTTTCTTTTCATCCAAATCAAAAAAAAAATATTTTTTGATTTGGATGAAACTTCACCCAGTGTGATACCCCATCATCAGAAATGCGGACCCAACTTTTTGAGCCATTCCCTCTTACTGTAGCCGGGTTACGGTAGGCAGGTGGGCACCTGCGTATCTCAGTATTGAAGAGTTTTTTTACTAGGCGAGTGATATATCAATCGATAGGTAATCCAATTTCAAGAACTTTTTACAGTACATACCATCTTGGGTTACGGTCGAAAAAAATTTTTGAGTTACGGTACTTTTTTTGTGTCTGCCGAGTCAGTTTTTTTCGACCACCATGAGCTTGAGCCAGGAGATCCATTCTTCCTAACTTCTCAAAAGATACCTTATGAGAAGCTGTACAAGCTGGTACTAGTTTGACAAAATCCTAGGTGGACCATCATTTCGAAAAATCGCCCCGAAGGCGCGCAATCGTGGTCTTGCGGCGGCCAAGTGGGTGAAGTCCATGATGCCGGACGGCTAATTTTTCACAGATCCATTCCAATCTTTGTTTCCATTCCACTCATAGATGTCTATTATTGATTTTTATTTCAATTTGAGATGTTTTCGGGTTGACCATCATCTCGAAATTCCATTTTGAACCCAAATTTGGCTTGAAAACTTTTGGTTTACCCTTCCAATGAGATTATTGGTTCCGTCAATACAGATCTTGGCCCTTTTTCACTTTTTTGATGAGAATATAAAGATGAGAACTGAAAATAAATTTTTATTTTTGAACCAATTCCAAAATGACCGTTTACCTAGGAAATCCACTTTTTAAATAAAAATTTCGCTTGAAAATCGAAATATTTTTGGTTATTTTTTTCACAAAAAAATAGTCACATGACGAATGTCTTGTTTTTTTAGGTATGAAAAAAATTTTTGAAGATTTAGAACTACTATTTAGGTTATAATAAAAAAACATTTATAAAAAAATCACCTTGAAAGTTAAGTTTCAACCTCACCGGTGGTCAGAGTGTCGGGTTTTTCTCTTTCATGAAAAAAATTACTTGGTATTTTCACATTTCTCATTTTTTTGATTACCTGTTTTGAAAAATAAATTGGCAGAATAGATTTTTGCTGTAAATGATAAAAAAACTTCAAATGGGGAAACTAAGCCGATATTTGAGTTCAAAATGGAATTTCGAGATGATGGTCCTCTCAAAAAGGGTTTCCGATTGTTATAAAACTGTTGTTCAGACACTCTTGTTCATGTTTTAAGAAAGAAAAAAAGTTGAGAACGGTCATATACGAAGTCAGGGATCCCGTGGAAAAAGCCGTGTCGGCCCTTTTCAGGCCAAATTTGGGTTCAAAATGAAATTTCGAAATGATGGTCAACCCGAAAACATCTCAAATTGAAATAAAAATCAATAATAGACATCTATGAGTGGAATGGAAACAAAAAAATTGGAATGGATCTGTGAAAAAAATGAGCCGTCCGGCATCATGGACTTCACCCACTTGGCCGCCGCAAGACCACGATTGCGCGCCTTCGGGGCGATTTTTCGAAATGATGGTCCACCTAGGATTTTGTCAAACTAGTACCAGCTTGTACAGCTTCTCATAAGGTATCTTTTGAGAAGTTAGGAAGAATGGATCTCCTGGCTCAAGCTCATGGTGGTCGAAAAACTGACTCGGCAGACACAAAAAGTACCGTAACTCAAAATTTTTCGACCGTAACCCAAGATGGTATGTACTGTAAAAGTTCTTGAAATTGGATTACCTATCGATTGATATATCACTCGCCTAGTAAAAACTCTTCAATACTGAGATACGCAGGTGCCCACCTGCCTACCGTAACCCGGCTACAGTAAGAGGGAATGGCTCAAAAAGTTGGGTCCGCATTTCTGATGATGGGGTATCACACTGGGTGAAGTTTCATCCAAATCAAAAAATATTTTTTTTTTATTGTACCCGTTGTTTTTGAGAATAACGGAGACAGCGTGTTAAATCGCGAATATTTCAAGTACTAATTTTTTAAATCAATGTCTTTTTGAGTCTGTTTTTAGTTGAGATCTTATCTTCTGAAAGCATGCTCGTTTTGAGATTTACGACTCGGGAGCGGATTCGATGCTAAGGAGTACAGCATCGAGCAGTCGGGAAAAACGAAGGAAGCCAACACACCTCGGAATCACCCGGGAAGTTCAGCGGGTAGCTTTTTATATGTATTTCAACTTTTCGTGTGAAGAAACGTGTCAGAAATCTTCTGGGCCGGTGTTAGAAGATTTAAAATTTTTAGGAATGTATAAAACTTTTTTCAGGAACGCCCCTCGGTCCGACGATAAGCGAGAAGGGCACGAAAAATACCCTAACGGAGGAAACGCATAAAAGACCCAGGAAAAAGAAGAAGAAGGGGAAGGGGAAAAAGCGGAACCCTGAGCCGACATGGGTTACAAAGCGTGCGGTGGATGGTTAATTTTTTTTTTGTTTTTGAAAAAAATCTTTCAGATTCTCAGAAGGGGCAAAAAATGCGCTCTTTTTTCATAGCCTCAGAGGATCCTTTTTGAACTTTTCAGTTGCTTCTTGTTGTAGGATGTAAAAATGATAACCCTTAAAAGCACCTTTTTTTTCCGAGTAGAATGAAGTTTCATTTACAGCGATATTTTCTGTTATTTGAGAACTTGTAATTTTCAGTGATTTTCCACCGTTTTTAACCCATTTTCAGGCGTTTTTCACTCAAATCGAAGGCGGAAACTAGATTTTTTTTTGCTCTAAACAAGAAATTCTAACGATTATTTTCTTTGCAGAGAATGCGATTCACGAAATGATCGTCCCCGAGGTGAAAGTCCCCATTCAAGAAGATGCCAACGAGAACTTCCTCGACGAATTTGTTTATTTTCACGGGTTCGAAGAAAAATATGGAAATTTTGGAGAAAATCAATATCTTTCAGGTACTTGGACCAATTGGAGACGCGCAGATTTATAAGACGCTCTGGTGATTATTTGATCAGGAAGGCTGAAAGTTTTCGGATTGAAAAGATTAGAAAATCAAACTTTTTTTTTCCAGATGATGATAAAACGCACGTCGTTTTCAGTGTTGGTGAGCTCTTGACGACCAGCAAGCCCATTGAGGAGAATAGTGAATTTTTTGTTGTTTTTGAAAAAATTATTTCGATAAAATGGAGCATAAAAGTTAATACTATCAGAAAAGGGGAATTTTAGAAAAGAACAAAAAAAAATTGGGGGCAAAATGTGCATCCTGTAGGGGTGAAATTTAAGTGGTTCCTATAGGGTTGAATTTTTTTCTTTCAGATTTGTAAATTTCGCAGAACAAACTTGATGAAAACAAACCCCACACGAATTGGCTTCAGGGTCTCCTATAGGGGAGCTAAAGTGGTCCCTAGAGTGGAAACTTCAAAGGTCCTTATGAGGACCAATGTGATGTTCCTATGATACTTTTTCTCATTATCATGTTTTCAAAAAGTTCAAAATTCAAAAATTAAGATTTAAAGGCGCAGAAGTCTTGAAATAGCCGTTCGCCTCAAGGCCTTTATCAGACTCCACCCATGCTCCTTTAAACACCATAACAAGTATTTTTCACGTAATTTCTACTAGCTTTAAGGGAACTGTATTAATATCTCCCATCTTTTTCTCCTCTTATAATTTTTTCTGAAACTTCAGGGGAGTTGCAAGAGAAGGGCGACTTAGATGAGCCGATCAGGGTTGAGGACTACATCGTCCTGAAAAATGAACTGGGCTACTCAATCCACAGAGATTGGGCTTTTGAAAATCTAGAGGATCTGATCGTGTTTTACGTCTTCCACCCAGAACTCGTTAGTTTTTTGAAAAATAAAGGATTTTTGGAAAAACCACCAGTGGTCGCATTTGGAATGGCTCAAATTTAAAGGAAAAGGAAGCTTAAAGCCTTCTGATGACTTTGAGCGTAAGCCGGTCGGAGTCGGACGCAGTTTTAGCCATTCCACATGCGGTCATGTGTTCAGATGATTTCAATTCGACTTTTTTAAGGAGAAGCTGAGCATCCAGTTGAGACGGGGTATCCCACGGAGACTTTTCGAATTCGGCCCTAAAGACATCGAGAAAATTAGTAGCGTAAGGCTGATATTTTGTATACATTTTTAAAAATTACAGGCTTTATAACTTGCTTAAAAACCGAAAAGATACATTTTTTGAAATTTTGTATTCAAAAAAAGCGCCCGGAAAGCATTTTATCAATTTTTGAAAATCTGAAATTTTCAAGAGTTTTCAAAGCTGTCTTTTCCTGATTTTCACGAATTGTATTTTCTCAGCTTGGAACCGGGACTTATGGCGATGTATACCTGGCGGAATTATCCGATACTCGAGGCCTCCTAGAAGAGCACGTCGCTGTCAAATGTGTGAGTGAAGTTTGAAGGTTTAATATAATAAAAAATTCGTTCAAAGTGAAATATATGCCGCGCTTCTCATTACGCGTCCAACGGTGTATTTCAATTCCCTATATAGTCCGTTTTCCGTGACTTAGGCGGGTCTTCTCTGCGCCCTCTTCTTCCCTCAGCGACCCTCTCATGTTGACCTGCTATTTTCATGTTTCTCTGACCTCGCCGGTGAGGGATCAGAGAGACGCAGACAGGAGAAAAACGTCGCGGCCAACATTCAATTTTTGCACAAAAACTGGTCCTGATATGGAAAGGAACATAGTTCTCCGTTAGAGGTTACTGTAAACAATTTGGTGTATACCGATTTTGGATCGCGATTCCTCTTACTAAAACTAGGGTGTAACCTGCAGTGAACCCCGAAAAAAGTGAAAATTTCGTTGATTTTTTCGGTGCACCCCGAGTTTAACTTGGTTGGGGTGCACTTCTAGGACAACCAGTCGAAAAAAAAAAAGTTTTTTGGGGCTACCGTAACGACTCAGGATGAAACTGTAGAAAATGGGTGTATTGTACGGAATGAGTACCTAAAGGCTTTAAAGCTGAACGGGGTGCGCCTCTGGTTGCACTTCGCGGTGCACCGAGAGTTCAAAGCAAGGTGCACCCCCACTTTTTAATAGTTGTCTGAAAATTACGATTTTTTTCGTACCCTTTGAAATGGATCGTTGAAATTGCGAGAGATAGCTCTGAAAGAAACAGTTTTTTCAAACTGAACAAATTAAAAAACTTTTTTTTCCAGCTCAGATCGGATAACCCGAATCTGAGGGAGCTCAGCCGAAAACTCATGCAAGAGGGCCGAATCCTGATGGATCTGCACCATCCGAACATCATCAGGATGTTAGGATGGATGATCATGAAGCAGCCCATCATGCTCGTTATCGAATTCATGCCTGGTGACTTTTGAAATCTTTATCTTGGGCTTTATGCCGAAGTTATGTGATCAGAAAGTTGAGAAAATGTTTCATTTAAGGATTCCCTTGAAGTTAAGAAGTCACTTAACACACGTTCTCCGAGATTTTCGAATAACCGTTGGTACAAAAATTTCATCTTTGTTCCTGAGAGCTCTCCTTGCTATCATAGATAGTGCACAACCTCTTGAATATTTAGAACCAGGTTTTATTAGGCTCCGCCCACTTTCAGGCTTACTGTAGAAAAAATACCGTAAAAATCAAACATTTTTCCTAGTGGAGCAAATTGGTTCAAACCAATTTCAAAACAGAATATGTTCCCATATGAGCATTTATAGTTATAGAACTGACCGGGAAAAAATTTTTTTCCAGAAGAAAAAAATTAAAGTTTTTCGGAAAAGGACGATTTTCTCAGTCTTTGAGCCATAACTAGTACTAGAACCCCCGAATGCCTGGATTTTTATTTTTTCAATCGACGCATTAGGGTCTTGTGAGTAGAGAAAAAATGTCTAGAAACTCTGAATCCGGGTGATCCAGTTGACCTCCATCTCGGAGAACGCGGCCAACTTGAAAATCGCAAAACCTTTGAAAATTTCTATTTTTTGTGAAAGCCGGATTCCGTCTTGTTTCTTATTTTTGCTCGACATAACACAGCTTGCTGCAAAATTACAGCTCAAAAGTAGCGAGCTGGAACCCTTTGAAAAAAAATTTCTGACATTTTTCCATTTTTTCGTTTTTTCGGCATTTTCAAACTTTTCGCTCTTACTAGTACTAGAACCCCCGAATGCCTGGATTTTTATTTCCTTTAATCCGACGCATTAGGGTCTTGTGAGTAGAGAAAAAGTGACTAGAAACTCTGAATCCGGGTGATCCAGTTGACCTCCATCTCGGAGAACGCGGCCAACTTGAAAATGACTAAATTTTTAAAAATCATTTACTTTCTTGGGAGCAGGATTTTCCCTCACTTTTTTTTGCCAATAAGACACAATTCACTCAACGCAAAATCGGAACAAAAAGTTATGACTCTCAAGCATGAGGAAATTTTTTTTTCCAATTTTTCACTTTTTCGGATTCATTTTTTTTTTCTGTCCTTTCCAATTATTGAGCTCTACTGGGATAGGATGCCCGGAAAGCCTAGTGTTTTTTCGTCGTACTGATCCGTTACATCTTCCTAAGCTCATTAAAAATATTCCCAAGCTCTGTTTCCGGGTGATTCAGTTGACCTCCAAGCAACCGAAGCGGTCGACCTCGAATTCCAGCGAAATTAAAACTTTTTTCAAAAACGTTTTTCTGCTTTTTAACCAACAGTTCTCATTATTTGGAGATTTTTCAGTTAAGTTCCTATACTTTAAAAATAGGAAAAAAATTCAGAAACTCGTTTTTTTAATCGAAAAAAAGTTACTCATAAGGAATGTCTATTTACTAAGGTGGTTAAGAATTCTTAAAAAATTTACAGAATACTCATCGATGTACCAGAAAAATATCCTGAAAGTTTTAACCTGAACGACTCACTTGTTTTCAGGAAATGAGAACTCAGGTGCGAAAAATGGCCTTTTTTGAGAACTGTGATTGTTTTATTGCGTTAGGAATTTTTCTCAAAAAAACTAGAAATTTTTTTCAAGTGAAGTTTCTTTTTAGAATATTCATCTGGTATATTAGGAAGTGTCTAGGCTGACTTTCAGGAGTTTCTCAACCGCAATGTGAAAATGTGTTTAGGGGGCCCCGATAGGGCGTAAATTAGGGGCCTCCGCAGGGGGAAAATTTTAGAGGCCCCGATAGGGACCCTGAAGCTTCTCTCGAACCCCTAAACGATTTGGGGCCCCTATAAGGAGTAAATTTTTTACAAAAATTTTTTTTTAGAAGAGTTGTTTGAAAGAGTTAGGGTCGAACATTAAGAAGCGAATTCTAGTGAAAATTTGATCCTAACCCCTTTAAGGCCCCTTTTTAATTAACCCCTGTAGTAGCCCTAAACCCGATTTTTCAGGACCCGAATGAAAATTGAGTTAGGGGCTCCCTCGACGGCCCCTACAAGGGGCTACATTTGTCCCCACAAAATATTAGTCACTATTTTTTTGTGAATTGTGGCTTAACGTGAGTTGGAACTTTTTTTTTTAGGAGAAATACCAGTGAATTCCAGATTATTCGGCAAACATGGGTACTGCTGGTGCTGCGTCACAAAAAAAAATTTTAGCAATAAAAATACAACAATAAAAATAAGCTTTTTGATAAGATTGACGCTAGCAATTAGTGGAAACTTAACTGAAAAATCTCCAAATAATGAGAACTGTTGGTTAAAAAGCAGAAAAACGTTTTTGAAAAAAGTTTTAATTTCGCTGGAATTCGAGGTCGACCGCTTCGGTTGCTTGGAGGTCAACTGAATCACCCGGAAACAGAGCTTGGGAATATTTTTAATGAGCTTAGGAAGATGTAACGGATCAGTACGACGAAAAAACACTAGGCTTTCCGGGCATCCTATCCCAGTAGAGCTCAATAATTGGAAAGGACAGAAAAAAATGAATCCGAAAAAAGTGAAAAAAATTGGATTTCCTCATGCTTGAGAGTCATAACTTTTTTTGTTCCGATTTTTGCGTTGAGTGAATTGTGTCTTATTGGCAAAAAAAAGTGAGGGAAAATCCTGCTCCCAAGAAAGTAAATGATTTTTAAAAATTTAGTCATTTTTCAAGTTGGCCGCGTTCTCCGAGATGGAGGTCAACTGGATCACCCGGATTCAGAGTTTCTAGTCACTTTTTTTCTCTACTCACAAGACCCTAATGCGTCGGTTAAAGGAATAAAAATCCAGGCATTCGGGGGTTCTAGTACTAGTAAGAGCGAAAAGTTTGAAAATGCCGAAAAAACGAAAAAATGGAAAAATGTCAGAAATTTTTTTTCAAAGGGTTCCAGCTCGCTACTTTTTGAGCTGTAATTTTGCAGCAAGCTGTGTTATGTCGAGCAAAAAAATAAGAAACAAGACGGAATCCGGCTTTCACAAAAAAATAGAAATTTTTCAAAGGTTTTTTGCGATTTTCAAGTTGGCCGCGTTCTCCGAGATGGAGGTCAACTGGATCACCCGGATTCAGAGTTTCTAGACATTTTTTCTCTACTCACAAGACCCTAATGCGTCGATTGAAAAAATAAAAATCCAGGCATTCGGGGGTTCTAGTATTAGTTATGGCTCAAAGACTGAGAAAATCGTCCTTTTCCGAAAAACTTTAATTTTTTTCTTCTGGAAAAAAATTTTTTCCCGGTCAGTTCTATAACTATAAATGCTCATATGGGAACATATTCTGTTTTTGAAATTGGTTTGAACCAATTTGCTCCACTAGGAAAAAAATGTTTGATTTTTTTACGGTATTTTTTTCTACAGTAAGCCTGAAAGTGGGCGGAGCCTAATAAAACCTGGTTCTAAATATTCAAGAGGTTGTGCACTATCTATGATAGCAAGGAGAGCTCTCAGGAACAAAGATGAAATTTTTGTACCAAAATTTTTGGCATTTGTTCGATTTTCTGGGAGAATGCGTGTTAAGCGCTTCAGGGACTCTTGAATCTGATTTTAATACATTTTACACTTTGAAGATCCGAATTCTTCCAACTTGAAATATTGAGCTCGAGTGGTGGGGTTTTCTGACTTGAAAAAGACGGAAATTTTGAGATTTTACTTTTTTGGCTTCTTGGATTTATTGTGGAGCGATGACTGACTTAAAATTTATTTTTTTTATGTATTTGATTTTTTTTTTCTCAGTAGTACTTCTTCGCCTTATCTAAACGTATTTTTCCTAATCACTTTTTTCAAAAATTCGTCAAAAAAGTTTTTTTCTAAATCAAGTCCTTTTTATTAGAATATCTTCTGAAAGTCCTCGTTTGCCCCTCAGAAAATATTCCTTTATTCTGAATTGTTAGAAAAGTTTTTCCAGACCGTTTTTTTTTTCCTTTTTTGAGCTCACCCTTTTCCCAGGCGGCGCCCTGGACATCTACCTCTTGAATCATTTCATCGTGACCAGTACGACTCGACTCTTGAAATTCGCCTTCCAAGCGGCTCTCGGCCTGGAATACCTGCACGACCGGGATATTATCCACAGAGACGTTTCCGCAAGGAATTGCCTCCTGGCGTCGAATGGAACGGTTTGAGCCGCGTTTTCTCGAAATTCTCGCGAAAATCCAAGCGTCCGCGATGATTTTTTCTGATCATTTTTATCAATAGCATGTAGCTGATTTACTATTGGTTTCAAAAAAAAGGTCCTGACACGGTCGTGAAGCTAGCCATGAACCGACTATACACTGCTAGCCTAAATGAAACGATTTTTGAACATTTTAATGGAAAGTATTTACGGCTGCTCATTTTTAAACCGTCGAGAGCTTAGAAAATAGGAAAAACATGATATATTTAGAAAAAAATTGGATCAAACGTAAGAAAAAAATATATATATAGAAACGCTTTAATTTGCCCAATATTTTTCACATTTTTTTCTTCCTACCTTCTTTTTTTGAAGTTGAAATGAAAAAAATCAAGAAATCTTGATGTGAAATTTTTTTGAATAGAAAAAAATGTTTGAAGCTTAAAATTTTTCAATTTTTCTCTGATTACTGTGAGGACGGTAAAGAAGGATGTTCAATAAAGATTTTTTTGTGAAATTTACATTAGGAAAAAGCTTCGAATATAATTGAAAATTGGTTGAATTTATTAACATTCCATCGAATTGTGTTAAAGCGGTACAAAAAAATAAAGGTTTCCTAACCGCATTGAATTTAATGAGACGGTTTCATTGAGACTATTTATATTTACTATTTCAAAAACTGCCAAAACTTTTCGATTTTTCAGTTGAAACTGGCCGATTTCGGCCTCGCAGTACAGGGAGACTTCCATATCATGGAGGCGCCCGAAAGCCTCCCGACGAGGTATCTGGCGCCCGAGAACCTCTCGGTTTTCGTCTTTGTGACTTCCTCTGATTGCTACTCTTTCGGCGTGCGTCTCCCCGTAGGACCTTTCCAGAAAATGGAGAATTTGCAGAACTTGTTGTACGAGATCTTCAGCGGCGGAGCGATCCCCTACGAGGAATTCACGTCTGCGGAAGCGAAGACACGAGTAAGTAACGGAAAGTATCTTGGAATCTGGATTTCAGTCAGACTGGACCCTAGAGTGGGCATTTCCAACCCCGTTTAGGGACCACTTGAATGCATAATAATGGTCACTAGAATGGGACGGCTGTAAAGCTGATTCATGGCTCGCTTGAGACATCAAAAAAGGTCCTGACAGGATAAAATATGAGATAGTGCCTGGTTTGTGGAGAGCGCAGACACGCCACTTCCCAAGTTAGCCGTGAATCGGCTATGAAAACCTTCATACTTTTTGTAGTGGGCACGATTTGTCATTAGAGCCTTGAAAAGTCGTCTATACGTGATAATTTTCGAGCTTCCCATTTTTTTTTTTTCATGCAGCCTTTTCTCTTTAAAAGCGCTCAATTTAAAGATTATTCGAGCTCTTCTAAAAAAGGTTTTTTTGATGGTATGTCGCTTTTTTTCGACTTTTGAAACATTTTTCACCTTTGAACTCATTTGAACCTTTATTTGGAAGTAGTTTGCGCTCTATCGATAAGATTAATATTAAAAATTTTAGAATAATACCTTTTCTCGGACCTTTGTAACGAAAACTGTGCTCCGGACGTTTCTGCGCATTTCTAAGGATCACTTGAGAGCGCTGACGCTACTAAAGGAGTCACTAGAAGCCCCGAAATGTCCGTTTTGCGTTACCAATGTCCGAGTATCCAGTAATTTTTTGGGGGATCAAAAAGAAGACTTCTTTCGAGCTTTTTTTTTCTGGAAACGATTTTTCCAAACTTTCTAGCTCTTTTTCGATCCTTTTCTTTCCATTTCGATTTCCGACGGAATTCAGATTCTTGATGGAGTTCTCAATAGTATGGATAGGACCCGGGCGCCTCCAGAAGTCGCCAAATACGTCGTCGAATCTCTCTGGGCTTTCAACATGCTACAAAGACCCACCATGGCTGACGTAATCGAATTTTCTGAGTTTTTGAAAAAATAACCAACTTTCCAGACGGTCACTTTCCTCGAAGATGCTATGAAAAACGTCACGGATGTCAGTTTCATTTTTGTTTTGAAAATAAATCAATAATTTTTTCAGGTGGACCGAATGACGAGAACGGGGACAGCTGATACGGAGGAGGTTATTTTAAGTGGTCACTTGAGTGAAAAAAAATCCTGTTTTTTGATAGAATATCGACTTGAAAGTCAGCAGATTTCGGCTCGAAGTTCAAATTTCAATCTTTTTCAAATATTTTCCTGATGAACCTGAAAAATCATATTTTTTCAAATAAAAGAGGGAAAAGACAAGAAACTGACTGTAGGGGTAGTTTCATTTTGATTCCTACTTAATCGAAAAAAGCGGAAATTTTGAAGTTTTGGACTTTTAGTATTCCTTTCTGATATTCTGGATAATTTTCGAGTGCAAAGTAAAATTAGCTCCTTTGCATGTTAGTTAAACTGAAATAGTGACCGAAAAAATTTCTATTTGACCTTTTTTCCAGGTCTTTTTTGGTCACTTTAAGAGTCACTTGACAATTTTCAGTGGAATATTTCTAATTTTCAACAAAAAAAAAATTCAAACTTCCCTACCAGATTTTTTTTGTACATTTGCCATTTGAAGTTTTAAAAATTGACTTAAATTTTAGGCCGAAGTCGAACCAGAGGACTTTACTGTTCCCGAACCTGGACCCATTAAGCGCGCGTTCCGCCGAAGTGTCAGTTTTTTCCTTCTTTTGCCTAATTTTAAAATGTTTCATTACTTTTTTTCAGACCCTCAACGAAGAACTCTGTCCGACCCAGGAGGAAACGGTCTCCGTTAAAAAAAATAAAACTATTTTTCTTCCTCGAGTTTCCCCCGAATAAATTTTTTTGAATATTAAATTGATTTTTTTATTTTTACAATGGTCCTTGAAAGTTTGGTGTGCGGCTGGAGCTGTTATATTTTTTACAAAATGAAGTTGTTGGGAAAAGGAATTATTTGGAATTCAAGATAAGCTTCTGAGAGATAGTTATGAAAGCTTTTCAAGAAGATGCCTTGAAACGATTGTTTGAGTTTTTGAGACGTTTTTTTGAACCGATTTTTTCGAACTATTATTTTTTTAAATAAAAGAAAGTTGCTACGAAAATTCCGGTTTTCTGGCTCAAATTTGATTTTTTCTGGAAATATTGGTAAGTTTCTGCGAGTCTTTCCTTTTATTTGAATTCCGATTTCTCAAATTAATTTTTTCATCCATTGATAGTTCATGAAATTTTTTAAGACTTGATGAGTATTTTTGAAAATTTCAATTTTTTTAAGTTAATAAACTCCTAAATGATCCTTTTTAAAAAGAAACCGAGAACTGGAATCAGTCGAATCATCACGTGTACGTTCGTTTTCTTTTCAGGAATTTTAAAGCGATGCTTTTCGAAATTTCGATCCGAATTTCAAGTTTTGTATAGTCTGTTCAGATTTTAAATGTCAAGTCATCGCTCAAACTCCGCCCCTAATGGTGCGATAAACCAATCAGAGAGCGAGCCATCCACAGAGTGTTTTTGAATGACGTCATTGTAATTGACATTTAAAATCTGAACAGACTATAGGATTCTTATTGCTCTCAGAACGTTGAGCTCGTCTCAAAGAACATTTTACATTTACGTGTTCATAATTATTTGACTCATCTTTCGAATGCGAGAAAATTTCAAAAATCATTTCACGTATGAATCAGTTCAATTAAACCTAACTCTAACTTTATTTTCACAAAAAATGAAATGATTGCGTCAAAGATAAGAGGCGTCATCTTGAATGAGCTCGTTATGAGCTCATTTACTATCGACACGGACGCGATGAGTCGCCTCCTTGGAGGTGAGCTCTCTCTCCAGCTTCTTCTCTGCTCGGGACTGTGGCGGGACTCTGCTCCCGCGCGGGAGCCGTGAGGAAAACCTTAGGATGCTTAGATTATATGTCATTTGCAATTAATTTAGAGTAGTTCGGTCGAAAATGTTATTCAATTCTTGCAAACACCGCCTGTTTGACTAAGCAATCAGCTTTCCACTTTTTGAACATAAGGATCAAAACTAAAACAAGAAAAACTCGAATCTTTTTTTGAATGCCAGAGTCCTGCAGTCTTAAGCATCTTCCTGCGTTTAATGGGATTTATTTCTATAATGCGCCTTCAAAACTTCAAAAATATGAATAACTCTCATACTGGTGGGGTGAACCCGCTGTACTAAATTTGGTGAAACTCGGATGAACATGTGGTTCATCCGACTTAGCACGGCGCGTTGAACCGCTTTTGCCGCGCCGTTCACCCGATAAAGCCGGGCCGTTCAACGGCTCGCTTTTTTATTCGTTTTTTTTTTTAGTTTTCGGGTGAACGGCGCGGCAAAAGCGGTTCAACGCGCCGTGCTAAGTCGGGTGAACTACAGGTTGATCCGAGTTTCACCCGATTTAGCACAGCGGGCTCACCCCACCAATACGAGAGAAGTTTTTCCAAGTCATAATTATTTTTGCTTTTTACGGATATTTTTCGGAAATCGCCTTCTCGAAGCTTGTTCAGAAGTCAGAACGTGTTTGAAGAAGCATAGAAAGTCTTGATAATAGTCTATATAGTGCCTTTTTTCATGTCACGCAAGAAATCAACTCCTCAACATGTTTTTTTTACAGAGATCGCTTTCACTTGCCGTAAGAAGCGAGGATTTTTTGTTTTGAAGATTTCATCGTGTGAATGCGGATCTTCTTCTACGGAAGGTGTGTTTTGAGACTGCTTTTATTTTAATTGATTGAAATTTTCAGAGAACGTCTTGAGAGGTCGACGTGGACGATGTCATCCGAAGACGCGATTCTACCGGAACGCCATTCTCATCAATGCGATGATGAATCGATCTCCACGAAGACCTCCCTCCCGTCATACCCACCAAGTCATGGGTTTCTTTCAACAGCAGCGAAAGACGACGCCATCACCATTCTCCACGCCCCGCTCTATTAATAAACCGATAAAAAATTATTATTATTTTTGCTCTAATTTTTTTTCCGTACAAGCTGGGTGGTACAGTCCTATCGTACTTGCATTCTCACGGTCGTGAAATCAGTTCTTGGAAAAGGTGTTCTTGGGCATGCAGAAAATTCGGAGATGTAGACTTTTCAAGGGAAGTGTTGCAGTGATTTTTGGCGAAACCTTCTATTTTTCTCACAATTTCTTGGTTTCGTTTCATTGAAAATGAACCTAATGAAATGAAATGACCAATGGTAGTTCAAGGTATCAACATAGTCGGTCAACGAATGGATGAGATACCTATCCGAATGTTCACAGTGTCTCTAAAAATAATCTCTTCCTGTTTGTATGCGTAATCTGGATATTTATTGCCTGGCTATGTTGATGTAGTTTGTTCAGATTTTGAATGTCAAGTATACAATGAAGTCATTTGGAAACGCTCTGTGAATGGCTCGCTTCATGATTGGTTCATCGCGCTATAGGCGACGATGCTTGAGCGACGACTTGACATTCAAAATCTGTACAGTACCCCGATTGACCTGTGAGCAACAGATGAGAAATTATTCTTTGAAGAAACTCTCATGTTGGACCGTAGACAGACTCACAATCTTTTTCGCTACGGCGCGCCTTTTGTCTGACAAGATTATAGCCTATTCTGCGCCAGCTTGTCACGTTTTTATTTCCGCCAAAAAGACCGTATACCAAATGAGCAAATTTGGCCAACTTCGCTTCACGAAAATTTACTTTTGCTTTCGTTTTTTTTTTTGCAGGTTTGAAGAGTTCCGAGCGAGGAGGTCACGTTTTTGAAGAAAAGCAGAAAAAAGACTACCCTAAAAACGTTTTCTTGGCGATTATGATTATAAAACAGCAAGAAACAAAGGTCTTGAAGCGAAGTTGGTCAAATTCCATCTGGCCTTTTGGGGGAAAGAAAAACGTATAGCCTATACTGTTTGAATAAGGTGCACGGTTCTCAATCAAAAATTTTATTTGCTCAAAAATCTTCCCAAAGAATACAAATGGCAGTGGGAGAACGAGTAGAAAGTTTCAGTCGGCGTGAATTTGTTGGATGTCATGGAGTAATCTTGGTCCTCACTTCTTAAAACAAGTTTCCTTTTGTGGTTGTTATTTAGTTTCCGGAAACTTACTGGGTATCTTGCTCCACGGCGTCCCTCAGGCGCAGATGCAGCAGTAAAGAATAACTATAAAAAAATTTCTTTGCGAGTTTTTTGCAATAAATAAACGACAAAAGCTTTTTTAAAGGACACAGCAAAGGATTTTTTTCTAGATTTGAAAGGTCAATTTGCATGCATTTGTTTGAATAAGCTCAGCCGTATGGAAAAAAAAGGATTAAACGTACGATTGGAGTCTGCTTCCATTTCCCGGTGCTTCCGGCCTGTCAAAGAAATTATCAGAACTTTCAAAAAATCAATAACTTACACTCTTCAAATGGTCGATAATTTTTGTAAGAAACTCTGCGATCTAAAATCATTCTTTCTTTTTTCTCTTATCCTAGTCTTAAATTTAACCTTGTCCATTCCCGGACGAGCCGCTGGGTTGTAAGACCACAACAAGTACTTAACGTAGTTTTGGAGTGGGAGGGGCATTTTGGTCTTTGCGACATCGTTCGTCACCCGTTCCAGAATCTGTGTTTTCAAAATTGTTTGGTCCATTTTAGAGCCTTCTTTTGATTTCATTTTAGGAAGCTTATTGCAATTTTTGTTTAGATTTTGAGAAAGAAAAATTCTCCGATTATTTTGAAGTTTCTTTATTTTTCTTCTGAAATCGCAATAAACGAAAAAAAGAATTGACAAACGTTTGCTTTGACTTGCGACGGTTCAAGCTCTTCGTACGGAATTTCACCACCAGTGAAAATTTCGTATAAAAGGTTCTAAAAAAGAATATAAAGAAAGAACGAAAAAAAAGAGAGTTAGAACTTACTCCGAACGTATAACAGTCGGTTGCTGGGGTAAATATGAATCTGGACAAGTTTTCCGGGGCGAGGTACCTTGTTGGCAGTAACTCGGGCTCATTCATACGATATGAATCCCCGTTAACGCATCTATCTAGATTGGAGATCTTGAGCTGAAGGTCAAGAATTGACTGTCCGGTCTTCTTTTTCATCTCAATCCAGACCTTGAAATCGGCGGTGAGAGAGCAGTTTCGCGCGCCGATGTCCCTGTGGATGAGTTTCATTTTATGTAGGTATCCGATTCCATTCGCCGCATCAAATGCGAACCTCATCAACTGCAGGATGCACGTCCGCTCGAAATTCGCGATGAGCCAGTTATCAAGAAACCCGCCTGTAAGGAAAAAGGAATCAACGACCTTTGAGGATTGAATATTATTTTTGCTGTCTAATCAGTTTTTCATCTCCATTCGTGATTAATAGGAACATTTTTCATTGGATAAATAATGTGTAGGGATAAACATCCCCTATAACGGCGAAAGCAAGGTGATCCCTTTAGGGTCTGATCCAGTAGCCCTCAAAGCTTAAGGGGCCCCTTTAGGGGTCTTTCAATTTATTCAAAAAACGCTTATTTATTCAGTTTTTCGCATGGAAGTGCTTCTTCACATAGAGGTCATGAAAATTATCGACTAGCATGTCCCCTATAGGAGTCACTAACTGAAAACTCTATAGCGACCGCTTTTTTTTAATCCTAAGGAGTCCTATAACGGTTGATAAAGTGGACCCTTAAGGGATCCTCCAAGGGTCCCTAAAGTTGCCCCTATAGGGACTACTGTGGGAGTTCCTGTTGCAGTTTTACGAGTTGAATAATTTCGTCTTCAAAAGCATCAAAAAACTTCTTTTTTTCAACTACTTCAAATTTTATTTATTTAATTTTTTGAGTTAAATATGTAGTAAAAAAATAATTTCATTATTCGAATTCACTTTTTTTCAAGGGAGAGTTTCTTTGTCGCAATAGCTCTCAAACTTTTCTAGCAAATTTCTTGTTTTTTGCATCTCTTGTTCCCTGAGCAGCACTCACCGTCCATAGCCTCAAAAACCAACATGAGAGGATCTTCGAAGATTTGCCACCCGATCAATCTCACAATGTTTTTGTGGCGGAGTTTCATCAAAACTCGGGCTTTCTCGAAAAACCTTTTCTTTGTACCTTCGAAATATGGATCCTCGAATTTCAGCTGAAAGTAATCAATCTGTTTGAGCATCACGCATTCGAATTAACTCACCATTTTCACAACAGCGCGGATATCCGGTTTCTCGAGGTACACGACGTCCGCGTGTAACGTCTCGGAGAAGCTGCCTTTCTCGAGCTAAAAAAGTTTTTTCGTTTGTCAGCTTGTTTTGCAACTTCTCATGTGAGTTTATGCTTTACAAATCATGACCTTGACCAGTTAGAAGGAGGAAAATCACCAGTAAAAAACGCTATTCAGGTAGCATTACCTTAAGTTTCAGCTGATTTTCATAGGATAAGATTTTTTTTTTTTGATCCTTCTATGATTGCCTTTCCTTATTTGGTTGAATTTCGGCTCATCCCGATTGTCAAATAGCCCGTCGAAACTCACTTTATCCAACAGCGTAATCTGAAGAGGCCTCAGTACGAAATCATTCGTTGGTATGCCTCGCAACAGGTTGATATTCAACATTTCCTGAAACTTCGGATTTTTTAAGATATAATGGTTTCGAAGGTGGTATGAAAAAACACCAGCGAAAATTCGAACGGCGACTTTTCCGATTTTTTCATATCGCTAAGGAACTTTCCGACGAATCTTTTTCCGACTTTTTTCCCTTATGTTTTTCGGTTTATAAAACATCTATAAAAATTTTTTTTCCTATTTCTTTGTGTCCTAATCATGAACCAACTACTTAATTTATATAGGAAGATTTAAAACGAAGGTTTTATCGAGAAAAAAGTCGGAAAAAGATTCGTCGGAAAGATGGCCGTCGGAAAGTTCCCTAGCGAAAAAATCGGAAAAGTCGCCGTTTGAATTTTCGCTTGTGTTTTTTTTCATACCACCGTTTCGAAAGCCGGTCGGCTAGCCGCCTTCATTCTCTTCAACCAAATGTTTAATTAAAAACATAGAAAAGATTTTTTTAAAGCTGGACTCATTTATAACCAAGTAAAAAATTTTTCTCTGTCGTTGCATTCTTCTTTTTTCTATCATGAATTTGATACCTTGTGCGGATGTAATATGTAATAGATGAGAAAGTCCGCCAGAGTCTTGAAAATTTTTTCTCCTTCCATGTAGACGCCGATTTCGTTTTGATAGACGCGGTAATGTTTTATTTCGATGCGCGGCTTCTTGCCTGGAATATATTTTTCGTTGTAATTAGAGCGAAAACCAGAGCTGGATTTTCAAATTGTTGTATGCGGAAGCAATGAAGATTTCCTCAAAAGGGATGTCATTTTACTTCGCCGTTGATAATTTCCTGTATCTTGGCCAAAAAACTTCTCAATGTACTAATGGAATATTCTGGGAGTTTCAACCTGCAAAACTTCCTAGTTTTCGACAAGAAATGGCTTGAAGTTCCGAAAATGGAATTTTGAAGGTTATCTTTTACTCTGAGGTGTTCTTTCTGAAAAAACTAGGAATTTGTGCACGTTAAGACTATTTTTTCTTACATCCAGAAGTAATCTGTCCAATTTTAAGCAAAATCCCAACCGCAAAGTAAAATGAACTTTCTGGTCAGTACAAAAAGAAACATAATTTTTTGATTTTAAAGCTTATACTTATGTAATTTTTTTCTCTTAAAATGATATTTTTACATCGGTTAGCGAACGGAAACGGAAGATTGGACTGTAAAAAGGTTTGAAAATCGTTAGTATATTTTTGAGAAGTCTCGAAAAACCCGGAATTCCGCCCATCTTTGGGAGCGCGACAATAAAAAAATTTTATTAAAATTCGGTATAATTTCGGTCAGCCTTGGACTTGATGCCCGTGGTAGCTTCGATTTTTTTAAAATTAATAATTTTTCGCCCTGACTTCTTCACTTTGAGAAGTAGTCATGGTTATAGCCGATTCACGGCTAACTTGGGACGCTTGAGGGGCGTGGCGTGTCTGCGCTCTCCACCAACAAGGCACTGTCTCTTTGGTGGTATGAAAAAAACACTGGCGAAAATTCAAACGGCGACTTTTCCGATTTTTTCATATCGCTAGGTAACTTTCCGACGGCCACCTTTCCGACGAATCTTTTTCCGACTTTTTTTCTCAATAAACTTTTCATTTTAAATCTCCCTATATAAAGTAGGCAAGTTATTCATGTTTAAAACACAAAGAAATAGAAAAAAAAACAATGTTTATAGATGTTTTATAAACCGAAAAGCATAAGGGAAAAAAGTCGGAAAAAGTTTCGTCGGAAAGGTGGCCGTCGGAAAGTTCCCTAGCGAAATGGAAAAATCGGAAAAGTCGCCGTTTGAATTTTCGCTGGTGTTTTTTTCATACCACCGTCTCTTTTAGTTTGGTGTCAGGACATATTTTTTTCGATGGCTCAAGTCAGCCATGAATCAGCTATATCCGTTTTTTTATAACAAGTTAAATCGTAAAAAAATTTTTTTCCCTGTCGAAATTTATTATCAAAAAAACTCATGAATGAAAATACTCCGCTTTTTTAATCTTCAAAATCCTTTGAAGCGTTGATTTTTCGATTTTCTTCGAAAAAAAAAAGATAGGCACCTTTGGTCTTTCCCCGTACAGCAACCGAAAACAGAAGAAATGTCCGGCCGTGGCCTGAAAAATTATTCGTTTGGATAAACATCACTTTTTTTTACAAACGTTCGTTTTTTCTGAGGAGGTAATCGCCGGATTTTTTCAGAACTTTCCGGAGTTGCATTTCAGGCAAGTAGCTTAAGAAATAAATTGATTTTATTTTCCAGATGGATAGGATAATTTTTACCCATGGAAATAAGCGAAATAGTTGAGGAACTCATCGTCGTCAATCTCGGTTTCGTCAGAACTTTCGGAATCAGCCGACTCTTGGGTTTGATCTGTGAGAACATATTATATCAAAGAAGAACAAAGTTCGCACTTTCTCAAGAAAGTCTTTTTAGTTCTCTACTTAATAAATCCGGCTCTTTTTTCGCGTTTTTTTTCGGTAGTTTTTATCTCCTTCTTTTTTCATGTAGAGTTTGATTGTAAGAGATACCGATAAAAAATATATTTTTGAAGTTATTTGAAAGAGATAGTCCGTTTGATGCGACTTGACATGTTTAGAGTATCTGCGTCTGTCTGTTCTCTCACCGGCGAGACCAGAGAAACGAAAAAATAGCAACTCAACTTGAGAGGGTCGCCGAGAGACAAGGAGGGCGAAGAGAAATCATCCCCTCTCTCCTTTCATGTCACGGAAAACGACTATAGTATGCTTTTTGAATGTCAAGCCATCGCCCAAACTCAGCCCCTTATGCGTAGCCTATTCATGTTGTTGGGGCGGAGTTTTCTGCTATAAATTCAAAACCTAATCAGACTACATACTGTACTTAGCGCATTTTGAGTATTATACAAAAAATCTCCTCATTTTTTGATTTATTATCCACTTTCCTGTTGAGGTTTCTGATTGAGAATCTATTCAAATTACTTACCTTCATCTCTTTCCTCTTTCAGTGTCTCAGAATCGGTCGGGGTTTTTCTCCCGAAAATCTCCGAGAGAGCGCCTTCTTAAGATATAGCCATATTTAAAAAATATAAAATGAAGGGAAAGGTTTTCTCATCTTGAAAGAGAATTTTCGTTTTTTTTTTTCTCAGTCTTTTTCCGCGAGTCTCTTACTCTATTTCAGCTCTTCAAGCTGTGAAAAATCCTGACCAGAAAATTCTAGTCTAGCATGATCCGAACGACTTTTTACCCAGTCAGCAACTACAATAAAGGAAATAGCAGTTACTCAAAATTGGAAAGGGGAGGAAAAGAATGTAGTCATTTTTGGACTCATCTTGAAACCATTACATATAATGTGAAGAGAGAAGTTTGAAGCTTACTTATGGTCTCCAATCCAAATCCAGTGGCTTTCGTGGCAGCCGGAACTACGGTGGCCTCCTCCGGACGTCCTGTAATTCGATTAAATGAAAAAAAAACTTTCGACAGTTAGGCTGAATTGAAAAAAAGGTCACCATATTCCAGCCTTTTAAGTCACCTCTTAATTTTTTTTAAAGTCCAAACACGTTAATTGCTGCTCGACTTCGCTACAAGCTCGTAGGAAGATATGAGAAAAGTGACCACAAGTTTAACTTGAGTTGAACCTCATTTCTGATTCTTACAGGGTTGTGCAACTAGTGAATTAAGAACTTTAGAAGTAAACTTCGAAAAACAGAGTTAAACAAAAACTCTTTCACTTTTTATTCAAAAACACTCAATAGCGTTCGTGCTATACACCACTTCACCTCAAAGTACAGCATTTACCGACTATCTTGTTAAAAAAAAAGTTAGGATAGTTGAACAACTATTAGTCACGTGTGTTCGGACCACCTAAAAATAATTTATTTATAAAGATTCAGTTCAAAAATGCTTCCGTTTTTCGGTGTTTTTTTGTTATTTTTTTAACGTTGGCTTCAAATTAACAATAATTAAACTTTTTAGGCACCGTGGAAATTTTTTTATTTTTATTTTTTTAATTGATTGAAAATTGAGATACGCTATTATTTAGAAAATAAAAAAAGGCGCCAACGACATCTGACCATGTTAAAATGAATTTCGAAATTTTTCACTGTCTATTTTTTTCTCAGAAAACAAAGTTTTTCGAAATGAGTTTTATACTAATAAAGTTTTTAGTTAAAATTTAATCCACAAGTTAAAATAAAATTTGTTTACTTACACGCTCTCGAAACTGAGTACAAAATTTTCAACTTCGCGCGGCCTCACGAAGATTAGGCATCGTAGAAATTTTAATTTTTTTGTCTTAAAAGATTTGTTTTTCACTTAAAAATCAAATTCGAAAATAAAAAAAGGCGCCAACGACAGGGAACTAAGTTAAAAACCCGAAGAAAAAAAAATAGTTTTTGCCGTGTTCAAAGTAATTTCCGCGAAATGCGAAATTGTCTCTGACCCTCCAAATGTTAGTTATCTTTCTCTTTCTCTGACGGCTATTTTGTATTTCGCGGAATCACTTTGAACACGGCATTTGGTTTTTTGTACGACACTCCGCTAAAACGCTTCGAAAATCGGGTGAAAAGTATATGAGATTAAAGAGGAAGGTTTTCTCTATTTTTCTCCCAACTTTCTCCGTTTTCGGTTCAGTACTGCGTTTGTACGAAAGCAACGAACACAAAGTCGAAAAAACCAGTGCATTTCACCATCGCAAAAAGGGGCGTGGCTTTGCGGTCTCTAACTATAGCCACAAAAATGTTCCAAGTGGTCACTTGAGAAAGAAAGGAAAACGGCTCACCTCTAATCAAGTTTCACGAATTCGCATATTTCATAAACTTATAAATTTTCTAGCATACTACTACTTTTATAGACAAAAATCGACAGATAAATTTCATTCAGGATCTAGGTCTTCAGAAACACTAGAAAATAGTTTGATTTATACCTTCCGATTCCGTAGAATATCGCGTGGATTCAAAGAGGTCGATCATCGCCATCACGACAGCAAATTAAGTGTTTTCAAAAATGAACTTTTTATGAAATGCACGTGTCGTTGCCACGTTAACTTTGCTTTGATTCGTCATTTTATTATTCTCATTTCTTCATTTCTTTCCCACGTTTTTGCAACCTTTTAATGAACCTGGCGTTAACTTTATTTTAACGAAAAATGAAATGATTGCGTCAAAGATAAGAGGCGTCATCTGGAATGAGCTCGTTATGAGCTCATTTACTATCGACACGGACGCGATGAGTCGCCTCCTTGGAGGTGAGCTCTCTCTCCAGCTTCTTCTCTGCTCGGGACTGTGGCGGGACTCTGCTCCCGCGCGGGAGCCGTGAGGAAAACCTTAGGATGCTTAGATTATATGTCATTTGCAATTAATTTAGAGTAGTTCGGTCGAAAATGTTATTCAATTCTTGCAAACACCGCCTGTTTGACTAAGCAATCAGCTTTCCACTTTTTGAACATAAGGATCAAAACTAGAACAAGAAAAACTCGAATCTTTTTTTGAATGCCAGAGTCCTGCAGTCTTGAGCATCTTCCTGAGTTTAATGGGATTTATTTCTATAATGCGCCTTCAAAACTTCAAAAATATGAATAACTCTCATACTGGTGGGGTGAAAATTAAAACAAAAAAAAACTCGAATCTTTTTTTCCGAATAATTTTTTTTTCCAAGAGATGAGCTGATCATGATTATAGCTGATTCACGGCTGTCTTGAGTCATCGAAAAAAGAGTCCTGACACGATAATGTACGAGATAGCACCATGCTCGTGGGGAGCGCAGACAGAACACGCCCCCCTAGCGTCCAAGCTAGCCGCGGCTCAAAAATATAGCTGATTCACGGCTAGCCGTAAATCAGCTATATTCTTGCTTTCGACTTTCTGTAAACCGCCTTCCCGAAGCTTCACAAAAATTATATCAAAAGTGTCTCAACATTGTTTTTTTTACAGCGCTCACTATAACTTGCCGTAAGAAGCGATGTTTTTTTGTTTGGAAGATTTCATCGTACCAGTGCGCCAGTTTGCCTGCTGAAGGTGCGTTTAGAGACTGATTTTATTTTAATTGATTGAAATTTTCAGAGAACGTCTTGAGAGGTCGACGTGGAAGAAGTCATCGGAAAACGCGATCTCACCGGACCTCGATCCCCCTCAATGCACTGAGAATTTGATCCTCTCAAGACCATCACCATACTCCACGCCCCGCATTGTTCATAAACACAGAATAAATTTTATTATTTTTTGACTCGATTTTTGTTTGAATGTCTTTTCCAAGTCGGGTATACAGTTCCATCATATTTGCATTTTCACGGGCATATAGTAGTAATTCTTGGAAGAAGGAAAAATGTTCGAAGGTCATGTCGGAAAAATGAAAAGATTGTCAAGGTGTTGTTCGAAGTATGGCAGTGATTTAGCGGAAATTTTCAGTGTTGTTCTGGGACTGTTCCAATGATAAAGATTTGCGAGATCTCGAAAGTTTTCTCGAGAACAGTGCCAAAAGATTCGGAGTTTGAAAAAAAAATTATTTGATTACGTCAAAGATATGAAAATATAATTTTTTTCATTTTAATAACGAACGATTTTTCTTCCTTGGGAACTAATTTATCATCAAGGAGGCCGCAATGAGAAGTCTCTGGGAAAGTGAGCCTTTTCCTAATTTTTATTTAATTTACAATTTGAATTCAAGGAATTTTCGTCCAGGGAAAAACTTAGAATTATATCTCCAACATTTTTTGTGAAGTGATGAGTTTATTTGGAACAGTCGGAATGTCCAAACCTTAATTTTCAAAAGACACTTATATAAACTTTCAAAGACATTTTATCACTTTTCATTTTTTTTTTCAGTCAAGTCAATAACGTGCCGAAAGAAACGAATATGTATCCTGGTCGTAATTTTATCATGCTGTAGCGCCGTTGTTTCCGCTGGAGGTTTTCTTTTTTGGTTTCTGTTCTGAACTATGTTAGACTTGAAAGAAAAAAGAAGATAGAGCTTTTTTTACATGTTGAATCATGGCCGGGCCTGCCTAGCCTGCGCTTCGGGCCTTCATTTCAAAAAAAAGCCTGCGCGGGCTCGGGCCAGGCCGGCCTTCGAAAAAATAACCTTTATTTCATTAAAAATATTTCACCGAAAAACTGTTTTTGCATGTTGAATCATAGTTTCTGATAACTCTATGAGGAAAAATAAGCAAAAAGACCACTTTTCTCGTTTAAAAGGCGAAAAGTTCAACAAGAGGAAAGTTTGAGCTTTTTGGACCGGGTCGTCCATTTTTGCTTGAGGCCCTTCTAAGGCCCAATTTCTGAGAAGAGCTTGATTGAATATTTGATTTCAAGCTAGAAAATTTTCAGATGACTGCTGCAAAAGATCCATGTGGGCATATCCTTCGGGAAATGCCATCCCACCGGAGTGCGAGCTCCTTAATTGCACCGAAGGATCGATCCACATCGAAAATCCCAACCCTTCACATCCACTCGTTTTGGATTTTCTGTCAAGAGCCACAAAAACCGGCTCCATCACCATAATAAACGGCCCATATTTTGGAATAAACAACACGAATTTAGAAGAAATTGTTCACAACGGTCCCGGTAGGTTTTTTTTCGGAAATTATTATTTTTTAGTATACCTTTGGACCTCAATCTTCATAGGCTACAAATTTTGAATGTCAAATCGTCGCCCAAGCCTCGCCATTTATGGCGGGATGAGCCAATAAAAGAGCGAGCCATCCATAGAGCCTTTTTTAAGTGACGTCATTCTACCTGAAAGCAAAAATCTGAACATTATATAGAACGTTTGAAGCTGGAGAGGCCCGAAATTATTCCGCAAAATTCGAAATTTTCTCTGATTCTCTAAAATTTATTTGTCTTCCTCCCTATTTGACCGCTCGTAGAGAAATTTTTAAAAACACATAAGTTTTTTTATATTATCCTTTTTTTCATTCAAGTCATCTTTTTCTCTGAATTTACCAATTAAAAAAACGAGTTTTTTTATATTTTTTTATTAAGAGTGATTAACGAATCTTTTTGTCTAAAAAAACGCAGATTCATCTTATTTTTTTATGTTCTATTATACATTTTCCAGGTCCCGCTATACACCTGAAAGATTCGGGTCTCGACGCGATGACAGCCTTTCCGAATTTGAGCAGAATAACAGTGAAAGATCCTCTTCGTTATTGCGAAAATTGGGATCTTTTGGTTCTCGATGAACCGAATGATCAAGGTTCGTGGGATTGGCTGGTGACCATTGCGAATGAGGTGGCGATTATCGGATTTTTCAATTTGTTGAGTTTGATTTTTTAAAGACTCTGAAAGTTTGTAACAATCCGACGACTACAACGGCCGCTTTTTCGTCTACTTCTCAAAAACCCGTGGCTTTCGAGCCCGCTTCGAATGCTACGAAACTCGACGAAAAGGCCGAAAAACGCCCGAAGAGTTGTGTCGATTGTAAGTTTAGAAGTGTTATAAGCTCAAAGTGAATTTTCCTTCATTGGACGCGGTTTTGAATTCTGATAAAAATATAAGCTTGAAAAATGCCTAAAAGGGTTTTTATTTTACGAAACTAGCTTTTCCGATTGAAACTGAGCTCATTTTCAAATGGTGTAGCCGATTCCGCAATAGCTTGTCAAAGACAAAATTTCTTGCAATTATTTTATTTTCGAGTTACGACGCTTCAAAAAATTTTACAAACGCATTTTTTCTAGTTTGCGAAAACCAATGATTCATAACTTTACTATGAGGCGCAATAAAAAAAATTTTCTGTTTTGGAATGAAATCAGAATATTCTAATGGCCTTCAGCGTAATTTCAATTAAACCTCTGACCGGGGATTCAAAAACCTCTCCTTTTTAGGTATTTAAAAAAAACTTTTTCAGTTGAAATTCCACTTTTCTAGTGATTTTATACTCATCAAAAGTCCCATCGTATAGTCTGTTCAGTTTTTGAATGTCAAGTACAATGACGTCGTTCGAGAACGCTCTATGGATGGCTCGCTCTCTGATTGGTTTATCGCGCCATTAGGGGCGGAGCTTAAGCGATGACTTGACATTAAAATCTGAACAACCTATAAATCGAAACCATTCCGTTATATTCAAGTTTTTTCATTGTTGGAATTTTCAGCCAAAATACTGATCGCACTTGTAGTGGCGATGGTCGTGCTCCTTCTCGCCTTTTTGCTCGTCTTCTCCTTCGCCTTGGTTCTTTTCATCTCGCGACGTCGACAAAACGCCAAGATCGCCTCGCAGCGTAAGAAAGAAATAAACTAAAACAAGGAATCGCTATAGCGTTTCAATTGGGATTTCCTGATAAATTTGCTCAAAATGTATTTGATGAATTGGAAATGAATCCGAATAGTGGCAAACTAGGCAAACTTTTAGTTTAGGAAATTATTGATTTTGGTAGAATGAGAATTGAACTTTCGGGTCAGGAGAAAATTGAGCATAAACTTTGGAATTTCGAATAATTTCCGTTTTCCAAAAAGGGCTTTTCTGGACTTTCCTTTTTGATCAAAAAAAAAGATCTTACCTTTTTTTTCGATATTCCGATAATGTTATAATTTCGATACTCGTATACTTTATAAGGAAAATGTGAATCAATACATTTTCACAAAAATTCGAAAATGGCAAAAAGAAAGATTTTGAAATTTTCACAAGAAGGACTAATCGGACTATTGGTACGAAAATTCTTCAGATTTTGGTAATTTTTTTCTATTTCTGTGAGAAAGTTCTATTTTTCGTATGTAAAATGGCAATATAAGCGAAAAAAACAAAAAAACCTTATAAAACCTCAATGAAAATAGGATCTTGGGGGGTTTTTGAGATTTCCTATTGACTTCTGAATGAGACTAGGTTCACTATAGGCAGGTTTTCAGGCTGATTATGAATCTGATCTTAAAAACTGCCACGGACGTCTCTGAGAAAAGTTAGGAGCGCTCAAAAGTTTCAGAATACGTTTTTTTTCCATTTTTGATCTGAATTTTATAAATTTCCTAGAGAGAGGTCAAAAAACTACGTTAGAATAACTGCGAATTTCAAAGATAATTTTAATATACAATTCTTGATAAACAATTGCAGTTTCGTACGCGACCCAAATCATGAACTTGATGATTAATGTACAAGCGGGAAGGGACAGAATAATTTGTGAGTTTTTCAAAGGTCATTTCCAAGTTTGTATTGTTCTTTTTTCAGTGGAAACGGTCAATTCGGACGCGGTCCAAGTGATAGCCCAAAAACTAGGTGAATTTCAATTTTTGATAGTAGTCCAGGTTTTTTTTTCCATCACATGAATAGATTTTGTAGGGAACTAGCGCTGATATCTGAAAAAAATTGGAAGAAAAAATATTATAAAGTCTTTGAAGAAGAAAAGAATCGAGTTCTTTGGATAACACACAAAAATCTTTTTGAATTGACTATATAGCTGATTCACGGCTGGCTTGAGCCATCGAAAAATGGGTCCTGACACGATGAGAAGAGAGACAGTGTCTGGTTGGTGGAGAGCGCAGACAGGAAACGCCCCTTTAGCGTCCCAAGCTGGATGTAAATCAGATATATAGAAAATCTTTATTCTGAATTCTGTTTTTTTTTTTCTGACCAAATTCTGCAAAGCTCCCTTTTATCCAAAAAAAAATCTCAAAGTCAAAGCTCTGTGAAAATTTTTAAAGTTAAGCTTTTTCAGATGAAATAAGCCCTCCTTCTCTCAAAGAAAAAAAAAAACTAACAAGTGTATTCTTCGGCAATACATTTTAAAAATCTTCATTTAGCTTTTTCTGAATTTCAGTGAGAAAAGTCGGCTCTTGGCAAACGATGACGTCGACGCGCCTGTCGAAAATCAAAGCCGATCAGCCCTTGGATCCTCAGAAGGACTTTAATTTCCCCGAGGGGAAGTCTCTCCGAACACAAGACGTCCTCGCAATATGTGCACCTCGTCAGCAAACCGCCGAATATACCGAAGCTTTGGACAAATACGAAACAATCCTCAAAGCCCACAAAGCCGGCCGGAAGTACTACGAAGCGCCGAAAGACACATCAAGGATATCGGAGACGCGTCAGAGCAATAAGAAATTGGCCAAAGTTTTGAAGAAGCTCGAGCCGAGAAGACAACCGGCAGTCCCGCCGAAAAATCGCCCCAAAGCCGGCGAAGATCTCGTCGAGAAAAAGAAAATCGATCCCTTGGTGAAGCCCATCGAATCGGTCAACAAGGAGAAATGCAAGCCGTTGGTTTTGTCGACGGAGCCTGGGTTTAGAGCGAAGTTCGATCCCAACTACAAAGCTCTCCGTGAGTTTTATACTTCTGGCAAGTGGATTTTAATACTCGGAGGCATACGTCGGCTATATCCCACTTCCGGGGTGCGGCCTACCCCCCGAAAAGTGCGGCCTACTGGGAAAAGCTGTCTCGAAGGACCATTTAGGGGATCCTATAGGGGTGCAGTAGGGGTCCTTCAGTATACCTCCCTAGAGGGACTTTTTTCACCCTATAGGACCCACTACAGCTTTTCCCAGCACTTCAGTATTTTTCCAATTTTTTTGCATGCAAAAGGCATCCAGCTGATATATGCTCGGAGGGAAAATAAAAGTAGAGCCTCTCCAATTTTTGATTAGTCTCATTGCCCGCTCGTTTTCTAAGGGTTTTTAAATTTTTTTACTTTCCAAAGTTCGGAAATTTGGAACTCTGAGGATCACTGAAAAAGTTCTCAAAAAAACGGTATTTTTTTGAAAAAAAATTACAACTTTGCTCGGAATGGTCCAAAAAAAGATGAAAATTGATATTTTTTTCGATCTTCTAATTTATTACAATGGTTTTTCGATATTTTTTTCAGCTTTATCATGGCTTTTTTTCGCTTTGAGGCCTGTAAAAGGAAGACTAGTGAAAAAAAGAATTTTTTTACCAAAAAAATTTGAAAAGCTGAAGTGGAATAATTTTAATAATTCGGAGTTTCATGTCATAAAAATTGGAAGAAGTTTTTCTGTTTTTTAATTTTTCAACTTTTACTTTTTTTCACAAATGAGTTTCTGAAAACTTCAAGAATTCCTCTGGAAATTTTTTTAAAGAGTATATTTTTCCAGACGACAATATGACGATTCTCGGACTTCTCTGCGATCAGATGCAGAATTTTGTTGAAGTTCACGGGGAAGGTTCCTAAAAACGAGTACTCAATAAGAAAATGAGGATTTCAAGTTCTGACTGTTGTGAAGACGGTCGTGGAACAGACGGCGGCTTGGAACGTGGCCCGCGCTTTGGACTATGCTCAGAAAGATAGGAAGTACCTGGCAGGGAAGGTCAGACGCTCGCCCTTAGACATACGGGATGCGACTGGCAAGATTGCCAGTCAGGCCGTCTTAGATCCGACCAGTTCGTTTTAGACAGCTCGAAAATGGTTTTTTGAATCATTTGTAGACAATGAAGAAAAAAAAAGGTATAAAGATCTAGTTGAAGAATTAAAATCTTTCGCTATGTTAAGCGACAATGTTCCTTTAATAGTGCTACATTTTCCGATCTTTTCGTTCAAACCATACCCGATGGACAGCAGCCATCGAAAAAGGGTCCTGACACGATCACAATGAAAAAAGAGATAGTGCCTAGTTAATGGAGAGCGCAGACAGTGCCCCGTCCCTCACAGTCTCAAGCTAGACGTGAATAGACTATAACAGTTAGAAGAAGGATTCAAAGGATGTAGCGCTATTAAAGGATCATCGTCTTGCGCGATATAGTCCGTTTTTCGCGACTTGAAAAAGGCGCGACTTCTCTGCGCCCCTCTCATGTTGACGTACTGTTTTCACGTTTCTCTGACCTCCACGGTTAGGGAACTTAAACACGCGAAAACTGCCAAGTCGCGGCGGACGGACTGTAAAACATTGACGCTAAAGATGTGGCGGACGGAGCTTCTGCACATTGAAATTCCGAACAGACTATATCTAGTTCTGTAACTTCGTTCTCGCATTATTTTAAAGGAGGAAGATGCCTTTAGAGTTAATTCACAAGCATTTTTTCATGAAGGTTCAAAAAAATTCTCGAAACGATTTGTGAAGGAGCAAAAGAAGATGGTCCTCATAAATGATTCTCGCCTGCCTTACGCCATCGAAAAAAGGGTCCTGACGCGATAAGAAAAGAAATAGCGCCTATAGCCTGTTCAGATTTTTAATGTCAAGTGCAATGACGTCATTCAAAAACACTCTGTGGATGGCTCGCTCTCTGATTGGTTTATTGCACCATTATGGGCGGAGCTTGAGCGAAAACTGGACATTCAAAATCTGAACAGACTATAGTTGGTGGGGAGCCTAGACAGGCCACGCCATTTTACTTTCCAAGCTAGCCGTGAATCAACGTTATCCTAACCATTTCTCGCTTTTTTTTAAGTCAGCTGTAACTTATAATTTAGTAGAAAAATTAGCGAATTTTCATAAAATAAGTGCTGGGACGATGATAATTGGTAAGACTGTAAACTCATATTTTTTATTAATAAGCTTGTGAGAATGAAATTTGCATTGTTAGCACATTTTCGAAAGCCTGAATATAGCTGATTCACGGCTGGCTTGAGCCATCGAAAAGCGGGTCCTGACACGATAATGCACGAGATAGCGCCTTTCTCGTGGAGAGCGCAGACAGGCCACCCCCCTTAGCGTTTTAAGCTGACCGTGAATCAGCTATACATCATAGCTGTATAGTCTGTGTACCACGACTTAGAATTTCACGGAACGACATTCCGCTGATCCGCTGCGCGCCTTTGCGAACCTTGGACGCGCCTTTAAGTTTTTTTTTTCTTTTATGAAGGCAATCTACTTTAATGTGCTCCCACAGCAATAACAATCAATTGAGAGCGTGACCTAGATTCGAAAGACGCTTCGCGAACGCACGCAGCGGAATGTCGTTCCGGGAAATTTCAAGTCGTGGCACACAGACTATAATACCCTTCGAACTTTTTTTTTGAATTCGTTTTTTCAAGTAGATGAAAATTCACTAGTTTTTAGACATTTTTAAACTCTACTTCATATGAAATCACACTCTCCAGTGTTCCACAACGACTTTGTCGAGCTTCTCGAAAAATGCCCTCCCGAAGACAAGAAGCTCCTCGGAATGCTCGAAGAAGAGAACAAAAATCGGGCTCTGCGACTTGCCGCCGCTGGCAAAAATTACGCTCTGTACCATAATGGCTAGTTTTTTTTAAGAAGTTCCGAATACACTATACTTGTAGCTCCTTAACTTGAAGATCTCGAAACAAGAAAAAAGATTTTCAGTTCGGACAAAGTTGGGCGACGCCGTCTTGCCCGGCGAAACACTGGCCGACGCCAATAAACGGCATTATTGTAAGGATTTCGTTTTTGAAGGCATTTTCTAGCCGATTTCTGAAGATTTGCTTCGGATTTTCAAATATACTCATAAAACGGCGCATTGATTGAGAAAAAAAAACTCAACTTTAAATCTCGCGTCAAAAAATTCACTCGGAAAAATCCAATTTTCAATTCGCGCCTCTACTTAGGAACTCCAGAGTGATCCCTATTGGGTGAACCTTAGGACCCCTCCCCTCTAGGGACCACTTTACCAACCGCTATATGGACCACTAAAGATCACCTTGATTTTACCCCTATAGGGACCACTTTCTCGGATCCTATAGGAGCTGTTTCCCCCGAACCTCTATAGTGATCACTTTAAAATTCTTAAGAGCCGTAAATTTGTAGCTGATTCACGGCTGCTTTGGGCCATCGAAAAAAAAGTCCTGACACGAAGAAAAAAGACAGTGCCTGGTTGGAGGAGAGCGCAGACAGGCCACGCCTCTTTGGGCCCAATGCTACCCGTGAATCGGCTTTACCGAAATTGCATACCGTAATATACTTTTCACAGGCAGTCATATATAGATGGCTCACGGCTGGCTTGAGCCATCGGAAAAGGGTTTTGACACGATAAAAGAAAAGATAGTGTCGAGCTTGTGGAGAGCGCAGACTGGCCACGCCTCTAAGGGTCCCAAGTTAGCCGTGAATCGACTATAAAGCTTTCTTTCCGGAGGTGTGGAAACGATATAAAAGTTTGGATCGGAAAAAAAAATGATAGAGGAACGTAAATTGACTTTTTGTTTAAGTTGAAGTTTGTTTGTTTGTTTTTTCCCGTCTTAGCCTGTCCCGACTCTGGGGGTCAAGTAGAATGATGTCATTCCAAATCGTTCTGTAGATGACTCGCTCTTCGACTTTTTTATCGCTCCATAAGGGGGCGGAGCTTGAGCGACGACTTGATACAAAATCTGAACAGACTTCTTCTTCTTCTTACGCCTTTGTACCGCTTGAGCGGCGTCGGCGCCCCAAGTCGATTAGCCGAGGTCCTATCCTGATGATAATCAGTGGACTGGCTCCAGTGACATATCCGTCTTTGTGTGTGACGGCTGGGGATTATGAAGTCGTGGTTTCCCACTACCAACATTCCTTAAACCCCTTGGTTGGGTCAGGGCGGGGATCGAACTTGTGACCCTGTGGACCGTAGACAGGCACACAACCTGTTGCGCTACGGCGCGCCCCAAAATCTGAACAGACTTCACTTGATTTATATCTAAAAGGAAAAAAAAATTTCAAGTAGACCGCTGGGAACTGAAGAAACTCTAGGAGTTGGTATCAGCTTTTTAAAACTCATTCCTTACTAACCGTTTTCCTTTGAAACAGTTTTGAAAGAAGGCTATTTTTCAGACGAACAAACACGCCTTCGAGAAATCGCCAGCCTCGTCGATGAACGGTATCATCGTAATCTTCCCAATCAAAGGCCGAAAAAAAGTTTCGTTGAAGAATACAAGTCACTAGATAAGGTGTTGCAAAAGAAGCCGAAGGAGAAGAAACCGAAAGAAAAACAAAATTCGAAGGTCAAAGCCAAGGGATCGAAGAATTTAAAGAAGGAGAAATCCAAGGACCTTACGAAAGAGAACAAGAAAAAGACGACAGACAAAGCAAAACTGAAAGAAAAGTCTAAGGACCCTTCTAAAGATAATCTAAAAAAGGCAAAAGACAAGGTAAACTTGAAGGAGAAATCCAAAGACCCTTCCAAAGATAACAAGAAAAAACCGAAAGAAAAGGCGGTCTCAAAGGAAAAGTACAAGCAGCCCTCTAGAGATAAAAAGAAGGAGCCGAAAGAAAAAATGGTATACAAAGAGCCCTCTAAAGATAACAAGGAAAAACCAAAAGAAACGAAGATTTCAATAGAAAAGTCAAAGGAGCCTTCTAAAGATAACAAGAAGGAGCCGAAAGAAACGAAGATTTCGATAGAAAAATTCAAGGAGCCCTCTAAAGATAACAAGAAGGAGCCCAAAGATAAGGCAACGTTAAAGGAAAGACCCAAGGAGAAAACTAAAGAGAAAGTGAAATCTAAAGATCAAGAGAAGAAGGAAAAACCGAAAGACGTTAAGAAGTCGATTTTGAAGGATTCGAAAGAAGCCCTCAAGAAGACAAAGAAATCGGAAGACAAGGACAGAAAATGAAGAACTGACTTTTCCTCTTCGATTCACTGTATCTTTTTTTTCGTTTTTAATTCAATTTCGCCCCATTACTTGAATGAGTTATGTGTTCCTTTTTAGGTCTTTCATTTTATTTTTTTCGGTTTGAGACATGTGAAAGGATATCGTTGATCGCCCTCGAACAAGGAGTATTTTTCCTAAAGAAACAGAAAATCTGACCTTTTCTCTCATTTAACTGCACTTTTTTTCACAGTACTATTAAATTTTGCGCCGATCTCTTTTGATACTTGAAGAATAAATGAACTTTTTAATTATTTTACTTTCAAGTTTTTTTTTCTGTTGTTTGATATACCAGTGAATATCGACACATGGCTTCTCGTGAACCATTTTTTTTTTCTCTTACGGTGTTTTTTGAGCTTAAGCAAGCTATCTTCGTTCTCAGAGCTCCGATGAAACTCTACAATAAGACTAATTTTTGAAGTTTTTGTCAGAGTTCTCAAAACGGGAAAAGTTTACCGCCATAAACAAAAAAGGTTTCTACTTCTCAACTTTTTACATCAATAACGTTTCGAATTTGCCTTTTTTTTCTCAAGATTATTGAATTTTATCCTGTTCAAAGTTGATATTTCTTTAAAAAAAACGCTTCTGCTCAAATATTTTTTTAAAAGAGTTCTACCGAGCCGAATCGCGCTACAAAGTAATAAAGAGAAAGTTTTTGAGAGTTCCAAGCTATTTTAGTTCAATGGAAAAATTTTCAGGAATTTTTTTCAAATGTCGCGGTTGTTTCCAAGAAGTTAAGAGGCCAAGAAAATGGAATTTTTGAAAATTTCGACAGTCAGTCCGGATTCCATCCATTGCTCCATTGTGCTGAGGTTGTTTCTCATTTTGAAATCATATCCATCTTTTTCATTTATTTTCAAAGATGGTCAGTATTTAAATAAACTGATCATTGGGAAAGAGGAAGAGAAGTATTCGTTCAACGGTGCGGTCTATTCACGGAGACTGGTTTCTATTTTTCTTTTCCATTCTGTAGGGATCCTTTCTTCAATGGCCCATCGTTAATCAGGTATAAACATACCAATAAATTGCTCGAAAAAAGTTGTTTCTTTTCGTTCAAGGTTCTTTTTAGCACGGTATTCCAGACTTCTCAGCCTCAAATAATCTTAAAGCGTATCTGGGCAGAAAATCTTTCCGAAAAATTTCACCTTTTTTCGTCGATTCTCTTCAAGATTACCCAACTTTATAACATCCTTATCACCTCACGACAATTCCCGCCAAACGCCAGCTCTCTTTCCAAACTTCACATTTTTCCCCTTCACATGATAGCTGAGCATAAGAAAACCTCCTTCTTGTGTAAAAATTCCCCATAATTTATTTTGTTTTTCATGAATGATAAGATGTTTGAGCGCAGACGTGAGATTACTTCCGTTGAGAGAAGACTTGGTCAGTAAATTCGAGTAAATTTGTGTTAGAAGAACGAATCCAGATCTGAAAATCGAAAGATTGAATGAACTCGGAAGAATAAGAATAACTGACCTTTTTGGCGGCACATTCTGAGAAAGTGTCAAATTCTCAAGCTGATTTTGTCGACGGCCTGAAAAAAAGGTCGAATTTATAAATAAACTGGGAGTCGAAGTTGCTAATTTTTAGCTTTTTATGAAAAATGTGCAACCCCCGATATTTTCGCGGTCTTTTTTACAGGGGGTTGCCTTAACAGGGCTGTAAAAACTTCAAGTGGTCATTTAAGAGAAGGGGGTTTGTGCTAATCGTTTCTGAAATGTCGTTTATAATAGAAAAAATGAAGTGTTTCTATGAAAACAGCTTAAGGTTGCTGAACTAAAAAGGGGCTTTTGGCTCACCACTTCATGTTGGAAAAGAGAAAAAAAGGTTTACCTCTCACTCCGTCGCGCTTCTCCTCAGCCACCCATCGCCAGTCGAAAACGAGTAAATGAGCTTCTTTGGACTTCAATCGCCACGTTGATTTTCTTCCTCTTTTCTTTTTTCCAAACAATTTTATCTTAGTTTGACATCTGAATGACGTATTCCAATGAACTTCGAGTTGAACTTAACGAGAAAAAATAGAAACGTCTAAAAGCTACCGTGATAGACGTTCCTATGAGAGTCAGTTTCTACTTAGCTGTCCGAAGGAGCGCCGCTGTCCGCTGGAGGCCGAACAACATCCTTTTATGCTTATAAGTGAGGATTTCAGGGCTTTGATGACCTTAGAGTCTTATTTATTCCTTGGAACTAAAAGAATAATATGAGATCTAGGGATTATTTTTCGCTTTGAGTTATTCCCTTGAAACTTGTATTCAAATTTAGACCAGGAACCAAAATGTAGATTTCGCGCTAATTGAACCTTTATCTCTCCAGTCCTGTTCTATAATTTTTCTATTTCTCATTATCCTCGTATGTGACTGCAAAGCTTCCTTGTCCGAAATCGAAGTCGCTCAGAAGGACTTCAATTTCAACTGTTCGAAACATATAAAAAAAACGTTTCAGCGCCGTTCAATCCTCCATCGAAAAACCATTTTCTCGTACTGCTCATGGAGGAAAGGCACTATGTCCACGGTCTTCGTGTAAGTTATTATTTTTAATTCGATTTTTGCAGTTCCTTACTCATAAATTTTAATTCAACGTTTTCAGGAGAAAAACGAAACGAAGACGAAACACGGTCCGGCGGCCACATTTCACCGATATTATTTTATTTAAAAAAATAAACTAAATAATTAGTTTTTGGTCCTTTGTCTTTATTGGTGGTTCAAGTTCGGTCTTCTTTAAATTTCTTCTGGGGCAGTTTTTGGCGGGACTTATGCTTTCCCTCAAAGTTGGCTTTCTTTCAAATCTCTCACACTCAATCTGAAGTTCATATTGGCGTTTCTATAGCTGATTCACGGCTGGCTTGAGCCATTGAGAAAAAGGTCCTGGAACGAAAAGAGATGAGACAGTGCGCTGGTTGGTGGAGAGTGCAGACAGGCCACGCCTTTTTGCGTCCCAAGCTAGCCGTGAATCGTCTGTATGTAGTTTATTCGAAGAATTTCTTCGGAGTTTTTTCTTGCCGAAGTTTTAATCATTTTCGTATGATCTGTTCAATCTCTGTTGCTGAAATCTTCCAATAAGGGTAGAAACGTTTTCACGGAGGCTTTCAGTGTTAATTCGGCTCATGTGAAACCTCTGCGCCCTAAATAGCCCAGCAAGAACTTGTCATTTATTTTTTTTCAAAGTTTTGATTGCAATAATTGAAAAAAGATCGGAGAAAATATCCACGGCAAGCTCTTGAGAATTTCCTGCTTCAAGCAAAGCTGCTACGTTCAAAGATTTCTGAATAATGCGGATAGTGGAACTTGAATAGAAAAAAAAAACACACAGAAAAGTATTTTTTGAAAATCAGTGTATAAAAAATAATGTCGATCAGAAAAAAAGTACCCTTCATGGATTTATAAAGACTTTGAGCTTGCGCAAAGTCATATCTGGTATTTTCTCCCCAGATTTATCCTGTTTCATCAAGTTTTGTTGCTTTCGTACTTCCGAACACATTTTTTGTTCGAGAAAAAGGCATTGAACGCTAAAAGCAAAACATTTCGATTTTCGAAAAGCTTTCTCGTAAACTCTTATCTCTCTTTCAATCAATTTTATCTCACTCGGACATCAAAAATGACGTTTTTCAATGAACTTTTAGTTGAACTTACATTAGAAAAAAGATGGACTTCAGAAAAATAACGAGATCGACGTTCCCAAAAAAGTCAGTTTCTATGAAAGCGGGCCAAGGATCGCCAGCTTCAAATGATGGGTAAGGATTTAGTATTGTTTGGGTTCTACTCGGCAAAGATGGCGCACGGTGCATTCTGCTTTTTTGCACTCTGGTGCGAAACTGGAGTCTGCGCCGTGCAGTTTTGGTGCTTTTTTGGTGTCGCACTGGTGCAGCACGCTAAAAGCACTGATTTGACACCTTTGCACCAAAAAGTCACCAAAATCGCACGGTGCAGACCTCAATCACGCACCAGAGTGCAAAAAGCAGAATGCACCGTGCGGCATCCGTGCTGAGTAGTTTGATCGATCCTCTTCATATAGGGGATCTTTATCAACTGATTGAACAATTGAATCTCTCATCCACTTTTTTTTTGTTTTTAGCAAAAAGGGTTTAATAAGTCCCTACGAGTGAATTTACTGATATTAGGAATGAAATAAGTGGAAGAGATTTGGATCACAGTAGACGGAAGGGAAACGTTAGAAAACAGCTCTCCGTTTCTGAGCGAGTCGAGAAATTCTTTGAAAGGGGTGGTAGCCGTGTTCAAGTTGAGCCTTTCAGTTCTGACGAGTCCTTTTTCCGTTGCCTACGACCATCTCAAAAGGTTGCGCGCTGCTGCCAACGCAAACGAGAAGCGGCTTCTGGATCTGTTGGAGACCGAACACGCAGAGATGTTGAGCCTCTTGCACGTCAAAGGGCTCAACTACTACTACTGGTACAAAAGTTCGTGATCCTTTTTTCTAAAATACTAGAGACGAAGTTCATTCTTTTTTCAGCGTGCACGAAATTACGACAAACGCCAAGAGAGTCCCTTCGCGACGCTGCTAAGACAGCTTTGAGTGAGTTTGATCTTTTCGTTTTGTGATTCCATCCTTCTACATATTTTAGGGCACACGCTGCGCAGATCCGACCGCTCCGAAAACGTCAGAAGACCAGAACACGAAGGACGAGAAGTCGAAGAAGACATAGAAGATGGCAATGATTTTCGTTTCAATGTTTATCCAATCGTTTTTTAAATAAATAGATTTTTTTCAATAACCTCGAAACCTTGATTTTTTTTTCTATGAAATTGGTGTTTGCAAGCATATACAGAGGTGTTCAAGAGGGGAGAAATATAGTGACTACGAGTTTTCAAGCGAATATCCGGCAAAGCAAGTTTTAAGAGGCGAAGGGAGTTCCATATGATATGTGGACCACAGAAGAACGGGCAACAGTTATTATCATCGAAGTAGAGTTGAATGAACTGGTAGCGAATCAAGTAGATATTGGAAGCAGCTTTGTCAGATGGAATATGAGGAATACATGAGTAGATCTCGCGCCGGATGATACATGGCGGAAGTCCCCGGGACCTCCATGAAATGGATTAGAGGATGTTCATAATAAATTATTATGTAACGCAGCAGTGCGCTACGCCAGATTGATGTTGCAAAGAAAGTTGGGGCGAACGCCCACAGGCGTTGGTCACACAAGAGCGCATGTTCACTTAACACAATGAGATACAAACAACCATTACATGCTAGTCAATTATTAGAAAGAAAATTTTGAGACAAAAATATATGAACGATTTTCGTAAGGACTTCGATCTCAAGTTAATTTTTTCCCTCTTCTCTTTCAATCAATTTTATTTTAATTTCACATCGAAGGCGACATTGCATAATAAAATTTGAAGTGAACTTACAGGAGAAAAAAGAAAAACGTGGGAAAAATAACGTGTTCGACGCTCCCAAGAGAGTCAGTTTCTAGCGATGGCCTTTTCCTGTCGCCCGCATTCTTCGGAAGGTGAGGATTTCGGTTATCTTTTTGTGGTGCTTCTACAGTCTGCTCATATTTTTAATGTCGAGATTTCCCTAAAGCTCCGCCCTTAATGCTGAGATGAGCCAATCCGAGGGCCACAAGGAACTTTGAATGACGTCATTGGGCTCGACATTCCAAATCTGAACACAAAAATGCAATTATGTCCATGAACGAAATAGTTTTCAATTAGGCACATTCGCTTTTCGGCGTTGATGCATTTTCAAAATACAAAGGTGAATTGAGAAGTCTATACAAATTGATACCGGGTAGCAACTTTTGAATAAGTCAATCGGCGTATGGTAATCGGTGGTCGTTTGTATGCTACCGGGTTCTATCTCTATGGTACCTGGGTCGGAGGTCGATGCAGTAGCTACCGGGTAGCTACATGACATTCGCGATTTCTTTCGAAAAGTCTGGAATTGCTTCCCGGGTCGTTATTTTTTGTTTCAGCTTCATCCAATAAGACCCTGGAAGGCTTGGAACGGTGTAAAAAAAAACCGTCCAATTTCAAATTGTAAAATCTTTCAGTTTTGATGATTCATTTTCAGTCGCCTGTTGTGGACTCGAAAAGTCGCGAGCTTCTGTTGAAGCCAAAAAGAAGCTTTTTCTGATGCTGTTGGTGACCGAAGACGCACCGATGGCGAATCTCCTGCACGCCGAAGGGCTCAACTACTTCTACAGTTCGTGTTTCCTCTTTCGTGACACTCTTCGACATTCATTGAAATAAACAACAAATTCCGCAGTCCAAGACTCGAATAAATGACAAGTATCAGATTTCAACACTCTATTTTTTTGTCTTTCAATCTTTAATTCTTTATCTAGTGGATCATACGTTTGTTTGACGACATTTGACTAAATGAGATCATTTTTCCAGACATGCGCTTCGAAAAACGGGAGAAGACTCGAAGGATAAGAGTTTGAAGGACAACCATTCGAAGGAAAAAAACAAAGCGAAGACGGCCTAGAAGATGGGATCGGGAATTTTTCTTCTTAATCTCTTTCAAACCTTTTTTTAATAGATAAATTTTTTTCACTTTTTTTCAAGCTTTGATTTTTTTGGGAAAATTTTTTTCGGGCATTATCAAAATTACTTCCTCCCTAAATTCTCGATTTTTTTGAGAGCTACTGGGTAGATACTTCAAGGGTTGTACTCTTCTCGAATACTATCTCTATGTTACCTGGATACTATGGCTATTCCTCCTGAAATTGGCGTTTTCTACCAGGCAAACTGACGTGTTCTACCGGGTGGTTGTCTCATCATCATCATCATCATCATCATTTATTCAATACGAATAATAATACAGTTCAAGGGCCGAAAAAGACCTCTAACAGAACCAATTTTTCAAAAAAAGGGAAAGTTAAACATTGAAAACAGCAACAAACCGTTTAAAAATTAGAAGATATTTTAAGAAAGTCAGGTCTTTTTTCGGAGTAGGCTAATAAGGTCTCGAAACGGTTGAAAAAGAGAAAAAAACCTAGTAGCGAACTCAATTGTCAGGTAGAATCCTCACTAAAGTCATCAAAAAGCTTCGAAAATTTTTGGAATACTTCGCCGTTATTCACGATCCTCATATAGTCTGTTCAGGTTTTTTTGAATGTCAAGTCGTCGCTCAAGCTCCGCCCATAATGGTGCGATAAACCAATCAGAGAGCGAGCCATCCACAGAGCGTTTTTGAATGACGTCATTGCACTTGACATTAAAAATCTGAACAGACTATACTCCATTAGGAATACCGAAAAAAAATTTTAGCTCAGAAAATTCGGATTAGCGGACCCGACGTGTGTACTTTCAGATATCACGAATTTTCTTGATCATCCATGGAAAAAGTGTATAGCTATTAAAATATTGTGAGTCCTCGGCTTGGCCATGCCGGGACCCCATCGGTAGTTTCGATGTGGTCGAATATAGACTGATTATATTGAAATAACTTCATTAGTCGAATAGAAAATATTATATAATCAAATTGACCTCAGGCCGGGAGGATTTCGACCCAGTTGAAAGTCGTCCCTGCCTTGTACAGGTAGGGGGCGGTCTTCCCCTGCGTCTCTGGCCTCTGCCAGGGGAATTACTTCACAATATAACCAAAAATTGAATTTGAAAATTTTTTCAAATAGAAATACATCTGTTGTTGGCAGTGTGCTCTATCGAATCCTCGTAGATTTTGATTTATACGTAATCTCGAACTTTTTGGCTTCAGTTTTCGCAGCTATTTAATGGGTTTACTTTTCAGATTTCTATCCTAAAACCTTTTTAAATTTGGGGTTTAATAGTCTCATGTGATTAGAATTGTCGACAATGCGCCTTTCTACAGTTCCGAAGTAGTCTGAATCATTTTATCATTGCGGAGTAGAAAAGAAAATTGAACTTGAGAACAACCGAGATCCCAAAGTTTAAGAAAATGACGAGTGGGAGAAAATTCAACGCGACGAGTTGAGTCCACGAACAGTTTATTCCTATCTTCTATCTCAAGCGAATGAAGAACGTCTTGGAAAAGGCCACCCGTCTCGTGGGAAGAAGGCGATCGAAAGAAGAGCCGCAGGTATTACTTCAACTATTTTCTTGTGAACCCAAAGGGGCAGGACATGAAGTAGCGAAGTTAAAAGTCATTCTTGTTAAGGGACACTTTGAATCTTCCATGAAAGCATCTTTGTGTGGTTTGAGATACTCGAATGTTCCCTAAAGACGCCACTTTGCTACTTCTTGCCTAAACGACTCAGCTCTCAGCTTGTTTTTAAGCACCAAATACTTAAGTGACCCCTTAGAACATTTATTTGGCTCATTGGTAGTCTTGTGAGTTGAAAGGCTCAGAGGTGATCGATCTTGAATCAACTTCACAATGACAGTGAAGACGGAAATTCTGATAGTTATCTGAAACATAGCTCAGAGCTGCATTATAGAGTCCTGAATTGAACCCAAAAAGATATTTTCTTCTTCTTAGTTAGCAATTAGATATTACTCATTTCGCTACATCTCGATTGGAAAGCGAAAAAGCATTTTCTTTTTGTTATTTATGCTAAAATCAAGATGCATATATGAAGAATCTCAGAAATTAGTAAAAAAAGATGGATTATTGCGAAACTCTAGTTATTTCGGTTCTTCCATTTTTGAAATTTTTTCACTGTAATCGGCGGAATTTACAGAGGAGGCATTTTCGTCTTCATCTGTGGGTCCCGTGGTTTTCGTATCGAGGTGAGTTGAATCCCTTCACATTGAGAGAAGTATTGAATACTTTCAGGAATTGTCCAAGTGAAGAAAAAAGGTTATGACCAAAAAAAAAGCAACGGCTTTCAATCCACTCCACCGCAGTTTTTCCCCCATCTTCATTTATTTTAATTTTAATAAACAGCTTAGAAGAAACCTTGTTCAACGGTCTGAGAAAAATTTGTTGGGTCGAACTTCTACTTCGAAATGAGAGAAAGAAGCTTGGAAGCATCTGATTGAAGGTCTTTTGATGTTCCTTGCCAGCCACTATATTATATTGCAAAGTCTTCGGAGGAGAATTTCAAACTTCCTTTTTTTTTGGTGGTATGAAAAAAACACCAGCGAAAATTTAAACGACGACTTTTCCGATTTTTTCATATCGCTAGGGAACTTTCCGACGGCCACCTTTCCGACGAATCTTTTTCAATTCAATTTGTTTATTTTTCGCAACGTCGGGATGGTATGGTGATGTTGCAGGGAGGGAAAAAGACCACTAGGTGGATTAACTAACCCCACCCTGTGAAGAAAGTTTTTTTGTGTAAGAAAAGAAACATAGAACCATAATAAGTAGATATTTAAAACCAAGTTGATCATGGCACAAATCTGTGAACACTTGAAAGAATATGCTCGACGCCAACATCTTCTGCATACACTAAAAACATGTCCTTAAATTTTTTCTTGTCTTCCTCTGCCAATAATTCATGTTCAATGTCATTCCAAACATTAGTAATGCGATGTGATAAGAAATTGAAGAAAACCAGTGAAGGTTTCGTTTTTATTAATTTAAAACCATTTCCTCTGAGCTGACTGGGACGGTCAAAGATGTTATGTACCTGGATGGGAGAGTCTGACCAGCACTTATTATGCAAAAACTGATGTGATAATACCAGATCCTTAACTAAACGCCTAAACCAAAGAGGTTGAAGACCTAAAAGTTTTAACCGTTCATTATATTCCATTCTTGGGAAAAGGCGCTTAGTGAAACGCCTCTGGACCGATTCTAATCGATCAATATCTGACTTTGTCAATGGACACATTAGTTCCGAACCATACTCTAGAATGGGACTTTTTTTCTCGATAAATCTTCGTTTCAAATCTCCCTATATAAAGTAGGTAGTTGGTTAATGATTAAAACACAAAGAAATAGAAAAAAAACAATGTTTATAAATGTTTTATAAACCGAAAAACTTAAGGGAAAAAAGTCGGAAAGGGATCCGTCGGAAAGGTGGCCGTCGGAAAGTTCCCTAGCGATATGAAAAAATCGGAAAAGTCGCCGTTTGAATTTTCGCTGGTCTTTTTTTCACACCACCTTTTTTTTATTGAAATGATCTCTAGACTTTTCCTAGTCGAGCCCATGTCGACAGATCGCCGTCATTTATTCATTTTGTTGAGTTAGAAAGAACAATTTTCGGGCAGCACAATCCTTGAGCTTTCATTCACATATATATATATATTCATGTCGACTCTCTTCCTTTTTTTTTATGAAACTTTTTCAGCGTCGCCATTTTAGATACATTGGTAAAAGACCTCCTCGCAGGTGAGAAACAAGGAAATGAAGTTGAACAACCGAATGAAAAAGTTTCAGCGCTTGGAAACAGCCGTTCTGTATCAGGCGACCCATTGGAAGACCAATTTGTGTAGGTATCAAAAATTAAAAATCTTTCTCGACAGTCTATCGATTTCGAAAAAAGGCACAAGAAGACTTCCAACCAAAGTGTGAAGTATGCCCCTGGCAGAGGCCAGAGACGCAGGGGAAGACCGCCTCCTACCTATAAAAGGCAGAGACCATCTTCAGCTGGGTCGAAGTCTCCCGGCCTGGGCCCATTCCCTCGATCTTTATATATTTCATTCTGATTTTTATTATTTGTACCCAATGAATATTTAATAATATAATCTGTTTATTCGACAACATCGAAACTACCGATGGGGTCCCTGGCATGGCCAAGCCGAGGACTCACAAAAGAAACCGCCACTGGAATATCTTCTCCATCCGCGAGCCCTACATTTTCTCGTGGGACCTTTTTGTTCATACTAATAATGGAGAAAGATGAAAAAAATTCAAAATTAATCTGCACCCCGTTGTACAAAAATCTCCTCAGAAAATTTTTATTTTAAAAAAGGAGGTGGCTTCTTTCGGTCAATCGCTGTGAGTGGAAGTTTCTTGTTGCGTCGGGCACTCTTCCAGCGAAGAAGTCTGAAAAAATTCTCCAGTAGACATGAGATTTTTTCATTTTATATCATAAAGTTGAAATATTTGTCACTGGGTTCTCAAAATTTTCATTGGTTCTTCGATATTTTCTTTTTTGAATTCTCAAGATTCTGTCTGAAAGTCTGGGGATTAACAGTACCTTATGATCAGGAAACGACTTTTGGAGCCCATGCGCCTTTAAAATATTCAAAAGGATCTATGGAAAAGCTATAATTGGAGGATGAAGACGAGGACAAAACAAAAGCGCTTTCTGAACAATAATTTCCGTCTGAGAACCATCTTAGAATTTTTCGAGAGTTGAACTTCTTGTTGGTATTGTTCAAGAAAATCCAGGGAAAAAATGGAATTACTAAACTGTTCACATTGATATAAACTTCACACGTTCAAAACTAACAGAGCCTCTGCAGGCCGTCGTCACTGGTTTTTCCGCTTGGGGGACCGCCGGTCGAGTCTTCGTTGGTGGCTAAAATCAAATGATGTGAAGAGGTCTTTCAAGAATGAAACTTCAACAGACAAGTTTGCGCAAACAGTGGTGTCTTCAATCAGAATTTCAAAGAGTAATTGAAAAAAACTCAGAAGAACAAAGTCATCATCCTAATCGGCTCGGCTACTAGTTTCTGAAGAGCTAGACTGTTCGAAACAAAAAGAAAGCCGCTCAAGTATTGAATCTCAGTGTTCTGAACTCGACAGAGAAATCTAATTTTAATGTTATATATTATTTTGTTACTTTTAAATGTGACTTTCGACTCGAATACTCATTTAAGTACAGAGATTACAAAAGTCCGAGTTATACCTTTTTCTTTTGTCGCTGGTCCTTGACACGATTGGCGTCCATCTTCAGTCGATTTAAAAGCGAAACTTCCACTGCTCAGCGAAATGTATGAATGAGCTTCGCATTGACTTCGGTCGTACGTGGATTTTTTCTCTTATCTCTCTTTCAATCAATTTTATTTCAATAACACATCTAAGATGACGTTGCCTAATGAACTTTGAGTTGAACTTACAGAAGAAAAAAAACACGTCTAAAAACTAGCGTGACCGACGTTGCTAAAGATTCAGTTCTTATCATTTCGTCCCCAGGATCGCCAGCTTCCCGGCATGGGTGAGGATTTTGATGCTCTTATTGTGGTACTTCTGATCCGACTCAACTCCCAGAAAACTATTGAACTAGAGGGTCTTTTTTAGATCAATGAGTGGGCTTTATTAGACTGGCTCTGGCTTTTTTAAACATGATTATCCCTTATAAGTAATATAGTGAAAAGGGACATAAAACAGCCCCGACTGACGTTGAGACATACGTGGAACTTCGAAAAACCCTTTTTTTTTCCCAAAATTGCATGCTTCGTGAGTTTCGAAGCGATGTAACTTAACTATAAAGCAAAAGTTCAGCAATCTCTTTTATTGGCTTTTTCTGGGATCAGTGAGTGGGTCCTGAAATCCAAATTCTGTCAAATTTATAACCATCTGTGAACTGAAATCAGAATACATAGTACCTCTATTCAGCGCCATTAGTGGCATTCGAGCGGTTTTTTTTCAAACTTTGAAAAAAATGAATGAACTTTTTCAGTTTTGTCTTGATATTCAAGCTAATTTTTATCTTTTCTCGCGTTTATTGTTGTTCAAAACTTTATTTTTCAGCAAGTGAAACCTGGTCGTCGTCTGGAAATCCTTCTTTGCTGTTTTGGAAAAAGGGTCTTCTCCAGGTACTTTCAAAAAATTTTCCCTAACATTTATCAAGTTTTTTTTTCAGAAAAAAGAAGAAACGAGGAAAGATTTCAAATCGTGCCCTATTTCAACGTAGTTTTTAAAATTATTATAAATAAAGTTTTTTCGTCTGGGACATCATTTACGGGGCTTCTGCTTTGTCCCAAATCCGGCTGTTTTTTGATCGCTTCGAAATGTTGTCAATCTCGTCTTGTCGGTTCCATGTTGTTTGTTCGATAACTTTTGCTGGAATGCTTTCAATAAAAGTGAAGGTTTCATTCTTCCGGTGTTATTTTAGCCGAGATCTCTGTTTTATTGAATAACTCAGCAAGGAATTCTCATTTAGTTTGTCTCAATTTAATGAAATTTCGATGGAGTTCTTCTGAAGCACCTAAACACAACCAAACGACACAATATCTTGGCTTTTTGCTTTCAAAACGAACTTTCAACAGGTCCATGATTTCTACCATGAATTCTGCAATATACAGTACCGCCCAAAAGGTTCTGAACTTTTAGTTTTTTGAGCCTAACTTTTCCCTCAGTAGAGATATCAATCTGAAAATTATTGCAGGGCATTTTGTGGGCTTAAAATACATACCCACAAATGCAAGAATATGCAAAAAAAAAATGTTGTGTCATTTTTTCGAAATTTTTTAAAATACGAATTTTCCGGATATTGAATTCAATCCACTATTTTTGTAAATAACGACATTTATTGAAGAGGTCAATGTGTATATAAGTTACACAAGTCGAATACTTGGTCGCGAAACACCGAGAACTAATCACAGCTTAGCACCAACGAGGCATAGAGTCCATCAAAGTATCGATAACCGACATCGGTATTTTCTTCCACTCTTTCTCCAATCGCTGGAAGTTTTCGAGCCCATTTTTCGCAGTTTTGGGAAAAGTTAGGCCCAAGAAACTAAAAGTTCACAACCTTTTGGGCGGTACTGTGAAAACAAGATTTTAAGCGCCACAACAAGGATCAAAGACAAAATTAATAAGATGTTCTTGTCTCACTAAAACACAACGCAAATCTGAAGACGGATCGAGAAAGGGTATCGCGAGACCCAATCTTCTACCCCGGAGGGATGGAAGGCTTGGTCGACCCCGGGGGGACTCGAACCTACGACCTCGCGGACGTTAGAAATGAGTCTTTACCAGCTGAGCTATGCTGCCCCCTTGTACGACCTCTCTTGTACCTGATGTTCTACGGGATAAATTCACAACTTCTCTGCCTAAGCCACAGCTGCCGTTCAAACACAGTTCAACTAATGAGTCGATTGCACATGTATTCTTACACTGAAGATTCAATAAACTTTTTTTTTTCTTTGAAAAACATTAGGAAGAGAATCGATGGCTTCTTCAGGACCAGCTTTCTTGTCTCTCGAACTTTTGTCCTTCGTGTTCGGAGAAGAACTCTGCAAACACCTCATTTAATCAAATTTGAAACTCCTGTTTGTGCCCAAAAAATGTAAGAAGAACAAAAGAAATGAATAAACCTTTCTGAGCTGAGTCGCCGAAGAGCTCTTCTATCGTTGATCGGAGATCAACGTACTCTGGAAAATGATAAAGTTTATTACTAGTTTTATTTTTAACATGCGAAATTTGTTTTGCCCTCAAGCTTTCAATAAGCGTCGAAGAGTGACAAGAAAGATGAAAAACGAACGTTTGTACCAGTAAAAGTAGTTGAGTCCTCCGGCGTGCAAGGGGCTCGCTACATGGGCGTCTTCGGTCACCAACAGCATCAGAAAAAGCTTCTTTTTGGCTTCAACAGAAGCCCGAGACCTTTCGAGTCCATAACAGGCCACTGAAAATGAATCATCAAAACTGAAAGATTTTACGACAATTTGAACCGTCCTTGTGCTGGCCTATGCAAACTGGACGCGTTCAAATTATTTTGAAGCTACCCTAAAGAAGCCGTTTTTTATTTTAATTGAGAAAACATGGTAATGCGTTTCGAAACAAAAAATCTCTTCACCCCCCTTCCCCCAGAACTACAACAAATATTTTGAAAATGCATCAACACCGAAAAGCGAATGTGCCTAATTGAAAACGTTCATGAACATAATTGCATTTTTGTGTTCAGATTTGGAATGTCGAGTCCAATGACGTCATTCAAAGTTCCTTGTGGCCCTCGGATTGGCTCATCCCAGCATTAAGGGTGGAGCTTTAGGGAAATCTCGACATTGAAAATATGTGCAGACTGTATAGCTGATTCACGGCCAGCTTGGGACGCTAAGGGGGCGTGTCCTGTCTGCGCTCTCCACGAGCCAGGCGCTGTCTCGTGCATTATCGCGTCAGGATCCGTTTTTCGATGGCTCAAGCCAGCGGTGAATCAGCTATAGAAGCCCCACAAAAAAATCACCGAAATCCTCACCTTCCGAAGAGTGCGGCCGACCTGCTGAAGCCATCGCTAGAAACTGACTCTCTTGGGAGCGTCGACCACGTTATTTTTCCCACGTTTTTCTTTTTTCTCCTGTAAGTTCAATTCAAAGTTCATTGTGCAACGTCGACTTAGATGTGAAATTGAGATAAAATTGATTGAAAGAGAGATAAGAGGAAAAAAATTACGTGAGATCGAAGTCCTTACGAAAATCGCTCATATATTTTTGTCTCAAAAGTTTCTTTCCAATAATTGACTAGCAATTGGGCGTTGATCGGGCCTAATGTCGAACTCGAAAAAAAGGCCTTTTCAGCTTTCTCTCTAGTGACCACTTGCCTATTTCTCCGTCTGTCACAGATTGAAGGAACTCATGAATCAAAGAATTAGAGTTTCTTTAATTCTCGAAAACATTTAACTCCTTTCCTACAGCAAGTCGATGAAGCCGTCCGTCGCAGGATGACTTCTCAAAATAATAAAACTATTCATCACACTTTTATCAAACTTTGAAAAAGGCTTCTAAAAATACCACTTTTAGAGCCTTTCAAGAAAATCTTCAGAAGGTTTAGTTTATTCAAACTTTTTACCAGGTAGATTCACGCTGAAAGCCGCGCTCAAAATTTACCGAGAAAGTAAAAAAAAAGCTTTCTCTCGGTATTTATATGACCAATCGCGGCCGCCCGCATTTTTTTTTAGAGAAATTGAAATTCGATTTCATTTTCGTTTTATTCTTAAGGTACCCAAACAAAGCGGGACACAATTCTGTCCAAGTTTGAAGTTCTCCCTTTTCAGAGACCTCGTCATTCTATAGACGATTCACGGCTAGCTTAGGACGCAAAAAGGCGTGGCCTGTCTGCACTCTCCACCAACCAGGGCACTGTCTCGTCTCTTTTCGTGGCAGGACCCTTTTCTCGATGGCTCAAGCCAGCCGTGAATCAGCTATAGCACATGTTTCAAGTCAGTGGGCAAAAAACGACATCTGGTTAAAAAGTCCGTCCGCCACGGCTTGACATCTTTCGCGTGTCTGCGTCTCTCCGTTCTTTCACCGGCGAGGTCAGAGAAACATGGAAAAAACACGTAAACATGAGAGAGACGTCGGTAGAAAAAGAGGGCGCAGAGAAGTCACGCCCTTTCAAGTCACGAAAAACGGACTATATCTGGCCTTTTTCAAAAGTCTTACTGTGAATGGGAACAAGTCTCTTCAATTAAAAAAGTTTTGTTTTTTTTGAAACCGCTTTTTTCAAAAAAACTACTCCAGTCTCTCAAAAAAATTTCAAGGTGAAGAGAAAATTGATAAAAAAAAAACGAAGAAGCCTCATGAGAAGCAGCATCCGTCCATGGATTCTTGAAAAATGAATATTTTCGTGGGTCTAAAGCGGCATTCACAAGAATAGTCAGTAAATCAATTATAATGGCAAGTGGGGCTTTTTCAAAATATCCACTAAAGCCGTGAGAAAGGCGAAAAAAATTAAAGAAGCGATAAAAAGGAAAATAATCCTTTTCAGCGTGTAAAATAAATTGAGATGAACTTGTGAGATAAGAAAAGAAAAATCAACGCGACGAGTAAAGCCCAAAAGAAGGTTATTCCTGAAGACTTGATAGTCTACAGCAGCTACCAGCGACCAGCGACCAGCGACCAGCGACCAGCGACCAGCGACCAGCGACCAGCGACCAGCGACCAGCACCAAACAATGGACAACGGAAACCGTGGAAAGAAGAATGTGGCCAAGTGGATTTCAGGTATAATACAGTACTGTAGGCGTTCGCTTACATTAGCTCTCGTCTCAAGAATGGAATGAATAGCTAGGGACTTTCATGAACACAGACAGATGTTCAGTGGTGCACCTTTTTAGAAGGCCTTAAGTAAGCATCAACGAAGAATAGTTAAGAGCGCTTGAGTTCTTTTAAAGGCATTAAGCTCATTCCTCTTATTCGACATACCCTAGTCCAAATAAATAGGAAGCGGAGCACGGTATTTAGCCGTTTTTTCTTCGTTGACTTCTTGATACCGTTTTGGGCTCTCGATTCTGTTCATTCCTTCCAATGACGTAGGACTCGAAAAGAACAATGATATAGTCCTATTTTTCCGTTGATCCTTTATAATGCCATTCAGTTTCATTCTTCGAAAACCGTATAGTCTTGAGAAATTCGGATTCATTAACCATCATGTAGAGGGGAACGAATATTGACAGTCTTCTATATCGAAAATATACAAGAAACATTTTCTCAGCCTTTTCAAAAATAAGCTTGCGGTCTCTGACTTTGTTGCTATAAAGTAAGCGCACTCTTAAGATGTAGGAACTTGAAAAGTCACTTGCGGATTTCAACTCCAGTTCAAACGCGATCGTGCATATGAATGACTCAAAAACTGAGGGATCACTTGACAGAACGTCGCTGAGAATCGTTCAACAAACCGACTCCGATTTTTGTCGAAAAAAAACTGATTACTCGAATTATAGGATCGATCGAAGGTGACAAGGGCGGCGCAGCAGGCGAAAGATCCAGGGTCGGGGGCATCCAGAATGCCAGTTCGTTTCAAACTTCTCTTAACATTCCTGTGGTACTTGAGAAAACTCTGTTTCAAAAACATGAAATATTTTAATACGAAGGCATCTTGCTCTTGTCAGATGTACTCAGAACGTAGGAATGAGCTTCTCAAAGTGAGTTTGGTCCTAGATAAGCTGAAGTCCTTGTTAGCTTCTTGATGAAGCGCACGAACTGTACAAAAAGCGGTTTGCAATGTATTTCAAATCAGTAAATACTGATCAGTTGAGCTATTATGAGAACAATGTTTAGAAAACATCATCTATACGGTGATTGGCGGCGTATTCCGGCTAAAAGGCGGATCGGAAGCACTTCCAACGACCCCGTGTGAGCCCACGAGCCCGAACCAACCCAACGTCAACATGCAGAACCCGAAGCCAGAAGGTATATTATGTTGAATCAATTAAAACTCGCTGTTTTAATACTAGTAGTTGAGCTAGTAGCACCGGAGAAATGGAAAAAGATAAGAGAAACGAAATACTTAATGAGGAACACTGAGAAAAGCAGTAATTTTTGTGTAGAAATGTACCTTTCCGATTTGAATTTTGATTTAAAACGTAGAAATTTAAAATCAATGAATCTCACAGTTAAATCGAGTATAATGTCCAAAGATCATTTAAAAAATGAAGACTTTTAAAGATTCAACTAATATGAATTACTCATCTCATTTCAAATATTCTTTTCCTCGATTAGTGAGACTCATCTCATTTCAAATATTATTTTCCTCGATTAGTGAGATTCAAACAGTACAAATTCATCACTCAATGAAAAAAGCCAAGATTCTCTAGCTGTCCAAGGTGTCAGCAAAGACTCGGCCAATGTTCAGAACTTATTTTGAAATTTAAAGTTAGGACCTAGTTGCTTTCGAGTCGATTCTGTATCCCTCGAGTTTTGTAGCCCCGCCTGGGTACGAGATCGAGGGCAGCGAAGCCGCGCACAGCGGAGTGATGCCGAAAACGGAAGACAAGGTGCTCTCAGAGCTTACCAGCACGGAAGGGACAGGAAAATGCGGAATTAGGGAGGGACTACTCATGACAGCAGAAGAGAGGAAGAAAGTGATTGCAATGAGGGACAGTAAGCGTTACTTTTTCATTTCATTCTATCACTTCATCACCGATAAAACTGATTCAAGGTATGAATTCAAACCTAGAGGCCGATTTTTTTTTTAGAAAAATCAACTAAGGATGAATTGATTTAATTTTCTTTGTTAAGATTTGGATTGAAGTGAACTCTTTGGGGTTTGTGAATAATATAAATAAAGTTTGAGTGTTTCGAAACCTTTCTGAAAAAGGCGGTAAATTCTCATCCATCAATTCCCTTTGAAATTAAGGTCCAGTTCCCGTTAGAACTTAATAAAGCTAAACAATGAATAGTTATTGGGAATATTTTCAAAAAATCATGTGAGCTCGTATTAACTGAGCAAACCGTGAGATACATTTGAAGTCATTATTATAAAAAACCAGAAAAAAAACGTATTTTTCTATAGTTCCATATAAGAACTTTTTCATCCGCTCCTCCTCTACTAATAAAGACACCGAATTTTCGAAAAATGAGACGATCTAAAAAAAAACAAAGGTTTAATAGATTTCTCAATTTTTCTTTTGGGATTCTCTATTCTATTTACAGTTGAAGACTTGCATCAAGTCATAGTTCCGTTGCGGGAAGCCAAGAAGGTGCAGATCGACGACGAAACATTTTTAGAAAAGTTGTACTTTTTCCATGGGTAAAAAATTTTGATTGTACCACATCGAAATCGATCTTGTTCAGTTTTTTGCCACAGATGGAGTGCCGAGTATTTCTCCGCCGAGCGGGCGATTTCTTGATCAGAAAATGGGAAGGTGAAGCAAAATGGAAGTTTAGACTCCTTAATAAGGTTATTCAGACGAGGGGAAGGATTATATAGTCGTGTCTGTGGGCGTGCTATTAGAATACACAAGAGACGTGAGCGATGGTGATTTTTTTAAAATCTTTTTAAAGTTGAAAAATTTTTCAAGTCAAATTCATAGCGGTTAAAAAGGGAGTTTTCAACCTTTTGAATATAAAAGAAGTTCTTCAATGAAATTTCGTTTTTCTTCTAGCTTTTTTTATGTTAGATAGTCTCAATACCAGTTCTCATCCCACAATCCCCTTCACATTCGAATTCCAGACATGGACCAGAACTACGGCGCTGACGAGCCAGTTTTTATCAAGGACTATGTAGTCAAGCGGAACAAGAAGGGTCTCTTCATCGATTACGAAATTAATTTTGACTCGCTGGAGAATCTACTCGTCTACTATCTCTTTCACCCGCACAAGGTAAAAACTATTGATTAAGAAGATGAGGGCGAAATAGGAGAAAGTTTCGAGAAAGGGAAATTAGTAGTTGAATTAGTTTATATCGAAAATGAAAAATTCTAATAATTGAGTCCGTTAAAAAAATAAGCTTTGAAAAATATATAATTTCAGGAGTCGCTGGAGATTCAATTGGAACGTCCTTGCCCGAAGCGCTACTTCGAGTTCAGCGCCGCTCAAATAGAAAAGAAGAAGACGGTGAGTTATGAACACCGTGAAAGTCAAAAATCGTAGAGAACGAAAATGAATGATCCATGGACAGTTTCAGCAAAAATTATGAGTGATTCTATATCTTGAAAGTTTTTACTTTTTTCAATAGTTTGTTAATGGCTTGTTGCAAACCACCAAAGTTGCTCCAAAACGATACTTATTTTCGTTTCCTGGCAATTTTCGCTTTCCCCGATGAACACGCCATCCAATTTGAATCAACATCACATCGGAAAACATTAATCAAACTGATATAAACTACATTATGAATTGAGCACATTCATTCATCAAGAAAATCAAATAAAGCACTTAAGTGACTGAAAGTAGCGAGAATCGTCAATTCTGGTATCGAATTCGGCTGAGAAAAGTAATTCGGACTGAAAAGTCCGTTTTTGTTGTACCTTTTTGAAAAAAAAATGTTTGAAAGCTGTCTGCCAAAATTAAATATCTCTTTTCAGCTCGGATCAGGTGCCTTTGGAGAAGTTTTTTTGGGCGAAGTGAACGCGATTGGTATCAAGGACATGCCGGTCGCCGTCAAATCGGTGAGTACAATTGAAGGAGTGTTCTTGGAAATAACTTCTCTTCTTACAGTTGCTGAAGGACGCCCCGAACTCAAATGAGCTCAGCGAACGGATGCTCGAAGAAGCACGAATTATGCTGACCCTCAATCATGAACACGTGTTGGAAATCTACGGATGGGCGATCGACAAGAAGCCGTTCATGTTGTTAATGGAGCTGATGGAAGGTGAGCGTTTTCACTAATGGAAATGAATTCAAAAACTAAAGCTATTTTCAACTTGGATCTCAAAACTTGAGCAAAGAAATCTGTACTTTTTCAAGTCCTACATTCCATTTGTTTTTGAGAGCTGAAGTAAAATTAACTTGCAATTTTGTATGAAAGCTGTAAACTTGAATGAAAGGAAAATCCTAACGAAGCTTTAATTCCAGGAGGATCATTGGACAATTTCCTCATAAACCACTTTGATGGTTCAAACGACACCCGTTTGGTTAAGTTCGCCCTTGAAGCTGCCAAAGGAATCGCGTATCTCCATGAGATGAACGTACTACACCGAGATGTGGCGGCCCGAAACTGCTTGTTGACGGCCGACCTCACGGTTTGATCGGGATTATCAACAGAAACTGGAAAGAAATATTTTCTAGCTCAAGGTCGCCGATCTGGGCCTAGCAACGACTGGTACGTGGTATTATATGAAGAGCGCCGAGAAGCTACCGACGAGGTACCTTTCGCCGGAAACTCTTTCCATGTTTGTGTTCGTCCAGGCTTCCGACTGTTTTGCCCTCGGAGTGAGTTCACTTGGTTATAATGGGAGACGAATTGATTATTTTAGAACTTGGTTTACGAGATATTCAGTGGTGGGCTGATGCCGTTTGAAGACTTTAACTCTGCTGACGCCAGAGAAAAGGTCTGTTCCGTCCTTTTCAAGTACTTTCCAGTTGAAAGTGATGAGAGCAAGCGGAATCATGAGAGAAAACTTCCAATTTTTAAAAGAATTCTCCCGTATTCTGAGTTTAGATTTTGACGGGTGAAACAAACAGTTTCGATGAGACTCGCGCTCCGCCGGCACTTCGTTCATTCGTCGAAAAGAACTTGTGGACCTACATGATGAGAGACAGAAAGGACATGCAAACGGTTTTCAATTTTATTTGGTTGAATCTCAAGAAAAGTTTCAGACTGTTGAGTACCTCAAAGGCATCTACAAAGCCTGCAAAAAGGTCAGTTACTCTTTCTACACCAGTTTCTGATTTAAATACTTCTTCAGGTGGAAGGAGGTCCGAAGACCCTGACACAAGAGACGGAAATGAGTATTGTGAGTTCGAACGAGCTCAAAAACCGGAATTGTTCAAACTTATTTCAAACCTTTCGCGATAACTTTAGTGAGAAACTTTTCGGAAAACCATGATTTTTGATTTGAATCGATAAGTGAAATGATGAAATAAAGTAACTCTGGAAAAAAAAACAGAACATAGTTCCATGACAAAACTTTTTCGAATCTGAATTTCTTGTCGAGCAATAATCTCCTGTCGCTACAGGCTAAAGAAGAGGGGGAACCCGTCAATAAAGAAGTCACAGTAAAGATTCGCCGCCGGAAGCCAGTTAGCCGCGCTGTCAGTTACGCCTTTACCGGGACCATCTTGAGAGAACTTTCTTCAGGAAATCATGGAAGATATCTGTCCGACGCAGGAAGAGACAGCCGCGAACAAAGACTAGTCCCGTCCCAGCTTATTGACCCCCTTCGTTTCAGAGTTTATCCAACCATTTTTTTAATAAATTGATTTTTTTACACACTTCGGATCCTTGATGTTTTCTATAAATTTGATGTTTGCGGGCATATATATACTTGTTTGAGAATTCGTCAATGGAAATTATATAGACAACAGAGAAATCTTTATTTCATTAAAGAACCATCAGATCTTTTTTTTTTTGACGTAGAACTCGCAAAAGAAGCTACTTAACTTTTTTTCTTTAGAAGCTGAAATTCATGTCACAGATACTATCCAACCTTCCTAACTCATGCCACCGAGTTTCGACAGGCTCCGCCCACTCCTAGGGTTACAGTGGCGGAAATACCTTAAAAACCTAACTTTTTTCCTGGTCGAGCAAGTCGGTTCAAAACAACTGTCACGCAAAGAACATGTCATTTTGAACATCTTTCATGTTGGAAACAACTTTGGAAAAAATTTTCTTCTTCTTGAAAAAAATCTTCAAAAGTGAAAAAATGACGATTTCCGCAGTTTTTGAGCTCTACTAAAACGGGGACCCCCGATGGCCTTCATTTTTATTATCTTAATATGTATTGAGGTCTTGGGTGTTCGAAAAAAAAGATTCCAATATTCAATTTTTAAGTGTCGTAGTACATCACCATCTCAAAGAACGCGTCCAACTTGAAACTGGCCAAAACTTCAAAAATCCATAACTTCTTTGAGAGTTTGATTTCAGTCAGGTTTTTGCTCTTGATGTACTACAACCAACTTGTTTTCAACTAAGGACAGTAGAAAGTGCAAAAAGGAAACTTGAAAAATTTTATTTTTTTCAAATTTTCGATTTGGACTTTTTGTGTTTTTCGCCCGGCTTTTCCGTTTTTCAGCTCTGCTGAGGAGAAGACCCTAGAAGGCCTGGAATTTTATTTGATAAAATGATCAATTAGGTCTTGCTTAGCTCAAAAAAAAAGTATTCCCGTCTTAATAATAATAATCTATTTACAGGCAGAACGAAATAACATGTACAAAAAAAGAAGGGAAGAATTGGCATAAAAAGCCTGAAATAAATAAATAAAAGGCACTTGAGGCCCTCACGAGCCTCTGAGCCAGTGATGAAAGATGATTAGGTAAGAATAAGAGGTGAGGATTGCACAAAGGTAAAATAAGTAAATAGAAAAAGAAAAAGTAAATAGAAGAGAAAAACATAACAAGTTATGACACAGTGTAGCACAGGTAAATGGGGATTTTCATTGGTTGTAATGATATAGACACGCATTAGATGGATTAGAGTAGGGATGAAGCACGGGAACCTGGTTTAACGGAGTCTGCTGGGAATAGATCCAAAAAAGAAATTTTTATCGAGGGATAGTAACAAAAACCTGAAACGATCTGGAGAAACATTGAGGTAGCGACCGCAAAGCCCCGCCCCCTTTCGCGATGGAAAAAAGGCCATTTTTTTGGTATTCCGTCTTTGATTGTTTCGTACAGCCGATAGAAACAATGAAAAATCATAAAAATTTCAGCATACATGTAGAAAAGGTTCCTCTTTCCGTTGAAAAGGTTTTTAGGTACTTTCCATGTGTTTCAACGGAGTGTCGTACGGAATAGTGATGCGAGTTCGAAAAAAATAAACTTAGTTTTTGCGTTTTGATATTCATGTAGGTCGCGGACAAAGTTGATTTTTTTGAAAAACTACTTATAAACAGTAAATAAAAATTTTTTTAAGCCAAAATAATAAAAAAATTCTATGATCGCCGAAAAAAATTGAGAGGCGCGCAAAGTCAAAAATTGTTTTCTCAATTGCAATGCAGTATTAGAAGGTTTTTATGCTTTTTTCATATTGAGAACACATTGCTCAAATAATACTCGTGGACAACTACAAGCAAATGGTAAAAAAGATGAAGAATTTCTTGCGAGTTGTTTTGAAACATTTCCCGGTCGAAGACACGCGTTTTTTCTCCCTCATTTATAAGAGCTCTTAATTTTCAAACAAATTAAGCAATAAAATCGAAAATTCAAGATCGCCGAAAAAATTTTTTCAACAAAAAAGGTGAATAAAAGTGGGCGGAATTACATTTTCATGAGACTCAAAGAGCACCGTAGGCTGTATTCGTGCAGTCACTGAGACGAAAGTGATGGTAAAGTGGAATTAATTATCGTAAAACCTTCTCTTTTGGCTCCTGAAACCGTGCCGCCCTTGCAAATAAGGGTGCAAATAAGGTAAATCATTATTTTTATAGCAAAAACGAAAAGCTAGCTTGAGTTTGAAAAATAGGTCTTTGGTCCCTACATTGAGGTAGACGCCGGTATTTGTCAACCTGGCCTCACCAAGGTTGCGGACTAGGCAACGCCACGCGCACTTTTTTAAAAAGCCATTCTTTTTCTTATCAACTGTTTTCATTTTTTTTTTTCATATTTCAACCATATCAAGGTCATTCTGTAAAAAGATATCTGCAACAAAATGAGGAAAAACTTTGTTTATCAACAACTATCTTTTCTCTGGAATGGTAATAACCTGGAATGTATTTGGATACTATCGCTTTCATACCTGAAATTTTGCGATTGCTACCTGGTAGCTTTTTTCAGTCTTTGGTGCATACACAGAACGACGCTAACTCGCATACTCATTAAGTTCAAAAATAATTTTTCTCCTCGAAAATGGGCATGCTGGAAAGTGCGCGCTGTGCGCACTCTTTTCTCGTGCGCACGTAAGGAAAATGCGCACTCTTTTTTCAAATTTTGTACAGGAAATTGCGCTCTCTTTCTAACATCAGGAAAATGCGCACGGTGATTCCGCTCTTTTCTAGATTGAAGTCCGCATAAATCATCTCACTTTTCTCTTTGTCATGAAGAAGTCTTTCAGCTAAAGATGTATTGAACAGCTTTTTGATTATTTGAAATTTTTATGGAGAATATTTCTTATCAGCGAATGATGTGCGGTCACTTCGGAATGAGACCAGGTGTAGTTTTGCAAAAAGTGAGATGCTCTCTTTTGAGACCAAGCTGATTTCAAGCTTGGTCTCAAAAGCTGCCGCAAAAATCTGCTAAAAAAGTGAGGGGCTCTCAAAATATACAGATGTTGCCGATCTGATAACATTAAACAATACAGAGTGGAGGAATAATTACAGCGACAAAAGTTTGTAGGATTAGTTCTCGCCGACCCGAACTTATTTTCGTTCCAGTCATTATTCCTACCTATATATAATATGATGACCGTCGTGCCACGCTGATTTTCAAAAAGTCGTTTCTGCCTTTTGGGCGTTTACGGCAAGGCAGGCAGGCTTGGCAATGAAAAAAAAATGAAAGCCTAAAGCCCGGCCTTTAGGCCTTCATTTTCAATTTCAAAAAAAAGCGCGAGTTCAAGCCAGAGATTCGAGAAAAATTCTCACAGAAAAATTATTTTTACATGCTGAATCACAGTTTTTAATAACTCAATGAGGAAAAATAAGCAAAAACCCCGATTTTCTCGTTAAAACAGCGAAAAATTCGACATGAAGAAAATTTGAGCTTTTTGAGCCGGGCCGAACCACCAAAAAGTTCTTTCAGTGATTTTTACAGCCAAGTACAACATTGGAAAAAAAAAATCTTGTGTCAAAGAACCAATTGACAAACTAGGAAGAAGCCAAATTTATTCAATACAAAGTCGAGACAACAAAAAAGATAAAGACAGTTTTTCCCTTTCCCTTTTGTAGAACGAAAACTCCCACGTTTCCCAGAAAGATATTAAAACCACCCACACAATAAATATTTTATGGGAACAATTTGACAATTTTGGGAAAAGAAAAAGATCGCTTTCGCGACACTCCCAGGAGCGAGAGAAGGATCACATTAGTTTTACGTGGCGAATATGAAAGCATTTAAAATAAAAATACTTATAAGATAAGAGAACAATAACAAAGATGAGAAGGATTACTATAAAAAGTTTCCCTAATGAAAAAATAGAGTTCCATAAAAATGAAAGTGATAATTGTAATAGGTTCGGGATTTCATTAAAAACCTTGGAGAATGTTGAGGAGAATTCATTCAAAACTATGTCGGTATCGAATCCTTCATAAGAAAGGGTTCCAACAATAATTACTTTTTCAAACCACAATCTAGACTGCAAGTAATATTTAACTCTTGATTATTGTGGTTTAAGTAAATGATGTTTTCGTTAGAGTTACCACAAAATATTGTAGTCGTTGAATCACCACAATTCAAGTAGGCGGTTTTGAGTTCACGCGTCGTCGAGGAGCAGGAAAGTTGTATTTTGGCACCGTCAAAACAGTTGAAACATCCGTCGATGGCGTTGACCTTGGCCGAGCATTTGTCCTTTTGTATCACTCTTATAAAGGTAGAATTTTCCATTTCTACGTGGACTTGGACGGCTGATTGGGCTTTTGTCTTTGTCCAGACATTTCCTTGTGCGTCGTTTTCCATTAGAAAATTTGCCATTCGTTTCGGCAGCTTCTTTTTCATGTACTTTTCCAGCAAGACGGCCGTACAACGGCAATTTATTGCCTTTCCTTGTGGCAGGCAATTGCATGCTCTTTCCGAAAAGAAGCATTGGAACTTTTCGGCTTCTTCAAGAGTACGACATTGGAGGTCGCCTATCGTTCCTTCTTGAGGTCCTCCCGGGAGCGACGAAGGCGTCATCGAAAATGCGACGTGAGGCGACTTGATTCGATGAATGAATGTGCCAGCATGAATGGGAGAAGGCGGCAACGAAAACGAAGTCGCAGTAAGCGAGATGTTGAATAAAGCCAAATGTTCTTTTATGCCGGCTCGAAGGAGAACGTTGACCTTTTTTTCATTCATTGCGACGGTGACCTCAACTGTCGAAGTCCACTGGGGACAATGAAAAATTTCGTAAACATACGGAGATGTTGCCTTAGCGTAGTTTCGGAAGAAGAGACAACTGTTAGAACAGCTGAAACATCCTGAGCAGGTGATACAGCCACAGCCAGCAGCGCAACGTGTGAAGCCTGGTGAGTTTTTCGCCTCATTGCTCAACTCGGGAAGCTTTTCATCAATCGTTATGCTGCTGCAGGAGTCGGTTGTCCTACACGAGCCTGCCCAGTGACATCGATGGGAGTAGTCGGTCAGAAGTTTGTAGTCGCGAGTGAAGTAGCTGGATACCTTCACGCAGGAAGATTTGATGTGATGAGCGTGGACGGTTAGTTGACCAACCGCGACCTCGGCTGTTGAGATGTTGATGCATGCAGTGGTTCCAGAAGGAGTCAACGACAGTAGAGCGTTCGTTGTTACGGAGCACCGAGTTTGTCCAGGTTCCGAAACGCATCGAGCTTCTTTTGCCGTAATGGACGCAATGTCGCCACAGGTCGAGTTCACGACCAGTGGCATTGTGACGAGTAGTGCGATGGCAAGCATGGGTCTGCGGTAACGAGGAAGGATAGCTGCCATCGGTTGTCGTCGTCGTCGAAGTCTGTTCCAGATGTTTTCTGTAGTCAGTAGGAGAAGAAGAATTGGAACTCGAGTGAAGATCCAAAAAAATTTCAGTAGAACGAGCGCTCCTTTGAAAGTGGTTGCTAGTGCTTGAATGATCATCAAGATCAGGAGCACCACGACGATCATGCCAGATTTTTCAATGGTGTTCTTGAGCGAACTCCATATGGAGGGCTTTTCCATCAGTTTTGGTCCTTGGGTGACGTCAGTCGCGGATGCCAAAGTGACAAACGCGAGGAGCAGTAGAGTTGTGCTCATCGTCATCGATCTTGTTGTCGGTCGTGTCGAGCTGGTTTGTCCTGCTTGATGCAGTCGTGTTGTAGACGGACTGGTTTGCGGAGCAGCATTGCTGTCCTGTTCTGCGACTGAACATTCCAAAGGAAACAAATTTTTTAGCGGTCGTTCTATGATGCGTCGTGTTTTTCCTTGAAGAACTTTTGCAGATCGCCCAGAAAGTTCCACGATTTTTCCAAGTGGCCAGGCTCCCATTTTTATTGTAGGCGTTTGAATGAGAACCACATCGCCGATTTTTGGTTCTTGCAGCGAGGTTGAGCCTTGGCGGTGTTCAAAGTCTCTGCGTTCTTGCAGAGCCTGAGGATATTCGACAATCCAGCGGCGTTGGTAGTTTTCAGTAAGGGAGGAAGTTCGCATCCATGTTTCGAGTAGTCGATCTCGATTTTGCGGCAACTCGTCGAAGTTGGCTTCTTCGGATAGAGTGAGCAAGCCGTCACGATGACATGTCGGTAGAACCATGTGCGATGGTCGTAGAGGCGCAAAGTCGTCTTCAGATGACGTGTAGGTTAGAGGTCGATCGTTGATGATTGAACTTGCTTCAGAAAGAAGTGTTCTGAATTCTTCGTAACTGAGTAGTGATCGGTTGGTTCCAGCACGCAGCAAGGAGGTTTTGACCAAGCCAATGAGACGTTCGTACGCTCCTCCAGCCCATGGAGAAAAGGCGGGAATGAAGCGAAATTTGGGGAAAGAGCTTGAGCTCAATGTAGATGGCAGATTTTGTCGTTCCGCTTCTCGTAGAGCATCGTTGAGTAGAACGAATTGTCGACCGTTGTCGCTCAAAAGCGTTTTTGGGGTGCCGAAGAGTGCGCTCAGGCGACGAAGAGACAACAAAAGCGTCACTGCAGACAGATCGAGCACGGCTTCACAGTGAACAAAGCGAGTTGAAAGACATGTGAAGAGAATGATCCAACAAGATGAAGTGGTGCCATTGTTGGAGATTTTCAACGGTCCAGCGTAATCAACGCCGGCGTTTTCGAAGGGAGGTCGGCTGGTAGTTCTGCTTTCCGGAAACGGAGGGAAGTCTGGTTGATAGAACGGTTTCAACGTTGCTCGACGGCAGCCGTAGCAAGACTTCAAAGCATTTTTGACGACCTGCCGACTGCGTGGGATCCACGCGATCTCACGTAATTTTGACAGAGTGTAGACAGGACTGGAATGATGATACTTCTCATGGAGCCATTGAACAAGGAGCTTCGCGATGTGACCGTTCGGCAAGAAGGGCAGAGGCTTTTGCTGGATTCTTCCAGTAAACGTCCAGACATTCTCTTTTTTGAAGAGTCGTAGTGAAGCGATGGTGTCGTTGGCTGGAGGGTCCAGGAGTTGAGCAAGTCGTAGCAATTGAAGGAGTGCTTTTGGACGATGTTCATGTAAAGCTAATTTGCGACCAGTACCAAAGTAGAGCACTGTCATGACGACACGCAGCAAACGGTGAAAGGAACTGAACCGAGTTGGATCCAAGACGGGATCTTCTGAGAAGTTCGCAATCGTCTGCAGCACGACTTGTTCAGTCGGTTGGAGAGTTTGCGGTGGTGTGTCTGCGAGAAGGAGAAACTCTGGGCCGTTCCACCACAATCGAGTAGTGCGAAGTTCTTCTGGAGTGCAACCGCGAGTGAGAAGGTCGGCTGGATTGTCAGTGCCTTTGATATGCCGGAAATCGACGTTGGCGCAAAGTTCTTTGATTTTCGAAACACGATTTCGAAAGAAAACTGTCGAAGGTTTTGGTGACTGGAGAATGTCCAAGCTGCATTTGGAGTCTGTCCCAGAGCTGTTCTCAAGTCGGGGCGACCCTGGCCGAGGCCGCCCCGACCCGACCGCGACGCGCCCCTGAGCGCCCCGGCCCGCGAAGCGGTTTTTATTCAGGCCCCCGAAGCGAGCGCGAGGATTTTTTTTTCCGTTTTTTTTGTTTTTATTTCGTTTTTTTCATATTGGAAATGAATGTTTAAGTTATTTATGATCCATGAAAAGTTTAATTTTATTGTTTTTTTGATAGAAATCGGGCTTTTTTTGACTTCACTTTTTTTCGAATCTTTTTTTCGTTTTTCTCGTTGTAAATAAAAAAATAATATTTCAAATAGTGGTTTGAATGAATTTTTTTGCGAAAAATGAAATTCCTGATGATGTGAAAATTTCAAATTATTTTTTTATTAATTATTTCGTTTTTCTCTAGTTCTGTAAACTGTTCTGGCCACTTAGAAAAACTATTGAATTTTTTTGGATTAATATCTCATTTCCTCGGTTTTTCTTCTTTGTGTGCTCGATAAAAATGTTTTTTTGTTTCACTTTCATTTCAGTGAAACTTGCACTTCTTTCGCTTTCTTATAACTCGCAAAAAACCGGGAGTCAAAAAAAAAATTTGTATCTACGGGTCGACCGAGTTGACCCTTACCAAAGGCCGACCGCGGCCGCCCTCGAACACGCCGCAAATCGGGGCGCCCTCGGTCGACCGGGGCCGCCCCGAGAACAGCTCTGGTCTGTCCATATGACCGTTCTTGAAATTGAAAGATCGATTTCATCAGTGAGAAACGTGGCAAGTTGAGCCGCCGTCTGGACTCCGAGAAGTTCTAGTTGAGGAATGCTCAAGACCTTTTTCAGAGGGGCGAGTCGAGACTTGGACATCACAAATGATGTTTCTCGATGATCTTCGGAGACCATCAGAAGGTAAGCCACTGCTCCAAAGGCGTCCTTCGAGGCGTCAGAAAAGACGTGAAGCTCAAATCGATCGGACAGCGAGTTTTGAGTGAAGTAACGTCGAGGAAGTTGAATGGCTTGGCCTCGCCATTGTTCGACGATGGAACTCCAAGTCGATGCTTCTTCAGATGTCAAAGAAGTGTCCCAGCTTTTTGAAGTTTTCCAAAGACGTTGGAAAAACAGCTTGCTGGCCAAGACGACTGGAGTGATCAGTCCCAGAGGGTCGTAGACTGACGCCGTTTGTTGAAGCACTCGTCGTTTCGTGAGTAATCCTTGCTGAACTTGAGGTAGAACCACAGCAATTTCGTCACGTTCAGTATTCCACTGAATTCCCAGGAGCTTCTGATTGCAGCTTTCCTTTGGCTTTGCTTCAGCATTCATGAAGAAGGTGTTGAGGGTGTCATCATTAGAAGTAAATTGACACAGATTCATTGCAGCATCGTGAAAAATCTTTTTAGATTTCCGGTAGAAGATTTCTCCATCGTTGCAGGTGTCACTTCCATAGAAGATGTTATCGACGTAGCAATTCCGAAGAATTTCTTGAGCGAGTGGATCTTCGAGATCCTGAAGATGGCGCTTGATTGTAGCATTCAGGAGGAAAGGACTGCTTCGAAGACCAAATGGCACTCGACAGAATCGATAGCATCGAGGTTTGTCTCCGGGATGCGGTGTCCAGAGGAATCGAGTGGCGTCTCGGTCGCGTATGTCGAGCTCAAGCTGGAGAAAAGCCTTTTCGATGTCGGACACCACGAGGATTTTGTTCTTCCTTGCTCGCAGAAGAACTCCTGCGAGTTGTGGCATCAGCTGAGGTCCGATGTGGAGCATGTTGTTGATTGATTTGGAAGTGGAGCTTTTTTGAGCACTTCCGTCGTACACGATTCTCAGCTTTGTTGATTTGTTGTCGTTGGTGACGCAATGATGAGGAATGTAGTGAATGATTTCACCATCAGCTATTTCCTCGTCGTCGACGATTTCGATGAAGTTTTTCTGCAGTTGGTCACAAATGACTGCATTGTAGCGTCGTAGAAGGTCTGGATTTTTCACCAATTTTCTCGTAGTTGACTGGAGGCGGAAGTAAGCTAGCTCTTTGTGAGTAGGCAAGCTTTTGGGGTCTTCCAAATAAGGTAGTCGAACCACATAACGACCGTCTTCGTTACGTCTGACAGTGGAGTCGAAGAATTCGATGGCCAAGTCGTCGGTTTTCAGAGTGGTGTTTTCGAAAACCACGAAATGCATCAGTTAACATAGAAGTGTGAGGCGATGAAATGAACTGGATATCGGCGTTGTTGCGTTGTCGATGGATGACTTTTGCTTGCAGCACTGGACTGTGTTCACGGCAGTAGCACAAGATGCGGAATATGTAGAATAAGCTGATGACTCTCTGACGTGGAAAGGGATCGGCTCCTTTCCAAGACACAGAAGAGCTGACGTGAATAGTTAATGGGCTGGTAGAATGGTGTCAGAGGTTATCAGCGAAGATTGTAGGCCTCGATCGTAGTGGTCGCCATGTCACGTACAGCAAAACTGCATCTTTATTGGTGGTGTTATTGTGCCGATGAAACAATACAATTTTCGATTCGCTTATAAAGGAATAAGTCGACGTGGCTTTCCCATAAAACAGAACGACTCTTGGGAAACAGTGTGGCAAGGCAAATATCATAGGGAATCTCGTGACGTTTCACGACATTTACATAATTTTTTGGTTTTTTTTTCAGTTTCACACCCTTTGAAAGGTTTCAATTTGAGAAATATTACGAATGAAAGTCTTTAGTTCTTCTTTGAACTTTCTGAACTTCAAATAAACTCGAATTTTTTAAAAATTCTCACATAATCTCATTTCATTTTTTTTTTCCAACGTAAGTATCATTTTTTTTTTTTTTTGATTTGAAACGAATTATTTTTCTACAGACGTATTCTTTGTTTCTTTTGCATAGAACAGCGGCGAAAATAAGCTTCGAATAATTTTTTATGTGAAAGAAATGAGTTATGGTTGATACATTATCGGAATGTAGCGCGAGAACGACAGCTAGAAATTTGCGATGTTTCTTTATAATGGTGTTTCATAAGCTCCTTTTTTTGCTTCTTGTGAAGTAATTCTCAATTTTGAAAAGGAATCGATCAAATACATGTAACCTCAGCTTTTGGAATTGTTTTGAAATAGAAAATTATGATCTTTCCCAGAGGAAAACATGTCTTTTCATGTTTCATTAAGTGAGAAATAACTGTGAAAAAACAAGACGTTAAAAATGATATTCAAAAGATATACCCCCGACCAAAAATAATCAAAAATGGCGAGTCAGATGTGGCCAAAAGTTTTGATCTGACGCCGGGCGGTCAAAGCGGCCGAGGTTCGAGAAGGACCTCTGGACTGGCGCGAAAGGTTCGCCGTCCCAAAAACAATCGTCATTCTGTTTTTTCTCCGTTCTGTGCAGGGTGCTGCTGCCGCTCGTCTTAGATTTTGAATTTATTATTTTAATTGTTGTTCTTAGATAGTTTTACTTGTATTATTTCAATTTTTAAATTTCTTTCAGCGGTCTTCGAAGCTTTTCGGCGTTGTAAAGCATTTTATTTTTTTTGAATGACGTGGAAAAATGTTTTTAACTACCTTTGCGGAGTTTTCGAGAAGCGTAGAGTTTTTTCCAAGCTAGACGAATGAAGTTTTCCAGAATCTTGTGCCTTCTCTTTCAAGGATCAAAACTTTAGATGATCGCTGAAATTTGCTCTGCTTTATTGCTTTCTTCAATGAACTTCGCTTCCCGTTTTTTTTTTCGTATTTTCCAACGTTTTTTTGATTTCAGACGAATACCGAGGGACCGCGACTTCGACGACTTTTTCAAGGCCTCGACTCGGATTGGTATCAATTTCAAATGTTTCAATGTTGCTTTTTGCGTTGAGAAACGTTTGAAGATTTAAATTTCCTATTTTTTTCAGGTGTTTCTTGATCGGCATCCTAAAAACGACGTTTCTCAACGTGGAAAGTTTTGTGTCAAATCAAAAAATTTTTCTCTTCTTGAAAGTTCGACTCAAACTTTTAATCCTTGTTTACAGGTCTTTTAATTTTCACCTCCGGGTGATATCGCATGAGGCACACACATAAATTTTCAAACTTCTTTTTTGAGCACCCATTTTTAAGTTCTCAAATATTTCTTTAGAAATTTCCTAGTTGAGGTTTTTAAAAAAATTGTTCAAAGCGTTCATCAAGAGGGTCGATTTGTCAAGCCGTCTGAATTATTGTTCTCAATAACTTTTTCCAGTTAAAAAATGTCCATGTTATAACATTCATTTTTTTTCCGTTTTCAAAGGGTTTTTAGAAGATTTTTGAGAATCCTTTCTTTTAAAAAAATACTAGCTCTTCACTCGAAATGTTGACCCGTAGGTTTATAAGTTTCAGAAATATCAAAAAAACTAGATGTTTATTGCTACTTTTTTTAGTTTAGAAGTTTGACATGAACTTTTTAGATTCAAAAAAACGTCTACCTCTTAAATTTTTCTTCTTCACCGTTTTATGCTTTTTTTAGTATAATTTTTTTAGGTTCAGTTTCATGCGACATCATCTACCCTTCTAGCTTTCTTTTTTTATATATTTCGAGTTGAAATGAACTTTTTAGAAGAAAAAAATTTTTGTCCGTCTCTTGTCCGTGGGGTGAATGTTGTCGGCGTCTTTGGTCGGTGGTGGCGCAGAAAAAAAGACGACTGTATCCCCGGCTTTCGTCCGGCCAGAGAGAGCATCACGAAAGAGGAGAGCTGTAGTCTGGCGTCTCCTAAAATACCATGCTCTCTCGCCGGCTTCAGCCGAGCATACATGCGACTTTTGATCTGTGGAGTGGGGGTACTGTGGGGCAAGGCTCCTCTTCCCTCCCAAGCTCGTCAATTCGAAGGTCGCGTCCAGTATATTGGGTTGTGTACAAATAAATTTTGCTTTTTTTCCAAGTTATGTTTTTTTTTTTCAGATTAGTGCTATATCCAAGCTTCTCATGATCCGAATGGAATCAATAATTCAATAATAAGCTTTTTTTTTCCGTTCAGTCTTTTTGAAGGATTCTCTTTCATTTTTGTAGACAAAACAACGGACTTTTTCAGAGTCCACGACCTTTTTCCTGAGTTAAAAAAGAATCATCTTCAAATAGTTATTGGGTTCACGTTGCCGTATTTTCATATTTTTTTTTCTCAACACTTTCGGTTGAAAAGAACGAAGACTTCATCAAATAAAAATGTTCAGTTTTGCTGAAGTTGACAATTTTTTGTAGCTCTTTGAATGTGAGTATAGGGCCTTTCAAATAATTGAAGAGCCTATCGTAGACAAGTTTATATAATTTGATCTTTATTCAATTTGAATTATATTTCCCTGGTTTTTGGTTTTTCTAAGTAGATAGCTGGATTTCCAAGTTTTAAGTTTGTTTGTTTCTTAGGTAATTAGTCCAATAGGTCCGTTTTTGAAGGTTCTTTCAGATTTAGTTCGTTCATTTTAGGTTCCTAGAAAGATTAAAATAGGTTATTTTTGTCAATTAGTATTGGTCGATAAAAAGCGAGATTCATTTGTACACAACCTGATATGATTCCCGAGCTCATGAAAATGAACTTGATTTGCTGGTTGGTCTAGTGGTTCGGAAACTGGTTTGGTAAATTCACGACGAAGGTTCGGATCTTGATGAAGTTTCAATTTTCATTTTTCTTGATAGTCCAAACATTTTTTTTCGGGTTGAGTCTTTTGGTCGCAACTGTTACATTTCACGAAAATTTTACGGAATTTCATTTAATTTTTTCAGAGTTAGTACTTTTTGACTTTTTATTGACACTTATTTGCAACAAAACAATCCGCAATAATTTCTTTTTTGCAACAAAACAATCCGCAATAATTCCATGGCCTCCAAACAATTTTTAGGCTTTTTTCCTTCAGCTCTTCTTACTTTTGCTGCAAAAAAAAACCGCAATGGATAAATGGCCTTCCAATTTGGCCGCTTCACGGAATGTCTTCTTTCTAAAAGGCATTATAAATTCTTTTTTTTTTGATATATATTTTAAATTTGAAAAATGAACCATTTTTCATCAATGATTCGGATTCAACAAAGTTGAGCATCAGAAATATATCCATGAAGCGGAAAAATTGAAAGCTCATGAGCTTATTGCGGTTTTTTTCAAAATTTTTAGGCTTTTTTTTTCAAATTTTAGGTAAACTTCGGACCTTCGTCAAGAGTTTTTCAAAAAAAGATCTGAAAGCTTTGCGTATTTTTTACGTCATGGACTTTTTTTTTAAGTAAAAATGGTTTTTTCTGTCAATCAGTAAATTGCGTACATTTGCTTGGGTTCGGGCGCCACCTGACAGTGTCTTGCGAGGTCATTCCTGCTCCTTCGTTCTATCACAACTTCTAAACTTCATCCTGAGCCAACTTGAGCTCGAACTCTTTCCACTTGATCTTCAGATCATTTGAAATGAACATGCAAGACCTGTGACATGTTGGAAAAGTGCTCTTGAATTTTGGATTCTTCAGCTTTTACATCTGCAAGGCTTCTCTTTGGAATTCAAATTTGCATTCTGTGCTTTGAAGTCTTCTTCATTTCGACACAGTCAACAAATAATAGTCGAACAGAAAAACTTTGCCTTCTGGCAAAATTTTTCCTTTTAAAAAAACTTGTGTTTTTTTGTACATTCTGAATTTTTTTGTATTCACTTTCTACATACATTTGAAAGAATTTTTTTCCATTTTTTTAGAGTTTAAAAATATGGATATATTGGCTGTGTCAAATTGGCGAAGATTTCGAAGCGCAGATTTTTTTCAATTAATCAAACTCTAAAAATTTCTAAAAACTTGAAATTTACAAGCTTTTTGCTGAAATGCTTGTTGCAGTTCTTCTTAGTTTCATTAGGGTCAATCAGCATTAGAAGAATATTTGGAGAAAAAAAATTTTATTTTCCAAACTGACTTCAAAAATTTGTTCCTTCTATTCAAACTTGTAATTTTTAAAAGGTCGAACTGAAAACTTTCTTTTTTTTCGCAACCTTAAAACTGAGCAGATGCTTGATTTGATTGACTTGAGTAGACTGGAGAAGTGCAAGACGTGTTCAAAAAAAGGTTGAAGTTTAGAAGAATTATAGTTTTATTCAACGAAATAAAAAACTTTGAGAGCATCTTTTTAACATAGCACAAGTACATAATGTCTTTTCAAAGGATTAGGCCGTCAAATGGAGCGAACTTGAGTTTATCAGGATGAAGCTCTGAAGAAAAGGGTGGAAAAAGAGGAGCATTAATGACCTTGTAGGACAATGTCCAAGGACGAGCTTGGAGGTGAAAGATTCCTCGCTTGACAGGACTCTCACCAGGCCTCAAGCCACCTACCAAAGACTTGGCTTCGGGTTCCACCGTCCTCCAGAGGGCGGTGAAGCCCGAAGTCAAGGCCTCCGGGTCGGACTCCACAGCCAGCCTGTGGGGTCTGAGGCTGAGGTCTCTAGCTAGGGCCCTTAAGGCCCGGGCTGAAAACTCGGCCTCAGACCCCCAGGGGCGGCGCGTGGTGCTCGAGATCGGAAGTCTAACCGGCACCTGAAACCCCAGGTCCGGCAGCGGCTCTGACCCTGCCGGACAAATCCAAGTACAAAAGGGGGAGGAGAATACTTTATTAAAAATCATGGTTCAGAGTGTCCGGTTCAATGCCGCCCTCGGAGTACGACGTCGTCCGGCATCCATCCCGGCTCGCGTCTCGACCGGCATCCATCCCGTCACATCAATCGACCTGAAACCCTCCCCATTAACCCCTTTAATTCCCTTCCCTTGTGATCTCGGAACCCTCCAAATCTGGAGCGGTCCGGACCCCTTCCTCAAATGACCCAAGGCCGAGTCCTTTTTTCCTGCCGAGGCTTGAGTGAATGGCCTTTTTGACTGGAAGCCTTCGAATAAAGAGTAATTTTTTTTGTTGCAAGTCTTACAAGGGACCCAAGAAAGAAGCTATCTGAAAATTGAAAGTCCATCAATAGTCGCTCAAAGTGTTAAGCTTAACTGACCCAATGACCAAGTGAATGGCAAAGATGCCCTTGGACAAGTCATGCAAAAAGAAGTGCAAGTTCTTCAAAAATCAATGTTGAAACTTTGATGAATGAGATCTCATTACAAGTTTTTAGTACTGAAACTACGGAAGTCTCCTACTTGAAGCTTGATCGAAGAATTGATTACTCTAATTTTTTTTCAAGTTGAAGGCTGCAAAAAAAAAACCGAGAGTTAGGGTTCAAAGGTAAGCTCGCAATTAGACAACGTTCCAAACAGTCTTGGAAAAAAATAGTCTTTCAGGTAACAAACAATAAAAAAAATAAATTTTCATTGAAATAATCATTCATAAGCCTCTTTTGGCTTTAGATTGAAAAACATCAGAAAAAGGGAAGTTTTGATTCCAACTAAAGTTTTTTGCTACTAAGGTGAATACTGACTGATTGGCTAAAACTCTAAAAATTGCGAGTTCACCTCTGAAAAAAAAAATCATAAGCTATATGAAATAAAAAAATTCAAGTGACTATTAAGAAAGAATATATTTTCGGTCTAGAAAATTCATTAGAACCTTGAAATCCAAGTCGACTCTAACATGGACTTCAAAAAGACTTGTACTCTTTTGCACGACTTTTCCAAAGACCCTTTGCTGTCCACAGAGTCATCAAATCAATAAAAAATCTCAACTTTTCGAGCGGATCTCGATGGATTCGTTATTTCTCATGGAGCTTCATTCTCGACTTCCCTGTGGGACTTTGCAAAAAAAAAAATGACCGCTCATTCGAAAACTCCCAGTCAAAACTAACGGATACAAGCGTTCCGCAAAACAAGTTCTTTGGAAAAAAAATCATTTTTATCTCTCAAATCGCGTTGCAGATCCAAACATCAAGACCAAACGTCAGAAAAAAAAAAGAAAATCACATCAAACTAGACTACGAAATTTCGAGATAAAAAAATCCGGAAAAATATTTAAGGAAATTCTCGGTACACCAACGGATAACAGCTCTTTGCATAACAAGTTCAAGTCATGATAAAACTTTTTTTCCAGCTTTTGTAATTTTCTAAACGTTTTCCAAACAAAAAATGAAGTAAAATAATTTTTTTTTGCTTATCACTGAAATGATAAGAACTTCTATCCACTAGTGTTTATTGTTGAACTTACGATGAAAGATTATTAACCCGCCAGAAAATTTCAAAAAAGGTTGTATATGTGGGAAAATGTATGGAAAGTAATGACACACTTTTTTCGAAATTTAAAAAAACGAATCAACAAATAATTTTCAATGACAAACGGCTTCACAATCAACCAAAAAAAAAGAACCTTTTTGATAATTTAATGCAATACTTGAAGTCAAATCGCATCAAACCTTCCCTCTTCAGGAAAATAAAATGTGAAAGTTCGTAATAATTTATACGAAAAGTCGTAATTTTGAAAAAATTATTCAACACTGTCCGAAAATTAACAAGTATCTGAAATCTTGTTTTAAACTTTGTAGTGTTGGTTTGTTGCGATTCAACTCTTCAAAAGCCTGAAATTGGAAAAAAAAAATCAGGATCCGCAACACATACAACTAAAAAGAATTAGAAAAATAAAACACTTTTTTGGCAAGGATCCAAAAAGTTGATCGGCGAAACGTTTGCATCCGTTAGTCGACCACCCACCCAAGTCCCCGGCAAGAGAAAAGGAGCCGACCTTGGGTCATTTTCCCCAGGCAAACTCTCGAAATCAAATAAATCATCGACTTTTGAAGCTTCTTTTTGGAAAAATGAAAAAAAAAGTCTGAAAACAGCGTTTGAGTTTGACTTGAATGAAAATTCTTTGACATCAAAACTCGAGCTACTCTTTAAAAGTCACCGAAGTCTGAAAAAACGAATCAAGTTTTTTTTTTCTATTTTAAGAGAATTGATTCGAACAAATTGAATCGGATAAAAGAAATTATTCGAATTCTAAAAACTAAAACCTTGAAAAAAAAAAATTCAAACTTCGCTTTCAGACCTCTACTCCAAAATTACTTGAAATGAGTCAGAGAAAAAAAAACTTGAAAATAATTCTTACATTTCCGGCCACATAATTTCAATCGTACTTGGCTTTTGAAGAATCTTATAAGTAAATTGAAAATAGATCGGAAATCTGAAAAATGGATATTTGAGAAAAGTTCCGATTGAAAAATTGCGGCAATAAATGATTTCTTTTCCTAATCTAATTTGATTTCGAGAATTTTCCTGAGTGAAAAACGCCCAGCCGCTCAGTTTTGGACGATTCCAATCCCAAAAAGGAAGGGAACCGAAAAAAAAAATTCAAACGAACCTTAACTTACTCGCGTTTTCAGATCCTGTAGACGGAACCCTCCAATCGAGTCGTTGTCGTCAATTTGTCCGATCCGAATTAAGTCTTTCTGAAAAATTCTCAAACTAGTATCAGTAAATAATAATGGAACTTATATTTTAACTTAGGTAGCTTCTTGAACCGTCGAGTAGTCGCCAAGAGCCTCTTCGAAGAACCGTCCGCTTCGCCTGAAACAAAAAAGAACTTAAACAAAATGAAAATAAACGCGAAACAATGTTCAACGAGAAAAGTCAATAGAAAATTCAGCAGGTATCCAAACTCCCAATCTTAAAAGCATCGATGAAAAAATCCTAAAATACATAAATCGTTTCAAAAAAAAACAATACAACGCCTCAAAACTTCATTAAATTTAGAAATATGCAAAACCAGCAATACAATTGAAATAAAACAACTGTCTAAAAACAACAATTACAATAATAATTTCAAAATCTAAGACGAGCGGCAGCAACACCCTGCCCAGAACGGAGAAAAAACAGAATGACGGTTGTTTTTGAGACGGCGAGCCTTTCGCGCCACTCCAGAGATCCTTCTCGAACCTCGGCCGCTTTGACCTCCCGGCATTAGATCAAAACTTTTGGCCACATCTGACTCGCCTTTTTAATTATTTTTGGTCGGGGGTTTATCTTTTGAATATCATTTTTAACGTCATGATTGTCCAAATTATTTCTGACATGATGAAACATGAAAAGACATGTTTTCCTCTAAGAAAGTCATAATTTTCTATTTCGAAACAGTTCCAACAGCAAAAATTCAAACGTATTTGATCGATTCCTTTCAAAATTGAAACTAACTTTAGAAGGATCAAGAAAAAGGAGCTTATGAAACATAATTATAAAGAAACATCGCAAATTTCTAGCTGTCGTTCTCGCGCTACATTTTGATAATGTAACAACCATAACTCAATCCTTTCTCATGTATAAACAATTATTTGAAACTTATTTTCTCCGCCATTCTATGTTTAAAAAAAACAAAGAATACGCCTGTAAGAAAATTATTCGATTGAAATCAAAAAATGATACAAACGTTGGAAAAAAAGATTGAAATGAGAATATGTGAGAAATTTCAAAAATTCGAGTTTATTTGAAGTTCAGAAAGTCCAAAGAAGAACTAAAAACTTTCATTCGTACTATTTCTCAAATTGACACTTTTCAAAGGGTGTAAAACTAAAAAAAGAAACAAAAAAATTATGTAAAAAAGAAATAAAAAAATTTTTTTAAAAAAATGAAGAAAAAAACCGTGTTAGAATGTTGCCAAGAAGGATATGAGTGCGGAAGCGAGCATGATTTCGTCTCGTGGCTGTCAGCAGGAAAAATAATTTTTCCACGTGTAGTTGTATTACTTTAAACGTGGCATAAAAGTTTCTGTAAATCTACAGAAGTTGTGCGTGAAATAATATGCGTTCTCCGCAACTACGTGGTTCTGTGTTTACGACGTAGTAAACTACGGTACCCGAGAAAACAGCAAAAAATTCATAACTTGACGGCTTGAAGGACGGGTCGCGAAAATTAATACATTCACCGTCTTTTTGTCAGACAGCATCAAAAATAAGTTTGTAGCATAATCGATATTGCTTTTTTCAAATAAAAAATCCCGAAAACTGTTGGTCAAGTTAATATTTACTGTGATGAGATTAAGTATACAAATATAAGACGAACACGCAAGCCATAAATATATAGAGATTGCAATTGTCGTGGAAATCAATAAATAATTGATAAATTATAGAAAACAAGTTTACGTCAATTCGAGTTGAGGAAAATAGTTTTTTAGAAGAAAAGAAACCAGAAAAACTGGGACTCCTCATTCAAACTCGATTCAAGGCTCTCAGTTTTCCGTTCAATTACACACAAAAAGCCAATAACCCAAGAGAAGCAATTAAATACAAGTTTCTTTCGAATAAAAAAAAGGGAATGCACCATGAAATGGACATGAAATAACTTCTTTTGTACAATTTGCTGGTTCTGAATGAAAATGCAAGCTCAGAAAGGTTATTTGATTAGGATTTGATTGAAAGAGCTGGAATTATTTATGAAAATGGTTGATTTCGTAAGAAAAAAAGACCGGATGAGCGAGTTCAGGACTAAAATCGAATTATATAAGTATAAAGCCGGCCAGGAAAAATCGGGGGTTGATAAATAAAACTATGAATTTGGTAGTAAGACAACCACGGAGAGAGGAGAAGGTTATGCAGAAAGATTTCGAATTTTCATACCTAGGATTATCTAACACAGAACTTTAGGCCAGATGGGGGAAGTGCCTGAGGAGAATATCTGGCCTAAAGTTCTGTGTTAGATAATCCTAGGTATGAAAACTCGAAAACTAGAGTACTGAGAAACAGCCTCTCGAAAATATACAGGAAAAGCAAAAAAAAAAACGAATCATCTTTAATTTTTTCGTGGAAAAAGTTTTTTTCACCTGTTTCTTATGGAATAGTGCAAAACAGTAGACGTTTTAGAAATCGAAAGACCGAAGAAAATCAGTTTTTGAGATTTTTGCGTCCATTTTCGACAGGCTAGTTATCCGTACCCTAAGGTGCTTAGCAGATTTTCATATTCGAGTACTCATACCGAGGACGATCTACCACATAAATTTGGTTCAGACCTCGAAAAGTTACCTTGTGAGACGACGGTCACTCTTAAAAAAGTAATCAAAGACATTGCAAATTTTGCTTACTCCATCATTTTTTTTTTCACAACTGATTTTGACCTTAAAATTATGATTGAATTAACCCAATAAAACATAAGAGCGACCGAAAATCGGTTAAAAAGAAAATTGTACCCGAGATGAAAAGAAAAAAGATGAATTTCACAAAAAAAGAAACCATAATTTGAGCCGTAAGCGCAGACGAAAGCAATGGCGAGGATCAACACTTGATTTTATAGAAAAAGAATGTCCAAGAGATAAATAGAAAGGAGAAGTGGCACCTAGGACTCGTTATTCTTCTTTATCCGCTTTTTTGTCAGTTGAAGAACTTTTGCAGAACCTCGAATGCAACGGAACGATAAAAGACAGGATCAAGGCGAGCAGCGGGGCTATCGAGAACATGAAGATCTGAAAGAAGAAAAATAAAATAGTGTTTGAGAGATTTGAAATTCTTCAATCGCATGGCTTTAAAAAAAGCCGACCAAGCAAGGGCTCAGTTTGCTGGTTCGAACAGTTTACACGTCATGAGAATTTGATTGCTTTATGACTTTTTTTAGGTTTAAAAAAACATTATTCATTTCACAATCAAATGGAGACATAAAAAAACTCAATTGAAAAAGACTCCTTTCCAATGAAATAGCTAATTTGCAAACCACTAGACTTCAAGATAAACTAATCTTGAAAAATCCGAATTGAAAAATACTAGAATCGTCTCTGAAATGATTAATGTGAATTGGACACTTAAATAACTAGATATTCCAATTTTTCACATCATTTTTCGGCGCCTAACTTTTCAAGAAATAGCAAGAACTTTTAACTTCAAAATCTTCCCTTGACTGACTCCTTTCGCCGTGAACTAATGCGAGAAGCTAGAAAAGCAAACCGTTTGAGCGAGAGAATCCCGATAGACAGCTTTTGCAGAGATGCTCCGGTCGAAAAAATCCTTCTTCGTCGCGACAAATTCCGGCGTCGGCGCCCAGGAGACGGTGTCGGCTGGCGCGATTTCGAGGTCCAAACTTCCGTCGCCGTCAGCCGCATTTTCGTTGTTTTGCTTCTTCTGGAGGGCCAAAGTCAACTGCGCTTCCAGGTCTCGTACTCGTGCTGCAAAGCAGGGAATACCCATCATAAAGCGACAAAGTAGGGGTGGAAATGAATGATTTTTGATTACTCTACGAGAAAACCATCATTAGATCAAGGAATCCAATCAAAAATATCAAAAATGCTTACCCTGTAACTCCAACGTCTCTTTCAAATAGCTTTCTGATTCTAGTTTGAGCGCCATGACGTTTTCTTTGTTCGAATCTTCTTCTTCCTCTTTTTTCACTGAAAATATTACGATTTCAAGTTAATCAGACCGTCATAAATCAAAGTTAAAAGCTTCTAAATAAAAATGTGAAACCAAAGAACAAATATTAAAAAAAAAAAAACAGGAAAGGAGCAAAAAAATCCTATTTTTAGTCAGCGAAATAACTTCGTTCTTGATGAATCTCCTTTTTGTAATGAAAAAGACCCTTCAAGACTACTTAATAAGTTTTCCGAAGACTCGCTTTCTCACCTGATTATAACACATTTAATTCAGGACAGAAAAAGCATGAATCTCAGGGAGGGGGAGATAATCGATTAGCGAAAAAAAATTTTTCATCTGATTATTCTAACTTCTTTTTTTCTAGTGTTATGAAGATACAGAATCAAGTTCTGCAACAATAAATCCGGCTCAAAACCTCTGTTGCTATTCAAAAACAAAAAAAAATGAAATAAATCTTACCGATGCCATTGACAAGAGGCGTCTCCTCGACATGAGGCTTAGCGACGGCGGCGAGGTTGAGCAGAAGCTCGACGTCTTCCTGTTCCAGCTCAGCCCCATTGTGGAAGATGTCAACGAGGCTCCGGAGATGAGAGCCGGCGGATCTCGCTGAAGACTCTTTTTTTCTCTAGTTTAGAGCAGAGATGGGGGGCGAATTCGACTTTTTTTTTCCGCGTTTCGTTTTCCGAAAATGAACATTATCACAAAACCCTTTCCAAGCTAGTTTGTAACTGACAAGTAAGGTAATTTTACTTATCGCGTGTGATTTTCTTGAAAACTGGCCAGGATACTCCTTGAGGTACCAAAAGAAGATCCTCAAAGTCTCAACCTGCACAGATTGCTAGGTTTTAAAAAAGAACACCTGAAAGTCAAAGAAAACCCTCTAAATCCGTGAAAAAAGGCCGTTTTGGGGCTTTACTATTTCTCAAAAATCCGGGAGTTGTGGGATCTAAATTTAAAAAAAAAAATCCCAACCTTTTTTGTGAAGTGGACCATGACACTTTCGGTTAAAAAAAAGGTTTTTGTGTGAAATCTCGATATTGGCCCAGGAAAAATTTCACTTTTCTAAGAAGGAAAAACAGGGAAAGGTTCAAAAAAAAATTTCATTTCCGCCCATCACTAAATTAGAGATAAACTGACGAGCATCGCGTTCCTTCTGGGCCTGAAGGAGATCCTGTTGGGTGGTCTGGAACCGTTCATCAGCCATGGCGAGACATCTTTCAGCTTCCGCCGTCTGAATCGCCAGAGATTCGTACTCGGCGGCCTTTTTGTCGTAGAGCTCGCTCATGTCGCGAAGCTTCTCGTCCATCGCCTCTTTCTGAGAAATTTGTTTGATGAGGAAACGAATTTCTAGCAACAAATAAACCGTTTTTCTCAGAAAATTGCACGTGTCCTCAGTCGAAACAAGACTCCTTTCAGTGTCCGAGAGCCTGGAGATCGTTTCGCACTTTTCCTCGTATAATCTCCTGAAGAAAATGATGAATAAAATGAAATGAGACGTTTTTGAATAACCTGATCGACTCTTTGGTTATGGCTTCGAATCGCGCCTTCTCGTCGATCATCGCCAGAAGTTCTTCACGCTGTTTATCGGGTGTCGAAGACTTTGAAAATGCGGCCAGTTGAGCTTCAAGGGCTTCGATTCTGAAAAAAAAAACATTATAATTTTAAAAATTAATTTTCACATTTTTGAGAGTTTTGAAAATTTCTTTGAGGAAATAGGCTTAGGATTCCAGTAACTTCGGAAAAACTAATCGTTACTTCAGCAAATCTTCTGGAACTCGGCATAAAAAAGAAGGTTATTGATATTGAATATGGTCGATTATGCGACTTCTATGGAAAGATTGGTATAAATAAATATGACCCTAATTTTTTTTAGGATAGGAAAAAAGGAAAAACAGAAGCTGACCTACACCAGAATTTAACTAAAAAATGGAAAAACATCTAGAAAATCTGAAAAGTCGAAAAATGAACTGTTTTTTTTTCTCTATTCCTCATTAACATTCCGCTCTGACTTGAGATTTCCAGAATGGTCCCTATAGGGGTCCTTTGAGGGGTCTTCTAGGGACAACATTACCAACCGCTATAAGGGCAACCAAAGCTTGCAAAAGTGGTCTCTATGGGGGCTTTAGTTAATCGCCCCTATAGGGGACATACTTTTTATAAACTCTAGAAGCATTTGCATGCGAAAAACTGAATAAATAAGCGTTATTGGAGAAAATTGAAAGACGTCTAGAGACCAATTAAGCTTTAGGGGATAGGAGGTCAGGCCCGAAACCACTATAGGGATCACTCTCAAGGTCCTAAGATAGTAATATTTTCTCATCTCCACCTTGCCAATAGCCGGTCCTCGTTGACCAGAGCTTTCCAGGCCGAGTCGGCCGCATGTTCGCTTTGTTCGATGATTTTGATCAGCTCCGACATTTTCTCTTCCCGCACTTTCTCCCTGAAACAATCAAATTTCTATTTTGAGACTAAATTACTTCTTTATTACCTATGCATAGCCTCCGTGATGTACAGTTGCATTTGAAACAGATGATTGTTACTCACCATCGATGAGCCGTAATTGTAACTAGAATAAATAAATATATCGAAGTTATTCAATTCTGTATACTAACGCTTCATCGGAATGATTCAAGGTCGGCGTATTTTCTACAAGTTTCCCGTCGGCGTCAAATAATTGCGCAATGGCGTATATACAGCCGTGAGCCACTGAAAAATAATATAAATAACGAGAAAAAAAAAATCCCTCTTTGCACTTTGAGAATCTTTTATTATTCATGCAAATGAAAAACTCGACTTATTTGATCCTTTTGACTAAAAAAAATGCTAGGAAATCAAAATTTGAATTATAACGAACATTTATTAGTATTCTCGATGATTTCCACGCCAAACTGTACAATATCGCCACTGAATATTTGCCGGGCTTCATTTTCATCTCCTGTAAAAAAAACATCAGAATCAAATTTGAATAAGAAAACTGTTAACCTGTTAATCTCTCATTATTTACAAACGTTCCATTGCTACTTTTTGTGTCCCGCAGGAAAAATTCGCCTTCCTTGTACCACATAACCGCATGGTTGCGGGACAAGACCTGAAATTTTTTTCACAATTTTTTTCATCTGCCCATGGAAATCCAAAATGAAGAAAAAAATTATACTTTGCAGTCGAAAATCGCGTTATCCTTTGCCGCTTTGATGCGAGCCACAGCTCTGCCAATTTTCAGCGGATCCTCTTCTGTACCGACCTTTGAAAGAACATAAATTAAATTTTCTAAAACAAAGAACTTTTACCTTTGCCCTCCTTTCCTCGAATGGATGTGACTTGGCAATGGGTGCCAAAACCACTAGAGGACCGTGCATTTCTTCTGTCTCCAAAGAATCACGCGGTTTAACGACTGGAATGACAAGTTAATTATAATATTGAAAAAATGAGGTAATTTTCAACAGAGAAAGCAAATCGATAGCGATAATACCTTGAAATGGTTTAAAACCTTGAAAGCGAATAAATCTTTCGATATTTAAAATGAAAAGAAGAGTATTTGTGGACGTGTGGACAACGTTTCGCGTGCAAAAGTTACGTGCCCAATTTGCAGAAAAGACTTTTCAGAGGTTTGTCGCGCGATGTTTTCGAGATCAAAAATCTCAAATTTCTTCATCCCCTTTTTTCAGGTTTTCACTCGAGATTTTTGGGAAAACTCCTAGAAATTTTTCAAACCGATAGCGATGCCTGCATCAAATTGAAGATTAAAAGATTTCCTTTTTGATATTTTTTAAAATTCTCTTGTTCCTTTTTCCTTGTACTTTAATTAATAAAAACCGCGCCTAGAGAAACTGCGCCTAGAGAAACCTCAAAAAATGTATTCAAATGATCTATAAACGTTTAGAAACGATATGAAAACCAAAAAGCATTGAAATTAATGAGTGAAATAAATTTATTCCGTATTTTCAAATTGCAAAAAAAAAGTTGAGCAAAACACGTCAGAAGTTATAATAATTAAGCAGTTGAAAGAATTGATTGTGAAGATCGTGTAAGTAAAAAGTCTTGAAAAGAAAACGTAATTTTAAAAAAAGGCACAAAAAACAAAATTAAAGGCGGGGTGATGGAATGTAACGAATTTTTTGAAAAAAAAATTAATGATAAGAAGGTTTACCAAATTTCAGCAGAAAGAACGAAACAAAAAATGACAATGGCAATATGGAAAGGTGAGCAATGGATAAGCGTCCGTTGACGGTGATTAGTCCTCTCAAAAAAATAGAGAAAAAAAAAATTACAAGGAAGAATTTCTATGAAAAAAAAAGAATGCAATTTACATTTATCACTGACTCAAGGCGGAGCAAATATTAAAAAGTCCTTTTTAACGGTCGAAGTATCCGTTTTCACGATGCGCTTTCAAAACGTGGCCGATTTCTTTAAATATAAATGTCTCCTATATACGTCATTTTTTTCAATTGGTGTTCAATTTAAGGATAAATCATGAGAAAATCGCACGCCGCAGGATACCTTGAAGCGTCCTCAAGTCTGTGACAAGGGCTATAGCCATAAAAGATCTTTCAAGTGAGAGAAAAATCGCAAAAATCATTCGTTATTGGAATTAGGATGGTACATGTGCTGCTGAACGGCTCGGAGACGTTGTTCCATTCGGGACTCTTCCATCAAATTCATGGGCGCCGTCGTAGAATGCATACTTCCTGAGGTGGGAAGTCGCGATCTGACCGTCGCCGATCCGTTTTTGCCACCCTCGTAGCCACAGTCGTCTTCGTAGTAGAATGGGCCGTCGACGGGCCGTGAAGGCTCGCCTAAAAACATGACTTTTCTCTGAACATTTGAAAAGAGGTGCATTTCAAGTCCATTCACAGCTAGCACCTGACAAATTTACGCGAAAAAGTGCGCGAAAAAAAAGTAGACTTTCTTGTAGTAGTTTCTGTTTGTGAGTAGGGTATACTTCACTTGACGACTCTCCACGCTATGCTTTAGAACGACTTGGAAAAACTCTGGTGACCACTTAATCCTCGAGGGCAACATATGGAGGACACTAAAGTGGCCACTAAAACCACCACTATTGAAGCCGCTAATTTGCGTCTTAGTGACTACTATAGTAGTTTTACTGTAGTACTAATTACACTTATAAGGAGGTCACTAAATTTTAGCCTCTCAATAGGCCACTAATTCTTACACTATAGTGCCCACTTAAACTTCGAAACCCTGAAATAGCCACTGAACAAAAAAAAAAAAACAATTCACTCAGTGAATCTATCTCACACTTATAGTCTGTTCAGATTTTGAATGTCAAGTAGAATGACGTCATTCAAAAACACTCTGTGGATGGCTCGCTCTCTGATTGGTTTATCGCACCATTAGGGGGCGGAGCTTGAGCATTCAAAATCTGAACAGACTATAACTCTTTTTCCTTCTGCAAGTTCTAAAAATTCAATGGGAGGCTCGTTTATTCAGAATTTCCTTGAGAGGCTACTTTGTCCTAGGATCATTGTAAGGCTTCTTAAAAACTTCGGGAATCTTCGAATAAACTCACGAATGGTGGGACTTCCATACAAGAAGGTGGACGGGGTCATGTCATGGAGTTGCGACGACTTCTCATCAACGTCATGAACTTGGGTGAATCTGGTGTAGATCATGAAGATGATGATGGCGACGAGGATCGCCACGGTGACGAGGGCACCGATCGCCACGCCGAGCATCGTCATTTTCTGCATCTTTTGCTGTTGTCGCAGTTCGCAGCTGAAATTTTTTCATTTCTTTGTGGTAATTCTGGATGATTTCAAACCGATCACCACTGAAGTACTCTTTGCAGACGCATTCGACGCTGCCCAGAGCGTTCTTTTTGCAAACGCCGTCGTTCAAACAGTAATCGTTGCAAGCGTCTGAAGAAATCCAAGCTATCCTTCTCAAATGCCTGTCTTTCAAGACCTGTACAATGAGTTCCGTTGCCACGGTAGCCAGTCTTGCATCGGCACTCGTAACTTGGAACATCGTTGTCATCGGGTAAATCGATGCAATTCGCATGCCAGGAACAATTGTATTCGCCAGTTTGGCACTGATTCGTCGAGTAACATTGGGATTCGGCGGTTGCTCCTGGAAGTTTAGACAATCGATATAAAATCTGAGTGACGTTTCTTTTCTCGAATAGCCCGTTCACCGAGAGTTAAAAGATTTTTGTCTGCGTCTCTCTGTTCCCTCACCGGCGAGGTCAGAGAAACATAGAAATATCACGTCAACGTGAGAGGGCCGCCGAGAGACGAGGAGGGCGCAGAGAAATACAGCAGTTTCAAGTCGTGAAGAACGGAGTATACGATAAGACTCTCTACTCGGACCTCGGTAACGAAAACGGGACGTTTCTGAGCAATTCTAGGGATCATTTAAAAGGGCGGACGCTACTTAAGTGGTCACTAGAAACGTCTTGACACGTCCGTTTCGCGTTACCGCTGTCCGAGCAGTTAGACGGTAGTTAGAGATCAACGGTGGCCAAGAGAGACGTCAGAGGAGCAGTTCATACTTCTCTGCGCCTCTTCAAATGAACGCTTGTTGTTCTGTTCTGTTCATGTTCTCTCACTCCATTTTAGAACTATCCAAAAACCAAGTTCTGAACCTTGAGCCGCTGTAGTATGATCCGCTGGGCAAAGTTTACACGTCGTTTCTTGTTCCTCGTTCTGGAAGGTTCCACGCGGACAGAACTGGCAATGCTTCCTGAAACGCCCAATTTTTGATCTTCAACAGATGAGAACTCACGTTTCCTTGACCAAAAACTGGCCAGTCTTGCACCTTGGTGTATTACACTGTTCACGGCGAGTCGAAGAAGTCGCTTCTGTTGTTGTTCCTGAACTTCTTCCGTTTTTTTTTCAAATTTATTCGTTTTTAACCTGGCGGACAAGAGATGCATTTCTTGTGTTCGCCACGCGACCGGTAGGTTCCAACGTCGCAGGGTTGGCAAACGCCGGCCGGCGAGAGTTGTTCCCCATCTTTGAGAAAACAATGAATGATATTTGCTCTTTTCAACGGGATTCCTTACCAGGACACTCATCACGACATTCCTCCTCACTGGTAGCACGATCTGTCAGGGTTGTTTTACCTATTCCACACGGGAGACAGGCGAAAGAGCCGCCGACGGGCTGGAAATAACCAAAACCGCAAGCGACGCAGCCAGAAGTAGCTGCGTCGAATTGGTGTCCAGGCGGGCAGTTGGCTGAAAAATAAAAGAAAGTGCTTTTTTCTTCAAAAATTCTTGGAACTCCATAGTAGTCCCTATTGGAGCAACCGTAGGGGCCTTTGGAAGGTTTCCTCTAGGAACCACTTTAAAAACCCCCCTATAGGGCTACTAAAGCTTGCAAAAATGATCGACAATCGACTCTGGAGGCTAAGGGGTCAGACCCTAAACCTCTATAGGGACCAACTAAATTTTACCCCCATAAGGACCACTTGATCTTAAATGGCTGAATGCTCAGACCCTGAGCTTTTATAGGAACGACCTAAATTTTACGCCTAGAGCTACCTCTTGATCTTAAGGGGCTGAATGCTCAAGCCCTGAACCTCTATAGGGAGCACATTTTACTACTAGAGAGATCACTTTTTCCGCTTTTGATCCCTATAGAGACCACTCTGGATTTCCTAAGTTGAGGCAAAACCAACCTTTGCACTCGTTTTCCGACGTCGCTCCTTCACTGGCAGTGATCTGTCCAGCAGGGCATTTGAAGCACTCGGCTCTGGCGGTGAGTGGCTGGTACTCGCCGATCGGACAAAGTTCACACTTGGTCGTCAGCGACGAATGGAAGGTTCCCGGGGCGCACGGCACTAAATTGCGAACAAATTAGTCTGGCTCTGAAGACGGGGCTGCTCCAACCACAAAGATCGCCAACGACGACTTGGCCGGCTTGGCAGTGGTACTCGTCGTCGATTTGCAAGGTGCCGAGGTCAGGACGTCCGTTGGGCAGAACTTTCTCAAAGTTGAGAACGGCGTGGGAGAGGATTTCCGATTGGATGGCGTCGTGGACGGTCGTGTTGGCGCCGCTGCTCGGATCCGTCAGGATTGTTCTGAAGGGAAGGAAAGGGTTCTGTGTGGTCTTCTGGTGGAGTACCTCTTGACGGGGACTTCGATTTCGACACGGAACGACGAGGCGGGAAGTTCTCGCCGAAGTCGCATCGCTTCTTCAACTTCTTCGTCGTTGTCGCAGTGGACTCGGGCTTGCGTGCCGATGCAGCCCGTCGTATCTCTGTAGTGAAAATTTTTTTTTTCTCTGTCATTTGAAAAAGTTCTATTTCAATTTTCTTTTCTTAAGCAAGACTTTATTTTGAAGTCCCTTCAGATTTCTTTGCAACGCAACTTCTAGCTGAAAAACTCACGTCAAGCTGCACATTTTCCACTTCTTGTCCATGGCATTAACTGCCTGTAGGATTTTCGACAAGAAGGCCTGTTTGCTGGCCTCCGTGCAAGCCGTCGATGCCGAGTAGGCGACTCTTACCTTCACCAGACGAGTGGCAGGTACATGCCTCAAATCATTGTTCAACGACTGAACTATTGAATTTCCAACAAACTTGGTGCATTGAGGATATCGGAAAACGGCGTTTTTCTGTTGCTCTCTTGGCCGCCACTCTCCGTCGGCACCACAGACGTAGAAGATGGCCGGTGAGCGCGGGAACTCAAATCCGTCTCGGCATTCGATGGAACAAGCCTTCAAAGGAGGGAAACTTTTTTCCAAGGTATAAATGAACTGATGAATCTGGGAGAAAAAGCCCGCCAAAAGGTTAGATGAACGGGGGAAACTACCAATGGGCTGTTGGCAACTCAATTCATGATTTAACAAAAATACTAGAAATTTTGCTTTCTGTTCGGGTAGCTCTTGAAAACCAGCCTTCTCTATGAGCCAGATGAAGGTATTGAAATATTTCAATTTGAAAAGTTCCTAACTCTTGAGAACGGGCTCAAATGGTCTATTTAAAACTCTTTTTTTTTTTAATCAAAAACCAACCTTATACTTTAACTGAGGACCCCAGTTCTCACAAGACTGCAATCCATTGATAGGTTCGGAAATATCTGCACAATGGACCTTGGTGACACGGAGCTGCAAGAAAGTAATGTCGACTTTTACGAAAATTTCATAGTTTTCTATTGTCGGTTTGCATTGGAATTGAAACACATTTTCGCACGTAGAATGCCTCAGCACACTTCGGAAAGACTTGCGCGTCAGAAATTCAACAGAGCACTGAACGTCCGGTCGGCTTCCAAAGGCAACGCCGACCGCACCGCTTTAAGCCATTCCAAGTGCGACCCAAAAAGTATACCTTGAAGTTGCACTGAGCCTGGTTGGTGGCGTTGTCCGTGGCGACGTAGAGGATGTCGTATTCTCCCCAGGTGAATAGCTGAAAAATACCTTATGAAATTAGAGATGGAATGGCTGAATTTGAAAACGTGAATATTTTAATCAATGTAGTCTTGGAAAAAAAAAGCTTCCAATATTAATTTTGAGGTAAGTCACAAACCTGTCCCTGCTTCAAGTTCTTCTCAACTCGGACGATCGGGTTGAGGCCTACAAAAGTCGGTTCTTGCCATGAGATGTTGGTTTCTCGTTGATGAGAGGTCATCATGATTTCAGCTGGGCAGTCCTTGAATTTAAAAATTAAGTTTAGTATTAAAAAGAACTTCGTACAATATAAAAAGCCATTGAATTTTAACCTTTGAACTATAGAATAAATTTGAAAAACTCAAAAATCTCTCAGTAGAAAACGACTTTTAAAAAATAGTATCGAAAACAGCATATTTTCAGGTTCATTTTTTTTTCTAGTTGAAAACGCCGTTGTCTAACCTTATTCTACTCTTTTGGATATGTTTTTTCAATTTTTTCAAGCCACCCAGTGCTATATTTCTCAATAAATTTTTTTTCGAAAAATAACTTTTCTATCATTTTTAGCCCTCTTTACTCGAAAAGTTAAAAAAAAAGTCTGTTAAACAAGTCCAAATTTCTGTTGTCAAACCTCAACGCGTATGACATCGGAATGATGGATCGGCGAGTACTTGAGTTGATCAACACTGCAAGAACTTCTCAGGGTCCGTTCGACCTTCCCAATAATATTCGTGTAGCCTTCGAAGCGAACAAGAAGTCCTTTGAAGATTTCCTGAAAACTTTCTCAAATAAGCAATCCAGCAATTCGAAACAAGATATTTTCTTGTTGAAAATAAGCGAATTTGAAATTTTCGGATGACTTTTCAAGACCAAAGCAAGTAAGAATTTCGAAACATTTATAAATCTTTTTTGTTTTCAATTTTTGAGTGCTTCAATTATTCTTTTTAAGAACTTTGTAATTTCTTCCTTCATGTTAAGAAAGTTTCAATAAAATGGGCTCAATATAGAAACTTTCAATAAATCGACTCATTTCAACTGGTTCAAACGGGGCAAGTCAAACTGGTAATCTTTCCAAAATCCAACCAAAAAGAGCAAAAACACGTTAACTCTTCGAGTGAAATATTCTCTCCAGTTAAAACTAACCGCTTTTTTTCTGCAAATTTCTTGAACCCTCAATTTCGTGACAGTCCAGTTTTTGTTCAATTGAGTGAACATAGTCCCTCGAAAAAAAAAGAAATCCTTACCTCAGCCCTCTGACAATGAAGGACCATCAAGGGGATCTCGTCCTCGAAGTCCAAGACGCGATTCCAAACGTTGACCCGAGTGATGGAGCCGACGAAAGCCGGCACAGAAAGAGCGCCAAGAGTAATTCCGGCTCTAAAATCAATACGCTTTTTGTTGAGTTTTTCTGTTTATTAATTGAGATTTTCCTTCAAAAAAAAAGATTAGTCAGACCAGATTGACTAAAAACATGATAGAGTGATGAGCTTTCAGTTTTTTTCCCTTCTCAAAGTTTTCAGGTTTTTCGAATAATGTTTAACAGTTTTCGAACTATAGAACACCACTAGATCAAATCCGATTTTTCTGTTTTAACTTTACTTCGTGTCCAGAGTTCGTCCAACAGCATAACCACTGCCAGTGTAAATCCGCAAAGAGTTCCAAATCACAGAATAACTTCCGTTTCGAGCCTCCCAGGTAAATACCTAAAAAAAAAACCAATATCCTACTTAAAATGAAAGTTTTATGAAAAAGTCAATCTAGCTGTTTCGGGGCATTTCTAGTGACCACTTCAATAACTTCAACACTCTTAAGTGATCCCTAGAAATGCTCAGACACCTCCGAAGCGCGTCCGGTTTGCGCTACTGTGGTCCGAGAGGTCACTTCAAAACCTTTTTCAGAAAAAAAAACCGTTAAGCTTTCAAACTGGATCGCTATCGGAATTTTTCTTTTACTGGATGTCAGAAAATTTTTCTCAGATTTGAGACCCATTTTGTCAAAAATTCGTCTAGTGCACTAAATCTTTCAATTCAAAACCAACCAAATGATTCCACTTTCCATCGTTCAAGTGCTGAGAGGAGCTCAAGGGGATTTCGACCGGTGGGATGTCCGAAAAGAGCGAAACTCTAACTTCATTCGATGCCAATTTGAGCAATGAAGTTGAAGTGTTGCTAAAACTTCATCCATTTCATTTTCTTCAACTGTTTTTCCAACCCAAAAGGATGAAGGGTGAAAAAATTGGCATGAGAGAACGGCGAATCGAATCGAACCCAAAAGGCGACGGAAATCGCCGAGGACTCAATTCTCAACGGAGCATAGTAGGAGGCGGACGAAGGGCGGACTGGGTCGAAGAAGTTGAGATCGTAGTTGACGTTGATTTGCTGTAGGGAAAGAGAGCTTGATGATTGAAAACAGACTTTTGAAGAAAATTTCCACGACAGGTTTTTTTGTCAGAAAAATTTATGTTTCATATAAAAAAGAACAGCAAAATAATTGACGATTGCTTTTTAAAATTGCAAAATACTGCGAAAAACTTTAGTGGGCACTTGAAAGGTTCCCCAAGGGTTACTTGAAGAGGGCACTGAAGTGGCCACTAAAACCACCTTTTAGAAGAGGCTATTTTTCGTCTTAGTGGTCACTATAGTAGTTATAGTTGTACCACTTAGACTCTTAAAGAGGCCACTAAATTTTTGCCACTGAAAAATTCGACTAATATAGCGGCCACTAAAACGTCAAAACCCTAAAGTGGCCACTAAAATTTTTCCCAGTATATGAACAGCTTTCATATTCTTCAAATATTCTGTCCATGGAGCGTGAATGTCGGTTTTCTCAAGAATCGGATCTTTTTGAAACCTTATCACAATTGGTTCCAGTCAAGTTGAAGGGACAGACACAGACGTAGCCGCCGACTTGATCCGTACAAGTAGCACTGGCCGGACAATGAGCCGCGGCACACTCGTCCAGCTCCTTCTCACAGTTCTCACCAGTGAAGCCTGAGAAAAGCAGGATATTAAGGATTGTTCAGAATCAATATGAAATAACCAGAGAATTCGGCCTAAACTTCAAAAAAAAAAAATCGGATGAGTGAATCAACCATAGTTCTTGTGTAAGGTTTGGCGAGAAAATTCTGATTTTCTTCAACAGTGCAAAAAATTTGATGCATAGCTTGGAAAATAGAGAACACAAATAGGCTGAAGTAAAGTTTAGGCTGACTTCTTTTTTATTTTAATTTTAAAGAGAAATTTTCGAAAATACCGAAACCCTAATCTCACCTGGTTCACACTGGCACCTCCTTGGAGAAGAAAATCCATCGGCTTCCAGGCATTTTCCGCCGTTTCGACACGATCTGTCAGTACAGCCGTTGGTCTTGAACTCACATCCTGGAAATCGAGAACTTTGAAAACCTTCACATGGGTGTTAAACCTTTTCCAGTGAATCCAGATGGGCAAGAGCATTCCAGGTGAGACCCAAAGTCGCCACAAACGCCGCCGTTGTGGCAAGGCTCGCCAACACAGCGATTAGGCGCCGTCTCGCAGTTCTTTCCGCTGACTCCTCAAAAATTTTATTGTGTTAGTGAAATCGGTATTTATAAAGTATTACCCGGTGGGCAGACGCAGAAGTAGTCGGCAACGAGATTGACGCAGAAGCCGTCGTTTCGGCAGGGCTTGGTGGTGCAGCTGCCGCTCTCCTCCTCACACCTTAGTCCGGTCCATCCTGACTTGCAGTTGCACTTGAACGTGCCGCCCATGTCGACACACTGACCGTCGTTCACACAAGGAACGTCAGCGCACTTCAAATGATGAACATTTCAACCTAAAATTATTCTTTTACCAACCTGATCAATTTTCACGTCACAAAGTTTTCCAGTAAAGCCAGGCTTACAGTAGCACGAGAAGGTGTTAACTTCATCCCGGCACGACTGAAAGTTCTGTTATAATCCAATCATTCCTGTTTCAAATACCTCTGTTCCCGCCAGATCACACTTATTGCTTCCGCACTCGTCAATGTTCAACTCACAGTGGATTCCGTCGAATCCGAGCGGACAATCACAGTGATAGGTAGGGCCCAAGTTGGTGCAGGAGGCTGAGATAAATGTGTCGTCAAAGCTTTTAAAATGAACTATAGAAGCTTCAAAAGAATCTTTATTCAGCCTCTATTTTGAAAATAAAGTGTAATGATTACTTTATTGATAAACTTTTTCGCGTCAAAGCGAGCACCTCAAGCTACAGAAAATCAGGTTGAACGATACCATTATTTCGGCACGGCGAATTGGAGCAATGATCGACGAGGTGTTGACAATTGACGCCTTCATAACCAGCCGCACATTGACACTTGTATCCGGAGACCTTAACAAAAAAAATGAGGGAAATTCTGGTTTCAGCAACGAATTTTGTATTGAGAAATTTCGAATTCTCGAGCAGTAGTTCAAGGTCTAAAAAAGTTCTTGTCAAAAATCCTTATCCTCAGAGTTCAGGGCAACTTTCAACGCTCTCCGAATTTTTTCCAGATTTTTTTCTGCCGTTGCTTCCCTGCTTTTAACGTTATCAGAGTTTCTCAACACCCTTTTCTCTTATTGGCTAGCCACGCCTTATTTCACAAACGAATCGGGAATACACCATGATGTGTTTACAAGCATGTCGAAATTAATAGAATAATATGACCATCGTGATACTTCTAGTATACCTTTCAGCTCTATCTGGGCCGTACCGGAGGCGCTTAAAGGCATAACTCAAGTCTATCTCATTTTTCTCAGAACCATAAGGCATACTCATTATATCATCGTTAGACTTCAGACTTTTCATAATAGCAATGCAAAATCTTTTCACGATTATTTTGTGTCTGCCCACCGGTATAAGAATAACTACTCGAAGGTTTAAAGATAAACCTCATCGATACAGGTTCCACCATTCTGACAAGGCCTTTCAGCACAATCATCAATGTTGACGTCGCAATTCTCGCCAGTCCAACCGGCGTCGCAGACACACTGACGCGAGTACAAGCTATCGACGCAAAGACCGTGGGAGCAAGGCGAATCCGCGCAGAGGTCCACTGAAATACATTACAGAACTTTATTCAGCAAATTTTGAAGCATTTGAGAACCTTTGACTTGGCATCGTTTTCCAGTGAAGCCTTGGGGGCAGTCGCAGTGGAAATCTTTGACCAAATCGACGCAGGTGGCGTTCAAGGCACATGGCGATTCCGCGCAGTCATCTGCAAATAATTGGGGTAATTATGATTATTATAATTTATGAAGATAGTAGAGAAATGTTCAACTAATGTGAAGACCTGTTGAATCTGAAGGATATCAGAAAAGTAATGTGAGAAAAGCGAAAAATTTAGAGGTCGCTTTAGCCATTTTTTTTTTCTCAAAGCGAGTCTGCTATGAAAAAAAAAGTTAATTTTGAAAATTTTCGAAAAATCATCAGAGAAGCAATTTTTTCAGTTATTCAACTAACTGATTTCGAACTTTTGAAAAAGTTTTGTAGCTCAGCCCATTCAAAAAAAAACTTCCGGAGTTCAAAACCGTCCCAAAGTTCTCTCAAATTTTCTTTTTGCGCAGTTTCCAAAAGTTTCTTCCTCATTTCTTTGCAACAATTTTTTCTTTTAATGTCAATTTGAAAACCGCTTTTACTTTCCAATCTGAACTCAACATTCATGTCTCTTATCTTATCAACTCCAAGCAAGTGGTCAGTCATAGTTTCTCTTATATTTTCAAAAACCTTCCTTTCTCGTCATTTTCACATAAAAATTTTAAGACCGAAAACTTCTTTATAAGAGTTTCCAGTCGTTTATCAAAACCGCTTCCTCATGAAAAAATCCATAAAACCTCAAATATATTTTTTTAAAAAAATTTCTTGGAGTGATAGTCCATTTGAACTTTCCTTAAGGGCAAATATTCTTCCTTTTATTCGCTACTTTTTTCTCTTGTTGTCGGGAACGCAAAAGTTTTTCACGTTTTGCACCAACAGCTGGCCGTTTTTATCGCCCCAAGGTCTAACCACTGTTCTCTATCTTCTCCTTTTTTCTTCACTTTTTTTCTCGTCGTTTTAACCGAATTAGTTATTTGAATTGGTTCAGAACTAGGAAAATCGATTAATGGATGTAAAAATGGTTTTCAATTTTTGAACAGATTGGAAATAATATCTTAAGTACAATTTACCATTTCTCAAAAAATCTCAAACATTGATTCAAACATTCAAAAAAACCTCCCAAAACTATATTCCCCGCAGTCTCAACACAATGAACTCAAGAGCACTTCAGAAAAACGTTTTTCAAAAGAACTCGACTTTCACAAGAAAATTGTTTGCCAGCTTGCGAAAATCAAAGTGAAAAACCTCAATTTCAACAGCTGGCGTGATTTTTAGAGGTGAAAAATTTAATGACGCGAGGGAAATCAGTTTTGAAAGAGGTAAAGACGAAATTTTTTCAATTACCTGACTTCAGGTTTTATGAATTTTTCAAAGCCTGGTTTTTTTTTGTTTCTGATTGATAGATGTAATTTTTCCACCGTTCTGTTTCGTACTTTGACCTTCCTTTTATTCGAAGTTCCAAAAAAGAGTGAAACTTCAAAGTTTACACTTGGCGCACTTGCTCTTTTGTCACAGATCCTTTGTTCCAAAATCGCGAAAGAAAAACCTATTCAATCGAATTCCTAAATCAGCGCCGTCGGAAAACTTTCTCATTTCGCCGTTTTCCTACTCTTCACGCTTCATTTTGAACCTTCTGCGCATTCTTCGAATACATTCCCTAATTCAATTTAATTGATTTCGTAGAAAAATTGATTAATTAAACTCGTCAAGTTTCTCCAAAATCAGTCTACTTTTTTCTTTTCGATTGGGAGCTCAATTTTGAGTGGAATCTTGGGTTATCATTTCATGTACGTTTTTTTTTTGAAATTTATCTTATCGCTCGCTGAAATAAACCACGGCATACTGTAGGAATATATAAGACCTCGAAGCTTCGACACGCAATTTCGCTAACCTATAATTCAAAAAGCAAGGCTTTTAAATGCCGTTTTCAGAGTTATGATTTAAAAAAAAAACCCTGGAGCGTTCAATAAATAGCATTAGCCGGAATAATTGAGAACGCCTATCACGTTCATAAAAAAAAACACTTTGGCCCGAAAGTTCACGTGAAACTCAAAATGTGTTTACAAATGACGTCATGATTTGAGGTCACATTTGGAAATGGCCGACGGCCACCGTGGCAACGTCGTGGACGTAAACAACTGGGCGGAGTCTGCTGTTAGAGAAAGCGGCAATAGAGGGTGGCGGGAAATTCCCGAGCAAAGCTGCCTATCGATCTTCGGCGCGGTTCTTTCCAAAATGTTCCTCTGTTGCTGTTGGCCAGTCCATAAATGTGTTACGGTACGTTATTTTTCCTCTTTTATCTCTTGGTTCAAACTACACAATTTTGGTTTTTGTTTCTCTTGACACAACAGTAAAAATTTTTGAAATCGCTTAACTTCAAGAATAAAAAGATCAAATTTCAACTTTAATGACCTTACTCGCATGCTGATCAGGTGTCTCAACGGGTGTACCCGTATTTAACCCGTGTTTCTGAGGTTATTTTAGTCTCAGTTGGGCTAAAAACGGGGGAACAACGGGTGTAAGAAAAAAATATGTAACCCAGCTGGGCTAAAGCGGGGTCTCAGTTGGGCTAAAAAAATTGCCAAAAAGTTCTATCAGCTGGGCTTTTACGGGTTTAATACGGGGGCACCCGCGGAGACCCCGTGTTAGCACGGCGGGGTTACCCTGCTCAGCATGCGAGTTAGGTCTCGAATGTGAATGTTACGCAATCTGAATTTTCGAAAGAAGTTCGGAAAATTTTCTTTTTTTGCCTGAGATTAAGATAATAATTAAAAATAACTAAACCTCTGAAAAAAAAACTAAATTTCCGAAATGAAGAACAACGGAAATAACGAAGTTATTTTTTTCAGTTAAAATTTATTGAATTATTCACCTTTTCACTCAAATTTTCCTTCAAAAAGTCCCTAAAAATTTGAATTTTAAGGCCTTAGCCCTGTTCGACACGGTGGTCGTCACTATTTTCGCCTACAAATCTTTTTAACAACTTCCTTCAAACACACGAAGATCCGTAAGTGTTTTGTTTTTCTCTTTTTTTCGGTTTGCTTGATTTAATTTGCGCCGATTTTTCGCAGAGGTAATTTCGAGCCTCGCGTCATAATCGATCAAAGTTCAGAGAAAGAGAGGGAAAAAGAGAAAAAAGTAAACAGAAAAAAATTTTTTAGTTAGAAGTCCTTCCGCTGAGAACAAGTGTTCATCTGTTGTTTCGTTGCTCTTTTTTGCTTTGAAGAATTTTTTTTAAAATAATGATAGACTTCCTATAATACATTTTTTTACTTCTATCTTTTAGGTTTTTTTCACAGGCTTGTAGTTACCGAAATGGTAAAAAAAAAAACTTGATAAAATGTTGATTTTGAAAAATCCTCTTTTTTCTGAAAAACCTGACACCTGATACAAAAGATGAAATGAATGCGTCTAAGTTTCGATTTAAAATAACCTTCTCCGATTTTATTTACCGTTTTTCTTGTCCTCTAACCGTGTCTACCGAATTTCTGCGGATTAATCTTTGATCAAAATAAAAAAAATTCAAATTTGACAAGTAAATTCTTATCAGCTTCATAGGATTTCACATTCTCATTTTCATTATTTCTCTGTTTATTCACTTGAAGTACACAAGAAAGCTCAAAAATGGAGAAAAATGATAAATAACATGGCTTTCTTTTCTTTCCAAGACTAGACCCCAGAGAGATTCCGGCTCATAAATCGCAGTTGTTCTTGCTTTTCTTTTCTGGCCCAAGAATGGGCAGGCCTCATTTCTCCCCATCCGCCTAAAAAAAAGAAAGAAGAGAGGAAAATGCAATTTGTGTCCTCTCTTTGGGCTGCAAATGACCGCCGGCGCAATTCCTATCTTATTTTGTTCTTTTTGGCGATCAAAAATGAAAATGCGAAAATTTGTTTTTTGAGGATTCGATTGAAAGTAGGAAAGTTGCTTATAAAGATTAAGAAAGCTAACAAAATTGAAAAATTGACGGAAGGCAATTTTTAAAAAAGCTTCGAAAAATTCCATGATTTGCAAAGGAAAGCTCAAAAGAGTTTTCGCTAAATTATTTTAAAAATACCAAATTTGTTGAAAACAACAACTAAATGAACTTTTGAACTTTTGGCAATTCGAAACTTTTCGTTGGCTAAACAATTTCTCAGCAAACTCAGGAACCTTTTTCTCCTTTTCTCGACTGAAATCAAAGCTCAAAGCTTTCAAATCCCCTCACGGATGAAGAAAAAAACGTCAAAACTCAAAAATCAAAGCAGCACGCCATTTTTCCCAGCCTCCTTTTTTATTCACTCTAAGCTTTGAGCAACGGAAACTCGATGAAGCAGCAGATGTTAACAGGAAAAGACGCTCTAGTGCAAATACTCCTTTCATATCATCTGCCGTTTCCGGTCTGACATATGTTGCCACTGTGGATCCTTATTAAGCACTTGAGAAAAAAAAACATTAACTATATCTAAGAAAACGTTTATTGCAAGTCTCAAAAAAGTTTCGAATCCCATTTTCTTAGAATTTTACCTTTTTACAGGCATTGGACAACAACGTTATCGCTTCTCTTCTTCTTCACTTTTCTGATTTGTCAGCTGATAGCGACCGTATTTCTCATCTTGGCTCATAAGAGAAGTCTCGCGCACTACTGCTTACCGAGGTAAGGTTACACTTAAATTCTGGGAAAATGGCTAGTGGCCACTATAGAGGCTCGCCAAGGACTACTTGGAGAGGACACTAAAGTGGCCACTAAACCCACCTCTATACTGGGCATTATTTTCTGTTTTAGTGGCCACTTCAGTAGTTTTCCATCCAGTATTCCTTCAATCCAGTATTCCTTTAATCCAGTATTCCATCCAGTAACTCTGATAGTGTTAAAACAAACAGATTGGACCCGTTATGTTGATCCATTGACCCCTAAAGTGGCCACTAAAATTTTTTAGTGGTATAGTAGTAGCACTTAGACCTCTATAGCGACCACTAATTTTTAACTCCTCAAGTGGCCATTAATTTGACTACTATAGTGGCCACTAAAATTTTTTAGTGGTATAGTAGTAGCACTTAGACCTCTATAGCGACCACTAATTTTTAACTCCTCAAGTGGCCATTAATTTGACTACTATAGTGGCCACTAAAAATTTTCCCAGTTTATGCGCTTGAAAAAGCCTTGTCAGACTCAGTTCTAGGCAAATAGACTATACGTCGGAAAACGGTCTATATTTCAGGTTGACTCTAATCGCCGGCCTTCTAATCTGCTCAATCATCACTTTCGCCGTCCTTTGCTTTTATTTCGCAGGCGGCGCCACTACTATGAATGAGTTCTACTACAGCGTCTTGGAGGTATCAAAACTCGTGAAATTATGAGTTTATCGTTTAATTTTAAGTACTTCTTCGGTGAGGAGCTGACCGATGCCGAAAAAGTTGAGATGAAATATGAAACGCGTTATTACGCCGTCGGTTTCACTGCCTTGACGATCGTCTTCATGATTTATTGGTGAGTTTCGATTTTTTTTAAATCCCAATAACATTCTAACGTAAGATATGTAAGATACCTTTAAAACGAAATTTTGAACTCTAATACTCAAATTGAAAAAAAAACTTTCATTTTTTTCCGTTGAGTTTGGAAAATATCTCAATTTTGCAGCGTTTTCGAGCTGCTGCTCACACGCAAGTTCTACAAGCAACTCAACACTTTCATGCCAGTTTCCACCGAAGCCTCGGCTCCGCCGCCTGCTTTCAATCCGGAATACTCCCAGAAGAACTACGTTCCTTGAGTCTTCTGTTAAATTTATTTTTGTTGTAAAAATACAATATCTGCCGAAAAAATGAGCTTCGAAATCAAATACATTCCTCATGGATTTTTTTTTGTATCATACTGTTGCTTCAGATCATCAATATAGACTTTAAAAATATACTTGTTACGATTAGAAAAGTTGTAAAAACGTTACTTTTTCCAATCGGAGCCTCTCCTATTTGATCTCTTACTCATTTTTTATGATTTACACGTTTCTGCTGTTATCAACTTGATCTTTGCCATAGAAACAGTGCTAATCTTCAAAATTTGTACTGTATCTTTTCGCTTTAATATACAATTTTATGAATGATCATCCCGTCAACCGATCTCTTTCTGATGCTTTTGTTGCCATGTTTCTTCTCATTTGTTTTTCTTCAATTTAATAAAAGCTATACCGATATTCTGCTCGCAAGTCGGTCCTTCCCAGCCCGGCACACATTGACACTTGAACCGTCCCAACTGCGAGGCGATGCATCGGGCGCCGTTTCGGCAAGGGTTCTCCAATGAACAAACGTCCGAGACTTCGTCACATTGAGGACCGGAGAAGCCGGTTCTGAATAGTTTATTCAGTTATGAGCTGCAACTTATACCCTTCGAGTCACAGTCTAGTGTCACAAGACACGTTTGTAGGCCATTTTTAGCGCCTATTTATCGCAAAATTACACCTTGCCGTTTCAAGTCGTGGCGCACATTCAAAATGATATTTTCACCATTTTTCGAAAAATGCGACTATGAAAATAAAAAAATAAAAGGCTGAAGATTCAATCAAATTGAAAATTGAGATTTAATCAGCTTGTTAGGAAAAAAGATGAGCAAATTATAGAAGTTTTAAAGTTGATTTTAAACTCACCGACAAAGACACTCGGTCGTTCCGAAACCCGGTAAATCATGACAGACGCCTCCATTTGGACAAGTCACCCCAACGCATTCATCCGTTTCAAACTGACATCTAGCGCCGGTATAATCTGAAACATGATTGTAAAATTGAATTATTCTTGAATTTGAAAACAAAGAATGAGAATGAAACCAACGTTGAGGGCAAATACAGCGGTAGGATCCGGAGATTTGCTGGCAGCTTCCGCCGTTGAAGCACGGCTGCGTCGCGCACATGTCCTCCGTATTCTTGAATTTTCCAATCGGTTGTAATTTCATTCAAAAAATTCTGCTTATTAAATATAGGCGACAAAGATATTCCCACAATTCCTTGCAACCTTGAACGTAAATTCATTTTACTTCGCGGTTGTTAATTTTCTGGAAATTGGCTTGAACACTCTTTGATGTACCATAAACGTCTTGAAACCCCGAACCTGCACAACTTCTCATTTTTTGAAAAAGTACACCTTAAGGTTGAAGACAACCCTAAAAATCAGTGTTTTTTTTTTCTGGAGCCCTCTTTTCTCAGGAGCTAAGGAATTGTGCAGGTCGAGATTTTCTTTTTTTGGTACTTTAATAAGTGTTCTAGTCGAGTTTCAGGAAATTTCAAGACAATAAACTAGTTTTTTCCTTTTTACGTGTCAAGTTTACTGAATGCGCATCCTCTTTTTTTTTGAATCACAACGTTAGAAAAACAAATCGAATGACTTCTGACAGTTTGTAAAGATTTATATAATTTATCTAAATTTTTTGTGGGTCTTTATTGTAGTTAAAACTCAACGGACCTCACACCGCTCTCCGACATATCCCGGCTTACAGTCGCACTGGGCTCTGTGCATTAAAATCGTACATCCGGCCTTAAACATAATTTTCCCAAATTTCTTCCAGTTTTTCCAACTTGATTCTCGCAGATTTTCGCCGAACAATCAATTGGAAGGCAGGCCGATTCGCTGGTTTCGCCTTCGTTTTGCGTCGCCGTACTGTTCGCACATTCAAGACATCTGGAAATCGGGAATCCAATGCTTTAAATGTGAAAAAAACCAAACTGGAAATAAAAAGGCTTCTAAAAAAACTAGGGGGGGCTGTGCTCAAAGGAAGAACCTAACCTCTGCTGTCCAACACTCGACTGATAATGATGCATTGGGCACAGGGAGCATGGTTCCAGGCCAGTGATGCTGTAGGTACCCGGTTTACAAGCCAATCTGCACTCGGAAGCCGCCGAGGCGCCAAGTTTCGAAGTGTAGGCTCCGGATGGACACGACGAGCACTCTTTGAAGCCTCCTGAGCTGACTTATTGAACGAAAATACTGTCCTTGAGCTGAAAACTACTTCAAAACTAACCGATCGGCGCAGGTCCAGAGAAAGTATGCCGTGGACACAATTGACAAGGAATCAAGCCCGTTTCGCTGTACATACCGTTTCCACAAACCGCTAAAAACCAACGAGTTTGTAAAAAAAAAATAGACCAGGAGAGCTCAGCTCCAAATCTATCCGGAGATTCTTGTTGGGGTCCATAGAAAAGTTTAATAAAAAAAAAATTTTGAGACGGGTCGAAAAAATATTTTTGGTCAATAATAACTTCCAGAGTGCTAGAATGAATGTTCAAAAAATTTAAGAGTCCCCAAAATTTTTAGTGAGGTTGGTAAATTCACCTTGTGGTCTTTCAAACAGGTATAAAATTTGATCATGATCAAAAATGTAACTAAAATTTTTGAACTTCATATAATTGGTATGTGCATTTAAAATCGTCATTATTCAAGAAAGTTATGCTGGAAAATCTATGATAAATCCACTCAAAACGGACCCAAGCAACTGGCGATACTGTGAGCGCCATCATCCAACGTGTAGGAGCCGTCAGGGCAGGCCTAAAAACGTCAAAATTGAGACTCGAAATTTGATGGGTTTTCAACCTTGCAAGCCGTCTGTCCAGCAAAATCTTGATAAGAGCCTCTCGGACACAGGATACAGGTGTTGTTGACGTTGACCGAGCCGACGGGGCAAGCCACTGAAATAGATTTTATTTCGGTAGAAAGAGAGCTTGATAAGGTACTTTCACAACCAAAAAAAAGTTAGAATCTTAACACTTCTTAAAAGCAGAGGGGGAGGGAAAGATGAAAGTAGCGACCGGGTAACTACTTGAAAACCGTTCACCGTAAGCTAATATAGTCTGTTCAGATTTTGAATGTCAAGTCGTCGCTCAAGCTCCGTCCCTAATGGTGCGATAAACCAATCAGAGAGCGAGCCATCCACAGAGCGTTTTTGAATGACGTCATTGTACTTGACATTAAAAATCTGAACAGACTGTAGGCGGTCTTTTATTGGCTAACAGATACCATAGAGATGGTACCTGTATGGTACCGGATAGGTATCTGGATACTATCACTATCCTACCTGAAATTTGTATGCGAAATGGGTAGCTATTTTTCAGCGTTTTCTAATAAAGGACCACCTACTAGCTTACGCCAGTTACCCAGGAAAATTGAAATGCGTTAGGTATAGCTGATTTACGGCTAGCTTGGGACGCTAAGGGGGCGTGTACTGTCTGCTCTCTCCACGAGAAAGGCGCTATCTCGTGCATTATCGTGTCAGGACCATTTTTTCGATGGATTAAGCCAGCCGTGAATCAGCTATATACTATCTTAAAAGAATAAATTTCAACTATCTGTACACTGAATATTTTTACTAAAATGATTGCTCACTGCATTCAGGCAGTTTATCTTTTGCCTCCTGTCGGAGAACTTCTCCATCGCCACAGGCGAAGCCTTGGCTCACAGTGGACCTGAAAATCAATGTATATTTATGTTTTAAAGTGAATAAAGTACGCGGTAGCAGTAATGGTGGGGCATCCAATAGCTTGAGAAGTGATGGCGCCTCCATCCAGGGTCAGAAGACTCTTAATGGGTGCCGTAGCTCCTGAACACAATTTAGCATGAATTTTCCGATATTTCACGCACCTGGGATTCTCAAGTCGAAAATGGTTCTCAAAGTGAGTCCACACAAATCGTAGAAAACTCCTTGCAGAACGGACGGCAGCACTTGAACGGTGTAGTTTCCGTTGACCTAACAAAAATGAATGAAACATTTTTTCATGTGCTCAAGTCTTACAAATTTATGTTGGTTGACGAATTCCGACTGGAGCAACCGAACAAAGACTTGAACGGAGCTGGAGCACCTCTCGCTGAGCACCTTGTCGAGTTGGTCAAAGTACTTGGAAGTGAGTTCGGCGTAGCCCTGAAACATATCGTGCATTGCTTTGAAGGCATTCAGAGGACGTTTTTCGAGCGACGTGACTCCTTAGATCTTTTTAGAAGTTTACAACTTCCCCGAAAGCTCTCTCTAAAGCTTTCCGAAAAGACGGGCTGTGTCGCGAACAACTTAGGATTGATTTTAACCTGACCTTTAGAAGATCTTTTCAGTGATTCTCTTGCTTTATAAGATACTACGCGCTGCCCCAGAGGCCTTTAGATACCTTTCAAACGGTCGCACAAGATTTTGAAGAAATTATTCCAAAGGTCATTAGAAAAGGTTATCATCGTCGCGAATTCTCATAGCAGAACGTTTGCGATGTCGCAAATTTTTGTAAGAAGCTGCGCTGACCCAGAGACCTTTAGATAGTTTTTAAACTGCCCCAAAAGCTTTTGAAAGTTTTTCGCGCTTATTCCTAGATTTTTCGAAAAAAGTGGCGTTATCACGAACGCTTCAGAAGCTCAGTTCCTCGGGATTTGAAAGAGGCTTTGAAAATGATGCGAAAATCGCAAAAGACGCTTCAAAATGATCCTAATACCTTCAGAAAAGGTTTCAGTATTGCGCACGCTCTGAATATTTCGTGTTTTTTCAGAAAGGCACTTTTTGAAAATCGACCGCAAAGCTATTCAGAGAGAAAATATCAGTGTATAGATGATTCACGGCAGGGTCCTGACACGATTAAAGAAGAGACAGTGCCTGGTTGGTGGAGGGCGCAGACAGGCCACGCCCACCCTAGGGTCCCAAGTTCACGGCTATATTAAAAGACAAGAATGAATTTAAAAAAAGGATCTTATAAGAACATTTTTTTCTTTCAAATTGAACGACTAAGTTAGTTTAAATAATGAAAAAAACTATCCAATCACCTTCAAGCAATGATCAGGCAGTGGAGAATCAACGGGGTAGGAAATTCCAACGTTGACGTGGTATCCAGCCGGTTCTTCCACTAAATATGTATTTTCTTCTTTTTCTGCTCTTGAATGAATACCGATAGGAATACAAGCGGGCGCATTGTTTCTCGGAGACCAGCGGCCGTCCTGGCAGATGAAATTTTGGTCGACCTGAAGTTCGAAGTTTTTTTTTTCTCGAAACCTTTTCAAACTGAAGCAGACCTCGTCAGAATCCACGAATCGGTAGCCGGCGTCACAAGTAACACTGCACACGACAGTCGAGTCCTTGTGAACACATCGCTTCAGCGTATGCTTACTGGAGGTCAGAGACGCCGGCGAGCAGGCTTCGGCTGGAAAAAACTTCCTCATTTGAAAAATCTTATAATACATAAGGTTGAAATTGTTCACTTGGTGACTTGATATCATTGTTTCGCTCAAGTACTATTATTATATCCCTTATTGTAAAGTAAACATCTTGAAATACGCACGGAGTTTATTCGACAAAGCCACGCCCTTTTTTCGTAAAGTGTAATGTATCGTGTGCATACACGGCAGTGCTTTCGCGCAGAAAAACTGTTTTTTTAATTCGATTCGTCTCAAAGACCTCAGGCAATGCGGCCTGCGCCTTTAATATGCCTTCTTATTTACGCTCTTAGAGCCGATCTGCTGTTCGCATGACGTCATGTGCCAATTTTTACGTATTAGAGATGTTATCTTATTGAAAATACTGTAAAAAAAAGCTAAAAAAAATCAACGAATCTCAATCAAAGTTCGATATACAGATATACAAAGTTATTCTCTAATTGACCGTCATTCTTGCCAAAAGCCGGAAAGGCCAGGTGCAAAGGCGAGTTAGAAAAACGTAATCAGGAAATGAGATATTTTCGGAGTTCATAAAAAAAAACTATCATCAAAAACAAGAACTTGCTGAGAGGAGCAGAAGTCACATCAAGGCGGTTTTTCGCCTCGAGACCTTTACCCAAATTTTCGTTTAGAGTCAACGGTGTATGAATATATAAAATATCGTTCTCCCATTCAACTCACCAACATAGGCAATCTGGAACCTGCACGTATTCCGATTGGCGTGCTCATCTTCAGCCGACACTTCGACCTCGACAAACTCACCAACACGAAGGATCGCCTCCCGTGGGGAGAAAGTGACCTAAAACTTAAGGATACGAAGAAAATCGACTTTATTTTTCAAACATTAGTAATCTTGGAGGCGTCCTGAACGACCAAAGCGACAGTCGACTGATCGAAGACCAGATGGGTGCTGGATTCTTTGGCCGGAATAGACGAAGATTCAGGACATTTCATGACTGGCGGCTGGGTGTCTGGGAAAAAATGTTTCTATTTTTTTTTTTTTTTTTTGAATGAAGATACCAGGAATTCTGATCGACATCGAACAGACGGCCGTGTTTCCGGTGCTGTCAAAGGCCGTGTAGACGACGTCGGTGTCGCTGTTCAGCAACAGTCCAGAACGCATTCCGGTTGGCTCAACTCGAACATAGGCGATCTAAATGAAGGAAAATTTTGTCAGATGTGCTCAGAAACGCTTTTACTTGGACGATAACTCAAAATACTCGCTTTAGTCATCGAAAGCCTATTTATAAAAATGAAACGGCAAGTTTTATGAAAATTTTGCAAGGAATCTTTTGCTCAGTGAGTTTCCTTTATACACTGCGTTCAATAAGGATAGGACCCGCCTTGATTTTGGACTTTCCGGTAGAATGCGGAAAGAAATGAAAAATCTGTGAGTGCCATTCGATTCAGAGTACAAAATAACCCCCCTAGGCAAACCTTTATTATCCTAGCACTTTTCCTACAAGAATTCCATCGAAAAAACGGTTTTTGGACCGTTCAATAAGGATAGGACCTTTTTGTATATATTTTTGGAACCAGTAAAAAAAAGTCTCTTAAATTCGAACCACTGTTTTTTTTTATCCCTAAACTGAACTAGATTCATACCTTCCCACTATTGTCCACAGGCTCGGGCTCTTTGAACTCAACCGGAAGAAGTTGGCCGTTGGCATCAGTTTTGACAAAAATCGGCTCAGCCGGACAGTTCAGGAACTTTGGCGGTTCCATGTCGACGCACTCAGGAACGGATCCATTCCAACCAACCTGAACTTTCAGAGATTCGAGGTGAATTCTTGACTTTTTTCAACCTGTAGATGTGTTGCGATTTCGTGCATCTGCGAAACGGGAGCCAAACATCCGAGCATGTCGAATTTCATACAAGGACTTCCTTCGTATTCCGTCACTCCCAAGAGAATATATCGAGCTCTGGAAAATTATTTTTTGCATTTTCATCAAAAGAAAAAAAACCTGAGTGGCGGCTTCAATTCAAACTGATGCATGGCGTTGTGATTTCCAGACGGTGTTTCGAATTCCTAGAAGGAGAATTTGAGTATATTTATTTAGAGAATCTGTCCATTATTTTGGAAAAAATATCTGAACGACATCAAAAAATAAAGCAACTCTTTTTTAGCTTTCAAAAGTCGATAGTAATTCAAAAAAAACCAGATTAATTTCAGGTTTCCTGTTCAGAATTATCCTATTCCAAAGTCCATAATGTAAACCGCTAGCGCAAGATTCTTACATAACATAAAATCCTTTTAACTCCTGTTTATCAGGAAAAATCCTCACCACCGGATAGGTATCATAGTTCTGAGTGAACTGAGTCTTGTAGAAGAGCTGCATTTTAGTGACGTGACCCCGGAGGTGTCCACTGCCGGCCACGCCAGACATTCTCAACGTCGTCAAGGTGTAAACTCTGAGAAAATACTTCATTTTGAAGAGAAGTGATTTGAATTACCGTTGCAAATCGACGCTCAAGAAGATGAAGGCGTCCTTGGAGCCGCACCAGCCGGTGGAACCCAAACGAGCCTAGAAAATGAAAGTTCAATGAAGGGAAAGTCATGGAGACAAATTTAAAATAGCCCCAAGGATGAATTCATTACCCTGTAAAAAATGACCGCATGTGTCAGAAGCATCTTTTTCTTCATGGATATTGACCTCGGTAACGAAAACCAGACTTGCTCTAGACTTTTCTGAGCAGTTCTAGGGATCACTTAAAAGTGGTGGCGCTACTAAAGTGGACACTAAAAAAGCTCCGAGGTTCGAGAAATTCGAAAAATGCTTGAACTAAAAATTCTCTTTTCAGAAAACTTTCCGTAGAGCACACTTTCTGATAGCTCCACGGCAGTTTCTACTGATTATTTGATTCAAAAATTTGCATTTCAAAAAAATTTGGCCTAATGGGTACTTTCTGTTTTTTTTTTTTCAACCCGATCTACCTTATGGGGTTCGTATCCAACATTGGTGGAGTCAGAATTGTCCGAGAAAGCTCCATCGGGCACGAATCCGGTCGAAATGCCGACGTCTTCCGACAGGACACAAGCGGCGCCAAGGGTACATTGTAGGGAGTCTGTCGGGAATGGCCGGAAGCCGGGTCGTTTGCAGGAGAATTTGGCGACGGCGCCCTCTTCGACGCTGCTCAGCTCGACGTTGCCGTCGTGGGGGAAGCCTGGGTCGACGCAAACGGGGCCTGCAAAGAGAAGAATTTTCGAAAACACGGACGGTGGAACCTTCACAACGGAGATCGCCGAGGTCCCAAGTGGCGTCCGGGGAGCAACGAATGATCTCATCCTCTTGAGAAGACTTGCCGACGGCCGAGTATGGCTGACGACACGTGAACTCCAAGGCGGCGCCGACCTGACATTTTTGATTTTCAAAAATCGAGACACTGACGCTAGAGATGAGCAGCTATCTGCCTTCCGCCTTTTTCAATTCGATATTTTTTTTCAATAGTTTTTTCATGATTCCAATCATCTTTCTTTCAGTGAAATCTTTGTAAGATTTACATGTACTAACCAAGCAGAAAAGTTGTCCTGAAAAAGTTCTCCCAAGGAAACGTTTTTTGATCCTCGGTTGAACTTTCGATAAAACCTGGCTGATATGCACTTCTGGACGCCCTAATTCCAGAAGAAGGGGAAATTTTTCAAAACGGATCTCGTTTCCGAGTAATGAAGCTTCAAACGTCTTCTCAAATAACGATTTCTTTCATTATTCGTTTATTTGTGTAATTTGCGAATTATAAAGGCATTATCAATCGAGAAGAAAATCTATTGAGAAAATTTTGTTTCACTTTTTATGGAAGTATTAGGTTCTGAAGTGCATTCCAGCCCAGCCAAGTTTCCTCAAAAGTTCAACCGGAGTCCAAAAAAAAGTTCACTTGTCAGTGCTTCCGTAATGCATATTCTCTAACCTTCCTGTTCTTGACATCGCCTTGATAAACAGCCCCAGGCATGACCGGCGGGGCAGGACATTCGATGAATGGACACTCGGCGGGCGGACCAGAGAGCCAATAGTCACGTCCGTCCGGCTGCGGATCGAAGATGCACTGGCGGTAGGCGGCAAGTGGGGTGTTCCTCGCTGGAAATACATCGATGAGGATACAAATTGATGATTCCGGAGAACCAGGCCGACTGGATTGAGTACAGGAAAGTGTGACGTTTTGCTTGAAGGCTACCGTCGTATTTCCAGGTGTTACTACAAGTCCGATGGCGCTGACGTTGGCGACGCCTTGGCAGGTCGCCGCTGAAACATGTTTTTATTTTTCCAAAAAGAGGCGGAACAGCGGAATGTCGTTCGGTGAAATTTCAAGTCGTGGCACACAGGCTATAACGGCTTTGAAGCGGTTCACACTTTCGAAAAAAAAAACGAATTGTCAAGTCCGGTTCTCATTTCATAATCATAGACTTAGGAGCTCAAAAAAATTTAAAAGTCTGACGAATTATAAAAAACCAAGAAATACTGAAAAAAAATATTCAGCTCGATCAATTTTTTTTCTAACGCTTAAGCGTTACTCTGAAGAATTTTTGAACTTCGATTTAGTGTTTCAAATGAAAAAGAAAATCCCCTACGAAGGCAAAACGGAGCGGTGCCATTCCAGGTGCCGTCAGCAAGACATTGAATGTAGTCTGGTCCCATCATCTGAAGTCAAACTTCTTCCTTATATTGTAATCCGACCAATCAACCTGATAGCCAAAATCGCACTGGAACTTGATAACCATTGGAAAATGGAAGTTTTGAGCCGTAGAGAGCAAAACTCCATTTTCGGGTGCTTCGATTTTGGAGCAGGTCCGCGCGACACACGTTTTGTTGAATCTAGAGATTATTTTTCAAGGTGAAAATTCTATTTGCGATGATATTACCTAACAACGTCCAAATTATTATATCCAGTTTCCTTTTCTGAGACGTTGACACCGTTTTGGCCGTTTTCTACGAACAAATCGTAGCCAGCTCGGCAGGCGCACTGAAAATTTCAGGGAAAAAATTGATCAAACTAAAAACATTCCATGAAAAGTGTTAGTCAGCTAAGGCCGGTGCAATCCTTACAAAAAATAAAGATGATAAATATTTTTTCAAATTAATGCAAAGAACAAAAAATTTGACGATGCTTTCGAAGCCATCAATTTTAAACATCCAAGACGGCTGCACGTTAATTTTTTCAATAATCCTCTTAATTTATCGAACTTCGCCGCTCAATTAATGAACAGTCGCATGACATAATTTTTCCCCATAAAGAGAAGGAATTTTGTTGAATCACGATATTTTTAACGACGCCCCGCCCACTTTTTTCCGTAAAGTGTCGTGTGTCGTGTGCATGCACTGCGACGCTCTGTCACAGAAAATATCGTCTTTTTTGTGAAAAGTCGATTCGTCTCACGACCCATGCAGTTGATGTTGCATGCGCCTTCAATATTCCCTTTTTTTCTTGCCCCATGACGTAACATGGGAACGGCTAAGGTTCCGACTCCGCCCCGTGTTTTTGGTTTCGTTTTTTTTTTTTTGTAAAGCACGTTCAGATCAAAAAGTTACCTTATAGGAGCCCTGAGTATTGATGCAAGTGTGGTCGCAATAGCCATTCTCCTTCAGGCACTCGTTGACGTCAGCACAAGATGTTCTTTGGCATCCAATCACGTCGATCTGAAAACGGAAATTTTTCGGTTTTTTCGAAATGTTCAAAAAACCTTTGTACAAAGTTCCCCATCAAAATCGACCACAAAAATTTCCAAGACTTTTGCCTCGATGGCGATTGGCAATGTGGCCACGTCGTTATCAGGGTCAACTTCAAAGACCTGGATAATTTCCAGGGTTTATTCAGGATTTTCAAGTTCGATACCGATTGGCCATCCAAAGTGAGTTTTTTCGTCCGCGACAGGGCCGATTCTCCGTATTTCACACTGATCGCCCGAATCTTTCCTCGCGACGATTTTTCCAATCTGGAAAAAGTTTTTTTTTCATTCTGAATATTTTCACCAACCGAATCTTCTCGAAAACCATCGGGATAGCGAAATTCATAGTTATGGTCTTGTTTTTGTCGGCGGCTCCAGCACACCACTGAATAGAGGAAGTCTGCGTGGTGGAGATATCGCCAGAAGACGTTGACACCGACTTGGCGACGACTGGAGAAGCGTCAGTACAAGCTGAAAAACTTAAGAATGAAGGAAAACGGGTTCTGATAAGTACCAAGCTGTGGCTGGAAGCCAGCGACGCATTCGCAAACGTAGGACCCGGGGACGTTGACGCATTTCGTGCCAATGTTCTGGCACTGAGCTAAGCCGTTTTCACACTCGTTCACGTCAACACAGGTTGGCACCGAGGACAGTGACTGATTGGCAAGGCAGCGGACCTTAAGTTTGAAAATGGAATAGAGAACTTGAATTTTAAGTTTCAATGTCTCTGATCTGTTTTTATTACCAAAAATAATCTACCAAAAATTAAAAGAGAAAAAAGAAATCTACGAAAAATTCAAAAAAAAAAGAGAAGCAAAATCAGTCAACACGAGGCGTTGTTTTTATAGCAGAGCAGAATCACAGCTGGCTTGGGCCATTGAAAAAAAGGTCCTGACACGAAGAAAAGTGAGACAGTGCTGATCGGTGGAGAGCGCAGACAGACCACGCCCCTTTGCGTCTCAAGCTAGCCGTGAATCGACTATATCAAACTGTAAAAGTTGGCCTACACAAGCTCACACAAAATACATAATTAATGAATCAAATTACTCAATTTGCTAGTTCCTCTTATTCAGTTTAACGAATTAAAAAAAACTCCTAAGTATTTCAAGGACTTTTGCCCCTACCTCTTCAGGACCGTCAATAACAAATCCTGGATCACAAACGACGCGAGCCACGTCGCCGTACAAAAACCGATGTGGCAGCTCGATTCGGGCATTGGAAATCTTCGGCAGATTCTTACAAGACATTTCTGAACATTCTTCCTTGTTTTAAGAAACCATCTCAACATTATACTTTTGCAGGTAGGCTGCACCGTCGACCAGGTGCCATCAGCCTTGCAGAGGGTCGTCTCAACGCCTTCACGTCGGTAGCCACTGTGGCACGAGTATCGGAAGACGGTGCCGTAGCCCGTTCCGTCACCAAACTCCAACTGACGCTCGCCATTGGAGAAAGTTGCTAGCGGCTGGCAGGTGGCGGCTGGAAACAAAAGCTTTTTTTTTGTCTTCTCTTAAGAGGGCAAGTAGCTCCCGCAGATGCCACCGTCGTTCTTCCGTTTAACCCCGACTCGGAACGCAATTTTTAGATTCAGTTCAAGTCCAGCGCATCTACGTAAAATGATCTCGCATTTAGATTCAGCGGATCACCCGAAACGTTCAAGGCATCGGGACAGTAAACAACGGTGTTTCAGTCCAAAGCAGTACTTTGTAGAGCTTTTCATTGCGAATCGAACGGTGAACTTGTGATTGTACCAAAATTCCTAGTTTTTGAGAAAAAAAACAATTCAAAGTCGGAGAAAAATTGAGTTCCCGCTAAAAGGGCGCTTTGCAGTAAAGTTGCTCTATGGACAACAGGAATCGCCAATTTTCGGATTTGCCCCTATGCCTTAAAAAATATTGGATGACCGGAAGTAGCACCCGTTTTGCAAAATTATGACGTAATAGCCCAACGGGTGCAACTGACCCGCATTAAAGGTTTTTAAAATTATTGCGGCGCTCAAAATCATCTCTGCTGAATCATGGAATCATTGAAGAGCTGTTTGTCGGTTCGAAAGAATGATTCAGCAGAGAAACCTTCTCTGAAGACTGAATAAAAGTTTCAAAGTTTCAAAGTTTCAAAGTTTCAAAATCATCCGACAATGGTCAAAAAAGGCGGATAAAAGCACATGAGGTTGAAAGGAGTGTTTACAATTTTTTTATTGTTGGTCAAAGATAACTTTGAAGTTTTTACTGCCTTAACATCTAGACTGTCAAATCCAAAAATTTTTTACATCAAAAAGGTTTCTGATTGGCTGGTCACATCTTTCTTTCATAGTTTCAAAACAAAAATGAACCAATTAGAGATTTCTAAGGGTGTTTCCAAGGCTTGGAAAGGTGATTTTCAACTTGAATTAACTTACAAAAAACAGAAAAACCCAAACTTTATCTCTCTCTTTTTCTGCTCTCACAAAATAAAAATGAAAACGAACCTTTGCACTGCGGCGGCGGCGTCCAGTGACCTTCATTCGTGCACTGTACAACTTCCACGCTTTTCCCGCTAGCAAATGCGAATCCTAAAAAAATCTCTTTTTTTACATAAAACTTTTTTTAAATGTAAAAAAACAGGAAAAACACATTTGAAAATTTTCAAAAAATCTTCCAACCAATAATCCGGGTTAACGTCTTCAATTTTGCTAGGAAAAAAATAATTTGAACAATTAAAATACTAGGCCATAAAAATCGTCCTTTTTAAAATAAATTCCGTTCTTTTTTTGGTTTGTGAGTCTATTTCCCAGGACTTTTTTCAATCCTAAGTCTATTTTTTGATTGTTTTCGCACCTTTGTAGCACGAATATTTAGCGACGCCGCCAAACGTGACATTGGTAGCCGAAACAGCGTAACCGTTGGCGATTTGCGGTACAGCGCCGCAGAAAATGGCTGAAAAACTGTTGATACTTTTCAAGTGAATTGAGAGCTACGTTGACAAGAAGAAACAGTAGATTGCGACCAGATGCCGCCAAGTAGGCACTCAAGCTCTTTGGAAGTTCCTTCACCCGAAGTGAACTCGAAGCCGATCGGACAAGCTGCTTTGACCTGAAGATTTCAAAAGGACAATGAGAATCCAAAAAGAAACCACCTTGCTGAGGTAGGTTGTCGCCTTGCTGGACAGTGTCACCATTGGCGGTACTTTCAGATTGGGACAATCTGAACAAAAATTGAAAAACAGAAGAAATCATGATTTTCACCTATTGAATAAGTGAAATTGAAGCCATTCGCGTTTCGTGCCGCGTTTGATTTGAAAACAAGCTGAACTTAAAAAAAAATCCAAGTCAATGGTGGGAAGCTATACCTGCATCCTTCCAACACGTGAAACAAGCTGCTTCGGAGGCTTGCGAGTCAGGGAAAAGCCGTCCGCTTCGTGGAGCTCTTTGCCTTTCACCGAGTTCTCGTAAACTTTCAGGAAGTCATCTGCGCCAACATCGAAACGATTGGAGACGATGCTCAGGGCCTGGAATTCCAGGTGGAGTTATAGTCTGTGTACCAAGTCTTGGAATTTCACCGAACGACATTCCGCTGTGCCACTACGCGCTTTTAATTTTTTTTTTTCATTGAGGTACTCTACTTTCATGTGCTCCCACAGCAATAGCATTCAAATGAAAGCATGGCCTAGGATCGAAAACCGCTTCGCGAACGCACGCAGTGGATTAGCGGAATGTCGTTCGGTGAAATTTCAAATTGTGGCACACAGACCATATCAAGGGAACATTCTCAAGACTTCATTTTTTCTACTCACCCTATCCGCCAGCGACTCTTCCATCTCAATGGTCCAGGTGCAGGCGATCGAGTTTGGATAGGACGTCTTCAAATTCCCAGGCGAGACAACCTCGCCGCTCTTCTCGTTCAGCGTCACATCACATCCTCTTTTGTAGGAGATGGAGAATCCGCGGGCACGCGAGTCTACTCTCGTCATCATGTAGACGTACATGAAGTTTTGCGTCGACGTCACGTGCATCTTGTTCGTCAAATTTCCAGAGATTCTGAAAGTTTCCTGGTTTTTTCTTTCGTGAGAATCCTTCTCACGTAGCCAAAGCGACAGAAGAAGGCGTCGGACCGTCGTAGAAGACGAGTTTGTCGTCGGCAGCCAGGGAGAAGTCGTCGACGGAAACCGTAACCACCTGCCCGGGGTTCGTCTGAATCGTCCAGACGCACTCGGCGCCGTTGGCGAAAGACTTTGGGTAGGAAGGCGAGGAGAACGTCTGGCCATAGGCTTGAGCGGTTAGAATTCCTCCGCAGGAGAACGGCACTGAAAAAATTCCGAAATGAGTCTTGAACGTTTAGGAGAAAGACCAAAATCGTTCAAGATTTTATTCATAATGTTTGGGTTTTCGAGATCTATTGTTGATTCTATAGGATTTATGAATCGGACGGCCGTTTCGAGTCTCAAAATTGATTGAATTGGCTAGTATCGTAACTTCTAGCGGGTAGGGGCTAAATGACATGTGATGGGTCAAAAGTAAGTCCATGAACCCATCCTAAATTTAATAAGTTCAAAGCTATCGTCTCATTTTGCAGAACTCTTTTCGTATGTTCATGAAATTTGGTTTTTTGTATGGCTCTCTACTTCAACTTTTTAGCATGGAAAATTCTCAGCATGGAAAAGGTTTTTCCTCAAACAAATCAATTTTTATATTTTTCGAATCATTCTTTCCATTATTTCTATATTGCCCTGCTTGAAATCGTTTAAGTCAAACTTTTCAAAAATCCAAGAAAAAATAGATTCCCTCGGTTGATGGAAACAAATCAAGGGGACGGTAAACAAAAGGCGTGAGGAGTTTGGTCAGTCGATGTCAAATAGTATCGCTAAGCTTCCGCATCTATCAATTCGCCGTCCACTAACGCAGCAAAAAAAAAATGACGAGACAAGGCCGTTTTTTGGATTTTGAAAACCTATGTGAACTGAACGCAAAAAATTCATGAACAGCAAATTTCAGTTGAAAAATGGAACAAGTTGTGTATGAATCGAAAAAAATTTTTGGAACTAGGATTTTAAGAAAAAAAGCTTCCTCCTAATGACCTCTTATGAAAAAAACCATATCGACAAACAAAAAAATTAAAAAAATGGTTTTTTCAAAAGTTTCAACTAAAAACTGACTCATTTTTTATACCAAAGATTTATTCTGAAATAATGAGAAGAAGGGAAGTTTTGAAACACAAAGAAAAATCAAAATACCAGATCTCCAAGTAGCATGGAAGCCCCTGGCGTTCATGTGCGAATCGCTTCGGAATCGCAAAATCATCATGTTCGTGGAAGAAATCAAAGTTTTCGGCGTTTCAATCGATCCAGATAATTGCTCCATAACTGAAAAAAAACTTTCATTTCTATTTTTCTGGTTATAATCCAACCAATAGTGCTGTTTTCCGCTGGACCGCCGTCGAAAATCGACAAAATGTCAAAGTTTTGCTCACTTTCAAAGTGTTCCAAAGTTAACTGAAAGGCTTCTAATTGAATAAAAAACATTTTTCAATGAAAACCTCAATTCTCGTATTTATTGGCCCTTCGATAACATGGCGACAGTTCAAGTTCGGCTCGTAAGAATTGGGATAATTTGGTGAAGAGATTTTCCCGGACTCTCCTTTTTCGTAGGTTAGGCATGAAGTATGTGATCCTGAAAGTTAAAAAAAAATAAACTTCGTTAAAAAAAATATTCATGAAAAGAAAATATTGAGCGAATGAAAAAAAAAAATCCAAAAAAAACCTGGACAATTAAGTTCATCACTGGTATCTTCGCAATCTCGATGTCCATTGCATTTCTGGGATTCTGGGATACAACCTCCAGATGAGCAGAAGAAGGATCCTGAAAAAAATTCAGTTAAAAACTTTTAAAAAGTTGAATTTTTATTTTTTTTTTAAATTGTGCAGATTACGGTAGGGGTTTCTCGTGTAGACACGGGAAAGGTTTTTTTTTTGAATCTTAAGGACGCCTTAGCGATCTGTCCCTATTGGAGTTAAGGAAAAAAAAGTTGAAAATAACCGCGCTAAGTGAAAAAAAACGGAATCGGCGCAAAAGAAAGCGGCTTCTTCATGCACGTCGCACACACGCGACGGCGCATTGCGGACTTTTGGGGTCGGCGCGTGGTCCTACATTATCTTTTTTTCATCCAAACAACGCTAATTCATTGATTTTTTTGAGTTTAAAACAATAATCGATTAGCATTTTCTCTATAGGGGACACTTTTGCAAGCTGCAGTGATCCCTAGAGGGCAACTTTTAAGGGTTCCTAGGATATCCTCTAAAGAGTCCCTCTGGATTTTTAGGTTAGGATTAATTTTCTTCAAAACCTTTCACACAAGCCGGCCGTTCACAGACGAATCTTCTCAGCAAGTTACACGTCTCCAACCGCCATTCGAGGTCTTTTTTGTCAACCGTACCCTGAAATGTTTTTCTCGGTTCTCTGGTTCACATGAGAAAAGTACCAAAGTGCAGCTTCCATTGAGGAAGTCAGGTTGTTCAGGTGCCCAGAAGCCAATATACCGACTTGTTGGCGTGCCGTCGCTCCAAACGAAGTGAGCATCTTCAGAGTCCTCATGGGCGAGTAGCCCTTAAATTTCTTTTTTATGGCGAGTTCAAAAAATTTCAAGAAAAAGGGAAACAACACGAACCGATCCAAAATTCTCTCGGCTCTGAAGATTTTCCTGGTTTCGAGAGCAGAGATCCGATGAAACGATTTTCGGCCGTCGTTTCTATTCGCGCCAATTGTGCGCCATACCTAAAACTTTTACATCCATACCGACTTCAAGAAAAATGTAAAAAAAATTGAAGCAAATTGGAAAAAGAAATCTGGATTTGAGACGCCAATCGCATCGATATAGCCAATTCACGGCTGACTTGAGCCATCGACAAAAAAAAAATGGTCTTGACACGAAAAAAAAGAGATAGTCTCAAGCTAGCTATGAATCGGCTATATCCTCTCTATTTTTTTTAAAAGTCAGCGATTCTTGCCCATTTCCAGAACAACTCACCTCTGACACGTTGTCAAAGCGAACGGCCAACTCTGATATATGGAAAACGGTAGAAAACATTTGGTTCCCTGCCGGATCCAACTTTCAGGACACGTCAGCTCAACTCCGGTTACGATGGCTTCCGGTGGCGCTTTTGATAAACTTTCTGCGCTCTGCAAAAATTAGTCATTTTCAGTCTTGTAAATTGATAGAAATCTATCAGATAATGAAAAAAAAACCTTTAAAATTAAAAATGCGGCGATTATTGAAGATAAGCGCATGGCGGCCGCTGGTTTTGGGCGCTGAAAGACGCCGTTCCAGCACCGGCCCGTTTAGATTTTTCTGTAGGTTATGAATTTCAGTTAATCAGTGAAAAATCAACAAAAAAAAGACAGTATTTAAAGAAAAACGTGACAGTTTTGATTATTGATTGTAATCTCTCAGGAAAACAACTTGAAATGTCAAGAAATATTTGAAAAAAAAAAATTTTTGAACTGAAGTGTAATCATAATCAATCAATCTCCGAGGATCAAAAAATGGGTCCCGGAACTTTTAAAAAATGTTGCATGAGAAAAAAATATTTTTACAGTGAGCGAAAAAATCTATACAGAAGCTAGCAGCGTATAATACGGTTCGAAAGTTCATAAAGTTCAAAAAATCAGCGAAAGACTTCAAAGTTCCAACATTCTAGTCGATATTTCGACCTCAAAACTTCCACGTTCGTTCCAGGAAAAAAACAAAAAAAATTTTCCAAGTTATTTCAGGAAAAAAAAACCAAGAATAATTTATTACAAGCTTAAAGTACAAGGAACATCCGAGGGAAAGCTTCCGACTCACTTTTTGCCCAAAAAATAAAAAGAGCGTAAATTCCCTTAAGTTGCGACAACACAAACACTGTAATCCGGACGTTGTTCACTCTTTCCTCGCTTGGAAAAAAAAAGCAAGGTAGGAGCTTGAAAGAGGTTGAAGAACTTTTCGAAAATCAAAATATGCAAACGGTAAAAATTTCGTCCAAGATCAAGATTGTACACAGAAAAGAATAAAAATAGTCAGGAAGGACGAATTTATCTGAACGTTCCATCTTTGGGGGCCAGCCGATCGGTCTGAGGGTCAATCAAATCGCAAAAAGAATGACCGAATAATCCGAGCAAGGCCATACTTTTTTGACGAAATGATGAAGTGGTTTGAAAGGATGAGGTTGTCAAAACTTCTCAAAACTCATTTTTTTATCACAGGTTAATGGGGAAAAATTTCCAGCCGAAATCAAAAAAATAAAATTAAGAAGATTTTTTTCTAAAGGGAAGATTTCAAAAAAAGTCTCACAATTCCTTCTATTTGCAGCCTATTTCGCTAATCGCTTCAAGATCATTTTCGTGATAGTTCAAGCAAATTTGGAGTGTGGGTTCGAAGCAGCGGTGATTCAACTATCGCGACATGTCTTGGCGCAAAAAATAGCCCTAGAAAACGAGAAAAGCATTTTTCTGAGAAATTTTAGCTATTGACATAAAAAAAAATCGCGAATTTTGAAATTACAAGCCTGATAACAAAAGGTTTAGCCTTCCTACACGCAATAAAACATGTTCAAGCCGTCGATTTAAAAAAAAAATTTCAAGGAGAAAAACTACAATGTACCAATCTATATAAAAGTGCATAAAACTTGAATCAACAAACCGAAAGAGTAAAAAAAAATGGGATTACGGGGGAAGCTAAAAACCGTACATTTTGCCTTGTAAGAACAAGAGGCCGACGGCTAACGGTCTTCGAGAGGCCCCTCGTCAAGTGCTTTTGGCCGCTTTTGACGCTCCACGCACCATTGCAAGGTTGTTTCAAAGTGAGATTGACGAAATCTTCACCGGAAACGTCGTTTTTCAGTGTTGATGTTCGATAAAGAACAGGTGAGAAAGAAAAAATTGTATACTTGAAGTAAAAGTAGTTCAATAAGAATATCGAATCCCATATTTGGAAGTTCTGAATTAAGCATAGATGGGCAAGTTCAGTGCTCATCCAGGGAGGAGAGGCTGGCTTACAAAAAAATTTTTAGAAAAATTAAAAAAAGGAAATCAAGTTTCAACCTCAGGGAGGTGTTTTTTTGGCCACAAAGGGAGGTAGTATCAACTTTCATTTAAGAAAACCTGGGAGGAGGGGTCGGCGGCCTTTAAAATTGGTCTGCCCATGTATGGAATTAAGATTTCTTACTTTTCCAGATCACACAATAATAAAAAGGCTTAAGAAAACATTAATGAGTCGATTTTTTGTCAAAAACACGATAACCCGGTGTTTAAAATTGGACAAAAATAGGACGGAAGACTTTTTTGGACTGATAAGAAGAGTGAGAAACTAAAAGAGTACTCATATTTGAAAAATAAAAGTGAGAAAATTTTAGTTCGTTTTTATCCAGTTAAAAAAACGGTCACTCTTTGCTGATTTTATTTTCTCCGTCCGATGATCAAAAATACATCCAGCTGATGCTCAGCGAATTCAACAAATATATTACAGAATTCGTAGCCGAAATATGATCGAAGCGGAAAGCCGATGGTCAACATTTCCGTGAGTGGCGATTACGAGTGCTTATTTACCCCAAGGGCAAACTTTTCGAATCAAGATATATTCGGCCAACGCTTCGGCTCATTCCGGCGTTGGGCCTTGAATTGAGTTTGAAATGAAGGAGGAATAAAATCGATAGTTTTAGGTAAGTCAATGGGGGCAGAGGTCCAGCTCACCAGTAGGTAGGATATGTCAACATTGGTGCTCAAATAACCTCCTGGGTCATCTTTTGGCCGTTTATGGTAGCTTCTTTTGATGATCAAGTGTGAAGCCGGGTATTGTGACTTGGATATGACCGACTGGTGACGTCATAGTGATCAGCCGCGACTCGGCGAAGACCCCTTTTAGTGACGTCATTTTTCTAAATCGCTTGGTGCGATCCATTTTTGGAATAAATGTCGTTATAGCGGTTGAAAAAGAAGTTTTTGAAAAAATATCCTGTGACTTCTTCTAGTTGCAGTAGAATCAATGATGTCATAATATTGAAGAAAAAAGATAGATCAACGATATGCTGAAGAGACGTCAGACAAACAAAACTGCTTCCATTTCTCCGACTTCCTCCCGGTCGCGGCTACTTTCATTACAGTTAGTCATTCAAAGAAAAAGTTAGCTTCAAGCTATTTCCATTTTTTCATACTTGGAAACTTTGGAGATCAAGAGGCTTCTCAAAAGATTTCAAGATTTCAAGATCCTAGCTCTAAAAAATCGGACAAACACTAAAAGACAAAAAAAAAATGAGCCGAACACGAAACGAGCCGTCGGACTTCGCTGACATCGAAGGAAAGAGAAATGAGCCAACGAGTGATAAAACTTAACATAAGAGAGTGGTGGTGGTAGACATTTACGGTGGTGAGGGTGACAGGCGGCTGCGCGGCGGAGCAAACAACCTCCGAATCAAATAGCCCCGGCAGAACGGTCAGTTTTCGTTGGTAGTTTTAGTGGATTAAGGCCTTTTTCGAGCAGAAATCTCGGTAAATGCAACTTATGAGGTTCGAATAAAAACACTTTTGATTGCCAAACGTAATTAACAACAAGAATATTTAGCAGTTCGAAGAGGTAGGGGTTGCATGAGGTTCTCATGAATGAACTTCATCAAAAACATTTTTTATCCATGAGAAACCAATTTTCAAAATATCTTTTTGTGATGAGAGCAAAAGCAAGGGATCTATAACCTCAAGAGAAAACATAGAAAAAGAAAGAGGAGTGTTCTCTGTCGCCTCTCCAAATCACAGCTACTCTCTTTCTTTCGCTGAAATTTTTAACAGAAATCTCAAAATTACCTGTAATCTTCTGCAAATTGTTTTGAGCTGACTAGCGGCTAGAATGTCGCCAAAATTAAAAAGTTGGTTCAAAAAAAGTTAATGATAATTGTTTTTTTCTAGTTTTTCAGAAGGCTTTCAAGTGATCTCTTAAACGAAAAAAATATGTTTTTAATTTATGAAAAAAATGGTTCAAAACTGAAACTCTCCATCAATAGTTCATTCATAGAAAAGTTAAAACCTTGAAAAACAGTGACTTTAGTAGGAGCTCAAGAGTACACTATAGTGAACAGGACCGGTTCCAATAAAGAAGGCGTTTTTAATAAAAAGAGACCTAAATCGACTCGACTGGAGGCCGCCGATAAAAAGCCCAACAACAAATAGGGAAGAAGGAGGGAAAACAACCATATTTTTGTCGGGAAAATGGGCGACAAAATCGAGGACGATTGAGATCGGCTGGTTGAAAATGAAATAAGATCTCCTGTTCCGGTCGGCACTTCAAGCTACTGTTTTTTTATGTTCTTCCTTTTTTTGGATCGACTTTAATGTAGTTGGGGATGTCTAGACCCCGCCGTAGCTGACAAAAAAAAAATCGAAAAAAGTTTGAAAAATGATTCTTTTTTGGGGATTCGTTCACTTTTCAGAACACTGATTTCTTCTTTTTTGAGAACAATTAGCCAAGTAAAATAGCTAGAAAGCTAAAGAGATCGACGTCCTGAAGAGACGCCCGACAGCTAGGCTAATTTTTTTCACACTCGGTTCTCTTCAAGAGACCGCCTCTCTCCGACTCGTTGCTTTTTTGGGTCTGTCATAGCCCAATATATGGAGCTGTAAGCTACAAATTAAGTTTCTAGATGAGATATATGGCTTGGAAACTTCGAAACGCAGTTATAAAACTATAAATTCCTGGTACCAAGTATCTGAGGGGGATAACGATAAGGAAAATTGCCATAGAATGTTGGAATGTGGGCGCCGAAAATGGGGGTCAAGATCACAACCGACCAACTACAACGGAGAGGAACCAATTGCGGTTGCCCCGACGGCATACTTATCCGCCGGCGACTGATCAATCCTGATAACAAGGACGAGATTCTCTATTGGTGGGAGGTATTTGGATATCTGTTCGGATCTCGCCAAAATGGTACCAAATTTTGCGCTACTTTGATAAATTTCTAGGTTGAGAAAGTTGGGAAAAAGCTTCGGACTGAGGTTGAGTTTCTATGGACAAAGCTTGAAAGGTTTTCGAAAAAATTATAGCTTAAAAAAGCAACTCAAGCCCTCCATAAATACATTTTCAGTATAGCCTGTTTACCACGACTTGGAATTTCACCAAACGACATTCCGCTGTGCCGCTGCGCGCCTTTGCGAACCTTGGTCGCGCTTTTAATTTTTTTTTTTCTTTTGTAAGGTACTCTACTTTGAAGTGCCCTCACAGCAATAAAAATAAATAGAAAGCGTGACCTAGATTCGAAAGACGCTTCGCGAACGCACGCAGCGGAACAGCGGAATGTCGTTCGGTGAAAGTTCAAGTCGTGGCACACAGACTATACATGAAATGATTTTAGAAGAAAAATCACAGCGAAAAGTTTCATATTGACGAATTTCGAAGGTTTGAGTTACCTTGCTTAGAATACGTCTCTATCCTTAATGATTTCGGAAAGCTTCTCTATTTTTCTATAATCTTGAACCTCTATTAGTTCTCGGTAACGAAAACCAGACATGGACGTTTTTGAGCACTTCTAGGGATCTCTTAAGAGCACTGACGCCGCTGAAGTGCTCACTAGACGCCCCGAAACCTCGGATTCGCGTTACCAAGGCCCGAGTACGATTTAAAAAAAAGCCAACCTTTCGAATCCCAATGCATGACGAATAGTGGTGCGTGAGACATTTTGAACTTCAATTCAGAAACTTCTTCAAATCTCGTCTTTTGGATTATTTCTGAAGTTAATAAGTGATATGAAGATATTGTACAATGAATAATAACGGTCCGAAAAAACTGCGAAGAACGAGACAAATATTATATTTACATCATCAAACAAAATAGTGACCAAGGAAAAACAATTCGGACTTTGGTAACGCTGACCGGTCGTGAATCGGACGTTTCGGGGCGTTTCTAGTGACCACTTTAGTAGAGCCAGCACTCTTAAGTGATCACTATAACTGTTCGGAAACGTCCGGAGCACGTTCGGTTTTCGTTAGATCACTATAGTGAAGTCAGTATCTCTTAAGTGATCACTATAACTGTTCAGAAACGTCCGGTTTTTGTTACCGAGGTCCGAATATGCCAAATATTTTCAATAAAAAATATCATAAAAGGATAACAACTAAAGTACCAGTTATGGATCTTCAGTTCAAAAATAGTTGCGGAGCGTTTGAAGGATTATCGTCCATTTTGAGCCGTCTTTCAATTTTTTTTCAGCTCAGGCGAGACTTCTAACTTCTTAGCAAGGATTCTCGGACAAACCAAAAAAAAAAAAAATGAATTGAAGTCGAAATAACAATCACTAACAACAAAAAAATTACATTTTTTTGATATGCTCCCGAAGATTTTTCGCCCTCTTTGGAGCCCTAAACTTTGTCAATATTGGACTTACCGGGTTCGGTTCGAAATCATTTTCATTTTTGTGCATCTTCAATGGAAAACGGGATAATAAATTTCAATAAAAATTACACGAATAAATGCACAATTAAAGCCACTCGCAGGTTTCTCTTCTGATCACTGGGAAGGGTACTAATCAACTCGTAATAAAAAGGTGCAAAATCACAAGAAATATTCAAGGCAATCATGTTGATCACATAGTTTCAAGTTGGAAAACTTTGGCACGGAGAATGGCTCAAGACGCACAGAAGCATTTTTTTCAAATTCTCAAAACGACTTCGTTGAGCCATTCTCAATGTGGCCACAGAGTTTCAAATGGTGGAGAATCAAATATAACGTTCATAAAACAATGGTTCCGTTCAGAAATTCTTCGTGCTCATGATGATGATGGTCATGATCGTGTCCGTGAGCATGACTGTGGCCGCTGTGGTCATGGCTGGAAGAAGTTTTCATTTGATATTCGAAAAATGAAACGGGGAGCAAACCCAAAAATGGCCTGCATTGCTGTGATCAGAGCAAAGCCAATGACGATCGAGAAGAGCTGGAGCAGGTGATTCGCCTCGATTATCGATCTCTCCGTCGCCATTATCTAAAAAAATTGATCATTTTACAAGAAATGAATTGAAAATTCTCAGTTTTTCAGGTATTCTGGTCGTTTTTTTTTATGAACCCATGTTACGTTTCTAGCCCATACATAGGGACCGCAGACGAAATTTCAAAAAATTTTTCGAACTTCAATATTACTATGGTTGGATAGCTGCTCTAATTTACTATTCAAAACAGTTTAGTTTTTCAAAAAAGGTTGAGAAAAAAAAAAGTTATGGTCAAAACAGTAGTGAAAAAAAGTCGCGAAATTTAGTACTGAAAGTTTAGATTTACACTTTTTGGTCGTTCATTTTGTTTTTCATATCGGATTTAAATTTTTTTAGTAGTTTAGTTTGGTTTTTCAAAGTCGTAATAAGTCATTAAAACAGTATAAAACCACAAGTTTGAAAAAGAAAAGCTATTTTTTTCTTGAAAAAAAAAAAAAATTGCCGCTGCGAGGATTGAACTCGCGATATCAAAACTGTATGCAAGCGCACTTGCGCTGCTCCACGTACATCTCTCGGAGATGGGAGGCGTTCGCGCTATACACCACTTCACTTCAAAGTACAGCATCTACCGACTATCTTGTTTAAAAAAAGTTATGGTAGTTGAACAATTATTAGTCACGTGTGTTCGGACCACCTAAAAAAATAATTTATTCATAGAGATTCAGTTCGAAATGCTTCCGTTTTTCGGTGTTTTTTTCTTATTTTTAACGTTGGCTTCAAACTAACACTGATTAAACTTTTTAGGCACCGCTAAAATTTTTTTATTTTATTTTTTTAATTGATTGAAAATTGAGATACGCTAATATTTAAGAAATAAAAAAAGGCGCCAACGACATCTAACCATGTTAAAATGAATTTCGAAATTTTGACTGTCTATTTTTTTCTCAGAAAACAAAGTTTTTCGGAATAAGTTTTATATTAATAAAATTTTTAGTTACAATTTAATCCACAAGTTAAAATAAAAATTTTTTACTTACACGCTCTCGAAAGCGAGTACAACATTTTCAACTTTGCGCGGCCTCACGAAGATTAGGCACCGTAAAAATTTTAATTTTTTTGTCTTAAAAGATTTGTTTTTCACTTAAGAATCGAATTCGAAAATAAAAAAAGGCGCCAACGACATGGAACTAGGTTAAAAACCCGAAGAAAAAAAGTAGTTTCGGTTTTTTGTACGACACTCCGCTAAAACGCTACAAAAATCGGGTGAAAAGTATATCAGATTGAAGAGGAAAGTTTTCTCTATGTTTCCACCAAATTTCTCTGTGTTTGATTCAGTATTGCGCTTTTACGAAAACATCAAACACGAAATCTAAAAAACCAATGCATTTCACCATCGCAAAAAGGGGCGTGGCTCTGCGGTCTCTACCCATACAGGGGCAAGTTCAACGTGGTCAGTCAGAAAATAAGGTTAACTTTAAGAAATGTTCTTAAACAGAGATTCGGTCTGCATACAGTTTTTGAAAAACGTCGGAAAGAAAACCGTTTGAATTTCCCCCCAAGGGCGTTTTGCAGTAAAGTTGCTCTATGGACGAATTCGCGATTTTTCGGATTTTCACCTTTTTCTTCGCTTTTTTTCAAATTCAAAATTTTCCTGTTTTCTCAAAAAATCCTCCAAAGACACCCTCCAAGAAAAGATAAAATATTGAAATTTTTCGCTATTTTTGCAGACGTGTACGTCATTTTTTGATATCAGATATAAAGTCAGCGTGAAAACCCACCCCTATAGTGACCACTTACACTTTGGAACCATCTAAATTTTACCATTAGGAATACTTTTCTGTTCCATGTAAAGGCTATTTTCGCCCTACCCCTATAGGGACAACTTTGGGGTTCCTAAGAAAATCCCTAAAAAAAAATTCATTGAAAAATGTTTTTTTGAAGTAAAATCCGTAAAATCGCGAAGACTGGCCCTCACTTCAATAAAAGTAACATAAATGAAGGTTCCAGCAGCCAAAGATTCCAAAAACAGAACGATTGAGTCTTTGTAGATGCTGGTCGTGTCCGAGTGCTGAAAACATCTTTGATCCATTCCAAATGCGGCCCAAAAAGTTTACCTGCAACAAAGTCCCAACGATGGTCCCGATCGGAGCCATCAAGCAGTAGATGAAAATCGTCGAGAGTATGACTTTGTACTGGAAAATCATTTGAACTTTCGATTCAACATGCAGAAAATCAACTTTTTGGGATTTCGAGTTGGAAATTTGTAGGTGAAGACCGACGGAGAAGGCTTCGACGCCTTTATGAAGCAGCAAGGAGAAAAATAGGGAGTAGATCCGTTGGGAAGATTCCTAAAGCAATCAATTGGTTTGTGGATCTTGAAGTTTTCTTCTTGAGACTTTGAAAAATTCGGAAAGCCCTTTACGGTTCAAAAGCCTGTTATAGCTCATTCCACGCCATGATTTTTATTTTCCTCCGAGCTACCTTCCCTTCGATGCGTGTGACCTGCCTGTGAGCATGCGCCTTCAAAATAACGGAAATTTTAGGCCAAATAAAAGGCTCATCTAATGAAAAGAGTCTGAATATCAGGGAGAAAATAAAAATAGTGAAAAGCTGGCATGAAATGAGCTAAGATTATTTTTGCGTTTCAAATTCAACCTCTAAGAAGTCTTTACGAGCTATTCTGAGCTCGACTATCGCCTTCAAGTTAGAAAAAAAAATAGGTATGATGAAAAACGAAAAAGATAATAGAAGTCTTCTATGAAATCAATCAGTTTTACAAATCTTCTCTGTTGAAGTTTCACTGGTTTTTGCATTAAACGAATGTATTTTTTAAGTTTTTCGCGCACCTGAACACCCAGAGCGAATCCTTCAAGGAGCGAGTGGAAGGACATGGCCATCGCAAAAGTCAGCGACTTCAAAATGTTGCTTTTCTCATCGGAGACTACCCACATTGACGTTTCTTCCACTGCCAAACTGAAAAAAGCTATGCGTCAAAATTATTGACTCGGTCGAAGTTTTACTATTCAATGATTTTTAACTGAATCTGTGCCAGGAAGACTCTGCATTAAATATTCCTCAAAGCTATTTTTGAACCTTATAGACCTTAAAAACCAAAAAGCCTCTCAGATGGAACACCTCTAGTAGCCTTTTTTTTCCAAAAATACATGTTCTCCAATACTTTTTTATTCAATCCCTGGTCCGGACCATTTTAAAACATATGCGTCAAAACTATTGAATCGGTCGGAGTTATACTATTCAATGATTTTTAACTGAATCTGTGAAACCGAAAAGCCTCTCAGATGGAACACCTCTATTAGCCTTTTTTCCAAAAATACCTCTCCAATACTTTTTTATTCAATCCCTGGTTCGAATCATTCTAAAACATACTTGGTGATGTTCAAACTGCTCTTTCGCCTTCGGATTACCGGCGCGTCGCCATGATGAGCATGTCCATGGGAAACTCCGCTGCCGCCTTTCCGTCCAGCAAACACCTTAATCGTCGCCCAATTTTCGACTTTACTCTCTTCGTTTTTGAATAGGAAAGACTGTTTTTTGAACATAAAGTCAAGTCATGTGAATCCTAAAAAACAATCATTGCGTAAACCTTAAAAGAGGTTTGCGGAAAGTTTAGATGAGCATAATTAAAGGCATATAGGCAGTAAAAAAGGGTTTTGAGGTCCTTCGTAGAGCTCTCTAGTTTTGGAAAAAAAGTAAAGAGAAACATTTTTAGTTGAATCTCACAGAGGTGTTTAAAAATGTTGAAAAAATAATTCTCTCAAAAGAACCTGAAAAAAATTTCGAACTAAGGAAAAACCTTAACTTTTAGGTCATTCATTAAGCTCAAAAAAATCATAACTTAGACTGTAGGTCTCCAAAATTCATGTTTCAACAAGAAAAATTCAGAAACAAGTGCTGGATAATCCTAGAAAAATAATATCCTCAATATAACTTAACTTTTAGGTCATTTATGAAGTTCAAATAATCATAAATTAGGCTGTAAGTGTCTAGAATTCACGTTTCAGATACGAAAAATTCAGAAACAAGTGCTCGATAATTTTTAGCTAATTGTTTCCTCAGAAAAAAAGAAAATATCGAATCAAAGAAAAAAATGTGTTATGAAACATTACAAGGCATCTTAATAATACTACCATAAACAATTTGAAAAAAACTTTGATAAAACAAACATATGTGGCGAATTCCTCGATCGAGTAGATGAAGAAAAAACCGCAACAGGTGACCAATTGAGGGAGCGGAAAATGCCACGAAAGTTCGTGTCTTGTTAGCAAATCTTCGTAGCCTTCACTAAAAAAATCTAGATTTTTCAAAATTTGTGACAAAAAAAGTCTCCTATAACTTTCCTCATAATTTCTAAGAACACATGAAAAAGGATCCTGTTGAAATATGAATTTTCTAAAAACTTCTTCTCTGTTAACTCTCATCATTTGAGAAATTTTTCAACTTTCTAATCTTTCATAGATTTTTCGCATTCTTTTCTTCGAAAATTCCCAAATTCTGACCTGCTCTGACCTATCAATTCCCTGCTATTTACACCTCCTTTTGAGAAAACCATTTTCGGTTCCAGTCCAATGAAATAAAAAGAAAAGTGACGTCAACCACGCTGCCCATCCGAAAATAAACCCATAAAACTTTCTCAAGGTTGGGCAGTTCTCAAAGCGGGAAGGAAATAAATAAAAAAGCATAAAAGAGAAACAAACTTGACATGCGGTATAATGTCCAGAAAGCAAGTGGCGAGGAAGACGCCGCCGGAAAAGCAGGACAGGTACGAGAGGAAACTGCTCGGCTTTCGGCCTTCATCATTTTTCACGAACATCTTCAGGACCTGAACGTTTAGCTCCTTTTTTTCCGATCTTTTCCCCATTTCGATTCATTTTTTTTATCGGAAAAAACCGTTCAATTTGTGATTTTGAAAGTCGAAAAACAATCGAATAATTTATTTTCCATTCTCCGTTCTTGTTCCGTAGCTGGTGAGTCCATCTTTTGATTTTTTCGTTGAGAGAAAAAGGAAAATTCTTTAGAAGGAAAAAAAAAAGAAATCAGTGTGAAAATAAACCCCTGGAAAAAGTTTTAGTGGCCACTATAGTAGTCAAGTTGTAGTTCCACATTCCTTTCCAAGTAGTTTTTGAATAATTTCTATATTAGAAACTTATCGAGAATATGAGAGTTTTATTTTCTGGGAAAAAACTCTAGTGGCCGCTTAAGAGGTCCCTCGAGGACCTCAGAGGACACTAAAGTGACCTTTTAAAAGTCCCTATTTTGCTTCTTAGTGATCTCTATAGTAGTTTTAGTTGTCTAGTAGTACCACTTAGGCTCCTTAAGAAGCCACTAAAATTTAGCCACCCAGGTAGCCACTGAATCAACTGCTAGAGGGACCACTAATACGTCAAAGCCCTAAAGTGGCCACTGAAGTTTTTCCAGTGTCTCAAACATTATATTCAATATGTGAGTTTTTTTAGGTTTGAATTTGTGCTTGAGTGACAAAAACTCTGTTTTTTTCATAACCCCGGAAAAATTTTCAGAAGTGTGATTTTCGATCTCCACCCATTGCATGTAAAAGTTAGTTCACGAAGATACTTCTCAAGGGACAACCTCTTCTCGGAAACAGTTTCTCAACTTTCAATTCTATAAGCCATGCTCGGCCAGCCGTTTCAAAGTCGAAACTCGAAAGTGACAAAGGGAGGGCGGTGCGGAAGCGGAAAAAGGTGGGGGGAAGGTGCACCTGGCCGGCTGGTTTCGGCCGTTCCAAATATCCTGCATGTCAGAATTCGCATCAGCGAGCCCCAATTAGAAGTGCTTACAGCTGTTGGAGCAAGGGGATTAGGGATATCGATGGTTTATATTAGACATATTAGCCATTTTTTGGCGGATAAATATTGTGCTAACGAGGCAGACGTTTTTTGTTCATTTTTTGGTGTTTCTACTTTTAAAAAGGGCTTGAATTCAGATCTAGCCTTTATCGAAATTATCGCGACAAGCTGGGAAAATGTTTAGTGGTTTTGGCGTCGGCCACTTAAGTGACCTCTTTAGAAGTCTAAGTGCCACACATTTTGGAGCTTCCAGCCAAAAAAAAAAATAACTCACAAGCATCGGCGAAAAACCAGCGATTGCTGTTATAATCAGCATCACGAAGGCCAAAGTCGACTGAAGAAACAGAAAATCTTGCATTTTTGTTGGTCGTCAATCTGAAAATTACTTTTTTAAAATAAAAAGAAGAAAGGAAACTTGATAAAATTCAATAAAGTTTTTGAAATCCAAGAAAACAAAATTTTCAAATGAAAAGAAGTGGAATGGTACCCCGCCGAAACACTAATCAAATCATTGTGTGAAACGAAGATCGGGACCAGAACTTTTGAAGAAGACAAGGAAAGGAAAGAAAGGCGAGAATTTGAAGGCCTCCCTGGCCAGAAGAATCAACAGAAGGCGTCGACGGCGTCGTCGAAGACAAATCCTTCGGCCACGCCCCCCTTTTTAGGCTCCAACCCCACTAATTTCCATTTTTCCTTGGAAGATGTTGTGAAATTCTTGTCTCTTTATAATTGGTGTGGAAAGATGAGCTTTTTGGAGCATCAGATCGTTTGAAAAATTATTTTCACATCTTGTTATGAAGATAATAGTTCTATCAGAGCCTGTATTCATCCAAAATAGACAGAGAAATTGCTGGAGTTGTTCGGTTTTGCAAAAAAAATGCTCTATTTTTTTGACCCAAATCATGTTAATTTTATTTTTTTAAAGATTTTTTTCAAACCTTCACGCCATTTTTTTATTTTTTGAAGAAGCAAGATTTTTTGGTTTATCCCACAAAACCAGCAGCTTCTCATGAAAAAAATGAATCAAACTCGAGCAAATTTCGAAAAATGTGGCTCAGACAAGATGATACTAGAGACAGTTATATACACTTTTCTTAAAATCAGATAAATTCAGTAGGAATCCATTTTTGACTGTAACTTCATCCTACTCAACTAGATTAGACAAAAATTCTCCAGAAAAACCTGAACGTTTTCTTTATCAGGAATTCCCCAAATTCGTTTAAAATTCAAAATTCGATCTATTCCTTCAAAAACTTTAGAGGGACTTCACGACAGACGACAAAATCATGAAGATTGGTTATAAAAGAATTAGTGACCACTATAGGATTTAGGTCATTCTTCAAGTTTTTTAAGTTACACATTTGCTATTTCTTTTTCCATTACTTGATGATCAAACTATCACGTCCATCAGTGAATTTTCAATTTGAAATTCTCTACTTTAACTTTTTCAATGGCGACTGAATTCAATGACAGAAACCAACCCAACCTAACAAACGAAAAACTTTGACATCAGAGTAAAACAAGGAAATATGTTGGTATACCCTGTGACTCATCGGAAAAGGATGTTATGAAATGCAAAGAGAAACGGAGCTGGAGGGTCCGAGACTAGGTTGCAAGTAAAATGAGAAGACGCGCAGTCCGGCGGAGCTTAATCTGTATAATTAGGGGTATATCTATATAACCGCCATCCTGGGTTCTCTCTTTCTCTCTCTCAATACAAATATCAGTTTTGCAGTTATAGGTTTTTCCGAAAGTGGTGAGTCAGAGAAAGAGGTGGACATCAAGGAGTTTTCTAGTGCCCAGAGGGCTCCTGAAATTCGGTCTGCCCATGTATGGTTTGGGAGAACATAATTGAAAGTCGGAAAGCAAACAGTTTTTTTCCAATTTTTTTGATTTCGAAAAATAAAAGCTAAATAAAGTATTTGAAAAAAAAAGCAAAAAAAACTCGAAAAAAAGCAGAGTAATGGTATATTTGGCGATGTTAGTTTTCCGGATTGAAAATTGAGAGTTATATTTTTGGTTTGAGGAGGGAATTATGCATCAAAGAAAGCTTTTTGAATTACGAACAACTTGAAAAAAATAAAAAAATTTTAAATTTCTCGAAATTAGCTTTTTGACTAGTCATTTCGATCTTGGAAATGACATAACTAATTTCGTTTTTTTGAATTTTTCCATAAAAGTTACATTTTTGAATTCAGTGGATAATTCCGAGCAAGAAAGTGCTTCACAAATTACGGATAAGAAGAAAATAAGGATTTTTAAAGTTTTCAGAAAAGATTCCTTGGACCGCCCAACTAATGGTCTCAAAAAGGATCAAATCCTGTTGGTTTTTTTGGCTTTTTCGAGTTAAATTTATATTTCTAATTATCAAAAAAATATGGTAGCGGAACACTGAATCGAAAAAAAATTCTTTTGATTGACTTTTTCTCAAGAAAGGGACCAGATCAATCTATTGTTGCTACGGAAAACGTTCGAAGTGTGATAATTTATTCTATTCCTATTCAAAATTGTGTTAATTTTATAAGCAAGAAAACCTTCTCAGGGTCCAGGGAAAGGGGAAATCGAAAAAAGAAAATTCGATTCCTAACGAGGGAGTTTTCTGATCGACTTCTCAAAGAGACTAGGTTCACCTTCAGAAAATAAATTGAAGTTTTCTCTCAGTGATTCCGAAAACAATCTGAAAAAAGTTTGGTATTTTTAAAAAAAAATCCTGGAGAGGGTTGGATGACCCTGAAAATCGGTCTGTATTTCTATGAGAAGGCGTTATGATTCTTTCGAAGGTCGTCAAAAAAAGTTCCTGGAAAAGAAAAAAAATTTCTCAAGAAACCTGGAAAAATTACTTAAAACAAGAAAAGTTCAATTATCTATTTGAAACCCCAAAAACAGGACACTAATCGAATCTGTCTACCAAAAATCAAAAACTGTAGATACACACTTCCCTCTTCGGCATTTTATTTCACTTAACAAAAATAGATGGCAGGTGGAAGGAAGTTTTCTCAGAAGAATTCGCGAAATAACGAATAAAAGTTTCCTCGGTGTTCACCCAACTCGCCAAAATTCCGGTTCCGTCAATTTCGTGTATTTCCAAAAAATTCCAAACAAAATCAACGGACAAAAAAAAGATGCCCACTGCAGGAATCGAACCTGCGTCGCCACGGCCACAACGTGGAGTACTAACCACTATACTAAGTGGGCCGAGAGTTTCGGCGCCGATTCCTCCTCACGTAGCCTCTGCCGCGCCAAGAGCTATGACCAGTGAACAGCCAAAGTTTTGGATAAAGAGTTAAATGTTTGAAAGTTTCTGAATTGTGAACTTTTCAAGTTTTCGAAGACCTTGAAAGTCAACGCCACAGTTCAAACAACTACGTCCTAATCGGGACCAAATTGTTGGCGCGAGAGGAAAATTTTGATTTTTGGCCGTGGCGTTTTTTTTCAAACTTATTTTCGAGAACTAGACAGTGCTTACTGTAATCTACTTCCGTATTTGAATCAGTTCTATTTGGGAAAAATAGATGAACAGGTTTTTTATTTCTAGAGAGGGAATAGAATTGGGGGGGTTCCATTTTTGTAAAGAATCGCCAATTAAAGCACCTTACTGAATTGATATTTTTTTAAACAGACAGGTAAAACGAAACTCGCCATAAAATAGCCAACCCCAACTCTCATTGTCCCGATTTCCAAAAAAAGTTCTTAAAATTAAAAATTTTCAATTCTTTTTTTGAATTTAGAGGAGCGCATTCTACATTTTTTTCATTTTTTTGAATCAATTCCCTCTGGCTTTTTCTTTCAATATTTAAAAAAATCCAACCTCGAAAAAAAAATTCCATTCCATCTTCCATTCGGGCATCTCATAGTTTTCATCTTTCTGAAATTTCTCTTGATATTTTTTTCTTCATTCTTCTTCAAAATAATTTCCTGTGTACGAAATTGACACTATTTTTTTCTTTTTTTGTAAAAAGAAAATATCAAATTTCACGCGAAAAAAATTTGAAAAAAATGAGAAAAAAATTTTACTTCACACAAACATAGACAATAATAAGTAAAGCTAACTGATTTCGAAAAAAAGGGAGAAGAAGCAATAAAAAAAATTTCAAGAAAGAAAAAGTCAAATTCATACATTTCCACCAGCGACACCAAACAACGTCTGAAAAAGAAAAAATGAAAATAAAAAGTTGAGATTTTATATTCATGAAAAAAATGGGAGTATATTTTTTTTTTAAATTGAGTTTTCTAGGAGTATCATTCATTTTCTAAGGACCATAAAAGGGCAAAAGAACCGTAAATTTGAACCGAAATCGTTCAAAATATTCCAACAGTTCCCAAAACTCGAATAAAAACAGATTCGGAAAATGAGCACACTTCTCAAAGCTACAGTAACCCCGAATCTTCGCGAGACCCAGAAATCTCTACACAGTTTCAGATTCAAAAACTGATTATGAATAGAATACAAGAAATTATAAAAAAGAAACATACTCGTTTCAGAAAAGATTCAGAAAATTGTTTCCCAACTAACGAAGAAAAATCCGTACTCTATTAAATCGAAACTTGTAAATATGATTGAAAGGCACCAAGAAAAAAAAAAGTTAGTGAACAACTTAAAACTAAAGAAAATAACATGGGAAAAATAAATAAATTAACAAATTCCAACAGGAAACTGTTAAGCTCATTATTTCATTTCATCATTTCACAACCGGGGAGAAACAAAAACGAGGAAAAACTAATCCAATCACACATTAAGGTAAGTCGAAAAAGAGATTCAAACAAAGAAAATGTGATTAAATACTTAAAAGAGTCGAAAAAAAAGGGAAAACGGAAGAAAAAGGTTGGAGTTTTGCAAGGAACTTTCAACAATAAATTTTTTAAAGGTGGCAAATTATTGAATATTTCTATAAGAAAAATTCTACATCCAGCGCAATAGTTTCTTTTAATTTTGAAATGAAAAGCTCCAACCCTCCTCGCAGATCTTGGAATGAAAAAAGGGAAATCTTTATCCGAAAGCGATGCCCCGGAGGATCATCATCCTCGTGCAGCAACACCGATTCTTCCTCCGGAGGGTGGACGCCTCGTTGTTGTTGTTGTTCAGCTGCTGGGCTCTGTGCTTGGCCTTGATCTCCTTGGCGACGTGAAGACATCCGCCGACGAGGTAACGGACGAAGTGATCGCCGGCGAAAGAACCGGCGGCAAACAGGGTCGGATCCTCTTCGCTGTGGTACTGTAGGAAGGAGTATTTTCCCTGCAGGACCGTGTCGAAATCCGACTGGCGGCCGAAGCAGACGGCAAGCAGCGAGTAGGGGATCTGAAATCGGGAAACTTGAATCATTTAGGCTTTTTCGGAGATTTTTTTCATTTCATAGAGCGCTCAATTCCCCTACTTCAAAGCCTTGGCCTTCCTCCTTAACTCACGTCAATCTTCCCCTTCGTCGAGGAGATGAGGACAGTCTTCTCGTTGACGTCGACGACCTCAGCGGACGTCATCCGAGTGTAGAGAGGGTCAACCTGCCGACCGATCATCATCTGGTGGACCTTGTTGTACTCTCCGTAGTACGTTGGGGACAGCCGAGAGATCATGGTGTCTGGAAAGATTTTGATTTTGAATGATCGTCCAAAAGACCTGGAACTCTTTTTTCAGTTTCCGCGACTCACTTCTCAACTGCCGATCCGTTCGACGCATCACATGGATCACTGGAATCTCCCTTTCCAGACAATGCCGGACAACGTCGGCCGAAGATATCCCATCTCCCAGCACCACAACCGCCTTGGAAGAAGAGGAAATTGCTCTGGAAGAATTTGTTGATGACCTCCTTCAGAGTTTTCGAGAGACTCACGGGATCGTGTACTCCTTGCCGAGGTTGGTGTCGCTAGCCAGACGGTCTTTGAACGTCTTCGTGTCGTAGACGATGTTCTTGCACGTTTCCTCGCCAACGAGCTGGAAAGCGATTGGAAATTATAAATATTCACTTTTTGACTTTTTTCTATGCGCTCATGAAATGACTTAAGCGTCGCTATAAGATATGAAATTTTCTCTAATACTATCCGATGTACTGCGCAAGTAGTTTTGAGTCGGACGCAGTGGGCTCAATTTACTTTTAAATATGACCGTTTTGAAAGAAAAAAAAACGAACCCCAAGCTTCCTGGGAGCAGTTTTTCCACACGCTAGCACAACATAGCGGCTGCAAATTGTGAAAGGCCGATTATCGAGGGTTGACCGGCCTTCAGTCACCCATACATCATCGACTTTCTGGAAAAAACCCCTTAGCGCTTTTAATTGTTTCTTTCTCACCTTAACTGATGTAATTTTCATATTGCAATGGAAATTTCTTTGGATCCCAAGTTGTTCCGCGTAGCTGGCCATGTAGGATGCGATGGCACAAGAGGGTAGCCTAAAGTCGAAATTCATTTTAAAACCGCTTAGAGATAAAAATTTGAATTTGAATTTAATTTTTTTCTTCATTTTTCTTGAAAAAGTTCTATTCTTAAATTTATTATGTCCTTGTTTTTCTTTATTCACCTTGGGACCAATGGAGTTCCGCCAAGCCATTCAGTCGTCGAATATCCGGGCAGGTCGAGGCTTTGAGCAAAAGATACGGCCAGCATCTAAAATTCTCAAAACTTTAAAGATTCTCAATCACCTTTTCTTTTTGATACATTCTTATCTACAATCTCTTATTTTGTGATTTTTTTTTCTTCAATAAAGGTAAACCCTTCAGGAAAAATGAAGCCCCGATTATTTTTTACATCATCTCTTTTCAGGTAAATCCAACAATTATCACTGATCTTCATCATAATTAGCAAGCATAAAGTGATGATAATTCCCTTTTATCATGATTCCCACGCGATTTTTTTCTTCTCACACGACATTAAAAAGTTTCCTACACGCAAAATGATGACAAAACAGGCAGTTTCGAAACGATTGGGCACACGCTTTTTGTGTATGTGGGTCTTGTGATTTTTGATGCTAGAACGGGTGCAAAAAAGGTTCCTCTTTTTTTTTCTTTTTGCAAATAATGAGTCAAGCTTTCCAACATGCTATCATGAAGATCAAATTGAAAATCAAGCTCAAGCCGAAAAATTTTCAACGTAAAGAACAATTATGAGAGAAACGTACTTAAAACTTTTGAAAATATTAAAAATCAGCCTAATAGGAAGGTATTGCAAAACTTTTTATAATGTCTTTTAGGACTTTATTTCTTCAAATGTAGTAAACTTGTGCATTTTGTGATCTCTGACTCAGGAAACTCGTTCAAAGAAGCTTTTAATGTGTTTTTTTTTCTTTTTTCCGTGGTTTGTGCAAATACTTCAAAGCGGTCTAAGGAGGCGGTCAAATTGTTTAACTTGGCATTTTCAGAGAGGAAAAGATTGAAGATCAGGTGGGAAAATAAATGTTGTTTGAGAAACGCGGAGAGTACTGTAAAAGTATCTTTGATGCTTCAAGAAGGCAATAAACTTTTGAAACTGTCTTTAAAAATCAAAGAATTACAGTTCAAGGGGCTTTTATAAACTCTGATCTCAAAATCATCCTACAATAAATATTTCTTTTCTCAGCCCAATGATCATGATTCAGTTGGTTATTTTTGAGTTCAAAAGACCACGGGTTCGTTTCCTCGCACGAAACTTTGTCAACTTCGTACAGTAATCTCCTCTTAATTCGATTTCCCAGGTCACAAGTCCCAAAATAGACATAGGAATTTGATCTTTAGGACTCAATTTCAAAGTTGAATGTGGAGCTCAAAAAAGAGAAAGATCCAAAATTTCTGTGTGAGAATACTTTTTTCAACATTGCCCAGCCAATATACTCATCAAAATTGATGCTATCGAGTTTCTAGTTAATCAGATGAACACGGATTCGGAAGAAAAGCTGCCGATTAACCTCCGGATCGTAGTTGTTCCAGCTGCCGCCAATCGAGGTCTCTCCAATGACCATGTGTGGGATCTCATGAGCCAGGTTCATCTCCCACTGAAGGCTGCTGGGTCGTGGATCGCCGGTGTCGACTCCAGGTCGCACCAGCATGTCGTACAGGATGGATAGGGGCCGGCTCGCCGAGGTCAGGTCCGTCAGCTGGTCCGACCATGTCAGGTCCTGGAAGTTGAAAATGACGATTTTTACGTCTCATACCGCATTTTTCCGAACTGGAATTTTCCTTCGAGCTACACTTTCTTCCAAAAAGCTTTCTTGTAGCTCTGAGGAAATATCCCACCCACTTCCTACAATGTCGAACTGCCAAAAAGTCTTAGATAGTTCCCTGATCTTTTCAATTATCACAAGTTTCTTTTCTTGACAATCCTGCCCCCTTTTTTTTTAAAGAGTTCTAATCTGATCCCTAAATAATCTTATCGAAAAAAGATGGAAAATAAACACTCGCCAGTGTTCTCCTTCTTCTTCTTTCCATTTTTCCTTCTTCAAACCAGACCGAGATAACGAGATTTTGCCGCGCTTTACCCGTGACCGTCACACACACATTGGAAACATTTTTTCGCGGCTGCTTAGGTAATAAATTATTCCAAGAGACAAGGCTGCAGAAGAATTTTTCAAAGAAAGAAGGAAATACGTTTGTAATTGACGATAGATTTGTAGAATTTTTTTTATTTAAATCAAAAATAAAATTAACTCACAAATTCCTCAATTTTATTAGCTGTTTTCTAAAAACCTCTCAGATTTAATCTCAAAATCCTGTTTTCTGGCAAACTGTGCGACACTTGCAATGTAGCCCGTTCCATCAGATTGAAAAAAAACTCAAATTTTATATTTTTTCATAAACTTTATCCAAAATGTCCCTTAGCCTCTCCAAAGACATAATTTCCTCCTTGTGAACCCTCATCTCCGACCAACCTAACCACCCACCAACCTTGGAACAAAAAAAAAATAGAAAGACTTCACTTCAACTCAAAATCAAGCGGTTTTCCACTGTATTTTGTATTCCGGCCGGTTTCCTTTTTCTCATGGCCTCTCCGAAATTTAATTCGATAAAACTTTTGCAGAAAATCTGCGTGACTGATAATACTTAACGCTGACAAATCAAATTTCCATCTCATTGCAAAAGAAAGGAAAATCGTTCGCTGATTCTGCCGCTTCTCCCTTTGAAAATAGCAGCTTTTCCTAGAAGTTAAAGGAAAATTCCGTGCCCTTTCTGTTTTCAGAAAAAAGTCCACGAAAACAGGGCAATTTACGTGCCTCCAAAAAGCCTACAAAAACAAAATACGTTTTCTCAACTTTTTTTTCAATCATTGCTTCATAAAACTCAATTCTTACCTATTTGAAAACCTAATTATTCTATAACCTAGGCCAGGAAAAGAGAAATCCCAAATTCTGCTTGATAATCTTAATATTGACAACCAGCCTACCAAAAATGCATTTATTTTTTCGATTTCCGGGAAAGTTCCTAAATCAACGACAAATCGAATCACTTCAGACTTTTTTCGGATTAGCGACGTAATGGTCTCAGTTAAGACGACCAAAATAGAGATATTTTGAGAAATTTTCAACTGAATAATTATTTTCAATGTATTCCAGTTTTAAGAAGTCGTTTTTTTAAATTGAGAAAGACTAAAATTGGAAGCCCTAAAACCAGACTACCGTAAAAACCTGGAAAAAAGTCGCTTCAAAAACAGAAACCATACTAGGAAGACGTCAAACTCAAGCGAAAATGTTAAAATAAGGCTACCGTAATCCTTATCTGTTTTTGAACGTTCCAATCATTCAGGAAACCTTTCTCGTTGCGGAAACCTTAAGATCAACGTTAAAGAATACAAAACGAAGAACAATATTTGGCCTAGGCCATCAAACTATTAAAAAAATGGCAACTACTACGTGTCCTATTCTCTATACCGGTAAATTCGCTCGTGAGGGCGTATTAAAACCGGTCCTAATTTCACTCTAATATAATTCTTGCTCAAACTATGTATTTTTATTTGTAGTTCATGTTGTTTTATGTATCAGAGTGAAATAAATATTCAAATATTCAAACATTTAAACTTTTTAATTTTTCGTTAAAAAAAATTCAGAGTAGCAATTTTAAGGCGTTCAGTAGATAATCTTATCAGTTCCTCAATTAGGCTGAAAAAAATGAATGATACTTCTGGTTGCTAAAAATTTTGGAGTACTCCAGTCAACTAGAAAAAATCAGAAAAACATCCAGCCTTTTTTCTCTTTTATTTTCAAATTTGAACCTCTTTTCCTGATAGATTCTTCGGACCAAACTAAGTTTCGAAAAAAAAAACCAATTTTCGAAAATCTCGTGCCACCATTCTTTTAAACTTTTGCTTAAATCTCCGATCTTTTGATCAGGACATCTTTTTGTTTTCTTCATCCAGAAAAAAAAAACGAGAAGCTTAAAAGTGGTACGCCCCAGCACGCGTTTCTCTCTCTCCTCCTCTCTCTCTCTCCCAAAAACAACAATTTGTCAGCATCCTCCCCAAAAGAGAAGCGAAAAAAAACATATCCGTTCGGAAACCCTATTTTTGATGACAATTCTCAGTTTTTGATCCCTGTTCAGTCATATAAATGAATAATTGCATGTTTTCAACTATGACCATAAGGAGATAAAAAAAGAAGAAGGCAGGTGACAAACAATTCCATAAAATCAGTCATGAAAAGCGAATAATAACACCTGAATTATCACCTTTTTTTCTTCTTAACCAGACACATAACATGTTATTTGGGCTGACAAGTTTTCATTATGCGGTAACTCTTAATGAGTTTCGAGGCGAATTCTAACAAAATGATAGGCCTACTGTAACCATAGAAAAGTGTTATTAAAAAAACAAAGAAATTACCAATTAGGAAATGAAAAATTAGGAAAAAAAGCTCTTTTTCACTTATATTTTTGTCAGTTTTTCAATTAATTTCCTTCATAATCATCATACGATAGCTCCTAATTAGTTTTCAAGTAATTTCTAGGAAAACTCATGAGCTTACGGTACTCAGCTCTCCTATCGATAAAGCTACATTCTTCCAAACAAACTTCAACACCAAAAAAAGGTCCCCCAATTTCCACATTCTCAATTTTCAACGCGTCTACGTCAAACAAACAAAAAAGAGTTCAAAAAGAACAAAAAAAAATTAAAGCATGAAACAAGAGCCCCCAAGAAAAACGGAAATCCGACCGCCACATTTCCACCATCATCACAACGTCACAAAGGCAAACATTTGCTCGGATTAAAAGTGAAAAAAAAATTGATGGTCTCAAAAAAAAGCCGAAAGTGGGGTTTCAATGAATTTTCACATACAAGGAATATCTTGGAGTCGATTCAAGTTCAATAAATTGTCCAAGAAACTCTGAAAAGCTTATAAAGAAGCTCAAAGCAAAAAATCGTTAATTTGTAGCTTTTCCAAACTGGATGAGTCAGGGAAAAATTTTTAATTTTTCTCTTTTTGTAGCTTAAACAAACATAGAGCGTAGTTTGGTCGCTCAGAGCTCACTGACGTCATTTTTTTCAGCTTTTTCTTATTTGCTGAAAATCAAAGCTCGAAAAAAGCTGAATGGCCACTTTGCTATGGCTTTCGAAAAGTTTAACTGATTGGAAATTTTCTCTTTCAATTTTATTCAATCCTTAAAAATAACTTTATTTAACCGATTAAATCCATCATTTGGAAAAATCGCCCATCATTTTTCGTCCATTTGTGAAGTGATAAAAAGTGCATGATAACCTTCACAAAAACGGCATCAACCCGAAATTCCAATGATAAAAAAAAGGTGAAAGAAATTCCTCCTCCGAAACGTATTTTCAGTGTAACTTTCCGCTTGTTCTTTAAACGATGACTTTGCAGAGAGAGATAAACGGTGTAATGACTCAAATGATTGAATGAATGGATTATTGCAGAGCCACGAAAAAAGCTTTTTTTAATCTTTATCCTTTCTTACAGCGATTCATAAGCTTTTGTTCCAAGCTCCTTTGACTTATTAAAGAAGCAAAAAGTCCAAAAATTCTAATATCCATCACGTTTTCCCCCTAAAAGCTCAAATTTAGACCTTTCTCCGCTTTCTTTTCTCAGAGTTTGGCCTCTGAACTCTCCGAAAATTCATCTTTAGCTCTTCGCTCCGGTGAAATTCAACCCTAAGAACCTCTCAAAATACAAAGCTTTTTTCCTTCCTTCCGCTCGATCTTTCACGGGGTTTTTGGCTCATTGCTATTTTCTACTCTTTGTTTACCAGTCTGTCCTTCGTTTTTACTTGAGAACAAACGCACCCACGAGGTTTCCGTTCTTTGTCAAGAACTTTTTTTTGCTTTTTTTAAAGTTTAGTTTTTGGTTTTTACGGTCCGTTCGGCTCTTGAGAGCTTTTTGAGATGTTTGACGGCGAAAATAATGTTTCTGAAGTTGATTACTCAGCTGGGGACGCTTTCTGAGCCTTTAAAAAAGCCGAAAATGTCCAATAAATTATTACCATTGTTTGAAATTCATAAATGATCACCACTTGGAACTGGAAAAACTAAATAAATTTCAAAATTTCAACTCCATTTCTTCTAGCGGAAAAAAACCCTTCCATTCGAACACTCCAAATAAAAACTCAATTTGAACTGGTCCAAGATGACATCAAATTCAGGCCTCAGCAAAATCACAACAAACAACAACAACCTCATAAATTTTTCAACAGCTTTGAACTTCAAAAATATTTATTATTTGTATTTCCTTCCATCTCTTTTCAACGTCATCTTTTTAAGAAATAATATTTTTACTCCTCTTCCGCAAAAATCCTGAATCCTACAACTCGAATCAGGAAACGGTCTATTGAATTATTTCTTCCCACTCTTCACGCACGAGAATCTTATCAAATCCCATGATAACGAGGAAAAAAACTTCATTTCGTTGATATTTTCTATTTCTTATCAAAATAAATCCCTCAGTGATTTATAAAATTTATCAACGACACTTTTGCAAATACTCTCTTTGTATCCAAGGATTCGAAGTTTAACAAATCCAAATGTTTAATGAGAGCAGTGAAAACTTTTTTTTTTCAAAAGGATTATAATACTTCAAACTGACTTTGAAAAATAAATATAAATTTTTCATTCAAACCGTAATTTTTTTGATTTCTTTTTTAAATTTCGGTCATATCTAATTTTTAAAAAAACCAACAATTACTTGAATAAAACCAAAAATTGAGGAAAAAAATCTTCCGAATGAGTTTTTGCGGTATATTTCGACAATAAGTTTTAACGCCGTTTTTCTGGCCGCGGCTAAGAGAAAAAAACAGTGCCAAAAATACTAAATTTGCTTTCTGCAAAACCAATTGGAGTCATGAAATCGGCAAATCCGAATTTTTTGCATTTGTAAAGCTCGTCGTTTACAACTATTTGTAAAAAATGTTTTTAGCGAAAAAATTCGAATTCAGAGCACTTTTTGGCCGAGCAAAAAAGTTCTTCGACACTTTGATCAGATCCTGATCATTTATAATAAATAACACTGAGCGGTTAGTATACTATCTTTGCAACTTACCAAACATTTGCTTCAATTCATAACAGTCATAAGAAAGGTACCTGTTCGAGGAGGGAGAGATGCGGATCGGCGCTGAGTCGCTCGTGGATCAGCTCATTCTGATGGGGCTGGTCGACGTTGTAGAACGGCTGGACGCCGGAGAGAAACGCGGAGAGCGCGAGTCCCGCCGGACCGTTGCCTGCAGGCAAATATTTGGTCTCGTTCGCAACATCCCATTCATTCTTTTTTTACTTTTTGGCAATAGTTTTTTTAAATTTTATGACGTGTTCATTGACGTGCTTCGGAAATTACAGGATAAAAAAGTACGGTTTCCGAGCAACAACGAAACATTTTTTGCTCTTGACAACTCGGGCAAAGTCGGAATGGTGGATACTGCCGTTAAAAGAGAAGTGGCCGTAGAAAAGCATCAAGAAGTGTCCGCTTATCGGGCCTTTTATTTTTTAGAGAATTTTAAAAGCTCAAAGAATAGTGGAAAAAGAGGTTGCAAAAATGGTGCAAAAGAGCCGATGAAATGGCGCAAAAGGGCAGCAAAAAAGGAACGTTTTTATAGTCTTTTCGACTCTTCCGACATTGCCAATGTATATTCTCAGTAAAATTTTGAACAGATTCAAAAAGTTATCATTATTTTTTTCAAAAAAAGTTACAGTAAATGTTAAAATTCCTGAAGAAACTTAAAACCGACGGAGTTTTTCAGCAAGAAGTTTTGAAAAGAAATAAAAAAATTTTTTTACTTCAAGTAGGGATTTTTTTGAAATTTTTTTGACAAGTTTTGATAAATAATAAAGTTTTTCACGTAGAGCTTTAACGTGATAAGACCCTTCATTTCAAAAAAACCCAACAATTTTTTTCGCGCAGGCCGATTTTACTCTATTCTCACATCTCTTTAAAAAAAATTTTTAGTTTTCAATATTAATTCTTGCGACCCAGGTTGAACTACAGTATCATCTTTTATCACCATTTTTCCATTCATCTCATTCTTTGATCTGGCTGTACATTGTACCTATTCTGGGCAAACTAGAACACCATTTCGCAACATTCAAGCTCCAATAAAACGTTTCGAACTCGTCAAAAAGACTATTAAAAATTGAATTGGTTTCAAACCGATGATAAGAACTTGGGTGTCGAGGCGCCGGCGCGAGCCCTGCATCGGAAAATCGGCGCCGCCGATTCTTTACTTGTGACCGTGGTTGGGTTATTTTTTTTTTCTTTTGGGCACCTGAAAATTGCTGGGCAATTGAGGTTTTGTGAGGGGTGAACGAACATAAATCGCAAATAGCAACCAGAAAAAAAGAAAGATAGAACTCATGAGAGAGCAAAAATCGAACTTTGCGGATCTCACCGCTATAATTTGCAAGAGCATCGAAATTTTTCGTCTCTTTTCTTTTTTTCTTTACTCGTCAAAAAAATTTTTTTCCAATGGAATTGATTGAAAATTTCATTTGGTTAGGTTTGAAAGATACTCGCGAAAAAAATCCTTCTGTTTTTTTCAATTTTTTTACAAATATCGGGCACTTTTTCACATTAATACTCGAAAAAAACCCTTAATAAAAATACTCCACTTCAAGCTCTAATTTTTTTTTCTACTCCTAACTAATTTTTCTTTAAAGAAAAAGGCAATTTTTCAAAGAAAGATCATTGTTACACTCCTACTCCCACCCATAACCTACATACAAAAGAAGAAACTTCTCACAATTTATCATCCTGGCAGGTGCAAAACAGAAAAATGAACAGATGTTAATCAAGTTTTAAACGCCCTTCAAAAAAAATTGTTGCGAAATACAAACAAACTCTATATGAAAAAGCGGCTTTTTAAATTTTTAAAAAGCTTAAGAGGAATACCACAAAAATGACTGCAAAAATTTCAAATGCTCCACTTTCATCCTGTGAAAGTGTAAAAATTCAAATAAAATGAAAAAATGAATTTAAAAATAATCAAATAAGTGCTAAAAATAAGAAAAGAAGATCCGTTTTACGCAAATTGCGTCATAGTGATCACTTAACAGGTGTCGGCGCCACTGCAGTGTTCACTCAAGGGGAATGGAATCGTCAAAAATCCCTATACTCGAGGGAAATAAGTAGAAAGCTGAGAGAAATCGAGAATTTTCGAAATAAAAAAATTGTTCAAATATTTTCTATCAGATTTCTTTGACTACCAAAGGTACTTATTCTCATCGATACTTGAAGACGTTTATATTTGAAAGTTCCTAAACCCAATCAAATATTTAAAAAATTCCGAAAAAGGGTTAAAAATTTAGAAAAAAACTTCATCATGGTTCCGTCAATATTCCTGACTTTTTTAACCGTGAACTCATTCAATCAAATTTCTGAATCTTGTCAAATGAATAAAGACCGCGACTGACCTGTCGCGGTCTTTATTCATTTGACAAGATTGACTCCTCATTTTTTTTTTCTCCAAAAACTGATTCTCTTCTCCCCATTTACATCTCCTTCGATCTAACTACTCCCTTAAAACAGCTTATCCAAGTGAAAACTGCTCAAACTCGACCAAGAAACCCGAAAAAGACCGCTCCGAAACTGGTAAGAGCCTCAGCCTTGGCCCAAAAATCTTATTAAATCATTTTTGTTCAGTTTTCTTAAGACCCTCAATCGAGGCAGATATCCGTAATCAACTAATCCAATCATATGGTCAGATAGTTCGACAGCCGAAAAAAAAAGACCAAGCGGGGGTCGCCGTGACTGAAAGAAGAAGAAAGGAATGAGAGACGAGATGGCGGGACAGGGCGGAGTGGGAACATTTTTTTTTCCTTCTCCCCCGGTCTCTCCGTGAGTGGCGTGAGTGGAGTTTGTGTGTGCAACGTATGAGCTTTTTCCGAAGAGGGGCGGAGCCGCGGACGGAGCCCAAACGCGCAAAGATTGGCGAGTTAAAAGCTGATTTCTGAACATTTTCACAGCGGAGATTAATGGTGGGAACGGATAAAGGATCAAGCACGTGGGGAGACTAAAGTGTATTTACCGTTGGCTTGGAAATTTCGGATAGAGTGGAAATGGCTTCTTAGAACTTGAATACGGGTATGACTATGAGGAAAAATTCTTCCGTGACCATTTTAAACGCAAAATTCAAAATCGAAGGTTGAAAAGGTCTTGAAAAAAGCCTTCAATGGCTTGCAACTTTGATCGTATTCTAAAAATTTATCAGTTTCTCAAAATAATTATATTAAATTTGAAACTTCTAGTAACTTCCCTGTGTTTGAAATCACCAAGCAAAACCTGGATAATTTTCACTTTGCGACTCAAAAACACACCGAGAAAAACTTAAATTTCAAGAATTTTGTCCAAAATCTATTTTTATCCGTACAGCGCACATGTACGTCAAAACTGTGGCTATTTCTTCAAACCCAAAATTTTTTTTACTAAATAATGAGCAACTTCCGATTTCTGATTTCATTATTACTTTGGTAGTTTTTCTGAAATTTTGCTCTTCGACGTTCTCTTCAAAAAAACATCCTTAAAAGAAAGGATTCAAAAACTTCGAAAACGCCGTGTAACTATAGAAACATCCTACATTATCCTCTTTAACCAACCTTTTTTCTTCACCAAAGACACAACAGATGACGCGAAACCTATAAAAGGTGCAAGTCTTTTTCCGGAAGCAAAATATCCAAAGCAACATACTGAAACGAGATTCAAATGAAAATGAAAGAAAATGTTTTATTCCAACCTCGGACTAGAAAACGAAATCTAACCCAATAAATATTATTGGTTCATTGAATAAAGTAGGTTGTTATCGGGCAAGGAACAGAACCGGTCAAAATGAATGAAGATTTTTTTTTTCATATAGTATCATACAATATTAAGTGGGGAACAGTGTACAAAAAACATTAAAATTGACATTTGCATATTTGGCACATGGGTTTTTATTCTAGCATCTGTTTCGCTTGGTGAATTTCGCGAATCGCTTCAATATTCTTGACGTCGTCGATGAATAGATGCGAGTTCGACTCCAGTATCGCCAGCCTGAAAATGGGAAAGGATTTGAATTGAAAAAAAGTTCTAAAAAGAATAAAATCATTGTTTTTCTTGATAATTCTTCAAAAAAAATCTTCTTATTTTTCATGGCTTTACAAATTTCATACTCCTAGTTGGAATTTCCAAAGGTACACAAATCTGGAATGACTGTATATGGTCCTGGAACAGGCTTTTACTCTCATAAATATAAAAAAATTGATTAACATCAAGAAATTTTGAAAATTTTTTTAAGAGATGCTGATCCCGGCTTGTGAAAAAGTTTCACAAAAAAATTCAATCACAATGATAATTATGACTATAAATGGCTCCCAAACTCTCATCACAAAAAAAAATCTGAGGTTCGCGTTGGAAAATATCACAAACAGTTTTCTTTAGTCAGCGTTGATGGAACTGAACTAGACGATTTCGAAAATTTGAGTTTTTTTCTCTCATAATTCAGAAAAAAAATATCCGATCCTGGTAGTTTCCGTCCATTCTTTCAATTTTTTTTTTGATTATGTAGAAAAAGTCAGCTTACATGGCTTGCTGGAAGCCATTCTCATTGGTCTGAGCCATCGCGTAGTCGAGATGAATGTCACGGGCCCAACTGCATTGTCCGTTCGCCAAGACGTGAGTCTTAAAAAAAATGAGATTAAAATTATCTCTAAAGCCCTAAAGCTCACGTTCTTTGTAGGTTTTGAATTTCAAGGACTCATAATTTGAAAAAAAAAATCTGTTACAATAAACTTTCTTTTAAATTAAAAGGTCCTAAAGTGCATTTCAGCCAAGTTTCATTAAGATCTCTAGTAAGGGTCTAAACACACTCTCTTTTTAAGATAGCTGTGGTCCATTTTCTTCATTCCATACCTTCCTGCTTACTGTAAATTCCCTTTTCATTATTTTATGACATTGTAATAATCGTCTTGAAGCTCGCTAAGTTATTCAACTCTCATTATCCTTTTTTCAACTCGTCACCTAACCTTCGTAATTCTTTTTTTTTTAAAATGCTTCCACACCTGAATAAATAGTTATTTTAATAATCTATTTTCCAAATTCACTATTCGGTAACCTCTTGAATCAGTCGCTGATTGCCGAGTTCAACGGCGACTCGCAGAGCCAGTCGCCAAATGGAAGGATCGCGCGTCAATGTCGCCTGTTCAGTGAAGCTGGTCAGGAGGCGTTTCAGGATGGAATCCGAGCCGAGGTGCTCATCTAGCTGAAAGTTGAGAGAGACTATACATGAACAGACTATTCTTGAAATCTACCAGCAACTCCTTCCCAGTTTTCTAGAATCAATAACACCATTTAAGGTTAAAACTTATTTTTTTTGATTTCAAACACTAGTCAGTAAATGATTGTGAATATGTTTGTGCTTAAAAGCGGCTGGGAATGGCTCAAAAAAAACAGTAGACTATGAGTTTGGCTTGTTGAAATAGACTAGGATCAAAGATGGGAGGCGAATATTCAAAACTTCCGGAATGCGGGATAAAATTCTTTTCCTGAACGCGGTATTCGGAAGCAGTGAAGGTACTGAAGTATGCACAATTTTTCAGATTGTAAAGATGAAATTTCCATTTTTTTTTTCTCTTTCGCATTTTTGGACGGTCAGCGGGTGGGACTGTTAACGATTTCGAAAAAAAAGAAGTTAATTTTCAAGAAATCATATCGTATGACGCGGAGAAATATTTTTGCCGGAAGCGGAACCAAAAAGCGCGGAACTCCGCCCATCTCTGGCCAGATCCTTCCAAATTTTCAAAATTTCAAAAAGAAGTGTTCAAAATATCCTAGCAGCCCATTCAACCGAGAATCATTTTTTCACACCAAATCAGTAATTTGTGCATGTCAAGGTCAACTTCTAGATATCTAAGAGCGGCGAATTTTCAAAAAAAAATGCATTCGTGTAAAATATCAAACCGATCTATAATGCCGACACTGCATGTAGAGAAGTCCAAGGGACATGAAAAGTCGTTCGACGTCCGAGTAAATGTCTGAAAAATGTCACTTTGAAAAATTTCAAAAATACAAAATTTCTGAGAGAACGAAAAAAATTTTTAAAAAAATTCATTTATTTTTGGAAAAAAATCTGTTTAATTTGAAAACAACCTAAACTCTCAATTGTTGCACAAAACGAGGTTTTCTCATAAAAACAATAAAAAAAACGTACTCGGATCTTTCTCAGCCACCTCCTGGACGAAAATTTGTCGATGGCTCATGAAAATGGAGGTCGTCAGTCTTTTAGAGCCCCGATTGAACGTCTCAATATAGCTGAAAAGCATTACTTTCCTAGTAAGACACCGAAAAACCCACGTTATCCAAATGAACGGTTCGAAACGCAAGTGCTCGATGGCCAGGTGCAACACACTACAGAAACGGTCACGGAAAATCTGGAAAAATTATGCCTTTTCAGTGGATTTATGGGGAAAAAGAATGGAAGAACACACTCTTAAAGCATTGTTCCACACAAAAAATGAGAAGTTTCAATTTCTTTAAAAATTGAAATAAGTTCTGAGTATAGTTTACACCTCGAGCGTCACTTTCATGAGTTAATTTAGTTCCGAAAAAAAGGTCGAATCCTCACGAATTTCGATCCAATGGCCAGGATAAGCTCAGTGTGAATGAATCGGAGGTTGATGTTACGGTAGGTTTCGTTGTCGGACCCACGGACAACTTTCGACACGTCCATCAGCCTGTCAATCGCATAATTCGCCTCGGTCGAGTCCTTCGCGTCTTGAACCGCTGGAAAGAAATCTCTTTTATAGAATTAATCATTTTATTAACAAAGTTAGGGGCATGAAACAAGATAAAACCCGCTTTTTGAGCACCCTAACGGGTACAGATACTGGGACTTATAAAACATGTAAATTCAGATTCAGAAGGTGAAAATAGGTGACTGAAAGGAAATTATTATAATCTTAAAAAAATCAGAACTTTGGTTCAACAATCCTTGAAGATATCTAGCTCAAACGGAGCAGCCGAAAAATCTTTCCATTTAAAACTCACCGATATTAACTCTCAGGTGCATAATCAACACATCCAAGAGCACAGAAGCCGTCGGCAAAACATGGAGAGAGCTCTGAAACCAATATCATTGAACAAAAACTAAAAATTAATTCCAAAACTCCACCTTATGACTATTTGGTTCATTTTCCTTCTGCTCAATTTTGTAGATATTTTCCTGAATGCCCTCGATAGTGGTGACCGCGCGTCTCAAATCAACGTTCGACAGCTGAAAAAGTAGACAGTTGCGCTTCACTGAAATATCTTTCTGGGGAAAGTTATACCTTATCCGCTTTTTCCGTATCCATTCCGAGGAGAAGCGCCGCGATATTCCGACTCTTTACTTGAGGGTCATCGAAAAACTGAAAAGCCCAATATAATTTTCGTTACTCAAGAGATTTGACGCTACTAAAGTGGCCACTAGAAACGCCCGACACCTACGATTCGCCAAGGTCCGATAAGCTAGTCCAATTTGGTTCGAATTGAATGAAATTCTAACTTTTTGGATATAAAACATTAAAATAAGATAATTTACTATTGAACAAATCTCCCTAACATTTTGAATAAACTCGACACACATTGTTAAGCTCAACAACAAAAAATGACCTTCAAAACGGTGATCAAAGCTAGGAAATCCCTTTGAATCGAGTTCAACTCTTGTGATTTCGTGTACGGCGAAACGCCCAACAATCGTTCCTGCTCCGTTGACTTCGACCTTATCACATTGCGGAGAAGCTGAAAAAAGGTTATCAATTCATACTTCTGTTTTTTTTTTCAAATACCATAATCAATTTTTCGACAGCCTTATCAGTGATGGCCTTGGCTTTTGGGCCTTGGTTTTGGGCTTCCCGCTTCGCTTGAAATGCCAATTTAGAAACCTGAAAGAACGTCTGAGTTGGAACCTTAATAAACTCAATGAGCTTTTTTTAAAAAAATAAAATTTTGAACTCAAAAAAACACAGGCCACTACTTGGAACAGCTGGACAGCCTGTCAGCGGTTTTGGAACAAAAAAAAGAAGAATTTTTACATTAATTCCAGAGCTTGGAAACTGTCAAAAAAGTCAAGTCTCTTTCTCACCTTATCAGCGAGGACCAACAAAATGATATGGGACGCCTCCATGCTCATGTTCGGCTTAATCAGCGGCCCTCCTTTCGAAAAGAAATACTTGAGTTTCTCCAAACTTGTCGACAACGTGGAATCCGCTTCCACAATCGAGAACTCCCTGAAAAAATGATTATTTAAACTCTCAAGTAGCCCTTTATCTGTGATCTCCGAGAATTAAATCAACATAACAAAAATTTTTTTTCTTTTTCTTCTCTTCCATACTCGTAAAAATTAACACCTATGATAGTGTATAGTACTAAGGTTGCGATAGTCGTTAAAAATTTCTCGGTTACTTTTTGTAACTGGGAAAATTATCCTCTAGGTGGATATTTGAGATGAACGGCTTAAAAATCTTGAAAACTCAAAATTCGTTTACGAAATCGAGTTTAAAAGGAAAAACGCCGTAGAGAAAAAAACTTCAGTACCTAAGAAGAGAGAATGTTACGCACCGTTTAGTTGACAATTGTTTTTTTTTCAAATAACGTTTCTTCAGGCTTAATTGCTCAAAACCCGCAAAAACAGCAATGATTTTCGTATTGCTATTTTTTTCAGATTTTGAATGTCAAGTTCCGCCCCTAACGGTACGATAAAATAATCAGAGACCGAGCCACAGAGCTTTTTCGAATGTCATTTCACTTGACATTCCTAATCCGAACAGGCTTTATTTTGCTATTTTCGGGCAGCTGATGAAAAGTGAAATCCTGATAAGCATTAGATTTTTAAGAAAAGTAGATACTGTGACTTCTCATTTTTACTTAAAAATGTTCTTCTGTCCGTAACACAATAACTATGACAGTACGTTAGAGCTTCGGAAGAGTAGAAGACGCGATGCAGCGGATGACCGCTTTCGAACGTGAATATCTTGTCATAGAGATAACGCAGGATGTTGACGCCAATCTAGAATTAAAATATTCGAATGTCATTCCACTCGAGCCTTTCTGTACCTTCCGACAAGGCAGCAGTGGTTTCGCACTGGGCAACGTCCTGAACTCGCTGCAGTTCTGGTTGCAACCGTCGAACCAGGCTTGCAGGATGTCATCCGACGAGCTGTACACTTCGTTCTAGATCAAAATGATGAGAACTCAATTTACAGTGAGAAAATGAGGAATACAGCGCCACTTTTAGAAAAAAGAGTAAATTTTGCTCTAAAAAACAGCAAAAAGACAGCAAGAAACAATTCTCTCAAAGAGAAGTGGGGACAAATTTGGTATAATTTTTTTTGGCAGGAAAAAAAACGTGACACGCTGGCGCGGAATGGGCTATAACGTAATCCTAACCCCTCCGACGAATTTCACGCCGAGCGCTTGAAGCAAGGGCATGATGAAGTCGACATCCTGGTCTCGGAACGAATAATACGGCGTGATTTCGTCTTCTTTCACCGTATCTTCGAGTTCCTGCAGAAAGTGAAAGAAATAAAAATTAGGCCGGCAAAATGAAGGTCTACATAAAAATTAAGAAATCTATTGAATTTTTTTTAGGTCACCGCGAGCCAACCGGTGCTAGATGGTCAATGCAGATGCAAAATATCTAGCTTAAAAAAAATACGGTATCGCGATAAATGAATTAAATTTTTTCTTCTTAATACTCTCTACATCTCGAACCCCAACTCAAGCGCTCAGACATAGAAAAAAAACCGAAATCTTTCTATATGTGCAGAAAAAATTGGAAATTGAGATTAAAAATGTTGTTTTTTTCTTGGAGATGCTCCTCGATGATTTTTTAAAGTTTTAGGCTGCGAAATAAAAACTTCAAGCAAAGAAACACGCATAAAATTTTCATTGACTGGCAAATTTTCAAAAAGAAAAATGTAGAGCTCCTTTTTTAGTTACTGAAAAGGTGCCAAAAGTTTCTATTCATCTTTTTTTCCACTTTCTTTTTTTCTCCCAAAGAAGTCTTTTCTAAGAAAGAGGCCAAACCAAAAGTAGCCTGTGCCTTTTTTTCCAAAGGTCCTTTTTAGGTCTTTTTGGACATTCCCCCTGTTAACAGTTTCTGAACTCTATATTTGCAGCAAAGAGCCTAAAGTGCTCATTTTTTTCTCCCAAGTTGGAAGTCTATTACACATCTTTTCTCGTTTTTTACCCAAATTTATTCATTTTGTGAAATTAATTCATTGATACTCTCCAACACTCTACCATCAATTCGAGCTCCTGGGCGTCGGAAACTTCAAGGGGATGCCTTTTGACGCGGGCGTCGGCCGTTTCCATCCGCCGCTCGAAGCGAACCCAACACCTTCCGATGGGTTCATTCAAATCACACAAGTCACTGAAAAAATTCCCTTCATTCCCTATAATCAGAAAATGTGTCGAACTCTGTGACTGCGACCATCATCTGGTGCTTCTGCAGCTCCGAGTCCGTCTTTTCCAGCTCCAGAATCTCGGCGCTGCTCATCTGGCCGTAGTTTTTGAGTTCTTCCGCCATTCCTGAATTTTGACGTCATACAAGAAAAATAAGTTAATTCAATCAAAATTCACCCAAAATTTCTGGTGAATCGCCAATTCTCGGCATTGACGTATTCCAATAGAAACGCAGGTCGGCTTCCCGCTCCTTCAAGTTCGTCTGCCGACACTTCGCCCCAGCGCCAAAGTTCACTTCAAACGTCGCCTGAAAGGCAAGATATAATCGATTTTCTCCGAAATTGGATTACGGGAGAAATGGCTCAAGACGTAACTTAGGAACGCTAGAGTGGTTCCTGTAGGGTTTAGGGGACAGAACAACTCATAGAGGCAAAAAGGGGCTATAGGGAACACTCTGGAGTTCCTAAGGACGGATTCTATATGGTTGCTATGGATCGCAAAAATATTTGCTCTGATGACTATTGCAAGATATATGAAGTTCTGTTCTTGACGGCATTGCCTTGAGCCATTCTACATGCGACCATATGCTTTCTTAAGCCATGCAATCATACGGTAACTCCTTTCAAGACCTGAATATTGGCGATTGCTCTTGGAGAAGAACCGACGGAAATCAGCCAGCGGATGTATCTGACGTAGGCTCGGAGGTAAAAAGTTCGTAGTTTATCGAAATCTTTCACCAGAGGTATGTGAGATCTGAAAACGAGGAGCTTTTTCATGACCGACTTGGAAAATCTATGACCTGTCTCTTCCTCAACAAGCGAGGCTTCGAGTTCCTTTTTTTTTACGATAGAGAGAATTTTTAGGGGCCACCTTAGGGGTTTGACGTTTTAGTGGCCACTATAGCAATCGAATTAGTGACTTCTTTAGAAGTCTAAGTGGCACTACAAGTTTCTCAAAAATGGATGATTTTTTTGTATTGCCTATAATTTTTTCCGCAATTTAGTGAATCAATAACTCCTAATAAAGTTAGAAAATGAAGAATCCAAACTTTTTTTAACTTCCTGCAAAAACTTTCGCGGCCTGAAGCGGTCTTCAAAAAGCGCCGAAATTCAATTTTTTTTTTCAATCTTTAGCCCAAAAACTCACAACATGGTGCCATTCAGCAGACGTATCAGCTTCTCGAAACATAAATTAAAAAGCCTTGTCCTAAAAAAATTATTTTTCAAATTTTTTTAAGAATTCCATCTTTTTTTACCATTTGCTCGCGTCCATACAACGAATTATTGTGCTGAACATAGTCGAGGTATTTCTCCCAGATGTGGATTTCATGCGGGAATTTGTGCAAGAGCTGAATCGTCATAATATTCTTCTGTTTCAAAATTATGGAGACTAACGTCTTCATACTTTTTGTAGACAGTCATTGGATCGGCGATCATATTTTCAATGTACATCCGTTGGAAGAGCGAAACTCTGGGATTCTTGGCGATCGCGTCGACAAGAATCGCATCCTGGCAAATATCCATTATTGGGCGAAAATTATAAGATGGAACAAAAAAGAAAGAGAGAGAAATCAGAAGAAGGAAAACACGCTCGTTTCACTGGTTCCTCTTCATGCTGCTATTGATCTCTCACGAGAATCTGTACACATACTCGAACAACAGGTAAAGAAAACCGGACGTTTCTGAGCAAGTCTAGGGATCACTTAAGAGTTCTGACGCTACTAAAGTGGCCACTAAGAATTCCCCGACGATTCGCGTTACCAATATCCGAGTAATTATCTTAATATGAACATGTTCATTTTTGGAGCAAACATCTTCTCTGAATGATTTTCCTTTGAACTTTTTTTAAAATCAATAAGTTTCGAAATCCTGGAGCCTTCTTCAATATTCTCAGCATTGGCAAAACTCTTATTAAAATGAACCGAGGCTAATATTACAACTTCATATTTGCTCCATGGATAATTTTATTTAGCTCTTTCACATAAAATTTTTTCTCACCTTTCTTTCCCTCAACATTCTCTTCGCATTATCCATCGCTCCGGACTCCTTTTGTGACAGGTAAATTTCATCCTGAAAAAAACTTTTCGAGCTATTTTGAAAACCAAAACAAGGTAAACCTGAAGTTTGATGAAATCCAACCACAGTTCGATATTTTTCGGCTGCTTGTTCAACTGCGAGTTGAGCAATTGGTTTCGGACTTGCAAGTCCGTCAGAGATTTCACATCGACGCCCTTCAAAAAAATTAAAATCGTGAGAATTTCCATTTTTTGAGAACTTTTAAAAAGATAAAAGTTCTTATTTTCGGAGATTGCCAATATTTCAGGTCTTTTTTTAAATTGAGCTAGTCATGAAGAAAAAAATTTTTCTTACCAAAGCACCACATTGCTCGATTTTCGCCTCCGCTTCTTTTCGACGCTCTCCTTCTTCCAACTGGAATAAAAGTTAACCCAGTTAGTCTCAACTTAAGTACCTAGAAATTTTTATATATGCTTTATAACTTTTTAAAATGTTAACCATACATTTTTCAACAAATCTATCGTCGAACTGAAATTGCAAAATAAAAAAAAAAAAATAGGGGTTTGATAGAAAACGTATAGGAACAGAGGTATCAAGCTGTAACACACCCGGTCGCATTTGGAATGGCTCAAAATAGAATAAGAAAAAAAAATGAGAGAATCGGAGGTCACAACTTTGAGAAACCCAGGTCGCACTTGGAGCGATGAAAAAAAAATAAAATAGAAACGACGCTAATTTATGGAAGAATGGAAGCTCAGGCAGGGCTTTGAATGGTTATTGAAATACATGAAACTTATTTTTAAAGAAAAGTTTCCCCCATTTTTCATTGTACCAACCCATAAGTCGTATTTGTCGTAGGGTTTATCCGACAACGGGATGATGAATTCGCCGTTCCAGTCGAATTCGCATCGTCTGAACTGCGTCTCGCGCGGCTGATGCTTATTGGCGACGGCGAGCTTCTGATGGAACGACCGTGTTTCTCGTTCCAGCTTCGCGCCGAGGCTGGGGTAGAAGATCTGAAGATTGTCTTTGAAAAATTAACTCGTCGGCACGACTTGAAAGTTCTCGAGTGTCTGCTTCTCTCTGTTCACTCACCGGCAGGATCAGAGAAACATAAAAAATAGCACTTCAACGTGAGAGGGCCGCCGAGAGACGAGGAGGGCGCAAAGAAAAAGAGCAGTTTCAAGTCGCGAAAAACAGACTTAGGAACTTTTCAGTGGTCCAGCCACTTTACAAACCCCTAGAAGGGCTCATAAACCTTTAGGGCCTAAGGGGTCAAACTTTAAAACCCTAAAGAGACCATTTAAACTTTACCTCTGTAGAGACAACTTTTTCGTCCCCTATAGGGCCGTTTTTTCCCTTAACCATAGACCACTCTAAGTTGATGATTGACTTTCAAAACTAATTTACCAATTTTTTTAACTTTTGAAAAAAAATCTTGTTGATTGTGAGAAAATCTAACCGAATTTGAACATTTCTTCCTGAACAAAAATTTTTTGTTTTTTTGAAACTAACATTGAACAGTTTCTGACTGCCGTTATCGATAAACCGCATCGCTATCCGAAATTTCGCCGCCTGACGGCCCACCGAATCGAAAATTTCAGCTTCTCGTTCCCGGCTTCTTTCGTAAACTAAAATTACTTTTTTCAAGAAGTCCATCAAAAAAAAACTTACCCAAGAGCCCCGCGATGAGTTTCGACAAGTTTTGATCGATTTCGCGATAAGTCGATGTTTTCAACAAATTCCAAGAATTTTTGGAGGGCTGCTGCTGAAAAGATTAATTAACTTCATAAGGGGGACTTGATGAAATTCAAAGGAACGGAAAAAATTTAATTCAAGACCTCAGAAAAGTTAAGTGAATGTTCAAATGAAGCCCTAGGGACAATAAATACATTTGAAACGCTTAATTTAATTCCTTGCGCTGATTTTTCAGATGCTTAACGTAATTGGAAACAAAAACCATTTCAAAATCAATCCATTTCCGTAAAGTCTAACAAAAGCAATTTTCAAAATTTTTCTTTGTCGATTGCGTTATGAACTTCATTCTCTTTAGTTCAGAAAGTCCGGCAATGGCTCATTGCGCGTCGCGGTTGCCTCGTACAATTTTTCGGCGTCATGTGGCCCGAGAAGAAGCAAAGGCAGTTTGAAAAGAATTTCAAAAACGTTTCTATACAAAAAGCCTTTAGTGAAGCTTTCGGGGGTTTTCGATGACATCATTACGCGAAGAAAAAGTGAGAGAACCGAAAAATCATTTCTTGAGACAGGAAAAAAGAGAGCCTTGGACAAGCTTTTGGCAAAGATTAAAGAAATATTAATGAAGCTTTTATTTATTTTTTATTTTTTGGCTATAGATTCAGTCCCTCCTTTACAATCGGCAGAACCCAGCGCGACCGCGACGCCTTGAGCCATTCCAATAAAGTCATGGGAATTCGCCGATTGATCATTTAATAATAATTTATTCACAGATCAGTGTGAACCCCAATGAGTTCACTTCGATCTACAATTTAAATAAGGAAAAAAAAAGTGATCTACCAATTGTTGTGGACGGTTCTTTGAACTTCCTGGCTGAGGACTGCCAGAAGGTTTTCGCCTTCTTGATGGTGATCTCGAGCTGCGCTTTCTTCTCGACCTTGACCTCGACCTCGACCTTGACCTCTTCCGCTTTCTTTTCTCCTTGCGCTTCTTTGGAGGGAAGTCATCGATGTCGTCGTCTATTTCGGTTTTCAATTCCTTTTTGACGTCAGGGAATGATTTGTAGGCTGAGGATCGAGTATCTGGCCTTCAAATAATGGTAAATTTTTCGATCATTTTTGTTTGAAGATGTCTTGATGAATCACAAAAAATAATCCTAGAATGATGAGTGAGTTAGTTTACAAAAAAGCGTATTAATGTGAAAAATATGTTATTGTAATGAGATATTGGTTAAACAACTTCATTTAATTTTAAAAAAAGATCAAATTATTCTAAAGCGAAAAGATCAAATATCGTTCAGATTTCGAAAATAACTTACAACTGAATTATGAAGGATTCCTTATCCTAAATTTTTTTCGAAATGAGCTTACCTTGGCTTCATTTTGTTTTTTTCAGCAAGTACGTTTCCTCTTCATCGACGCACAAATGTTCAGGCAAGCCCTTCTTTAAAAAAAGTAAATTGTTTTGAAAAGTTTTTGAGTTTCTTTTTTTAAAAAAATTCTAACTTTTGTTTCTTAAACAGATAGCGTAAATCATGGCTATTTTTTTCTCTGAAAAGTTTTTTTCTTTTTAACTTAAAAGAACGAATAAAACACTAGAAAATTAGTTGTCTACAATATTTGATATTTCAAGACTATGTGATAGCTGGAAACGTCGCCCTGTGTGTTGAAAATAAGTTTTATTTTTTTGTACTCTGCTCACAACTGCACCCGACCTTAAAGGCACATAGGAAGAAAAAAAAATGGGTATTAAGGTAGTGAAACTTTGTGAATTCGCGGTTAGACTGGAAAAAAAGAGTTTTCCGTAATGAAATTCCCGTCAAAATGGCAACTTTAAGCGTTTTTCTGTGCACCGATTCGAGCAGAATTTGAAATTAAATGACCAATATCTCTGCTTTTTCAAATTAGTCCGTTCGATAGGTAAGGAGAAAATCGACAAGGCAGTTATTAAATCTTAAATCCCGATTTTTTTTTTCTTTTTCCGCCCGGTGCCTTCACGCAATTCTCTCTCTCTTTACTCAATACCGAATGCTGCCGTGCGCAAGTCGCTTTTGATCCTTTTTAAGAAAACCGCGTTTCCGCGATGTGTTCAGCCTTAATTAACTTTAAAAAAAAATTACCATGCCATGATGTTCCTCCTCCTCAGAATCCTCGAGCGTGATTGCACTGTAATAAAGAGCTTCTTTCACGACTTCCTCCCTCCTCGCTTCATGTGCTCTTCTGTCTCTCTTAAAGTTAAATTTCTTTGAATTCATGTTATTCATGGGTGTTTTTGTATCTATAACTATGCTTTTTTTTTCCACAGTAACTGTATAAATACTCAGAATTAGTACTGTACAAAACCGTTGGAATTTTCCTGGCGTAATTTCAAAGTTTCTTTTTGGAAAGAAACTTAAGAACCGACTAATCGCTTAGATACTTCTGTGCTTGCTAGAAGAACTTCTAACAAACTTGATCACAAAATATCTAAGAACCTTCAAAAACAATTTTTTTTCAATCAAGTTCAAGTTTTCCAAGTGTGAAGCCTTACATCCCGGAACATTTCATTTTGACGCTGTTTTTTCTGCTGCCATTTTCTCAGAATTTTGCCGCTGCCGTCTCTGACGAACTCGTCCTCCTCATCATCGTAATCTTCTCCTTCTTCTACTTCTAAAAATCACCAAATGCAAGAATCCATTTGTTCGGAAATACCATTTTTGAAGTCACCTTGGAAGTCGCTCGTCCCGCCCTGTTGTCTACCGTCCGCGCCTTCGGTATAAGCGGTAAACATCCTTAAAGTAATAAAAATCGTTCAAAAAAATAAAGAAAAAGTTTTATTAGAAAGAAGACGCACGAAATGGGAGGAAAATGGAGAAAAAGGTCGCGATCAAGATGAAGAAAAGTTTTCAATGTCGGATCCAGAACAGACGAGAAAAATGCGCTTTCAAAGAAAGCCTCTTTGAAAAAAGTCAAAGAGCTTTTCAAGACTCGAAAAAGCTTTCTGGAGCGTTTAGAGGAACATTCAGCAAAAAAAATCGCAATCAAAAAGTGAAAATTTCTCAAAAATATTTTCTTGAAATTTCAACATTAATATATATTTCATAAATTTAAAATAATAAATGATGAATGTGTTTATTCAACAATAATAGTAAGCAAAAACAAAAATAAGATCACCGATAATCAAGATATGAAATGTTTGTGGATAGGAGAAAACATAGAAAGCCTTTTGAAAAACTCAAACGGGGAAAAAATGTACATGTGAGCCACTTTAAAACCTCTCTCTTTATAGCTGATTCAAGGCTGGCTTGAGCCATCGAAAAAATGGTCCAGGCACGATAATGCACGAGACAGCGCCTGGCTCGTGGAGAGCGCAGACAGGACATGTCCCCTCAGCGTCCCAAGCTAGCCTTGAAGTAGCTATACTTATCGAGAGCCGACTTTTATTCAAAGGCACATCTTCAAAGATACATTAAAGAAAAAATTGATCCATATACAATAGCGCCAAGAATTTCATTCTGAATAAGTCATCAAAATACAATCAAAATAAAAACCTTTTCTCTCAAAAAAAATTCAGTTTCAATTGTTATTCAAAGCCCGCCAGAAGAACGGATTGGCTTGGAATCGGCGCGAAAACGACGTATACCAACTTTGAAACGCACTGGCGGGGATATACTCTTGTGTCGGCGGATTACCTGGAAAATGAGTAATATTTTTAATAATTTATTATTCTGCAAAGAAATTATGAAAAATTTCACATCTTTCAAAAAAGTTTCTAAAAAATATTGCGAAATTGTCTCAGCCGAAAAAAAAGTTTTCTAGAAGAAAAGAAATTTAGAGTGGCTTATTTTTTAAAAAGATTTTGCGACGGTACAAAAAACTTTCGAAAGTTCAAGGTGGCCTGATATCGGAACGAACGAAAGATAAGAATTGTAAAGAAAAACTCCACCATCGAAAATTGTTACATTAAATTGTTACAATCATCAGAATCCGGGCGTATTCCTCTTGGTGGCACTCAGGATTGTCGAATAAAAAATAGTTATCTTCAGAAGGTCTATCTCATCATTTTAATCCGATTCTTGTCAAAAGAGGAATGAAAAACCAAAAAAAAAATTTCAGCAGCGAAAAAAATCAAACACTTCTCTTAACGAAAATCGCAGTTCAATATCCTAAATCTTTCAATCACTCACCTTATCTCTCCTACATTGAAAGTATTTGAAGAAAAATATGTTTTTCAAATCAAACCATTTGGATTGGGCAGCCGAATAACGAAAGATTCTGTATGATTGATCAAATTTCGCATCAATTTGTCGGCAAACTCCACTAACGTTGACTGCAAACATTGAGAAAATTGAGATGATTGAAAAAAAAAACCAAAAGATACCTGTTGGCTAACTTGTGTACTTTCCGAGGCATGACGTTCTTCTATCGAAGTCAACGGCTCCACCATCAAACCAATCTAAACCTTTTTTTGAACAAAGAAAATTTATATTTCCAAATGGTGGTTATTCAAATTAAATACCCAAAAAAACTGAACCTGAGCAGATCCATGTGCTGAGACGCTCATTCCACCGCCAAAAACGTCGCTGTGACGAGCATCAGCTTGGTGGAGCTTTAATCCAAACATTAACAGCTGTCGCAGGCAGTTTTTGAGAAGAGAAAAAAAAAACCTGAGCCACTTTGAAGATGGCGCTCGGCTTTGAATTGGCGATGAAGCCGAGAAAATGCCAATTTTCGCCACCATCAGGTCGAGGCCATCGAATGTAGACTGCAAATACACAGATTTTTCTTCAAAAGACCGAGTAATCGCTTACCAGAACCTCCCAAGTTGTCAGGAAAAGGTTGAGCTCCAGTCATGAACACAACAACATGATTTATTGAATCGGCATCGACGATTTCACAGGCGAACTCAGTTTCGGTAACCGCGGCGAACTCGACAGGCTAAAATTGCATTAGTTTAGCGATTCTCAAGTATCTCAGATTCTTTCTTATCATCTAACGATATACTGTTAATGAAGCTAATATGCATTCTGATGCCGTGTTCAAAGTGATTCCGCGAAATTCAAAATAGCCGTCAGAGAAAGAGAAAGATAACTGAATTTTGGAGGGTCAGAGACCATTTCGCATTTCGCGGAAATTACTTTGAACACGGCATGAGAACTACTCACCGGTCTGCCGGAAACAATTACGCCGAATAATCCTGACATGGCTAATTGATGAAAACTAAACATTCTCCGTGTTTTCCATATACTTTCCTTTGTAGTAACTTCCGATAATACGATTTGTTACATGTAAAACAACACTTTACATAATAGCTTTTATGATTCTTTAAAATTTCATCAACAAAAGGAACAGAACGAATTCAAGTAAAGCGCCACAAGTTGAATCCATCCACGAGTGGTCAAAAATTATTAAATTACGCAGTATAACAAAAGCAACAAGAAAAAAAATTGGGGGTTTAAAACAAATGACGAGATATCGAAGAAGATCAAGAACGGAGACAACCTCCAACCGCGTTGTTTTTTTTTTCAAATTAAATAGTGATAAAATTAGTGTACAACGTGAACAACAAGGTTGTTAAAGTTAATATCTTCCTTGTCCTCCTTGAGCATTCGCCCACTGCTGAGCACCGGATTGCTGACCTCCCCAGCCTCCTTGTTGCTGTCCTTGCCAGCCACCGCCTTGTCCTCCGCCAGATCCCCAGCCTCCTTGCTGCTGTCCTCCCCAGCCGCCGCCTTAAATCATTGAAAATAAAACATCGTAAATTGAAGAATGAATTTCTTTTATTTTGAAAAATGGACGATTAGACCAACAAAATAAGAGTAAGGTCTTTTTGCTTTTGAATCTGTAAGCCCGGTAGTAAATTTGAATTATCAGATCTCACCTTGTCCTCCCCAGCCGCCGCCACCACTTTGCTGTCCTCCCCAGCTTCCTTGTTCGCCGCCCCAGTTGCCTTGGCCACCGCCATATCCTGAAAATTTCAAATTACTCTAATGAAACCTTAATTTTTTGTTAAACCTCCTCCATATCCTCCTGGTCCACCTCCGTAGCCACCACCACGTGGTCCAGCGCCCCAGCTATTGCCTTGAGGAGCTCCGTATCCCCCGCGAGGATCTCTGGTACGACCACCTCGGTCCTGTCGGTCACGAGCCATTTGAGCCTGAAAAGAAATTTTCTTTTTTTGAACAACTTCAACCAAAATACCTTGCTCATTTCATCTTTGCTAAGACCCTTGCGGACGTCGCAACGGAAACCGTTGATCATGTGGCTCTTTTGGAGGACGCATTGGTCGACGGAGTCGTGATCATCGAAAGTCACAAAGCCGAAACCACGTGGCTTTCCAGTGTCCTTGTTGAGAATGATCTCAGACTAAAAATTTTTTAGATGAGAACTGAGAATCACTCTCAAAACAATACCTTGGTAACGGTTCCGAACTTGTTGAAGTAGTCGGTGAACATATCTTCGGTGTGATCCTCACGGACTCCACTGACGTAGAGCCGCTTTGTGGACACGTTCGATTCATTGCGGTTCTTATCATCTCGAGGCACAGCGCGCTTGGGATCAACGGTCTTCGAGTCGATGACGTGCGGACGACCAGACATGGCAGCATCAACCTACACACATTTTTTTAAACAAGAACTATTTCGTTTGTATCAACCTGAGCTTTGGTGGCAAAGGTGACAAAGCCGAATCCACGAGAGCGCTTGGTGTTGGCATCGCGCATGACAATAATGTCAGTGATTTCACCATATTGGGAATAAAATTCTCTCATGGTCTCATCCGTGGTATTAGCGGTAAGACCTCCAACGAAAATTTTCCTGAAGTTCTCAGGCTCAGAACTGTCGCCAGCTCCGTTGCCATTGTGGCCATTCTGTAAAAAAAAAAAATCATTTGAACAGAGAATAAAAATTTATTGAAGGCAACGCCTAAATTGATTAGGTACTCTTAAATACTTTATAACATAACAAATCTCAAACGAAACCTGCTCGTTTTGTTGATCCTCGGCCTTCATTCTAGTTTTTAGAGCCGACTCGACTAAGTTCTTAGCTAACTTAGTGACTTGCTAGCTTCACAACGGTAATCTACCTATAAGATATCCGGAAACTATTTGACAATGTGAACGTTGAACACTGAAATAAACTGATCAAATCTCGCGACTATTGACTACACTCATCATGCCATTAACTGGCAATTGAAAACGCACAGCATAAGTTACTTAACGTAAGTTAACTTATTCTCCGCTAAAAATTCAATTGCCACAACGATACGATAGAATAAAAGTGAAAATGAATCGAATGTGGGGAAAAACAGAAAACGAGTAAGAGCAACTCACCCTCGCGACAGCAAAAACAGCAACTGACAAAAATGCGGGAAGGGCGTGACGCGTACGCGTCGCAGTACCACGCGTCGATACTCCCCTCCGCCTCATAAAATGTTAGGTCAGGAGCACTATGCGCCTTTAATAATGAGCATTTATTTTATGCAGATTTTTTTTTTTCAATATTCTTGAGTGTTAACAATGGTAATTCGCTTTCTTCGAAGAAAAATTCAAAAGAATCAAACAACAAAAAAACTTTCATTGTCTTTTCTAAATCGCCAAATCCGTTCAAAAACAACAAAGTTTATTTTTACATTAATAAACAAAATGTGGGGAAGGACGCTGCCAGGAGGTTGGCAAATACCAGTCTTAACGTTTCATAATTTACACATAAGTGGGAGTGAAACACTCGGATAATCAAAATGGAGAACATATTTTTAAATATCCAGAAAAAGATGGTCAAACAACAAGAACATAGCAAAAAGAACAACAGTTTAAAGATTGTTGCAATCTTTTTCAATTGGAGTGGGCTATCGTAGGTCGGCGACGACGGCGAATACTGCAAAAAAAAGATTGATGAGAAGATACTGATTTTTCGATAAAATGAGAAGTTTTACGTTACACAAATTGAAAAAGTGATAAAAATCCAATTATTTCTGACCCACAAGTTGATAAAAGAAAAATATATATATTAAAAATAAATCGGTACCACCCAGTTTTTAAAATGGTCTTATTAAAAAAATGATCATAGCGAGTTTCTGAATGTTGGGACTTCTTCCTAGTTTATTTTTTTTTTCTCATCCCAATTTTTACCTGCGGAGAAGATGGGCTGTACTGTGGCGACTGTGGAGCGTATTGCGGCGACGACGGCGAATACTGAAACAATCATTATAATTGCCAGTTGTACCGGAAGAAAAACTACCGTCGGGGACGAAGGTCCACCCGGCGAGCTCGGCGAGTACTGTGGCGACGACGGCGAGTAGTGGGGCGAGCTCGGCGTGTACATTGGCGATGTTGGGCTGTACTGCGGCGAAGACGGCGAATACGTCGGTGACGCCATTCTCGGCGACGACGGCGTGTATTGAGGACTCGATGGCGAGTACTAGAAGTGAGGAAATGAAAGATAAGAACGAAAATCTCATTCGCAACCTGTGGTGAGCTCGGACTGTATTGCGGACTGCTGGGACTGTACTGTGGTGACACCGGCGAATACGTCGGACTCGTGGGCGAATAAGACGGTGACGTCGGCGAGTATCTGAATGCAAATTACGATTAAAAGATGAAAAATTGAAACTTTAGAGAAATTCTCACTACTCCTTAACTTTTAGCTCTTATACTTTCGTTCGAATTTTATTTTCTTCGCGGCCTTTTTTATCAAGAAATCTTCCGCAGTACTTCCCTAGTATCTCCGCCTTTTCTCTCCAATATTTCTCTTTACCTAGGACTCGATGGACTGTAGTTGTCATAAGTTGGCGAGGTCGGCGAATATGAAGGACTCGTTGGCGAGTACGTCGGTGAAGTCGGCGAATAGCTGAAGTTTGTTTCTTTTTTTTTTGGATGATAAGTTGTCAAGTACGTTGGGCTAGTCGGACTGTAGGTGGGGGAAGTCGGCGAATAATGAGGACTGGCTGGAGTATAAGACGGCGACGTCGGCGAGTACGAAGGTGACGTCGGCGAGTAGGACGGAGAAGTCGGCGAATAGCCTGGAGAATTCTTACTAGGTTGGGATGAAAGATAAATTAGAAAGATTATATCTATCATGTTTCTATGAATTTTTGGACAAGAGTAACCATTTTCTCATGATTTTTAGCGACTCTTTCAAAAACGATGTTAACAAATTTAATACTTTCCTCGTTGAATTCCAGAAGTTTTCCCTTGAAAAAGGAAAAATATAATAAACTGCGATCTCTGAAAAGCTCAACTGAAAATCTCCAGCTTTTAGAATAGCCATATCCCAAAATCATTATATTCTTATAAAGCATACTTGGACTCGTGGGACTGTAACTCGGAGACGTCGGGGAGTACGAAGGCGACGTTGGCGAATACGACGGCGAAGTCGGCGAATAGCCTGAAAGCAGGCAGTTGGACCGCGCAACGCGACGTTATCATACTGGGACTCGTCGGCGAGTACGACGGGGACGGCGACTGAGCAGCAGGAGAAGTCGGCGAATAGGTCGGCGAGGTGGGCGAGTACCGTGGCGACGCCGGAGACATCTCGTAACGCGGCGACGTTGGCGAATATCCAGCCGGCGACAAGGCTCCGTACGGAGTTCTCGGCGTCATTCCACCGAGTGGATCTCGGGGCGTCGCAGGACTCCACGAGCCGTCGTTGAACGGCGACATGCCACCCGCGTCGACGTTTCCAGCCGGTGAGAACCCAGCATTCGGCGACATTCCACCGCTTCCACCCAACGGCGACCACGAAGCACCAACGTATGACGGCGTCACCCCGGAATTCCATGGAGAATGTGACGGCGAGAATTCGCGGCTGGAACATTCAAAAAATTAGTCAAAATCGAAAAGAGATAAGTGAACTTCGACGCGTTCGCAGCATATCCTCCGAACATTCCTCCCAGGACGATGTTCGTCGGGATTTCCATTCCGAATTTGCACTTTTCGGCGTCGAGCACCAAATCGAAGCAGCCAGTTCCAGCACGAGCCAGTTGGCCCAGCATAATGTTCTCCGAGACTCCTGAAAGCGAGATTTGAGCAAAGCTTCTTCAACATTAATTCTATTATCAATTTCATAATGGTTTTTATTTCAATTTTTGATTTCAAATGTTTATTCGCCATTCCGCAATCTGTACGACAAATACAAAAAAATAAAACATCAAATAAATCTAACAGCTGTTCTGTGGATCTGTTAATCTGTTAAGTCTGTTAATCTGTTAAGAGCTGTTGAGAGAAAAAAAAAACTTTTCAAACTGTTTCGTTAAATTAGTGAGAGAAAGTTTTCCAGTTATATTTTCGAGATTTTTTCATTTTCCAAACCCAAACTTTGTCCCGTTTTCCTCAAAAATTCGCTTCTAATTTCATTCAAATGAACATCTCACCCTTGACGGGGTCAACTTCAGCGTGTATAGCCGCTTCCATCAGAATATCGACAGTTTCCTCGAACGAACAACGCATCAGAGCTCCAACTTCTTGCCTGTTGATTCCGTGACGAGTAATCGCCATCAAATGACCTAAAAGCGATGAAATTTTATCCGAATAGATCCGAAAATCAACCTTTAGCTGTCATGACATCGCAAAGAAGAGCCAAATGTCGGTAGTTGACATAGGAACCGTCGAAGGAAATGACATTGTTCATTTCTCGCTCGATCGCCTTTCTCACAGCTTCAATACCGAGAACCTGAAAGGAAAAATGAGTTATCATCGATCAGAGGTATTTGAGAAAACGAATGCGAAATTGTGCAATTGTAAAATTTTCGATTTCACTCAAGTCTATTTGAAACAACGCCAGTGAGCTTCAAAATTTTGTAATAAAACTAAAAAAGATTTTTGAAAATTTATTTGTTGATGCCAATACGCGGATGAACTTCGTTCAAATTTACTAAGCCTCTTAAAAAACTGATTTTTATCAATTTGAATTGGTTTCTTTCTTTTGTGAAAAGCTTAGAGCTGTCATATCCTCTTTCTTTCTCTTATATTCCTCATCCCCTCCAATCAGCACCTCAAAGATCTCGCAAATGTCGTTGGAAGTGGTCCTGACGGGGTCGATATGCCTCTCAGAAAGAACTCGAAGCAGGGCAGTTCCGTCAGTTTCGAGAATCCACTCTGGAATCGCTTTGAAGCCGCCTTCCGGCGTGATAATTATCCGTTTCTTGTCATCGGAGGTCGGCCGGTGCATGTAAACTTTTCCAATAGCCGTGATTCCCTGAAAATTCACTTGAAATACTTTCTCCATTGATTTCAACTTGAAGGGTAAGATCCGAAAGCATGTTCGCCTCGATGCAACGCAGGAAAACGTCGTCCTCCATCTTGTCAACTTGTTCTTCTTGACTCTGAATGAGAAAAAAAGAATAATTAAACTTTTTTTGTAATCCTTTTCTTACTTCGGAGTTCTTATCGTCGCCAGCGATTCTCAATCGGAAGACCAAATGTTCGGCGTTGTCATCGTTGTAAATGACATGGACGTCATTTCCGAAACCGGAATGGATTCGGTCAGCAATGTGTTCCATTGAAAGCTTCTTGTCCGTCATTCTGGAAAATGTAAGGTCTTTTTTTAATCTGTCAGTTGCGTATCATTGCGGATTCGAGTGAAAATGAAAACTTAAGTTACTCCCCAGCAGAAACTATCAAAATTCAAACTGCGGCTCACACCTTTCAGTTATTAAAACTTTAAAAAAAAATGGATTCAAATTCAAATTCTGATATCAAAACTTAAAATTCTGCAAAAGAAACAACGGTAGAGATATTTAAAGATTTTTCGCAGGCAGAAAAAAATTTCAAAGAGGCAGCCGAGGCTCAAATTTCAGCTCCAAAAACCTCTTTCGATCCAACTCAATACGAAGCAGCCACGGAGAAGCCTTGGTGGCGTCGAAATCTGGCATTTCGTAGAAAATCGACACCCATTCTTCGTCTTCTCCGATCACCGTGTTCTTCGGGTCCGGATCGTAGTAGATGGCCGTGTTTGACGTGACCTAAATACAACGACTTATTCAAAATGAAGATTAATCTGAGAATCTTTCTTAAAAATTGAAAAAACTTATTATTTAAACTTCGAAAGCTACTTTTCGACTTTTAGTTTCGAAAAAAGATGGAATTCTGAAACAAAACGCTGTTTTTCAATCGAAAAACAAATCCCATAACTATTAAGTGTTTTTTTTCCTATTTTTTCTCCTTTTCTCATCAAAACTCCGTACCTTTTTAAGAGTAGTGTGCTCAAGCTTGCACAGAACGTCCTTGGCTTTTTCGGCATCGTTGGCAGCGGCGCCTTGCAGGAAAACGGTCAGAGAAGGTGTCTTGAGCTGCTTGGAGACGTTGATGATCTCCTTCAGACGCGGCACTCCGAGGGTTACGTTCTAAATCGAGAAATGGGAATTATTTGGCCTGGACAAGTTTGAAAAACCTTGGCGGACACACCGGCGTAGTGGAAAGTGTTGAGGGTCATTTGAGTGGCTGGTTCTCCCAAAGACTGAGCGGCCAGGGCACCGACCATTTCACCGGGTTGAGCGATTGATTGCAAGAATCGTGATTCAATTTCTCCTAAAAACGAATTTTTAGAAACTTTTTCAGAATATGTTACATCAGAATCAAACTTTGCACATTGACGTATTTTCGACTTTTTTTTTGAATATGAATTTTGGGTTGTCAGTGTGCCATTCCGACCTATTTCTAGCAATTTCATGGTTAATTTAATATATCGACTGATTCTTACTGAGTTATTTTATAGTGCAATTTCGAAAACTTTGAAGTTTTATGAGTCATTTTTGAATATTGGTGATGAACAAATCTACCCGATTAAAATTTCAAAAAGCCAGAAAAAACACTATTTTCTCCTTTCGTGTACCCTTTATCATTTTTTTTTGAACTTCTTTCTTTACTAAAACTCACCAAGAAGCCAATCGAACGCTTCCGTGTTCAACTTCGCCGAAGTAGCCATTTTCTTCGAACACAAGGTCGATCTCAAGAGGATGTTCATCAGCAAAGTAGCATTGTATTGTGCCTAAAATATTCCTATCTATCTTGAAAAAACATCCAAAATAACCTGCTTGGAAATGTCATCATTACCGCTGACGATAATCAACTTTTTCGACAGTTCCTTGACGCCATCAATCACATGCAGAGGATTCAAATCAACTGGTTTTCTAAACAAAAGTAAAAATAGATTGGTCAATTTTCAACTCAAAAACCTCAAATCAACTTTGAAAATTTTCTGCGCGTTCCAAATCAAGCGCTGAAGATTGCAGGGCAAAACGACTTTGGCATCGCCGGTCGGGAAAATTTTCCTGAGCAATCTTCGATCTTCCTCCAGCTGATTCCATTCAGCTTCCACCTAGAATAAAAAAAAATACAGTGGGAAATTCATAGAAATTCAAACTTTTTCAATGGCATCTGAAGAGTCCTGAAGCTCCTTAACGACTTTTTCCGTGTAGTACTTCTTAACGAGCTTGTCATCCGTGAGATCGAGCTGAAAATGAATATTTTAACAAAAACTGAAGGCAAAATTTCTATTGAGAGCTTGTGGTTCATGAATCCATTGATTCAACCGAATATTTTAACTTTAAAAATAGCTTGAATGAGGAAAGTAAGGATTCCTTCAAAATAGATATCCGAGGCTCATGAGAATTTACAGACCGTAAATACGACTGCGTAAATGAGTTTCTATTAAAAGTATCATTCTGTTTTCACTCGATTCCATACAAAGATTCTCATATCCCTAAAAAAACGCAATTCAAATCAGCACCAGATGAATTTTTCAAAAGTATTTCAGAATGTTCTTGAAAAATCTTGATTTTTCTAAATAAAAAACCATTCTTGTGAAATTCAAATTATCTCAATCAAATAATCACTCAAGGATTTTTTTCCAACTCTTAAGCACAATGGAAAAATTGAAAATTTAAAGATTACATGGAAATCCTTCTCGAAAACGGCATTCGTCGGCTTCATCGTCGGCATTGTCTGATTTTCCACCCACATGCCGTCCAGGCCGTCTTCACCGTAACGCAACTGAATCATTTGCGCCAACGAGTTTCTCGCCTGAAAACTTTCAAATCCAGTCAAATTCAATTCATTTTTCGATTCAAAAACCGTTCCATCGTAGTTGACCATCACACTCTCCATGGCCTTGATCAAACGTCGCTGAATGTAACCAGTTTCGGCGGTTTTGACGGCCGTATCGATGAGACCTTCACGACCTCCCATAGCGTGGAAAAAGAACTCGGCGGGCGTCAAACCGGCGAGGTAAGAGTTCTCGACGAATCTGTAGTTTTTAGACATTATTACTATTCATTAAAATTTGAGCGATTAGAAAAAAGAGGGAATCCCGATACTTGTATGAGCCCTACGAAAGCTTCTAGAATCAGCCCTTCAAAAATAATTTCTACCTGTTTCCAAAAGATCCTAGTTCAAAAAAGAGCTGTTAACAACAATTCATCCCTCTTTTTTCTCCATTTTTTCAAATTTTACCCCTTGGACTCCGGTCCATAGTCGTCCTTGATGAAATGCGGCAAGGTTCTGTGCCGGAAACCGAAGGGGATTCGTTTACCTTCGACGTTTTGTTGTCCGACACAAGCAATAACCTGGAGAATATTTTTTTGTTGAACAAAAATGTTCTAAAAAATCGGATTATTTGAAAATAAAGAAGAAAAACTATTATATTATTATGAAAAACGTATTTTCACGTACCCGTTTAATCTATGCAATTTTTTTGCGGGATAAATAGAAAACTCACCTGAGAGATGTTAATCTTCGATCCTTTCGATCCCGAAACGACCATAGATTTGAAGTTGTTGAACTCTAAAAATTAAGGTTATAAAGTAATTTTCAGAGGTAGAATAAAAAAAAAGGATGATTTCGACAAAATCTCATTAAAACCAACCAGACAGAGACTTCTGCGCAGAACTACCAGTACGATCACGAGCGTCGTTCAGAATTCGGTTGACCATGTTTTCGAAGGTTTGACGCAGTGAATTACCAGGTGTTGGTTCGAGTTCGTCATTGTGGGCTCTTGAAAATCAGAAATTAACTTCGATTAATAGCGTCTTTTTCGATACATGTTTGTTTTTGATTTCATTCTTCAAATTTCCTATATGTTCTTGTCACAAAAAAACAAAACATCTAATAGAATTTAAAAAAACAAGAGAAAATCGAAAATCAACATTTCAAAAATATATTTCAAACTAGAAAAACATAAAAAAACTTCTTCTGGGATTCCTCCATTCCTACAGGCTTATATTCTAGATTTTCTTACTAAAAGCAAGAATAAAGTATTCAATTACTTCTCGATGACGTCGACGACATCCTGTTTAGCTTTGCGAATCGTTTCCTGGATGTCGTTGTAGGTGGCCTGATCGGCAATCGTATCACCGATTCCAATGGTATGGCCTTCCCGGATCAGCCAAGCGTTGATGACCGTCTGGATGTGTGAGTAGAACTGGGCAGCAACCTGAAAAATCAAAAGTTCCTCTTCGGACTTTCGTGGGAAACGCTACCTCGTGACCAAGTTCGAGAGCGACGACGTGAAGCAAGTTACCAGCCGTACGTCCAACAGTTTTCGAGCAAACGATTCCCGAAATGAGCTCACCATGCTCAATCCAGACCTGAAATAATTTTTGTCAAATTTTTCATATTTAGAAAAAACATTAAACGAAAAAAAACTCCTTTCATTTTCATCGATTCCCTATGTGAATACAACACCTATATGCAGGATGACAGTTGGAAGAACAATTACTTACACAAATTAGTCTTTTAGCTTTTTTTACAAGCCGTTCTTTTTTTAAAAATTAAAGTTTGACAAATAAAACATGTTACTGAAAGCTTCTTCCTTTTTTTGTTCTCAAAGCCATTTTTTTTTCTTAGTTATTTCAAAGTTTCAAAATATTTACGACTATGGTTTTTGTTTCCGTAGCGCATGGTAATACCCTTGACCTTCTCAAATTTCTTTTTTTGTGACAAAAATAGCAAGTTTCTCTTTTCCATTCTCTTGAGTCATTCATTTCTAGTTACTTATAATTCGTACCTTGGTATCGCCAGGCGAGATGTACTTATAAGGGCCGCTGTCCTCGTCGTCTGGATGAGTGCTGTGGGTTCTCATCACGTTGACGTTTCCGGGGATGATCATCGAGAAAATCTGTTTGCCGGTCCACAGCGGTTTCGGCTTCAGAATCGCTGGTTGAGGCATTTTTCCGTCCCAAGTTGGCAAGTACATCATCAGATCCATCATTCGGGGCTGGAAAAGCATCAGAATAATATTCCAACTTAACAAGGACATTTGAATTTTTTTTTTCTTGTACATTCATAAAATTTTCTCGCATTCTTTCCAAAATTAAGAAAACGAGTAACGAGTAGAATCCTTTCTTTCCATTTTTTTTTCGCTCGATTTCTTTAAGACTCACCAAATCGACGAAAACATCCCTTTTGGTCATCATTCTCACGGCGCAAAGCGTATCCTGCACGATACCCATCACAGGTTTGTTGGCCTGGGGAGTGATCAGTTGTCTAAAAATGATATTGGATTTTTGTATCTCAAGAAATCCCGAAAAAAACGAATCACTTCAAAAAAGCACCTAGGAACCATAGCGATTTCCTCGATTTCGGCCCTCGTTTCCAGGGATTGCGGCAAATGGAGATTCATTTCGTCACCGTCGAAATCGGCGTTGTACGGGGTCGTCACGGACAAGTTCATTCGGAACGTTGACCAGGGGAGAATCTTCAGAGATTTTCACTATTATATTTTTCGTTTGAATGAAAACCTTGACACGATGGCCCATCATGGACATTTTGTGGAGGGTCGGCTGTCGGTTGAAAACGATGATGTCGCCGTCTTTCATGTGCCGTTCGACCCTAGAAACAAAGCCTTTCCCTTGAACAACGTTATTTTTTTATTTTTTACATAGACATTCAATAATATTAGCTGCACGCTCAAAAGATGCAGAAACGAGCGAAATCCATGATAAAATCAACTTCGAATTAGATATTTACGAAGTAAAAGTGAAGAATTAGTAATAGTGAAAATGGAATGAAAATTTTCAAAATTTCCCCTCTAATTTGTAGAAATAAACTTGAACAAACAGAAAACCTGGAAGATTCTTTTACCGGAAACAAATCAGAAATGGTTCTTCGAAATCCTCACCGATATCCAGGCTGAAGATGAAGATCGGCGGCTCTGGGATGGTACCGCAAATCGACACGAGCTCCATTCTCTCGAATGATATACTTGGCGCCAGGATAGACAGTGTCGCCTCGATTGACGAGATCTTGCAGTTTGTCGACGTTGAACGGGGTCACAATTTCAGGAAAAGTGAGATTTTGGGCGATTGTTCTCGGCACGCCAACAGTGTCAATGGGAAGGTTCGGATCGGCTGTGATGACGGTTCTTGCCGAGAAATCCACACGTTTTCCTGGAAGGCGATTTTTGGAGTTGTGAGGGTTTTTGTTCATTTTTTAGTAGCTCTTGGCTAGACTAACTATGAATTCTTGTGAAGAGAAGAACAGTGGGGGAAAAAAATCATAAAAAAATCCATTTTTTTCGATAAAAAAACTCAACTGTTGAAAAAAATTGAAAGAAAAATTGAAAAAAAGTTAATGAAAAAAATCTGAAAAAAAGTTAAGCCAAAAAAACATTTGAAGAGGAGAACCGGTAACATCAACTTATACCGCTTTTTTTAATTCTGGACGATATCAAAACTGAAGGATTGGAACCAAAACCCATCGGGGAAAAAAAAAACTCTCTTAATAAGTTATCAGCCAAAGTCGTATACATTTTATTCTGACGTGGAGGAAAAAAGGAAAATTTAAATTGAAGTTTTAAAATTAATACTTACCCATCAAATTTCCTCGAATACGTCCTTCTTTACCCTTCAGGCGCTGTTTGATCGATTTCAAGGGCCTTCCGCCTTTTTGGGTCGCCTAAAAATAAATAATATTCAACTACTTTTCTGCAATCGTCAAAAACCGTAGGCAATCCAGGGATACAGTTATCAACAAGCGTGGCGACATGGTACTGAAGAAGTCGAACGTCGTCGGATAAAACGTGAGCTGCAGCACCATTGGCTTCGTTTCTGAAGAAAAATACCATGTTTTTATCTTGCGTTCTCAGAGGAACAAAAATATAATCTTAGTTTCGGAAAGTCTCTTCTAAAAGTGCCCTGAAACTTCACTAGCCTCCAATCAAAAAATTCGATCCTTTTCTGAAAAAAACTGAAAAATCGGTTCAACTTTTACCTTTGCAATTGGATATTGGTTTTGATGATATCCGACAATTTGTGCGTCAAATCGTCCTGGTTTCTGGCCGAACCAAAGGTGACGACGGCCGGTCGAACGGCGAGTGGAGGAACCGGCAAAACTGTGCAAATCATCCAATCAGGTCGCGCAAATGCCGGGTTCATTCCTATAACATTATAAATACAAGACTATTCTCTGAAGTCTCGTGATACCAATAACAACACAGTCTTCATCAGTAATCTGCTTGAAAATTTCGAGAACCCGCTCGGCCGTCAGAACGATTTTTCTTTCCTAAATGAGTAAATAGTGAATTTTTTTCAAAGTATACAGTGAACCTAACGAAAAAAATAATAAAATTAAAAAAATTAGTTATTTAAAAAAAAATGGGTTTTCATATTAAACTTTGTTTTTATAGTTCTCTTCAGAAAACTATTTTTAGAAAACTGGTTTTCTCGAAATTCAAAAACAAACTTTTTTTTTTCGCCGGTTTCCAAAAAAATTTGCGAAATTCAAAAATGAAGATAACAAAGAAATCTGAACTAATGTGAACACGATAACTAAGAAATCTGAACTTATGTGAAAACGAACCTGGGTGTCTTCATTGACATGTTTCTTCCACTCTGCGTTGATATCAATACCAACTCTTCTATAGGAAGGCTGATATCTTCCACAACCGCCGGGAACCTTTTTCCCCTCGGCCATCGGGTCATCATCCTTAAAAAGGAAATATTAATGAATCAAAATCGACAGAAAGTACATCGTCTTGCTGTTCGTCTTTCTCATTTCCACCTTCGCAAACGCTTTTACTCTTACACATATCATAGATAAGCGTGAGCCTTCTTCGAGGATTTCCTGAAATTTTATACTTCAATTATTATTTCTTCATTTCCGATTTGATACCATTGGTTTTCTTCAACACGTCTCTGACTCGAGCATTGTCTTTGTCAATAAGAAGTCGACCACAATAGAAACAAACGCATCGGAGAACCTAGAATATAATAAATATTGTCGATACAAAAATAGATAGGTACTTTCAAAGTCTTTGTTAAGAATCCAATGTGAAAAACGGGCTTGGCAAGCTCCAAGTGGCCAAAATGACCTGGACAATCGGAAAGATTTCCTGCGCATGTCATACATCTTTAAATCAACAGATTAATTCTTAGCTCTCCAGATTGGCCTGAACCTTCCTCTGCGATCAATTACACCTTGACGGGGGTCCATCAAGCCTCCAAGTTTGGGCTTTCCATTTTCGTAAATCTCTGGGAATTCAACATGCGCCACTGACATGCGTTTCTGAAAAATTTGATTATATCAAATTTCCTCGAAAAATCGGCTCACGATTTCATCGGGACTGAGGATACCAAACTGGACGCGTTTCACATCGCGGAGAGGCGCTCGGAAGTCGACTCCGACCAGAGCCATCTTTAAATAATTGAGAAATTTTGAAAGTCTCAATACTTTTTGAAAACCTTTAGAACTCAAAACTGCCTCTGTTGTGCTCACTTTTCAACTGCGTGCAACCTCTGAAAGAATACCCGAATCGATTTCGAAATTATTGTCTGTTTTGCGATAAACGGAAAGATTGCGAAATATCGTTGTTGCGAAATTTATTTGTTTTATTGTCCTTCCCAGCGAAACTTTAACGACAAAGGTTAAATTTCTTTCTATCTCTTGATCCTTATCAATTAGTTCTTCTTTATAAAAAAAAAATAAAGAAATCGAGTATACCATTCGACTTCAATCAAAAGAAAACCGAGAGAAAAAACTTTCGAAAGAGCGCCGTGAAAATTGTCTGGCAAGCTAGAGACAGTGGTTAGAGTATACGCGTCAATACTTCATGGGCGATGAGATACCGCGCCTTTAATAACGAGAAGCTGTCAGTTGCTTTTGCTAGCGACGCGACATCTTAATAATGCCGTGTTCAAAGTAATTCCGCGAAATGCAAAATGATCTCTGACTCTCCAAAATTTAGTGATCTTTTCCTTTCTCTAACGGGTATTTTGCATTTCGCGGAATCAAATTGAACACGGCATAAAAAATTAAGTCTTCTTTAACGAGCAATAATCAAATAGAATATATAAACACGCATTTACATCAAAAGCCTCCAACAAACATCATCTACCGGTGAATTTCTAACGGTTTCACACAATCCAATAGACCAATTATACATAAACGAAACACTGAAAATACTGAACCAATGTACAGATTGCCGTGTTAACTTTTATGGAGCAAAAAAACGCACAAATCATTATAATACAATTTGAAACCATAACGAAAAAATCCTACTGACAACTCGTTCGTGAATAACACGTTATTCACGAACGAGTTGTCAGTAGGATTTTTTAGAATATTCTTCCACCGCATTATTACTTTTATGAATACAAAGACTTTCTTTTCATTTGCTTTATGAACGTTTTATAGCTAATTTCGTACTAATTTTTAATTGATTTAGGTGAAATGTTTATTTTGATCGACTTGCGTGATCACGAAAATAAGTCACACGACACCGTTAAATTTGGTTTCACAGCTCAGGTATGTTTTCCATTTCTGTATTAAATACAATTCATTGTTTTAGGCGACAATCAAGCAGCTCCACGATAAAATTCTATCTAGATTTCAAATTGGGATAGAATATCAACAGATTTACGACAGCAAAAATAGTCGCATCGATTTGTTGAATGGTTCATTGGAAGGTGTAGGACTGAAAGATAACGAAACGTTGATTCTGGTTAGTTATTTTGACATATAACACGCTGTCTCCGTTATTCTCAAACACAACGGGTACAATAAAAAAAAATTTTTTTTGATTTTGATGAAACTTCATCCAGTGTGATAGCCAATCATCAGAAATGCGGACCCAACTTTTTGAGTCATTTCTTCTTACTGTAGCCGGGTTACGGTAGCCAGGTAGGCACCTGCGTATCTCAGTATTGAAGAGTTTTTAGTAGACAAATGATATATCAATCGATAGGTAATCCAATTTTGAAAACTTTTACAGTACATGCCATCTTGGGTTACTGTGGGAAAATTTTGAGTTACGGCACTTTTTGCGTCTGTCGAGTTAGTTTTTCGACCACCACGAGCTTGAGCCGGGAGATCCATTCTTCCTAGCTCCTCAAAAGATACCTTATGAGAAGCTGTACAAGCTGGTACTAGTTCGAAGAAATCCTAGGTGGACCATCATTTCGAAAAATCTCCCCGAAGGCGCGCAATCGTGGTCTTGCGGCGGCCAAATGGGGGAAGTCCATGACGCCTGACGGCACATTCTTCACAGATCCATTCTAAACTTTGTTTCCATTTCACTTATAGATATCTATTAATGGTTTTTTTATTACCACTTGAGATGATTTCAGGTTGACCATCATCTCGAAATCTCATTTTGAACTCAAATTTGGCCTAAAATGGCCGACTCGGCTTTTTTCACGGGATCCCTGACCCCGTATGTGACCGTTCTCAACTTTTTTCTTCCTTAAAAATGAACAAGAGTGTCTGAACAATAGTTGTATAACGATCGGAAATTATTTTGAGAGGACCATCATCTCGAAATCTCATTTTGAACCCAAATTTGGCCTAAAATGGCCGAGTCGGCTTTTTACACGGGATCCCTGACCCCGTATGTGACCGTTCTCAACTTTTTTACCCCCTAAAAATGAACAAAAGTGTCTGAACAATAGTTTTATAACGATCGGAAACTATTTTGATAGGACCATTATCTCGAAATATCGATTTAAACCCAAATATCGGCTTAGTTTCCCCATTTGAAGTTTTTATCATTTACATCGAAGTTTATTCTGCCAATTTTTTTTCAAAACAAGAAATCAAAAATGAGAAATGTGAAATACCAAGAAATTTTTCTCATAAAAGAAAAAACCCGACACTCTGACCACCGGTGAGGTTGAAACTTAACTTTCAAGCTGATGTTTTTATAAATGTTTTTATTATAACCTAAATAGTAGTTCTGAATCTTCAGACTTTTTTTCATACCTAAAAAACAAGACATTCGTCTTGTGACTATTTTTGTGAAAAGAAACCAAAAAAAAATATTTCGATTTTCAAGCGAAATTTTATTAAAAAGTGGGTTTCCCAGGTAAACAGTCATTTTGGAATTGATCCAAAATAGAATTTATTTTCAGTTCTCAGGTTTATATTCTCTTTAAAAAGTGAAAAGTGCCAAGATCTGTATTGATGGAACCAATAATCTTATTAGAAGGGTAAACCAAAAGTTTTCAAGCCAAATTTGGGTTCAAAATGTGATTTCGAGAGGATGGTCCTCTCAAAATAGTTTCCGATCGTTATACAACTATTGTTCAGACACTCTTGTTCATTTTTAAGGAAGAAAAAAGTTGAGAACGGTCACATACGGGGTCAGGGATCCCGTGAAAAAAGCCGAGTCGGTCATTTTAGGCCAAATTTGGGTTCAAAATGAGATTTCGAGATGATGGTCAACCTGAAATCATCTCAAGTGGTAATAAAAACCATTAATAGATATCTATAAGTGAAATCGAAACAAAGTTTAGAATAGATCTGTGAAGAATGAGCCGTCAGGCGTCATGGACTTCCCCCATTTGGCCGCCGCAAGACCACGATTGCGCGCCTTCGGGGAGATTTTTCGAAATGATGGTCCACCTAGGATTTCTTCAAACTAGTACCAGCTTGTACAGCTTCTCATAAGGTATCTTTTGAGGAGCTGTACAAGCATGAAATTTAAATGTTTACTTTTTTGACCAAAATTTTCAAGAGTGAAATTTAAGTGTTTACTTTTTCGTACAAAAAAATTTTTTTCAACTGTGAAAATTAAATGTTCATTTTTTGGCCGATAGTTTTCCGAACCTGGATTTTCCGAACCAAAATCCACATCAATACTTTTCCTTTTTCCTCATTCAATTAAATCTCCAGATAGCACCTTTCTTCCGTTCTGCTCATTTTTGACCGGTTCCATATAATTTTTCCCGTCCTTAACCGGCTTTTAGCTTTGCCCTTGACCATCCAAATCACTGTTTTTCCAACAGATTTATTAATTTTTAACCAGAAAATAGTTTGAATTTCGAAGTAATCGATTCATGATTTCATTTGGAGTAGACTGAGACAGAATTGACTCCGGCACAGATACTGCCAAGTGCCGTAATTTTTAATGAATAAATTAATGAATAAATGTTTACCTTTTTTTAAAAAAAATTTTTCAAAGTGAAATTTGAATGGTCACTATTTTTGATCAAAAATTTTTAAAATGAAATTTGAATGGTCACTATTTTTGACCAAAATTTTTCAAAAATGAATTTCAAATGTTTACTTTTTTTGACCAAAATTTTTCAAAATGAATTTTTAAATGTTTACTTTTTCTGACCAAAAATTTTTCATAATGAAATTTAAATGTTCATTTTTTTGAACAAAATTTTTTTCGAAAAAAATAAGTAATTGTTCATTTTTTAAATGCTCAGTTATGAAATTTAACCAAAATGAGGTTTTTTTAACAAACAGTTCATGTGAAATTTAACTAATTGGTCGAATTCATCAAACGTTCGGAAAATGTTTGGTTGAACGTTCGTTCAAACATTTACTTTTGAGAACTCTAATGATAACATATCGGTCTTTATCAACATTATTTACTTTCTATTTAATTTAAACAATATATTTAAATGAAAACTTGAGAGCATTTAAGAAAATTTTCCAAACAATTGATGATACATTTTCGAGTTCGAAGTAAACGGAAATTATGTACAAATCTACAGAAGAAAAAAAAATTGAATTGAGGCGAGAGAGTGAAGCTTCAAGTAAGAATAAAAAAGGACAATATGACAAAAAACATGTGTATCGTTTATTTTTCATAAGAAAAAAAAAATGTTATTAAGAAAAGAGTAGGATCAACAAAAACAGAAAAGTAAACCTATTGCAAGCTCATAGATGATCTTTAAAAAGTCAAATTAAATAAAGGAGGGAGGCTCGAAATGAAAATGAAAAAAGTTTTGAAAAAGAAAATTAAGTTAAACAATCAGATTGACACTAACACGGGAAGTGCGAAAGGTCGAGGTATTGGAATTTAATGAAACTTGGTATATAGGTACTTCCGAACACCCTGAATCCAAAGCAGTTGAAAAAAAGTGCGCCTTTTTGGTTTTAGTCGAGTTAGGGCGCCTCAAAGTTTGCACGCAAAAAATGCATTGGAAGGGAGGAGGGAATGTGTTGTGGCGGCTATCTCTAGCTGCCAGCAGGCGGCGTGGTGTAGTGGCTAGAGGCCTTGCGTTGGGAAACCTATGATGCAGGTTCGGACCCTTTTTGGTAAAATTTTTTTTTTCTATGAAGTTTTTCGAAAAAATTGATGAATTTTTGAAGATGGAACGAAAAATACTGTTCAAAGTGTTAAAATTCACTATTTTTATGTCGTTTTTGAGAAAGAACTTCAACAAAAAAATTTTTTTAGTCTTTTTTTGTCCTCTGTGCAGGAAGTTTGGGCGTCGAGATTATTTCCTTGTCTTTTTTTTCATTCCCTGCAGCATCGCCATATCATCTCGATTGTGAAAATAAAGTGAAATCTTATTGATTGTATCCAAAAGCAAAGTTCCGGTGTTACAATTCGGTCGGTTATTCCGTTACTTTCTCAATTTTAGGTAGAGCCGCCGAAAGAACGTGAATGCAGCAAATAACAGCTTGCTGAATGATCGCCAGCGACTGAACAGAATCATCTGGAGAGATGGCTATGACGAATATTTGGAAACTGTTCTCAGGAATGTCAATCTGTTCCAGAATTTGTTCTCAGTATAAATTGTTAATTTTCCGTAGTCTTTTGTTGTAGGAGTTCAGTCTGATGGTATTGTCCGCTTTTTTGTGTTTTGAAATAGACAGGTACGTTGGAAAGGGTTGCAATTGCATGTCGTGATACTCTGTTTAACGCGTAATGCGAAACACGTCTGGTGCGACAAGTGCACACAGTCGGTACGACTTTTCGACTGGAAATTTTATAGAGTTTAATATTCACATCAGACCAATTGCTGAATTTTGATAATCTTAGGATTCTAATAATTTTAGAAGTAACAAACAAAACCACAATGATGGGTTCCGAATTTTTGAATTTGGAATGTTGAAAGTTCTATTTAATTCTTTTTCTTTAGCATCATTCTCCTCCGTTGGACTCGGTCTAGGAGCTAGAAATTTATTAAGAAAAAAATTTTTTTCAAATTAAAAAAAATTATAAGCCTCCGTCAAATGAAGAAAAAAACAGACCTAGAACAGACTTGATAATTTACAAGAAAAAAATTTTCAGACAAAAACTACATGCGTTTATTCTTTTTTTTGTTTCGAATCTTTCCGAAATGAAAAGAACGAAATCCATTATGGCTCCAGATATTCATTCACATCTCATTTTCAAATATTTGGCAATCTAGTTTTTTTTCAATACTTAAACATTTTTAATTAAAATCTTTTTCTGAATTTCATTCTCGTTTTTTCAATGAAAGAAAAAGCTGATGGCATGTTCCTGGATCCCAGCTGCGTTGAATCGAACACACAAAGTCGTGTTATGCAAATTAACAGCAACGAACCGTACCACCACCCGTGGTGAAAAGCCATGAAACGATCTTCCGCGAGAACGAGTTGCGGCGGCATCCAAAATCAGAAAAAAAAACCCTCGATCCGCAACTTTTTTTAGTCAGCCCTCAATCCATTTTGCCGTTCGAAAGGCTTGATTGCGTGGCGTCGATGGCTTGCAACAACATTTTGAGTTTTTCTTCTTCTTTTTTTGAGCTTCTGGAATCAGAGGCTAGATCTTCAAGAACGAAGATCACTAGAAAACCTTATCAATCAAGGGAAAACGGAAAAAAAGTTCAGGACATGATCAAGGAGAAAGGAACAAAACCGTGGTCATTAGCGGCGCTTTTTCCATTTTCGAGTAGGAACCGTTTATTCGAAACGCCTAAAGATTGATGATAGGGATTTCTTGAAGTGCGTGATCAGGCTCGCGCTCATTCAGACAAACTGAAAGCTTTAAAAATGGTCAAGAAGAGTAGATCGAAATGGATAGACTAAAGTTTCCCAGATTTCGAATACTTCAAAAAATTATATAAAATAAAAATCTCATTCTGCAATTGAATTTTCGAATTCGCTTCTAAACTATATACGGTCATCGAAACAGAGGAGACGTCTTAAAAATAAAAATATTTGAAAAAGAAGTTTCATCTACTGGGAGACCCATTATTTTTGTCAGTTTCAAGAATTTTTCACACAAAAACTGTTAAACAAAGATGATCTTCAAATTGGAAATATTTTATGAGACCCTTGAGAAGTTCAAAAAATTCGAATCCAACGTTTTTTTTTAACAGCTAGTTTTTTTTCACCCTGATTCTGTAGATTTCTTCAATTGGATCGGCAAAAACTTTCATAAAAATATTAGCTTCTCGGAGTCGAGTGGGAAATTTTCTATATCTCAGATTGCGCTTATAATCGAACTCTGCACAGCGCATCGAAAAAAAAAACTTCAATGGGAAAATGAATCCAAAAGTTCCTAAACACTCTAGACATTGTCGTTGAGTAGGTCTACCCTTGAGAACGGCTTCTCATCCCATTTGACAAAAAGAAGAAACTCGAACATTTGAAAACTTCGAATCGAAAGTTGATCGGAAATTCCTCGAAGAAACCTCTCTCTCCCTTTCCTCCCAATTTGCATCGAAACTTGGCTGCCTCACCGGCTGGGGCGGAGCGGCCGACGCCGTCTGGCGCCGCTATAAAAGCGCCCCAGGTGCAGCGGCGTTCCTCAGACCTCAGCCAGTCATGGATCTCGAGACGAGGATCAAGGCCTACCGCTTCGTCGCCTACTCGGCAGTCACCTTTTCCGTCGTCGCCGTCTTGTCGGTAATTCTTATGGAATAATCTACTTTCACACAGCCTATTCATACTCAGCTTTTCAAGAGAGAGCCTGTACTTCTCTTATTGACCCAAAATGCTGAAAATATAATTTTTTATTCATCTGGTTTTAAGGGAAAGATTATCCAATTTTCTTTTCTGTGTTACAAACTTTTTGTCCTATTAATCTCGTTATCTTCGTTTTTCCACTTCTACTCCTGCTGAGACAATTTTTGTTTTACTTTTTTTCATAGAAATACTCAAAATAAACTTTTTAAATCTGGTTGAAAAAAAAAAAATGAAAACCAGTGACTTCCAGGTATGCGTGACCCTACCAATGGTGTACAACTATGTCCACCACGTCAAGCGAACGATGCACAATGAAATCACTTTCTGCAAGGTTTTTTTTTGAAATATTGTAGGCTAACTTATCTTTGAACCTTCAGGGTTCTGCTAAAGACATCTGGTCGGAAGTACACGCTCTGAAGAACATCCCAAGCGGAAACAGGACAGCTCGTCAGGCCGGCTACGGCGACGCTGCCGTCACGGGAGGAAGCACCACCGCTGGAAGCTGCGAGTCTTGCTGCCTTCCAGGACCAGCTGGTCCAGCCGGAACACCAGGAAAGCCTGGAAGGCCAGGAAAGCCTGGAGCTCCAGGTCTGCCAGGAAATCCAGGCCGTCCACCACAGCAGCCTTGCGAACCAATCACTCCTCCGCCATGCAAACCATGCCCACAAGGACCGCCTGGACCACCAGGACCGCCAGGAGCTCCAGGAGACGCCGGTACTCCAGGAGCGCCAGGTCTGCCAGGACAAGACGCTGCGCCAGGAGAGCCTGGACCTAAAGGACCTCCAGGACCGCCAGGAAACCCTGGAGCACCGGGAGCACCAGGAGAGCCTGGAACTCCGGCTCAGAGCGAGCCACTCATTCCTGGAGAGCCGGGACCTGCCGGAGAAGCCGGACCACCTGGACCTCAAGGACCTCCTGGAGCACCTGGAGCCGACGGAGCGCCAGGACAGCCCGGACCGAAAGGACCCAACGGACCAGATGGACAGCCCGGAGCCGATGGAAACCCAGGAGCGCCAGGACCAGCAGGACCTCCTGGACAGCCTGGAGAACGCGGAATTTGCCCCAAGTGAGTATCTTTGAAGTTAAGAAATAGAGGACACTGAATTCAACCTTAAGAACTGCTCCTTATAAAAACGAAGTTTTCTATAATCCTCTGCTTTTCATGACGTGTACTCTTTACTAGAGCTCTCCAGCCTTTCCAATTTACTCAAATTTCCTGCTTTTTCATTTTTGCAACTTGTGTACCTCTCAACTATCTGAATTAAGTGATGTCATTCTTTTTCAAATTGAAAAACCTGCAAAAAGAATCTTAACTTTTCTTAAATTCAAAATTTCCAGGTACTGCGCCATCGACGGCGGTGTGTTCTTCGAGGACGGCACACGGCGTTAATCTTTCCGATTCTCGCAATAATAAACATTTCGATATCATTCAGCGTTCGTTCACCAATAAGAAAGCCGATGCAAGCAAGTTTCCGGGGAGAGCGAGAAACAAGGGAAGAATTGGAATTAAAAGGCAAAAAAGATTCTCTCAGTGCGCGTTTAATTGTAGTCGTCTTCGTTCGTCATCGAGACGTCTTCTCCAGAAACAGGTCCGACAAAGGCTCCACGCACAGATTCAATGGCCCGTTGAATTGCTTGCCGCCGGCCATCGTCAAGCCACTCGATGAGGCAAATAACCGGTAGTCGCTGCCGTCGCCAAGATTCTTACTTCGTTTCTTTTTCGACCATTGCATAATAATCGGAGGTGTCTTTAAAGACATGTGCGGACAGGAAAGGGAAGAGGAAGACTGAAAGAACTAGGGTCTGAAAAGCTGAAAGAAAACATTCGAATTCCAATTTTTGCTCAAAAATTAACAACATAAGAGCACATTTAACCCTATTTCGTGTACTTGAAAAGAACTCAAGAGCGTCAACTTTCAACCATGAAATCTCAGAAAAGACAAAGTTTTGAATAGCCTTTCAAAGGCTATCAGGTGAACCTTAAACCTCAGAAAATCCATGATTATTCCCCGGAAAAATGCTAAACTTCTACATGCGTCGTTACAAAATCTAGCAAGCTGCTTGGAATATAATATAAAATTTTCAATGAAAAAAGTTTTTTCAAAAAATAAAGCCAAAAATTCACTTGTGCTCTACGATTTTAGGAAAAATTAACTGTTATAAACCTAAACATTTTTGAATAACCAGGCTTCGAAAAATTCGATCTTTGATATTGTCACCATTCTCAAAGTTTTTCAATCCTCTTGCTTACGTACAACTAACTAACTTCCTTCCCTTCTTTTTTTCGAATAGATGAATGTTTTTTAAACGGTTTTTTTAACCGGGCAATAATTATCTTCCTGACTACAACACAACGTTTCACTTTCTCCTAGTTACAAATTTCAATTTATATTCCAATCATTCCCAAAAACGCAACCCTCAAATTACCTTTGTGGTCGTCGTTTTTTCCGGTTTTTCATGCCGCAAATTGTCATAGCATTATTCAAGTGGCAATTTCAAAACGACGCTAGCGAAAGTTTTTTTCCGTCAAGTTAGCCTTGCACTGGCAACATTTTAAAAAGAAAAAAGTACAAACTTTCCTAGTTGAAAATTGACAGCGTTGTAAAGGAGCGACGAGAAGTGTACGTCTTGATCGCGAGGCACCACAGGAGCCGCCATAGCTCAGTCGGTTAGAGCGTGGGTCTAATAAGCCCAAGGTCGCAGGTTCGACCCCTGCTGGCGGCAAATCTTTTTATTTTTGTCGCGGTTGGAAGAGTTATGAAGTGATGTGACGCAGGGTATTTGCATAGAAAACTGTTTTGAAATGGAAATTTTTCGCTTCTCGGATCAAAAGGGAAGGTCCTGGCCGTTCAAGTGCACGTTTCCGTTCACTTTTACTGTTTTCATTGATTTTCTACTTCATTTTTAAAATTTTCGAAATTTTCTTCAATTTTTGTCACTTGATGAGCTCCAAAGGTCGAGGCCAATATGGAAAAAAAGAAAAAACCCGAAGACTTTTTTTATTAAGAACTATTTTTTTCGGCGTTATAATGCCATCTCATCGTAATCCAACGAAAAACGCAAAAGTAGGAACTTTCTTTAGAATAACAAAACATTTTTTTTGGTAAACTGTGTCTTTATTCAAGTCCAAAGAATCAAAAGAGTAACAGAAATCATTTTCAAGTACATCATTGATTGCTAAAAATTCACTACTAACTCAAACCCTTCAATCAAATGTCAGTGCTTCAGTGCTTCAATTTCTGTTACTCTTTTGATTCTTTAGACTCGAATAAAGACACAGTTTACCAAAAAAAAGTTTTGTTATTTTAAAGAAAGTTCCTACTTTTGCGTTTTTCTACATACGTATCTATATTCTTTATTTTTGTACTTCAGATGAGTAACTGGCCGCTTCTGTGCATCTTTTTGGTTACTTTACCGGTAACCGTATCACTTTTGGGGATCGGACGGATGCAGTCCGTTGCCGTCAGTGGGAAACTGATCTGCAACGGTCAGCCAGCCGCAGGAGTCAAGCTCAAGCTCTACGAGAAAGAATTCAGTTAGTCTCTAGAAGTTCATGTAGAATTTTGATTAATTTTTAAAAGATGATCACAAAAACTGCAAAAAGCGGAGTGCGCCTATAATTAAGACGCACAGTGTATAAAATGACAGTTTTTTTCGAAAAAAATTTACAGAAACTTTATATTCAACTTTTTTTCAATTTCAAGCTCAGATCTTGAATCAGTTTCCATCATAAAAAAATCAAAATTATCGTTTTTTTACTAGTGTCGACCAGACTCCGTTTCCCCGACCAGAAGTTGGATGTAAAGATTATTATTAGACCCAAGAAAAAAAGTTTCTTGGGGCTTCAAAAGTTTCAAATTCCGAGGGAAATGAATTTCTTTTGTTATCAATCGTTGAAAAAAATTTTTGGGAATCATTTATTTTTTTGAAACTAAAACTTTAAAAAACGAAATTAAGTCTTTCCCAGCATACATGGGCAAGGTCCGGACGTGGTTAGTCAGAAAAAGAGGTTGATAATAAAATATTTTTATATAATGGCCCTGAAATTTTTGTCTGCCCATTTATATTTTTTTCAGTAATGACACTTTTTTTGACCGGAAGAATTTAATAACGAATTTTTGAAAATGTTCAGTTCTCGACAGCCTCTTGGCCAGCGGCTCAACTGATCAGTTTGGAACGTTCCGTCTGACGGGATATCGACGCGAAATCTCAACAATCGACCCGAAATTGAACATCTATCACACATGCAACTATGGAGGGGTTAGTCTCATGGAAATTTTCAACTAATTATTTGCAAAAAAATTTTTATTAGCCACAAAAAAGCCTTGCAAAAAAATTAATTTCGAGGTGATACCATGATCTAAGTGATTCTGAAATGGTAGTTGAGAATTTCCTGTTTGACCAGAACACTCCTTGATGTTCCAGATAAAGCGTCTGAAAGTCTCAATATGCACAACTCCCTAGTTTTCGAGAAATAGGGCTCAAAGCTAAAAAAAATAGTCAATTTCAACAGATTCCAGCGTTTTCATTGACTCTGCGGCTATTCTGGAAGTTGTGCAGGACTTTTAGGACCTTCATCTGGTACATCAAGAAGTGTTCTGGTCAATTTTCAGAAATTCCCAACTGCAAAGTGAAATGACCTTAATTGTGAGATGAATGAAAAAAGTTTGCTGCTTTTTTATCCTTTCTCATGATATAAAAGAAAATCAATTTGTTCAGTTATGCTACAAAAAGGTTGGTATCACCATCCCAGACAGCTACATTTCCCGTGGCAAGACTCCAGCGAAAACTTACGACATTGGAACGCTGAACTTGGCCAACAAGTACAACGGAATGACTACTGATTGCTTGAATTGAATCCTTTTCACGTATTTTTTTTGATTTTTCGCTTTGTAGTATTGATAAGGTCATAAAAATAATGCCGTGTTCAAAGTAATTCCGCGAAATGCAAAATAGCCGTCAGAGAAAGAAAAATATAACTAACTTTTGGAGAGTCAGAGATCATTTTGTATTACGCGAAATTACTTTGAACACGGTATAATAATGAAATTTTGAAGCGCTGCTTTGATTTCTATGGATCCAGATGAAAAAAAACATTTATTGATTTTTCGTACCACGATAAATAAAAAATCCTTCTGCTGTTTTTAACAAGTAGATGTCTTCTGGCCTTTTTTATATACAAATCTGGGCATCTCTAAGATTTTTTTCCCTTCAAAGTTACATAAGTTTCTCATCGTTTTTTTATTCAAAATTGTCCGAAACCCCCCAAAAAGTTGACGGGGATCCTATCTTTGGAAGATCTAAAGGTCGGAAAAAATGACAATCTACACGCAGCGAAATTTTTTGAGTTCATAGCCCAATTTTTCTAAAGTATATACAGAAACTATAAAAAAGCTTAGTGTTCGAAAAAGCTTATAAAAACTTTTCGAATCGACCAAAAACTTAAAACCAAGGAAACTTTATAGAAAAATTTTACAAAAATCATATTTTTTTCAGCGGATTGTTACACTTAAAAAGAAACATAATAAGCGAGGTATTTATAGGAGAACTACTTTTAGAATTTATTGATTCGAAATAATTTTGAATCCTGAACAAGTAGTTACTCCATTTGGAAATTCTTGGTTCCCGTTGGTTAGCCTTTTAATTGTAGTTTGCATTGTTAAGCATTGTCGATTGTATGTTTCTCACAGTATTTCCCAAATCGGTGCAAAAAATTTTTTAAAATGTGAAAAACATTCAAAATGACGACGTTTTTTGACCACTGAAGTGGGCGTGGCTTTGTGGTCCCTACCCAATGAATACCTTTACCTTCAGAAGGATCTAGATTGACATTTTCTTCAATTCCTTGAGGTGGTAGAGTGTCTCTCATAAATACTCCTTGGAAGTTTCTTATCTTTAATAATTTTACGAGTTCTTCAAGATCAATGTTTGTTAGACTTGGTAGATTTTTATCGAATCTTACATTCTCAAATCCTCCAGATTCATCTAGCTTCACCATTTATTGAGCATTATTTTTATTCAAAATTGTTAGCGCGACATTTTTAAAGTAGCGCACTTCTACCTTTTGATTATTTTCGAAGAGTTGAAACTTGTTTTTTATAAAAATAAGCCTTAAAATTGCTTAAAATTGCGAAAAAGTGCGCTCGAACGGTATTCTACTATCACAGTCCATCTATCTTCGAAGAATCGGTTAATTAGTCGTTCCGATCTCCCCCGCCGATTCGCCAAGAAATTGATGCGGCGTTTCATTACGAGGTGTGGCCAAGAAGGAGAAGAAGAAGAAGCTTCGGACCACCAACCGATAACCGTCGGAGGAATGTGTGCTTCATGGGGTCTTGTGGGGGAGGACGTGTAGACGACGTGAGAAAATATCGCCTTCTTCGCAAAGGTTCGCAGAAAACTGGACAAGCGACGCGGGGCGCGCGAGCGAGCGAGCGGAGGCCTTCGGAATCCGGCGACGTCACCGCGCCCTCGCCCTTTTCATCCGTTTTCGATTATCAACAGATGGTTGGCAGCTCGATTACTGGATCATGAGACCGTGACCTCGGTCAGAAATCAGCCAGAACAACCCTCCAAACCAAATAATTGACTCCTTCCTCTTTGAAGTGGAACTTTCAAAACCCATATTTCAAACTTGATCTTGGGAAAGACTTTCTCCGCGTTTATCATAAAGTAATCAGTACCCAATCAACTTTCTCTTGTTTACAAAAAAATATTGTTTGAATTTGTAAAAGCGCCTCAATGAAATTCAAAACTCAAAAGAAGCGGTTTTGACTTCAGAAAGAATCTCAGACATGATCATCTTCAGAGAAGCTTCATAAATGCTAAAATCTGTTAAGACTTTCTTTATGTTTCAAGTTTAAATTCCTCGAATCAAGATTTTTATACAGAGTACTAACCGACTAACTTAAATAACTCTATAACTGACCTTTGGAAAAAGAACTCTCCTCATAAACATTGATGACAGATTCTCTGAGAACCTTGAACTTCTAGCAAGATCACAGCGTTCGTATAGCATGAGAAAAATATCGTACAAAAAAAATTACAGCGGTCAACTACGACACGTTCTCAGCTTCGACGTTTTTTTTTCCAGGAACAAAAATTTAAATCAAATAAAGTTGGACTTTATGACATATATTCTATTTAATCAAAAAAATTTCTACTCACAAATAAATTTTTTTGCCCCCCAAAAACTCAAAATCCAACTTTTCAAAAAGTTAAGGAAAACCAAATTTTTGGGTGTGAAACGAACTCCTAAGAAGAAAAACACCTCAAAGCATCCTTGAAATTTTTTCAAAGCTAGAAAATAGCAGATATCCCGGATTTCTTAAGGAAAATGAAATACGGCGACATTATTTTCATTGATGGCCCTATCAGCATGGAATAATGTTTTTCGGGGCTTGTTTTTTTTTCATTGTCGTCAAAAAAGATTTATAGATTCATCAAAAGTTTCCAAAAATCAATAAAAATCAGTTTTGGGGTCGATTTTGACTCGAAATCTGATGCTAAACAAGATAAAAAAATGTGAAAAAAGACATAAAACTATGTTGAAAGTCTTTTTTTGATTGTAAAATTTGAAAATTTTCTTCGTCACTCGGTTTTATTTATTAGATTTCAATTGTTGAAAAGATAAAAAAAATAATAATTACTATTACCTAATCATTGATCTTCTCATCATCGGACAAGATTGCAAAAAACTCTAATGGCCACTTAAGAAGTACTTCTACATGAAGAGGACACTAAAGTGACCACTATAGCCACCTCTATAGAAGACATTCTTTGCGTGGCTATTATAGTAGTGTTCTGGTAGTACCACTTAAATTTCTAGAGAGGGCGCTAAACTTTAGCCCTTTGGTGGCCACTTGAACGTCAAAAGCCTAAAGCAAAATTAGCCAGAGACGCAAGAAAATAGTTATTAGCAGTCCATTAAGGTTACTCATTAATAAAAATGAGCTAATTATGATTTTTATTCCACACGGAGGACATAACTTTCATTATCTTTTCCTTGATTTTTCCATCTCCAGCAACGACGCTCCAAATTACCCGACAACCTTTGCACTTCCCTATTAGGTAGACAAACACGAGGCATAACTCATGCGATAAATCGGCGGGGCGCGTGGAGGGCACTCCACTTAAAAAGTCTCTCGAACACTTTCTTAATCGAGAAATCGGGTCGAAAGTTTCGAACAAGCTTAAAACACGGCTGCTGGAACGCGGTCAGCCCCCCCGCCTTCGCACCGAAAAAGGAGAAGAAGATCTCGGATCGGTACCGCCTTCATCAGCCCATCGGCCAAGGTGTATTTAACCCACACCTTCGACGGGCTTCAAAGGGACGATCCGGTGCTTTTGACTTGATCAAAGCCCAACCAAAAATGGACATCGACACCAAAATCAAGGCGTACCGCTTCGTCGCCTACTCGGCCGTCGTCTTCTCTGTCATCGCCGTTCTTTCGGTTCGCTTTTCAACATTTTTCTTCATCCTTATTTTCTTAAATTATTTTTGAATTTTTCTTGAGAGCTTTTTTTATAAGATGTTCACAGTTAGTTTGTCGCAAACTTTTGCCGTACCTTTCACTTCAAAATTTTCGTTTTTGATCAATCGACGGTGAAATTTACTTTTAAACTATTTAAAGTCCTCTCTAACAGATTTTAGACCCTTTTTGAACGGTTTTTCAAGAAATTCGTGTACTTCCATTTAACTTTGTTGTTCCAGAAACAATTCATTTCCATTTTCAATAACTTTCTGATCGATACTTTTCAAACCGAAAGTTTCGGAACTCGTCCAAATCATAGGAAATTTTGTTAATTCAAACGATTTTCTATCTCTCCAGCATTAATTTTTTATACCGGATTATTAAATTCTTATTGAAAACCAAGCACAATACCATGAAAGCCTGTAAACTCTCAGTGAATTTTTGAATATTTTTCCATGTAAGGCCTGTAGGGATTTTTTTCATTTTTTTCGATCTATCAACGCCGTAAAAATTCTCTACAAGGATAATTCAAATCATATTTTTTTGATCATATAATTAATTGAAACTTATATATATTTCCAACTTCTCTCTTCAAGAATGAATTATAAAAAAAAATTACTTACAGGTATGTATCACCTTGCCGATCGTCTACAACTACGTTCACACCGTCCGTAGACAACTCCACAACGAGGCTTTGACCTGCAAGGTTTTTCTTTTGCCATTCTTTGTTCAACTTCGTTCAATTTTTATTGAGAAGATATGATCCAATTAGCTGAGCTTTTTTTTATTTTATTTTTTTTCTGGTTCTGTTGGGACATTCTTCAAGCTGATATTCAAGGCGTTATTTAAAAAAATTTTTGAAACGATTAGATAAACCCTCAACAAATTTAGGACGATTTGTGTGAAGATGAAGGGGAAAATGTGAAAAATGATCAAAAGTTCAAGTCGTCGAGTAGCGCTTTTTCTTATAAAGAAAAGCAATTAAATATGTATATTCTTATCTTTTCACACAGTTTCCTTCGTTTTTGAACTCTATAAAACTTCGAGAAATCACGTTTTCTTCAAATTAGGGCCAACCTCGGGCAAAGTCGGAATGGTGGATAATGGCTGCTAAAAGGGAGAGGCTCAAAAAAGGCCGCAGAAAGGCAGCAAAAAGGCAGCGAGTGGCAGCAAAAAGGCAGCGAAAGGCAGCAAAGAGACTCCCTTAAACGAGCCTTCCATTTTTCTGGGATTTTAAAGGCTCGAGAAATGGTGGAGAAAGGGAGAGGCAGCAAAAATGGTGCATAAGGGCTGAGAAAATGGAGCAAAAAGAGAGCCTTCATCGCCCTAAAAGGAACATTTCTATGGTCCTTTATGGACCCTCGGAGGGTCCTTCCGACTTTGCCTATGAACTATAAGGCCAATACTTCTTGGGGTTCAAAAGATCACCTTCAAGAAAATTAGCGGTAGATTGAGTATACGATAGGAATATCTCTGGTCTCTACATTCCTCTCAGAAACTCTTTTGATTGAAAAATACTGAATTTAACTGTGCCAGTCTATAGACGTTCGTTCATCTCCTGCATTTTCTAGGGATCCGCCAAGGATGTCTGGGCTGACGTGCACAACCTGAGATTCACCTTGGCCGGCAACAACACCCGCCGAGCTCGTCAGACTGGCTACGGCGGCGATGAGCCCGTCGAATCCGGATCCGAGCACCGCCCAGACGCCCCCAACGTCCAACAGCCAAACTTCGACACCGGCTGCGAAGGCTGCTGCCAGCCTGGAGCTCAAGGAGCGCCAGGAGCCCCCGGAAAGCCAGGACGACCAGGAAAGCCTGGAGCTCCAGGATTCCCAGGAAACCCAGGAAAGGCGCCACAGAAGCCTTGCGAGGAGATCACCCCACCACCATGCAAGCCATGCCCACAAGGACCACCAGGAGCCCCAGGAGCCCCAGGTGCCCCAGGAGACAACGGAGCTCCAGGAGAGCTCGGTGAGCCAGGACAGGACGCCGAGCCAGGACACCCAGGACCTAAGGGACCACCAGGAGCCCCAGGCAAGCCAGGAAACGCCGGAGAGCCAGGAGAGCAAGGACTTCCCGCCGTTTGCGAGCCAGTCACCAAGGGAGAGCCAGGACCAACCGGAGAGCCAGGACCACAAGGACCACCCGGACCACCAGGACAGCCAGGAACCGACGGAGCGCCAGGTTAGGAAAATCGTATCGGCTTAGATGTCGGGTAGAACTGGATTGGTGAAGAATTTTTTGCGAAAGAGAAACTCTTTAACGTCGCTCCTCATCAATCAAGGCTTGGTGACCCGGATAATTTATAGTTTCATCAGATCTTCAATGTATTAGACACAACAGGAAAATCTTTGAAAAACTTGAGAAAATTCCTGGGAACTCTAGTGGCCACTTCAGTAGTTCCTCATGGACTGCTTCAAGAGGACACTGAAACCACCTCTATTAGAGCCACTATTTTACGTCTTAGTGGTCACTTTAGTAGTTTCAATTGGTCTAGTAGTACCACTTCTAAAAAGGTCACTAAATTTTTGCCGCTAAGTGGTCACTGAAAATTTTGCCAACAGTTTTTCAAAGTTTTGTTCCAAAATGAAAAAAAAAACCAACGTTTCCACAATTTTCCTAAACTATTGCTTCAAACCAATCCAAAAGTTTTCAGTACCTGGATTCTCTTAATATCATCTCATTTTCTCTTTTCGAAACTTTGAATAATTTCAGGACCACTCGGACCAAAGGGTAACCCAGGACCCGACGGAAACCCAGGAGCCGATGGAAACCCAGGATCCGGCGGACCAGTTGGACCACCAGGAACTGCTGGAGAACGCGGTATTTGCCCCAAGTGAGCTTCATTTCACTTCATTCTCGTTCAAACTGATGTATCATCCTTAATGAACCAATTCAGGTACTGCGCCATCGATGGAGGAATCTTCTTCGAGGACGGAACCCGCCGTTAAGCGCCCCCGCCATAATTTATTCACCATTTTTTCAAACCATCATCGACAATTTGCTAATAAAGCATTTAAAATATCGTTTTCTTGTTCCATTGCGTTAAAAATCCTAATGAAAACGAAATAATTCAATTTTAGAGAGGTCTACAAAACTAAAAATGATGAATATAGTTCTTCAATTTTACAAAAAATGACTAAAACTTATAGATCCTCAAAAAATATAATTTTTAAATGAAAACTTACTTGACAAATATTGAAGCTTTTGCACTGTACGGCCGCCACAATGGTCTACCTTACCGAAAAATGATATTTTTCCATCAAAACAGGTATTCAGACAACGGACAAGGGCTTTCAAAAAGACAATAAAAAAATCGAAGTGAAATATTTATTGCATCCCAATTTGAAGAATTTCTTATCGTCGCGATCCATCTTCGAAGAAAACGCCACCATCGATGGCGCAGTACCTGAAAAAAATTAAATTAAATTTTTAAAAAAATGCCCAACATTGCATACAAAAAAACCTTTTTCTAGAAAGATATTTTTTTCAGTTTATCAATTACGAAACAGGGCCATATACCTTGAAAAAAATGTATTGCTAAAAAAATACTTTTTCCGAATTTTTTTCGCAATTTTTTTCAAGTTTTACAAAGGGAAGTATCATTTCTTAACCCCAACTTCTGGCCAACTTCTTTTTCTAAAATTTTTATCATGATTGTAATGGGATAAAAAGAATAAGATTTGTGCATCACTGATTTTCAAACACGTTCTTTTCTGTGAATCGGAACTTCTGTGGCAATTCTTTTTTCTAAATCTTTCAATTACTCTCCATAACTCACTTCGGACAGATACCCTTCTCGCCTTTGACGCCAGGCGTACCATTCGGTCCAACAGGCCCAGGCTTTCCGTCGAGTCCTGGAGCTCCAGGCGCTCCGGGCGGTCCTTTCGGGCCAGGTACTCCGGCTCCACCGGGCGATCCAGGTTCCCCGTCAGGTCCGGCTGGTCCAGGCGGTCCGGGCTCTCCAGCTGGTCCGGCTTCTCCAGGAACCAGCGGTTCGCTTTGAGCGTCTTTTCCAGGAGTCCCAGGCTCTCCTGGCGGTCCTGGTGGCCCAGTTTCTCCAGGTTCACCTTCAAATAGTTTTTTTTAAACATTTCCAGTCCATAAATAAAAATATAATCTTTGATGAAAAGTGATTATGAAGCCTCAAATCTCAGGAAAAAGGAGATTTGAATAAAAGAGAATGAGACTAGGTTCATTAGAGACACTTTTTCACGCTGATTCCAATTATGGTATCAAAAATTGTCGTGGATGTTTGTGAAAGAAGTCAGGGACACACAAGCTGTGAGAACGCAGACATCAATAAAATTCTTTTATAACATGCAAAAATCTACCTTTAGGACCAGGTTCGCCTGGTGGCGCGTCATCGCCAGGCAATCCGTCTTTACCGTCGATTCCAGGCTCTCCTGGCGGTCCCACTGGCCCTGGGGGTCCAGGAGGTCCAGCTGGACAAGGCATACATGGCGGCGGTGTGATCGGTTCACACGGCTGCACCGGCGGCTTTCCTGGATTTCCGGGCAGGCCAGGAGCCCCCGGTTTTCCTGGTCTTCCAGGATTGCCGGGTACTCCAGCAGGACCAGCGGGTCCTGGCATGCAGCAAGCTTCGCAGGGACTGCCGCCACCGCCAGCCGACGCCCCGGTCGGGACGTTGGCATTGACGCCGGCGTCGTAGGTGCCATAGGTACCGCCGACGATCGGAGCACTCGCCCCGCCCAGATAACTCTCCGCTTGACGAGCTGTCCTGTTGCGAGGCGCTGAGACGGTCTTCAACGATCGAACTTCAGCCCAAATGTCCTTGGCGTTTCCCTGAAGCCGAAGATATGATCTAAGGTTCAAAGTCTATCCGGAACCCTGCAGAAGATCATCTCGTTGTGCATGACTCTTTTTACATGGCCGACGTAGTGATGCAGCATCGGCAAGGTCAAACATACCTTAATAACAATCTCTTTTATACCAAAAAAGGCCATTTTTTTGAAAATGGGAAAAATGCGAGAAGGTCTCAACCATGGTGGCTCTTTTCAAGTTTTTCTCAATTGTTCCCAATTTTTCTCAGAAGCCATGGATGGATGAGCTATAACTAAAACCAAGCAATCCCATATTATATTATTAACTAGACCATTTACAAAAGTGTTATGTGAGAATAATCGCCTAGGTAAGGTAAGTGGAACCGTAGAACAATTACAACGTTATTAATTATTATAATTGACTTACTGAGAGAACGGCGACGACGGAGAACGTTACCGCTGAATACGCCACGAACCGGTATGCTTTTATCTAGAAAAATAAAATAAGTTTTCTTTAACTTTAATAATAGGAAAGTTTTCTTTTCTGTCAAAAACTTTCGTATTCAAACAAAATATTCAAACTGAACAAAATGGATACATGAAAGTTTATAGAAATTTGGTGGTATGAAAAAAACACCAGCGAAAATTCAAACGGCGACTTTTCCGATTTTTTCATATCGCTAGGGAACTTTCCGACGGCCACCTTTCCGACGAATCTTTTTCCGACTTTTTTTCTCGATAAACTTTTCGTTAAATCTCCCTATATAAAGTAGGTAGTTGGTTAACGATTAAAACACAAAGAAATAGAAAAAAAAACAATGTTTATAGATGTTTTATAAACCGAAAAACTTAAGGGAAAAAAGTCGGAAAGGGATCCGTCGGAAAGGTGGCCGTCGGGAAGTTCCCTAGCGATATGAAAAAATCGGAAAAGTCGCCGTTTGAATTTTCGCTGGTGGTTTTTTCATACCACCAGAAATTTACTCAATTTCAAAAATTATCTTTATCTGAAAGAAAGCAGAGAATCACCGAATTATAATAAAAGTGTTCTTGTCATTACTTCCCTTCTTAAAATTCCTCAATTACTTCGAAATGGTCAAAATGCGTTGCTAAATGGCTTACAAGGGGAGTCATTTTACCTTGCGCTTGGGAAACTTGAAAAACAAGCAAAAAAAATCCTTAAAGTCGCAGATATTTCCTAAAAAGTTTAGTCTGCTTAATTTTCCATTTTTCTAAAAATAAAGGCCCAAAGCCCAAAAATGGTCATCTTTAACAAATTTTGAGAGTTTTCTTTGACTTAGAGGTGTCTTTTGTCAAAAACCAGGTTGTGCGTTGAAATCTTCAGAATCTTCATTTGGTACATCCAGAAGCCTTCTGGTCGATTTTCACGAAACTCTCAATCGCATAGTAAAACAACCTTATTTTTCAGGCCACCCATTAAACGTTTAGTTTTTCTCAAATCGTCAAAACTAAAAACCAAAGGATTGCAGGACCAACAAACGAACCCGGTGATGGAGTTCGGCGACCTCCATAATGAGTAAAGTTATTCTAAGGAATAAAAAAAAACAGACGAAATTAGTTGAGTCAGAATGGATCGACGCCCCGATTTGCTTATTTATACACGACTCTTCCAGAGGGGCGCGAAAGATGAGAGGAAGAGAGAATAAACTGGTTACTAGAAGTGCTTTTGCTGCCCAAATGGACAAGTGCAGTTTGATGATTTTTCTTGATTCGCGCTTAAGATTACTCCTAAAAAGCGGTTCTGCGTTGGATTTGGTGTTGTCACAAATATTTCGGTCACTTGCTGAGACTTGATTTTCTTTTTCTGAGAGGTCATTTTGTCGCGTTCGAATGGGAGTTTTTAGTTAGCACTTTAGGGTTTTGGCGTTTAAGAGGCTACTACTATGGTTGAATTAGCGGCCACTAAAGTGGCTAAAATTTAGTGGCGTGTTTGAAGTCTAAGTGGTACTACTAGACCACTAAAAACTGCTCTAATAGCTTCTATTGAGGTGATTTTAGTGGCCACTTCAGTGTCCTCCCCAAGCAGTCCTTAAGGAGTCTCTTAAAGTGGCCACTAAAGTTTTTTCAAGAAAGTTGACAACGCGGCGAGATAGATCGAAGAACTTAAGATTACTCAACAGTCCTAGAGAAAACCCTGAAATTTTTAAACTAGCTCTGAGTTCGGTATACGATTTTCAGCATCTACTGAGAGTTTTTTTTTTGAAGTTTGAAAAGCCAGAAACTTTCCAAAAAAGTTTTCTCAAAGAAAAATTGTTGAACGAAAAAAATTTTTCACGTACGTTTTTTTTTTCAAAAAATTCAAGTTCGTAAAATTTTTGCGTAACATGAAAAAAATGCTTGATTGTGAACATCGCAAAAAAATAAAATTAAAATTTTACAAAATTATTTGAAATTTTGAGGATATAGACGATTAGAATGTAATAAAAAAAGAAAGCATTATATTTCGGACAGCCAAAAGCCTCTCGAGACAAGAAAATACTGGTTGCCTGAACGTGTTATTCTCAACAACGCCAAGTTCAATGACGGCTACATGATGAAAAAATAGGAAACCGAAAAAGCTCTAATAACTAAATAAACTATAAAGGAAAATCAAATCCCTGAGATGGAACTTTGAGTGCAAAGATTTATTCATTTTCCCACTTTTCTCAAACTTTTTAAAAAGTTCTAGACAAGTCTTTTTCAACTATCAACAATCATTATCTCAACACCATTGTGGAGGCGTCGCTTATCACAGAAAAGAACAAGAAACTTTTAAGACCTTTCACACCACGAGAAATCGCGAAAGCTGAACAAACATTGTTCCAAAATGGGACATAAATTCAAAATCGATAAAATCAAATATCAGAAGATAGGAAATTACACTGAAAAAGTATACTAATTAGTACAAGGATTTCAAGAACTTTGACAAAATTGATAATAACTCAAATTTCCTCATAAACTTGACCTAATATTTTTGGCGTGGGTTTCCTGGTAAGCAAATATTTACTAATAAAAGTTTGTGGTCATCCTAACAACCAGTCAAATTTTAGTATCCGGTAAGGCAAGTACGAAAAAATATAGTTCCCAATCTGGTAAGCGAGTTTTGAAAAAAATTGAGTTTTTCGGCTTGAAAACCATTAATGAGCCATAAATCTCCTTGAAACTTTTTGTGAATAGTTTTTGATTTTATTCGAAAAGTTATTAAACTATGAGCTTTAGCTTGCATATCAAAAATCGAACCAAAAAAATTTTTGGAACTATAAATTTTGAAAACTTTTTCTCAACTAAAAAGATGCAAAAAACCATTATCATATATTCCCTATCAAAATTTTGTTATCAGCAATCGAAGAAAAGTCAGTTATCATTGTAATCATGCTTGCTGAAATGAATGTCACGAACTTGACAGTTTCGCTCATCTTTTTTCTGAGCGCAGAAGTTGAAAAATCAAAAATTTATTTTTCAGAAATGGTTCAAAAATTCATCAAAACAATGGATGTAAAACGTTATTTCTATCAGGACATTGGAACTTCTTTTGTGTAGTCCTAGTCTTAATGGACTCTCAAAAACAATGCAAATAAACGAATCGATCAACAACTGTATGGCAATATGATCATCAGCAGCTGATCAGTTGAGTTTTCGTCTCCTGCACAAAATATCAACCGATAAAAATGTTTAGTTAGGCGTTATGGTTTTTCAATTATTATTATTATTCGGTATACAAATATCATAAAAAATCCAAAACTTTTCAAAATTATACCATTCGTTTCAAAATTAAAACAGAACAGAGCCTGTTCAAAAATTTTGAACAAAAAAAAATAAAAAAATTGAGAATTTGAGGAAATCGGAGAGCAAATCTTGTAAACTGATTTTTTTGGCCATCAAACTATATAGAAGGAATAATTAAGATGATTAATTAACTACCATTTTTGAAGAAAAAAAAATGACGTATTTCGGATCCGCCTCCGTTGCGGCGGAGCACCGGTGGGCCGCCTTGATAACGTTGATTCCGATAAGAGATGTCAAAATACGAGCCCATAAAAGGTGTCGCATATCACGCGAGCACGCTTTTTCTCATTTTTCCTTGATTTTTGTTTTGTTTTTTCTTTGTTTTGAACTTGACTCACAAAAATTTTCGCAGCTCAAATCTACTCAAAATGGTGAATCGGTGGCCAAGCGGGCATATGTTGGGAGTGGCCGCCGTGACGTCACTCGCCGGCTCTTTTCATTTCGGATACCAGTTAACAATGACAAATCCGGCACAGGACGCTTTTCTCAACTTTTTGAACCAGACTCTTGGTGCTAGGTTTAAAGATGGCCTTTCGGATACCACTATTGAGGTTGGATTGGAAATTGGGAACCTTCAATGAAAAACTTGGGACTCAAAATTGCCCGACCGTTGTTTCAAATATGAACTGTGAAAATATTTCAGAACATCTGGAGTTTTGTGGTAGCTATCATGTTTCTTGGGGCGTTGGCTGGTTCATTTTCGATTCGATTCATAGCGGAGAAAATTGGACGCAAACGCGGACTTTACATTTCTATTGGAGCCGGTGTGATTTCCTGCTTGATGGCTATCGGTTCAAAATATGTTCGTTTTTTAATTAAACTGTTCTGCTGAACTCATTACGGTGGTGAAACAAGGCGTCTGAACTTTTACTTTTGTTTGTCTCTATATTTTTTTGAGTCATGAGTGCAAAGAAAATTCAAAAAAACTTTCAAAGCATGGTTTTATTTACCAAGTTTATAAACTTTCTAGAAACGCCGTGTTTAATAAATAAAACTAATAAATCGAAAAAAGTACCTTTTAAGGTTTCCTTGTTTGAACTTTTCATCGTTTCGAGGATTTTGATGGGATGGTCCGTCAGTGTGAATCTTGGGCTTTCGGCAATTTTCCTCTCTGAAGCAAGGTTGGTTAATCTTCATTCTGAAACTTGAAAAAAATTTATGCGAAGGAAACTTTATGAAGCAAAAAAAGAAGAGAAAAAAAGGAAAACAAAAAAACTCGAGGAAAAAAAGTTTCCGTTGGAGCGCAAAAGTCAGCTTTGTACATTTTTTTATTTTTTTATAAATTTATTTTTTTAAAATTCTTTATGCTATAGTTTTTCTTCTCTTTTGATTACCTTTCCGACTTCACAATTTTTTTATACAAGTGGAATGCACCACAGAAGCTTTGGTTTCGCTAAAAAAATCTATTAAAAGTTTCTCACTAAATCTATTTACTTCATATTTTCAGTCCAAAAGAATGTCGAGGAGCGATTGGCATGGTTACAGGTACGAGTGTTCAATTTGGGACAGTATGTGGATCAATCGTAGCTATGCCGCAACTTCTAGGAACAGACACACTTTGGTCAGTCTGTTTTTTCAATTTATTTTTTCAATTTGAAATTTTTCAGGCCTTTCATTTACGCTGTGGAAATTGTGATCATTGTTGTTTTCGCGGTATCTCTTCCATTTCTGCCTGAATCGCCAGGGTTGGTTTTAAAAAACTTCCTTTTGTTCATCAATCTTTCCAGTCACGGAAAACCTAAAGCAGAAGAACAGCGATTAGCATTTAATGCGAACTTTTATCGTTTTCCTCACAACCTCATGAGACAATGCAATGATTACGGAACCTTTTGTAGGAAAAAGAAAGCCGAAAATTGTTGATAAGAGGTTAAGAGGCGAACTTGAAAAGACAAAGAAGTGTGAGTCCTCGGCTTGGCCATGCCGGGACCCCATCGGTAGTTTCGATGTGGTCGAATAGAACAGATTATATTATTAAATATTCATTAGTTACAAATAATATAATCAGAACAAAATATATAAGAATCGAGGGTATGGGCCCAGGCCGGGAGACTTCGACCCAGCTGAAGATCGTCCCTGCCTTTTATAGGTAGGAGGCGGTCTTCCCCTGCGTCTCTGGCCTCTGCCAGGGGCATTACTTCACACCTTTCCCCTTTAATGAGATTCGACCCGAATCTTAAAAAAAGAAATAAGTGTGGTGGTCACAACTGAAGAAAAAAAATGAGGGCATTCTTAACATATAATGTTACTTGTGAAACCACGACTAAAATATTAAAAGTAGAATAGTTAAAAATTGTTTGCGGGGAGGCGAGCTTCTGGGTTTAGAGCCAAACATTATTTTGGAAACTACTGAATGAAAAAAAAATTTTTTTAGAGAATATTAGGATAGGATTTAGCTAAATATTTTGAGGACAAAACGAGTGATGGGAACAAAGCAATTCAAAACTTTTTGAATGGAAAGTATTTTCACAAAAATATGAGCAGAAAAATTTTTCAGATAGTTTATAGATCAGCTGGGAGAAAAAAAAATTTAGACAGCCAGTTTTTTTTTTGACGTGAGAGAAAAAAAGGAGGGAGATGGCGCAACACCGCTGTTGACGGTATTGCCGGCTTCGACCTCTTTGACACTGTCGGTGTCATGACTGTTCTTGTCGGCGACTTCGTCGATGTCTTCGTAGACGTCGATGGCGGCGACTTCGTCGATGTTCCTCTCGGGGAACTCCTCGTTTAGACTTTTTGGCGTCTTCTTCGGCGGATGATCTTGTCGAGTTGTTTTTTTTTTTTTGACGTTTTGACGTTTTGACTTCTTCTTCTAACACAAAAGAGCGTCAGGCTGAGAAATTGACGCCGTCGTCAGACTGCGAAAAGCGGCCTCCTGGTTCTGCTGAGAGAAAGATTGGGCAGGCGAGTAGCATGCATCTCGACGGCTTCCGAAGTATCTGAGTCCTTCTCTTCACTCTCGTTTTTGCGTCTTCTTTTCTTCTGCTTCATTGACGTCTGCTTCGGCTTCATTGACGTCTTCTTTGGCTTGTTCTTTTTTTTTTTTAGCTCCTTGCGTTTTGGCGAGCTTTTTTTTTTCCGCGGTCTCTTCTTGCTCAGTCGAAAGTGTTGGCGTCTCGCCTGTCAGGATTCTTGCGAGTTCTCGGTTTTCCAGCTTCAAACCGTGCAGTTGAGCTTCTAGAGCACGCATTTTCAATTCGTCTGCTTCGTCGTTGAATCGGCTGGGCGTTCTCTCGAAACGAGAACGGTTTCGGAGATGGTCGTTTTGCGCTTCATGTTGAGCTCGTTCAAATGATGACGTTGATGGTGGAGAGCTCCGTCGTTTTTCGCTGTAGCGTTCTTCGTCTCTTTCACGACTTCGTTGGACGAGAAATCTTTCGTGGTCGCTATGATCATATCGATTGATCTGATTTCGATTTGCGACTTCTTGTGGTCTTGTCCATTGGCTTGTTTCGTTTCGGCTCCAATTCACTGGCGGGAGCTGATCATGTAGAGGCTGTGCTGGCAGGAAGCTTTCCAGGGTTCTTGCTTTCTCGATGGCTGCACTCAAGTCTGTCGTTCCTTGGGTCATGAGTTGGAAGCGAACATCAGTTCGGACTTTTTCGATGAATTCTTGAGCCAAGCGTTCCTCGAAGGCCTTCTGAGTTAAGGTTCTTCCCACTGCCATGTGAAAGGTTCTTGTTAGTCGATCCACGAAGGCAATGACAGATTCTCCAGGAAGTTGGCGACATTCGGATAACAGAGCTCGAGCTGTGATTCTTCTTGTTTCCGAACTGAACTTGGCCTTCAAGTAATCGTTGATTTCTTTATAAGAAGTGCTTGATGGCAATGTCTCGATGAATGCCTGGGCAGGACCATCGAGGAAAAATCTCAATATTTTAGCCTTTTGGTCATCTGCTGTCATCGTCGGGTAGGTTACCGCTAAGTAATCTTCGAAGCGGTCTATCCAGGATTCCCACATCGGTCCTTCAGCGCCTGTGAACTTCTCCATTTCCACTTTGTTCAGCATTGCGACTACGTGTCTTGAAGGAACGGATGGAACACTTTTGGATGTCGGAGGTGTCTGTAGAGCAACTGGTGGCTGCGTCGCCGTGGGCACTGTTGAAGTTGGTTGAGTACTCCCAATCTGAGCTGTCGACTTTGGTACTGACGACTGTGTAGCTGTCGCCGTGGTCGATGATGACGGCACTGTTGATGCCTTGGGTCCTGTCGACGTCGGTTGTGTGCTCGCTCTCTGTGCTCCTGAAGTCAAAGTAGATGACAGTGGAGCTGTCGATATCGATCCCGATGTCTGACTGGTCGACGCAGTTGCCGCTGTCGTCGTTGGATTAGCTGAAGCCGCTATTGTCTTTGTTTTAGACAATGAAGCCATGAAAGCTTGTAGCGAAGCTGAAACTTGTGACGACTGTTTAGTTGTCGCTCCTGTCGTTGTTGAACTTTGTGGAGAGGCCACTGTCGGAGAGGAAGTCGACACTGAAGAAGTCGGTATAAAAGTACTTGTCGAAATCGATGTCGTTGACGAAATCGGGTTCACGGATGTCGCGGTACTTGTTGGTGCCGATGTCAGTGCCGAACTGGAGCTTGATGAGGGCACGTTTGGCGGGGAAACTGGCAACGTTTGAATCATTGGAGGCGTCGGCGTTTTCTGACGAACTGGAATCGGACTAGGGCTCCTTGCTTTCATTGTTCGGGCTCCCTTAATTGGACTTTTTGTGACAGGAGTCGTTACCTGGGCTGACTGATACGAGCTCTTTCCTTGTTTCGGAGTGATTGGGCTCGACATTTTTGTTCGGTCGTAATTTCCCCAGGGAAACTTTCCGAATTGGTCGGAGCTTCTCCGTTCTCGTTGCGTCACGTGTCGGAGATCGGGGGACGGAGCACGTCTTGGCGTCGGTTGCTCGCTTTCTGCTACTTCATTATGCGGCTGTCCAATGTAAGTGTCGTCCAGGAAAGAACCGACGACTGACTCTCTTAATTCAAAAGATTGGTCTTTTGACTTGCCTTTCCCTTCGCTTTCGGACGACTCCGCTTCGTCGTCGTACTCTTCTTCTTCTTCGGCTTCGGATGGCTCGCTCGGCGTGGAGTTTATCATTCTAATAAAATGAATCATTCTGGCACCTGGACCGGTCGAAGGTCCAGGTGTTTCGCTTCGGGCCGCGCCTGCGTGAACAGGGGCCTCGGAAGCTCCCAGTTTTTCTTTTTCAAGAAAAACTGGTGAATACTCAGCAGCAATTTTATTAATACTCAGTGGGCTCTCACTACTCGGGTTTTCTTCGAAAGAAGAATAAATCATTTTGGCACCTGGACCGGTCAAAGGTCCAGGCGTTTTGCTTCGGGCCGCGCCTGCTTCAGCAGTGGCCTCGGAAGCGTCCATGTCTTCCCTTTCGGGAAGACAAGGAGGACGGGACATGTCGGCAGAAATACAGCACCAGACCAGAATAAGCGACCTTCCACTGGTTGGTCGTTCGGGGAGACTGAGGCTATGGGGGCGGTGCCACAACCCTCCTCAGTCCGTGGGCGGAAACAGAGAAGGACAGTCTTTGTTTCTGCAACAAGTTCATTTGCGAGAATCATTCCAAACCGTTCTTCGCTCTTGTCCTTCTGTTTTTCGCCCCTTTCGTCTGATGAAATCCATGTCCTTCCTTGGTCCTCCAAACTGTTGACGACAGCCTCGTCACTTCTCTTTGTTTCCGTCGCCGGAGTCTTTGTCCTCAGGAAACCGCAGCCGGTCGTCTTCTTTGTCTCCCTGCAGCCTGCAAACGTTCGTTGCACCTTGTACTGCGGCCTCTGCCGCTCTCTTGCGTGTAAACACGCCGCCTGGGGTCTGGAGTTGCGAAATACTTTTGAACTCCCCTTGAACTTCGAAATCGCCTCGATGAATCCCTTTGTTTCAGGCCGTCGCCTGTTTTCTTCTCCACGATGCTCGGAGGAACTAGCGCTCTTCCGCGGTAATTGACTTATCAACAAGTCCTTCTAAAAGATGTCTCGCGGGATAACCTCTTCAAACTGTCGACCTTGGGCACAGCTTACCGCAACGCCTCCGCGTGAGCTTTTTACGCGGAGCTTGCCTCGTCGGCCGGTCGCCTCGCTGCGACGGACTTCTCTCTGCGTCGGCTGCTGACGCTTGGCTGCTTCATCGGTTAAATGGCGGAATCGGAACATCGCCAACTGTCGGATGCACGTCGACAGATTTCTTGAAAATGCATCGTTAGGGATAGATTCGAACCTGACATCGAATGACGTTGTCGGACGTCGTAGGTCGGTGGATCTGAGTAGTCCTGCGGCTCTTCTGATGTTGGTCTCCGAATGGGACGAGTTTTTATCATTTTAGACGGATCGCCGGTCAAAAGCGAAACGTTTTGTCTCAACGGAGACTGGCAGGGAGCTGCGGGCCCACAGCTCAACCTGCCGTTTGTGGAATAGCCACAGAACCACTCGCTGCTACCAATGTGAGTCCTCGGCTTGGCCATGCCGGGACCCCATCGGTAGTTTCGATGTGGTCGAATAGAACAGATTATATTATTAAATATTCATTAGTTACAAATAATATAATCAGAACAAAATATATAAGAATCGAGGGTATGGGCCCAGGCCGGGAGACTTCGACCCAGCTGAAGATCGTCCCTGCCTTTTATAGGTAGGAGGCGGTCTTCCCCTGCGTCTCTGGCCTCTGCCAGGGGCATTACTTCACAGAAGTTTCTGTTCGAGATTGTTGGGAATGAAGACATTTTTTGGAAAACATGGTCTTAGAGATTGAAAAACAAACGTTGAATTTTTCCTAGGAAGCCATTTCAGTTTTTTTTTTTGAACTCTTCATCCTTGCACTCGATTTTCAATTACTCTCAACACAGTTTATGCCTTTTTGGTATTAAAACACACGTAATCATAGCGAAAACATATTGATACATAGAAAGTAAACGTTCAAAAGTAATAAAACATAATCCGTTTCTCAAAGATGTTTTCAGATATCTCGTTCAAATCGGCGACCATGACGCAGCTTGCACGTCGATCCAGTACTACTTCAAGTGCTCTCAGAACAAGGCCAACACCTATTTATACGAAATCAAAGAAGAGCAGAAGCAGAACACGAGAAGGTTCACGATGATGGACGTCGTCAAAAAACGCAGTCTTCGGAGCAAAGCAATCATCGGCGTGGTCGTGACCTTTGCCATGTCTTTCAGTGGTGTTGCTGGTGAGTTTTAAAAAAAAGTGCATCAATTTTTATTTATTCATTAGACTTGAAAAAATTAAATTATGCTTTTTTCAGTTATCAACGCCTACGCTTTCGAAATCTTGAAGGACACTGGTCTCTCCGTTTTGGAAGCCTCCTTCGCCAACGTTGGAATCGCCATAGTATCAATGGTTTCATTCTTTTTGATCAACTCCATGAAAAAAAGTCTGTAGATCGGCTGCATGGTCGCCTCGTTGGTCATCGACAAGTTCGGAAGACGTCCGATGCTTTTGGTCGCGTTCACTGGAATTCTTTTCTGCAACATTGTTATCGTTGCTCTGATGTACACATTCGATAGCTACGGGGTAAGTTTCCTTTCCTAAATATTTTGAGAAGCTTCTGAAGTACTAAAAAGTTTGTCTTAAACTTCGGAATGAACAGGCGGAAACCTAAATTTAGAAAACTTCATTTGAAAATAAGCGTATCGAAGCTGAAAAAAGCAGACGTCAAGTAACCCGATTACAGGGTCCTGAACGGAAAATTTCACAAATAGAAAAAAAAAGACAAAGCATTTCCTTGATAAGAAAGGATTATTGTTGATTACAAAGAAAAAGCTTCAATTTTTTTATCAATAAATGAGGTAATCAGATTAAGCGATTCTTTTGAGAGAAATTCTGAAAAATGAAAGGTTCTTAACCTCATAAACTGAAGGAAGCAGGAAAGGATTTCTCATCTTTGAAGAATGATTGACGTTTTGAATTATTAAAAAATGAATAAGGAAAAAAAAATGAATGAATACGATTGCAAAATTATTTTCAGTACCATGTCCTCGGGTTCTTGCTCATTTTCTTCATTTGCGTCTTCATTGTATTCTTCGCGATTGGACCTGGTCCGCTGTCGTTTTTCATCAACGCCGAACTAGTCGGTCAGGCGGCGAGAAGCGCCTCGCAGAGTTGGGCCAGCGTCGTTCAGATGCTCTCGTGAGTTTGAAGCACCATTTTTGAGAAAAAAGCCCTCAATTATTTTCTCGAAAAAGATAAATCCCCTGAAAGTTTTCGAAGAATCCATACATGGGCAAACAACTTTTAAAGGCCGCTAAGCCTTCCTTCAGAGTTTTCGTAAATTTTTAAAAGTGTGTACCATCTCCCGAAGTTAAAACTTCTATTCATTCATGTCACACCGTCTCCCTGGACTTGGAAATAACTTCTATATAGTGAGTCCGCCGCGACTTGACAGTTTTCGAGTGTCTGCGTCTCTCTGTTCCCTCACCGGTGAGGTCAGAGAAATGTGAAAATTACACGTCAACCTGAGAGTCGCCGAGAGACGGGGAGGGCGCAGAGAAGTCACCTTGCGAAAAAAAGACTAAACCTATTTTTTCAAGTTTTTTAAGTCAGGCTCTCCTCCTGGATCAATTGAGTTCTGTACTTGCCCTGTATAAATGAATCTGAGAGAATCTAGGCAAAAAAGATATTTTTAGACGTTTTGCCCTGGTCACAGCGTTCCTTCCGATGAAAAATCAGATTGGAGAAGCCTGGGCCTATGCGATTCTTTTCATCGTACCTGTCGCCGTTTCAATCATTTACCTCTATTTTTCGCTTCCTGAGACGAAAAATAAGGACGCGAAGCAGGTGAGAGATCATTGCGATGAGTCATCAAAAAAACGCTTGGAAGACACTTTCTTTTTTCAATTTCATTCTTTTCTATGCTCTCCTCTTCGAAGTTACCACTTTGCACCGTTTACCCATTCCCTCTGCGACCACGCGGCTCTTTCAAATGCTGTAATCTCAATCGTTTTAGGTAGCAGAAGCGATCAATAACTTGCCCAGATTCCCCTTATGCCGGAAAGACAAAATCGATACGGAAATGGAGACTTTTGACGATTACGAGTACGACGAAAAGTTTTAGAGAAATCATCCTTACCCATGTTTTTTTTAGCAAATTTCAAACGAATGTGACGCGTACCGACCGTTATGGAACCTTCAATAGTTACGATGATATCTTAAAAGGCGTAGTTAGAGCTTCGTAGTGATGTTTTAGGGAAAAACTAGTAAAAAGCTTTTTTGTAAATATATTTTTGAATTTTGGCGTTGTCGGAAATGTTCATATTCGGTTGATATGTTTTGTATCCTATTCTTCCCCTGTTTCTTCGAATATTGTTCAAATTTCCTCATTTTTGCGGATTTTCATCGCATATGGAAGTACAAGACGTGGTAATCTCAAATGTTATTTTTGTTTCCTTTTTTTTTTATTCAATTTAGATGTAATTTTCTGAAATCCTCAAGAGCTTAAATCAACATAACTCTATAGCTGATTCACGGCTGGCTTGAGCCATCGAAAAAGGATCTTGACACAATAATAAAAGAGACAGTGCCTGGTTGATGGAGAGCACAGACACTCCACGCCCCCTCAGCGCCCCAAGTGAACCCTGAATCGGCTATAGCTTTCTAAGATTTTCTCCTTGGAGCGGAAGTCTCCAAATAGGTTAAAATTCAATTCAAGTCATTTTCGTCGTCACTCTTTACGAAATTGGCTTTTTGTTTACCAACAGAGGAAGTTCGAAATAAATGGCAATTCACATCGTTTGAGTCAGGACTAAAAAAAATACAGCAAGTTCTGAACATTAAAAATCAGCTTTGGGACTGCTACAAATTAAGGGTTTTTTCTCTGAAAAAACACATTTAATCAAACAAAAAACACACACAGTTAATGAAGAGAACACAAAATATCGCAATCCAAATCGAAACCTGTGTAAAATCATCATTTTTCACCAGAGAAGCATTTTTTCGATCAACGTTTGCAAATTATACATGAATACAAAGCTTTTGTGACGAAAAAAACTTTGGTGACAACAGAAAAAAAATTGAAAATTGAAAGAAACGAAGAAAAAAGCGAAAACCCGAAAAATCGCGATACCTGTTGTCCATAGAGCGACTTTACTGCGAAACGCCATTTTGGCGGGAACTCAAACTTCCGTCTCTCCGACTTCGAATTATTTTTTCTCCAAAGCTACGAAGTTCGATACGTTTTCAAGTTTGCTGTTCGATTCGCAATGAAAAACTCTACAAAGTAGTGCTTTGAACTGAAACACCGTTTTTTTACTGCTCCTTTGCCTTTAAAGTCTGCTCATCCCGTGTTCTCACTAAAAAAGTACAGTAACTAAACCAAATACAACTTTTTCCCACTTCAAAGTCACAAAATTGAGTCAAAACGCAGAAATTTGTGGTTTCTGCCCTTCTCGGTGTCGTATTCCCAGGCAAGCTCAGACTCACAGTATGCTGCGCGGGAGCACAAATCTTCAAAACGAGTCAGCAAATAAAACAGTTTCTTTTTCTCGGCAAAAGATCTATATGTATCACAGTAAACACGCAAACAACACGGGTTTCCCTATGTTTTACAAAAAGTGTAACTATTTGAACAGTTGCGAGGAAGTACTACAAATGAATTTTGAACCTGTTGGACCGGCGGTTTTTTGGCACGGGTTTCTGGGATGCCGTTTCATTTCTTGTTTGGTGAAAGCTTTGGAAAATTTCTTGGTTTATTCTTTTTGGCTGAAAAATTTTGGTTTACTTTTTTTGAGCCAGAAAAATCGGAATCTACAGCGTTTGTCAATCCAATTTTCTGAAAAAGACATACTCCAAAATATATTTTTTCATTTCTATAATACTCTCTGCAAATAGTGTTGTCTGATTCTTTTTTCATTGAAATTCAAATACAAACATGAGGAGAATCTTCGTATAAATCGCCATGTTAACCGCTCGTAAGTTTGTTTAGTTTCGCCCTGGTTTCCTACCTTTTTGAACGATTTTTCTTCTCAACTTTCAACTTTTTCTTCTCAATGATAAAATTCAAGTTATTTGAAAATTTCCAAGAGCTTTGGATTAATTCGGAAGCTAAATCTAAGTTACGAGGAAATAGATTATTCAGAACTTGTTGTTTTGATGATTTTAATATTTTTACATAATTCCACTTGGATGCACTTTTCCGAAAAGTTCGTTGGCTCAGTTTACCTAACATACCTGTTTTCACTCCATTCCTCAAAAATCCGTTGGAAATAATAAGTGGTCACCCATTTTCGTACACTCTTTTGCTCATTGTTTCAGGAGCCGTCATTCTTTTTTGTTCAAAAGTAAAAATCTGAGTCATCAGACCATAATACATGAAAGAACATCGAAATTCCGTCTCACATCATCTAAATTTCGTTTTCCCTGAATTTTTTCTGTTAATCGAAAACCTATTTGTTCAAGGTCCATTTAATCCTGGTGTATTAAACCAACGTTTTTTCTAATCTCCAAATACCCAAGCCGAACAGTAACGAAGCGAATTCTATCGATATGGATTCTGTTGAGTCTACTGAAGAATCACAGTGTTGGTTTATTTTTCAAAAAAAAAGTATTTCTTATGAGAGTTTTTATAGTCTGTGTGCCACGACTTGAAATTTCCCCGAACGACATTCCGCTGTTCCGCTGCGTGCGTTCGCTAAGCGTTTTTCGAATCTACGCCGCAATTTCGATTGATTGTTATTGCTGTGGCAGCACAAGAAAGTAGAGTACCTTAATAAAAAAAAAAAAGTTAAACCAAGGTTCGCATAGGCGCGCCGCGGCACAGCGGTGAAATTTCAAGTCGCGGTACACAGGCTATAATAAAAGTATACTGTGGTCTATTTTCTTTCTCCCAAGTAAGGGATGCTTCTTTTTCAGACTTCCGCGTGTCAAGAAAAACTGACAGGAACTTACTCTTATTGATTTTTTTTTTTGAAGATATACTCCCTGCTGATGAACCATCGAATTTTGAAAGACAGTGGTTTATTCAGCAAAATACGACAAAGACGATGAACAGCCGAAAACTCTTTGGAAGCTCGTTGTGATCACTGGAATTGTCTCATTCCTTACTTCTATTGAAAATACAGTCCTTGGAGTCAGCGAATGGCCATATCTGCAATTGGTAAGCGATTCGATGAAAAGGACGACGTCATCGTCCATAATTCAGAATGACCACAAGGCAACAGCCGACTTTTTTGGCGTCGCCAGCGCCTGCGCCAGGGGCGCCCACGCCGTCTTTTCTTTGCTTTTCTCCTTCTGGAGCTTCAAGTTCAAAGCTATCAAGTAAATTGGTTACCATTGAAAAATATCTATCATAAAAAATTGCATTTTTAGATTGCCTCTTATAACGGGTCGAATTGTCTGCATAGTTTCATGTCTTTTGTACATATTCGCTCCAGAATTTCCCAACAATCGAAGATATGCCTACCTCACGTGTTATATTCTTTTCTCCATTGGAAGCAGTGAGTTTCTCCCGATCATTGATCATCCTAATTTTTCTCAAGGTGCTGCCACAATTCTTCGGGCCTATGTTGTCGCAATATCAACGCCTACAGATCGACCTAGAGCCATTGCGGCGACATCTTTGGCCAACATCCTTTCCATTGTGATAGGACCAAGTACGGAAAAGTTAATAATTTAATCAGACGAGCCACATTTTTTTTTAAATTTAAAACTTCTCGATCAAAGATTGCGCCATCAATTTGCCAGTGACGTCTTTTTTTCGTTACTAAAAAAATTGAATTAATTAATTTTTTTGTAATTAATTTTTTTGGTTTTTTTATGGTTTTTATCATCGATGATTGGATCAATGACACGCTCTAAAATCTTTGCCGGTTTTGTCAAATATATCCCTCACGCGTGGTCGATTTATTCTCTTAATCATAATACATTCCGTGACAAAAACGGTTGTTCAGTGGAATAATCTAAAATTTGCAGGAATATACTGCTAAAAGTTAATTTTTAAATCGACTTCTGCGAAAAAAGTAGATTTTCCAAGTTTTTTTAAAAATAATCAGTGATATTTTTGCCTGAAGCTTTTTCCATAATACTTTTTCTATTATTTGAATTAAATTTTTTTCAGCTGTGCAATTGGCATTTTCGGCGATTCCCTACCCAGGAGCTCACGTTTTCAGTCACGTTTATTTGAACGTTTTTACTGCACCAGTCTGGTTCGCCTTTTTCGTGAACTTTGTCACGTTTCCGTTCATTATCTGGGGCTTGAGAACGATCGATCAACCTCACGATGATAAAGGTAAATTCACATGTTTGTTTTAGAAAATATTATTTCTTTTTCAGAAGATGAATCAGTTTTCACTTGGCACGGACTCAAGCGTAAGCTTCGGCAAGTTCAGGATGCCAACTTTGACTGGATCATCGTCGTTTTGTGCTGGTTCATGAAGATTTCGCTGACTTTTTCTGCATCCATCTTTTTATCGTAAGTTATATGTGCTTTTCGATCTTTTGACGGGGATTTTTTCAGGCTAATGTCGATAATGGTGATGGTTCAGTACGGCTGGGCAGGCACGAAAACCGTCCGAGTTCTTTCTGGGACACTTGGAGGCGTTGGCATCCTTGCCAGCTTCATTCTCATTGGATATATGCTCTTAAAAAGAGCCAAAGTGTTAGAAACTGCACTTTTTTTTTTGAAAATGATTTTTTAATTTCAGGCTGCCTCAAAGGTACATTTTCTTGTGTTCTCTGCTTCTTTCTGTGGCCGTTTTTTGGATTACTCATCCTTGGAAGGGTATCAGTGAGCCGGTAGCACAGTTTAATGGTTAGTCTTGTCTGTTTGATATTTAAAATTAAAAAAAAAACCCAACGGTATCGTCAAAAAGCTGTGACACTATATAATCAGCGGTCTTTCTAATAGTCTTTGTCAACAGTCAGACGCAAAAATTTTGCATTGAAGATGGATTTTACGCTTCGAAACCGTTTCGAAGGCTGCTCATGCAACTTTTCATACCCCATAAAGAATTTGAGAATGGGCTTGAATAAATAAAAAAATAATTGAACGATGAATAAGTCTATTTTTCCTGCAACAAGCCAGGCAAACGAATAATAAAGTTCTTTCTAAAGTCAAATGCGCCTTCCTGCCGAACGACTTTTCAAAAATTTCATACCAATTTTTGTTTTTTTCTTCTTTTTTTCTTTCTCTATAAGAAAGCCTTCTTTTTTTCTTCTACCCCCTAATCGGGTTCTCTCGTAGAAACCACACTCTCCGGCTGTTCTCCAAAGCAGTATCATTGGTGCGACACGGCCTATGCCGTCCATCCGGTCATGCTCCTTGTTTCTCTTGTTGTAATCTACGGAATCGGTTATCCTTGCGGCACAGTGGCTCTCGATACAATTTATTCGAAAGTTCTTGGACCGATCGATCAGGTTCATTGATTTGAAAAACGTTAGAAAGGAAAAATTTTGTAGAATTTGATGCAAGGAGCCCTCATTGTTGCTGATGATGTTTCCAACATCTTCACTCCGATTTATGCGACGTAAGTGTAAAATTATTCTAAAAAGTGAGAGTTTCAGAATTAAAAGTACTGTTTTACACGGCGTTTTTGTCAGTGGAAGAAAATGCGAAACCAAAAATACGGTTGGGGGCATATTAAAGGCGTAGGAGATCACATTGCCAGAGGTCTTTGAAACGAATCACATTCCCACTACATAAACGCAATTTTTCTGCGCGGAAGCGGCGCAGTGTATGCACACGACACACGAAACTTTACGGAGAAAAAGTGCGCGTGGCGTCGTAAAATAAAAACCGTGTTTAGAAAATCAATTGACATAATTCAGAAACATGTTCACAAAATTTGGAATTTCTACGTTGTGGTACGCGAACGGCGGCGTTTTCATCGTTGTTACTATTATTTGGATAGTATTCCTGCCAAGATTGAAGCGATTCCCTTGATTTTTTTTCCAAAGATTTTTGTATCATATCATTTTGCCATCATTCAAAACTTAGCCTTTGATTTTTCATTCGGTGCGATTCCCAAAACGAGGTTGTTTGTTGTTCGATTAACCATTAGCCTGTCACAAAATTAAAGATTTATTTCGTGACAGGTTAAAACCATATTGTCTCATTTGTACATTTTGCATAATAAATTTGTTGAAAATTCTTTATTTTAAGCTCAAAAGGCTGGATTAAAGTGCAAATTTGGCACCGGTAACAGTGTAGAGATGAAAAACTGTGTCAAAGTCGAATGATATGGGCGAAAAAGTGAAGAAGTTTGGTTTGACCAGCTCTCCTGATAATTTCAAAAACAACGGCCTAGTATATTATCTCAAAGCACACCGATATATCGAATATTATTAAAAATTATTGCATCGCTGTTAGTATTTACAAACATGACTAGAATTTTGATCGATTGAAAAATTTGTAAAAGCTGTTAAGTAATGAAATTTTTTAATTTTTTCTCGTCAAACGGTAAAGTTCCCTAAATTTTCGTGACTGTGATGGTGTCCTTCGTGACCTTCGTGACCACCGTGTTCATGCCTGGAATAGGAAATTGAAAATTTTGGAAATCACAAGAATTACCCGAAGATCAGCTGTAGTAGGGTTATCAGTAGAAAACCGATGGCGATGGATAGCAATTGCTTGAAATTGTTGAAATCGTTGTCTTTTTCATGAGCCAGGACCTGGAATATTAATTTTTTGGAAGTTCTTTCAGAGAAAAATGTTGATTTTGCTAATAATTTGTTAGGATATTTGCGTCTTGTTTTGAAGTACTTGTTGCTATAAAAAAATTAAAAATTCAAATAAATTTTTTTGCTAAACTAGCTTTTTAAAAAAATTAAAAAAATAAAATCGATAAATACCTCGATGAACGTGACATAAATGAAAGTTCCAGCGGCTAGACATTCCAATACCAGCATTGCTCCGTCTTTCTCATAAGATGGAGCCGTGGCAGACTGGAAGATAAAATTAAAATAGAAAAAATAGAAAAAAAAACCTGTAAAACTGTTCCGAGAATCGAGCCAATTGGCGTCATCAGCGAATAGATCAGGATCGTCGCTATCACTGTTTTATACTGTAATATATTTTTTATCCAAGGAAATATAGTTTTGGAAAAATGGAACCTTTGAACTGTTGGCCCGGGAAATTTGCAAGCCAACAGAAAACGCCTCGATACTCTTGTGAAGCAATAAGGAGAAGAACAAGGCTAGAATTCCAGTTTTTGTGTCCTGCAACCAAAAGATTTTCATGAACTCAAACTATTTGAATAAAGAAATCATGTTGTGGAGATGAATTATAGTCAATGTTTCCCGACTTGAAAGGCGAGGGAGGCGGGGCAAGGGGCGGGACGCGTAGCGTGTGCGTACGCGGTTCTTGGCGCCAGTTCAATTCAATCGCCGCCGACTATTTAAAAAGCTCAGCAACCGCTCTTTTTCGTATTTTCTTCTATTTTTTGATGCACACATGAACATAATCAATAAATAATTAAAAAAAAGAAGGGAAAAGAGCGATAAATGAGCTCTCCAAATAGTCGCTGGTGGTTGAATTGAACACGTGCCAAGAACCGCGTACGCACACGCTACGCGTCCCGCCCCTTGCCACGCCTCCCTCGCCTTTCACATTGACTATACGGGATTTTAAAAAATTGAATACTTCCAAATAAAAAATCCTCACCTGAATACCCAGAGCAAAGCCTTCCAGAAGTGAATGGAAGGACATGGCGATCGCAAAAGTCAACGATTTGAGCAAGTTTCCTTTTTCTTCGGAGACCACCCATGTTGACGTTTCTTCGATCACCAAACTAAAATAGCGAACTATGAACCCGAGAAATTTTTCAAATTGTTTTTCGTTGCTAAATAAAAAAATATAATAATAAAACAAAAAGAAAGTTCGTGCAATTCAACGCCGAAATCCGTGCATAAAGTCAAGCAGTTCAGAAAAGTTCCCAAAGCTTCTAAAGAAAAATCTTTTCACTAGTAAAAATTAACTTTTTTGATTATTTATAGCTTGAAAAAGAAGACGTGATTTGCTATCACTTTATCATTTCTGTCAAAGTCCTACTACTTCGGTTTGGAGTGACGAATTTTAAACACTTCAAAATCAGAGTTTTTGAAATTTTCCATGGAAAATGAAAATTTGCCAAGTTCTACGCGAATAGATGCCACCAGCGGATGTCATTTCACTCAAAATTTTGAACTCCTCCAAATTCGGCTAAAAGCTCTTCGATTTTTAGAATCGAGTCTAGATATCATCATTAAAGGCCCTATTTTTTTCAAACTTAAGTTTCAATACAAAGACTAGTGTTTATAGTCTGATCATGCTAAACATGAAGCGCTAGTTTGTGAATAGAATGGAAAAAATAGCGTTTTGGTACCAAACCCTCGAATTTAAGAAACTTATAACTGAAGTTAGGAATTTTCGAAGTTATTGAATTCTCAAAAAATTGGTTTTTCCGAAGTTTTGAATTTTCCTTAAGGTTTTCTCCCACAGCTAAGGCTCTAGTTGAATCGAACGCATGACTACGAGTAATTTGGTACCAATAACTTGAATTTAGGATGCCTACAACTAAAGAGCTAGGTTAAAGCCGAAGAAAAAAAAAGTAGTTTTGGTTTTTTGTACGACACTCCGCTAAAACGCTTCGAAAGTTGGGCGAAAAGTATATCAGATTGAAGAGGAAGGTTTTCTCTATGCTTCCACTAATTTTCTATGTGTTCCGTATTGCGCTTTTACAAAAACATCAAACACAAAATCTAAAAAATTAGTGCATTTCACCATCGCGAAAAGGGGCGTAGCTTTGCAGTCTCTAACTAAAATTATGAATTTTGGAAGTTCTTGAATTTTCAAAAAAAATTTTTGAATCCAGCGTATCGAAGAGTTTTTTAGCCGATTTTTCAATGCGAAATGTCATCCCTTTCCCAAAAATTTCTTTGACTAGACTCCAAAAGAAACCCCTAAACATGCAGAAGCACAACAAAAGAACCTGTGAAGAGAGAGCGCCCTTTCAGCCTTGATGAGGTCGATGGAGGTGCCGTCGTCGGCGGCGACCTTGCCGTGGACGTGCCGGTGATGGTCCACAAACGCCTGTTTCACGTCGTCTTTACTGAATAAAGCCACTCCGGAGAAAAAGAAGCTGGGCAAGCAACCGAGGTTTCTAGGGGGATTTGTAGGAGCAAAGAGAGAAAGAGAGAGGGAAGAAGAAGAGCCACCTAATCGGGAAAACCAAGAGGTTTTCTTTTGAGAGCTTCAAGTTGATGAAAGAAGAGAGGGGAGCATGCAAATTACTTTTTTCAGAAAATTTTTGTAATTTTTTACAGATTTTCTGGTCTCATGAAGATTGGTTTAATTTTTTTAGAAGCGCAAAAATCAAAGAAAAAAATATTCAAAGGCGCAAGGCGTAATCAGTTTAAAATATGAATCTACAGTGAAGTTTTGGGCTTCAAACAAACATTTTTTTAGCCTCCGCTTTGCGCTTTTTCTTATCATTCTAAATCGGAAATCTCCACTTCACGTCAAATTTTGTTCGATCATCAAAAAATGAATTAGTGATGGTTTTAAGATAAATTTGAAGGAAAAGCTGTTGAATCAATCTTTTCAGAACCCTTTTTCCAACACACTGCAAAGCTTTGGTTTCTGAAAAAGAGCGATTTTTCAAAATCCTATTTAAAAAAATATCATAACTGGTTTTTTTATTTTTAATAGTCAGTTTTTTTGACGTCATTGATAAAAAAACGTAAATTGGAGACTTAAGAAAAAAAGGAATTTTTCAAATAAATTATTTTTTTGCAAAGACCCACTTGGTTATGTTAGGCTTGTCGTCTTTTGAGGCCGGAGCCACGTGATGAGAGTGGTCGTGACCGTGGCCGCCAAATATCTTAACACAACTCAGTATTGCTCAGACTTACTGAGGCTTACCAGTGCCGTGAACTCTTCAATGAAATAGACCAGGAAGAAGCCACAGCAAATGACGAATTGGGTGATTGGGAATGAAGTTTCGATAGAGTAGAGCTCCGAGAAGTTTGTGAAGTTTTCACTTAAGGGATCCTCGTTGTATTTTTCTATGGACAAGTAATTTTTTGGTACTTTTTTTTCACACTACAACGTTTCCTTGGAAAATAAAGATCACTAATCAGTATTTATGGACATTTCTGAGAGAAACTGATAAATCCACTAAGCTTTTGGGTACACAGTTGGTATCAGAGCAAAAGTTCAGAGTGATAAATCTCATGAAATTTCGTCGCTCTGCACATCAGCAACTTTTTTTTTTGATAAATTGACTCACTAAATATGCGGCATAACGTCTAGGAAGCAGGTGGCCATGAAAACTCCACCGGAAAAGCAGGAAAGGTAGGAAAGCCAGCCGGCGCTCGCTTGGTCTTTCCCCTTCTTCTTCATCACTGTTAGTAACTGAAATTTTCTTTTGGGGGTCTATTCCATAATCTATAGTTTTTGTGCCTTGAAATTTTATCCAACGAAATTCCGCTGTTCCAGTCGCGAAGCGTCTTGCTTTTGTGAATCTCAGTCGCGCTTTCCATTTTTCCTTTTATTTGAAAGTTTGACTATTAAAATTATGTTTTCATCGTTTTTTGTGCGAAGATCGTGACTACACGGCTTGTGTTTAGACTACAAGAATATAGAAGAAAATCAAGAACGATGAAAAATTGTCAAATGTTGTATAGTCTGATCAGATTTCAAATTTCAAGTCCTCGCTCAAGCTCCGCCCCCTAATGGCGCGATAGACCAATCAGAGAGCGAGTCATTCACAGAGCGTTTTCGAATGACGTCATTGTACTTGACATTCAAAATCTGAACGGACTATGAACGCAATTTTTTTTTGTATTTCGAAAAGTATTCGACTTTATCATTTTTTTTAATTCACCAGAAATGATGATCACGAGCTTGGCACGGAAAATAAAAAATAACTAATATAGTGAAAACTTCGATCAAAAGAAAAAAAAATGGAAAGCGCGACCGAGGTTCGCAAAGGCGAATACGTTTTCACGGCCACAAGGTCACGCAGCGGAGTGTCGTTCCGTGAAACTTCAAGTCGCGGCATACAAAATCAAGTTTTGCACAGTTTTGCTGATTAATTAATCACCTATAAAATATTTTCTCAAGCTAGCGGTGAAAGAACTAAGGATCTGAAAAAAAAAAAAACCAACAACAAGTGGAAGAACCCCGGCGATGGCCGTGGCGACGAGCAACGCAATCGCGAGTCCGATTTGTAGTCCAATAAATCCGTCAGCCATTTTCCGTTCAATTTATAAATTCAATAAGATTTTCCTGCAAATTTTCATATCATTAACGGAGCTTGATCAATGATCATTATCATAAATTCGAGCGAATGATTTTTTATTTGATAAGAGAAACTTTTTCGATGACAAAATCACGTCATACGTCAAGTTTGGAGAATGAATAGAGCCGAAATTTGAAATGACGTCATAAATCATACCGATCCAGTTAGAAAGCCACATTATATTGATGGACAAACGCCAAATCAAACCGAATAACCGTTATATTCCAAGAAGTTATAACTACCGAACTTTGATTTTTTTTTATTTCGAGAATACAGAAGAAAGAAAAGAGCAAAGTTTTTCTCGAAAATCAAAAAAACCGTGAGAAAAAAATGTCGATACTTAGCCGATTAATCTGATAATGATGACAAAATGGTATGATAAAAGAATCAGAGGTGAAATATCACGCGGATCAAAGGTATATAAAAGAGATTTCTGAAGTAGTGCCAGGCCGGAATAACCGGTCCGGTCGAGTGACGTCATGGGGCCAGCTTTCCCTTTCTTTTTCCCTATTTTTCTTCAGATCAAGGAAAACACTAGTTGATTTTTAACTGAATTAGTGAGAAAAAGACGTTTTAAAACCATTTATAAGTTAAGGAATGTTTAGAGTAGTTTGAGAAACAAAGGAACCTTGTTTTGCTTTAAAAAGAATAAAAGGATTTGAGATAAATTCATGAAAATCATATCATCGAAGGTCGAAGAAAAAACTAAAAAATCAAAAAAATGATTTAATTTTAGTAGAACAAAATCGTTGGGCAAACAAATATCCCGTGTGCTGTTGTGTATGTTCTCAACACGAATAAACATCGATCTTTGAAAATGTCTTTAAATGCTTTATAATTTTCAAAAAATCAAAATTTGTCTGTATAGCGAACTTGAGGCTCAGGAAAGGGCCGTCATAGATTTTTGAATTAAAAAAAAAAATCCAAAGGTAGGCTCTTTTGTTTAACGTCCTTTACTGGTTTGAAGTATTATTTTATCGATAGAGCATGTTTCATTAACAGTAAGAGCTGTCAAGTTTCTTAATATTGCAGAAGACGAATATTTGAAACAATCAAAGTCGCTTAATTTATCTACGGAACGAAGCGCGATAGCAAAAAAGCCGTCTGGGTGAAAATGATGAAAAATGATTTTCATAGAAATATTGATATAAGAGAAAAATAATTTCCTCTCATTCGATGAAAAACGAATTGTCTAAGTATACTGATTTCATTTTCAAGAAAAGGTGCCATAGCTACTTTTTTGAATAAAAAAGGTTCCAAATTATGACTTTTACAATGGAACAACGCCCATTACAGAAAAAAGGCGCTGATGTTTTTCCTCAGGACGAATTTCTAAAGAACATCTCTGATTTCTGTTTTTTTAAACAAAGAAAAAAAATTCTAGGACCTCGAGCCGGCCAGAATAATGTAGTTTATCGATGGAGCAAAGTACGATAGCAAAAAAAAGCCGCCACGAGTTTGCCTTGGCATGAATGAACGTGACAAAAGATATATCAATGCGTTCTTGGCGCCAAAAAAACGGCGAGGAATTAGAGACTGTGAATGTTTCTTAGTCTGCTGTACGTCTGATAAAAAAGACCGGAGAAGCTGATAAACGCGCCGAGACAAACATCAGGATTTTGACCAAATAAGGGCGCAGGGCCACATTGAATCATATGGTTGAAGCTCTCTCCGAATTTATTTTGTGAAAAAAATTGATAATACTCCTGAAAAGGGCTTAAAAATAGGTAGGGTCCGCAAGCCGTTTCTTCAGAACGATTCAAAAAATATGTTTTTCACATTGTTCGATAGAGGAGACTGTCCATTTTCATATTCCGTTTAGTTTTTGAAAAAAGGTCCACTAAGAAAAAAGTTATGGCCAAAAAACGAGCGCGCGCGGCGTACAACTGGAGGCAAAATCTCACGGTTTACCCGCTGCCGCACGCTTTCTTTTTAAATGTTTTTGGGCATTTCTGAACCGTTTTCGAATCGGTTTTCTGTTCTGAGAGGTTGTCCGAACTGAGCTCAATGTTTTGGTATAATTCTTTTGTATAACTCTCATAAGAATTTTTGATAAAATATCAAAAAACTACTTAGAAAAAAGGTCAGAAGGAATTTTCAGCTTATTTTTCTTTTTTCTAATCAGAAAAATTATTATCATTCGATTTGAAAGAAAGAAAAAATGAAAAATAATGTTATTTCGAAATAAAACAGGAAAATGCGTAATTTGACTCCAAAAAACGGCTCCTGCAACATTTAAAAGTACGCATCGGTGTGTTTGACGCATACACAGCTACGAATGCTTGCACGAATTCTTCCAAAATTTCAAAAAAATTGCCATTTTTTTCGAGGTTTTTCAAAGCCGTTATTTTTTTCGCGTCGTTAGATTTTTTTCATAATTTTTTCATTGATAGAGTTTTGAACGCTTAATCACATAATCAAAATTACAGACGCGATCCTATTCTATCATGCGTCAACGAGGCAGGCGAAAATAGGAGGTTTTGGTAAAATCCAAATATAATTTGATTCGCTGTCCCAATAATTATTTTCATTCTGAATTTTTATTTTTGAACAAAATGTGAGTTTTAAAAATCAAATAAAAAAAGTATACCTTGTCGCTGAAACTTTTTTTCGCAATTCAGCTTCAAAGTTTGGTGTCACTTTACAAGCTTCGATTTTTTTCGCGTCGTTAGATTTTTTTAAATTTTTTTACTCAAAAAATAAAGGAAGTGTTAATGTATAACATACTCAAAATTTGGAAGCGATCCTCACTTGGTTTTCTGAAACGCGACGATTTTGTGAAACTTGTCAGTTTTTTTCGAGTTAAATCTTACTTTTTCGCTTATTTTTGAAAAATACATAGTTTTAAAAATATTCAGCCCTGTAGAGCGTTGTCGATTACATAGATTAACAGAAACAGTTCATTTTTAAAGTGGGACTTTAGCTAGTATAAACGCCTCAAAACCGTTTTTGCAACAAAAAAATCGTCATTTTGGTGGCAGGAAGAGGCGGGGCTTTGCGCCCCCTAAAAATAGGACTGCATGCTATGCATTTAAAAACTAAAAAGAACTAAGGACACCCAAGTGGTCCCTACAGTGGTTAGGGATAGAGGTAGTCCCTGTAGGGGATAATAAAGTGCTCCCTATAGGCGTTTAGGAGTGTAGGGTCTGGTCCCTAAGCCCTAAAGCTTTAGGGGTCTTTAATTAACTTGAATTAATCATCTGTTGACATTTTTCGTTCAAAAAACTTCAATTTATTGAATTTTCCGCGTGCGAATTGTTCCTACAGTAAACGAGTACACTGCTCCCCTTTAGTGGCTACTAACTTAAACCCCTAGAGTGGCCACTTTCCCGTTTTAGCGCCGCTTTAGGGAGGTAAAACCGTCTCCAGAAGAGATCCGTCAAGAGCCCTGTGGTTGTCCCTAAAAGGACCACTTTGGTGTTCCTGAGCATAAAATAGCGCAGAAATCTCGCTCCATTGATGAACTAGGAATTTATATCAGCTTTTGTTTTTTATTGTGTACTTGGTAGTTTTTGATACGGAGAGAAAAACTAGAAGTGTAGCGTCAAAGTTTATAATTCCATAAAACAAGGTACAAAATAAAATCAACCATGCACAACAAAAAGGACATTTTCTTGTTTGATGACCTTCCTAGGGACTTTTTAACACTTTCATGAATCGTTTCTCCTTTTCGGAAAATCGTAAATTTTCCAAAAAGAGAAAAAAGGAAGAAAAATGTACAATTGTCGTAGGAGTTGCTGAAAGCGGAATGGGAATGAGAACGTTTTCGATGGGAGAATTCATAATAAAAGACGATTCACTGTATTGTAATGTCTTTCATTTTGAAAAGTAAGATTTCTTCGGAAGAAATGGGGACATAGGTTTTTTAAAGGCTAGTTTATGCGATTCGTGTTCTAAGCTTTACAGGGAAAAAATTGGCTTCTCGTTAATTTTCGAAAAAATCCGGGCAGTTGGAAAAAATTTTGGATGTTCTTTTTTCCGACTTTGAAAGACAGAAAACATCAAAGCAAGGGAAAAAAATCAGTCTTACTAGGGAACGTTTTTAACCCCCTCGGTTGAAATTTTTGATGAAGCTTTGTTGAAATGTACTTTAGGATATCCCGATTCCAGAACAAGAAAAGAAATTTCTCGCAAGAGATCTTATTTTCGATTTATGAAGCTTCAAAACACGCAAGTTATGAAAAAGAAAAGCGTTTTTTCAAGCTTTTGTATCTTCTTAACTCTTAAAAAAGACATACTGTGAGAACTTTTTTTCCTGGTTCTGGAATCAGGAGATCCTGAAGTACACTTCAGCAAAGTTTCATCAAAATTTCCACCGGAAGGGGGAAGTAAATTTCTGCGAAGTTTCATCAAGAGTTCAGCCGGAGTCTAAAAACGTTCCCTAGAAAGGAGTTATATAGTTGGCACCAAAAATTTCGTTACGGCCAGAAAAAAGAAGAGAGAAAAGGAGTTACGGACATGAACTACGAGTAATATCAACTGTAAAGAGGCTTAGAACGGTGGGCTAAGAAGGTGAGGGCCAGCGTCAAATCAATCGGGGGACGGCCTGGCCCTTATCGAGAGCCTTATCACCCACCTCCGATTTGGTGTTTTCCATCTGGACATTGTTATGATTCTGAGCATCGTAAGAGCACTGGAGATCGTTTTGTTCTCAGGAAAATTCTAGTGTTTTGACTCCCATCAAATTTTTCTAAGGAGAACTTGAGCAGAATTTTTCAAAAATGAACTCAGTCTTCCAAAAAAAAAGTGAATCCCATTATCCTATTCATTTACCTGATGAACCCTCTCATTAAAAAAATTTGTATATTTCCTTTATTTCGTACTTGCTCATCAATAAATTATTATAAATTATTAAAAAAAGATCAATTCTACTTCATCAAACAGACCGAAAGGTTTTTTGCATCCCGAACCCTTTAGGAACCCCTACGAAACCGTTTTAGGTTCCTATAGGGGTCCCTCACAGTGCTTCTATCAAACCCCTATAGGGACCCCTACGAAACCGTTTCAGGTCCCTATAGGGGTCCCTCAAAGTGCCCTTATCAAACCCCTATAGGGACCCCTACGAAATCGTTTTAGGTCCCTATAGGGGTCCCTCACAGAGCCCTTATCAAACCCCTTTAGGTACCCCTCAAAAATTTCTCAGTGAAAAAATAACTCAAATCTTCATCAAAAAACGTCGGACAACGATTTAAAAGTTTTTTCGGAGTGAATATCAGCCTTCATTTTTGGAAAGGCTCAATTTTCTTCAGACAAAAAAAAGTCAAAAAACCACTGGTCAAGAGGAAGTAGATCAAAAGAAGGGAAATAAAGAATGGCCACTTGAGCCGACCATTGGGACCAAATGTTTGCCTTCTTTATGAACTTGTTATTGTTCGAACCCGCTTCTCCGCACTTCAAACTTGCTTTTTAAGTGATTTTTCATCTCAAATGAAATTTACTGGAAATAAGGTTCATCAAGATAGTGACAGGATGAGAAAAGATAGAAAATTAAAAAGAAGAGGTTAACTTAAAAAATTCAGTGCTAAGAAAAATATAACTTATTCAATAAGCTGGGAGAATCTAAATTGAAAATAATAAAATTTTTCAATTTTTTCATTTTTTAGTTATATTTTTGAAGGATTTCAAAGTCAGAAACGACAAAATACGCCTTTCTTTGTGTTTACTTGAGAACTGGCTGATTTTGCATGCTCTTTTGCGCCCTACGGATAACTTCTTTTCAATGCTGTTGAAAAAGCTTCCAGGTTTTTCCTTTTCATGGAAAATCAAGACAGAAAGAGGGTGATGATAAACTTTAAGTCCTACAGCAAACACACTTTTTATCGCTCTGAAACTTTACCCTGTAATTTTTCCCCAAAACAAAAAATCAGTTGAATAGGAAATTCACCTCACAGAAGACGGCAGATCAAATGCCGGTCACTCATAAAAAGGGATAAAAATCGATACAAAAACAAGAGTTCAACTGGGATTCAATGGCGGCAGAGGAGGAGGAAAAACTTTTTGAAACGGCAGGAAAAAGAGGAAAAAAACGAAAAATGGTTACATCATCTAGTGAAATTTGCCGTGCATTGTTTCGGACTTTTATCGCCCGCCCCACATCTTTGCACCTTTTTTTCGCTTCTTTATATTATACTTTTTATCTTTGTCCTTTTTGAACTGTCGAGGAAAAAGGAATTGAGCTTGTAGTTGACGCCTCGGCTTATTTTCGAAGGAATTTTGGAGCCTCTTATGGGAGGTATTGAGCCTTTGCGTTTGATAATCGATATATTAAAAAAAACTACTTAGTAGGATTTGAGCCTGAAATGGATAAAGTTGCTTCTTTTCAAAGTTTAAGGTTATATTCGAATAAATTTCAAAAAGTTTCCAGAATAGAGCAACTTTCTAAATAAAACAAAGACCAATGGAAGCTCTGGGTTGAGAATTTATGAATATTTTCACATATTTGCTGGACTACTTTTTGAAACAATAGAGGCGGGGATCGAACTTGTGACCCTGTGGACCGTATACAGGCACACAACCTGTTGCGCTACGGCGCGCCCGACTTTTCTATTGCCCTGCTTTAAATAAATCAAAAACTCTCATTGAAAATCATTTTTTATTTCACTTTTTAAGCAAGCAATAGGAACATAAAAATACGTGAAAAAGTCCCGTGTACTCCTGAAAACCGAATCGTTGAGAGGAATCACCCGTGGCGTGGGTTGAACAAAAAAAAATACACAGAAAAAAGGACTTTCAGTACATATAAAGCTGCTAGGAGAAACTATAAACACATGAAATACGGCCAGCGTGTTTGAAATTTACAAAAATTCGTCAGATAATAATTTTGAGACGCGTCTGCGGTCGCGTTGCGGCTGTCTAATTCCAAACCAATACTCTGGTAGCATCTAGGAGAACAAATACAAGGAAAACGATATAAATCAAGACGAGTATGACTCCGTGGACCCGCCGTAATCGGAACCTTTGAACGAGCATGGCTGGAAAATTTCCGATTGATTTTTTAAACTTTGGAAGTTTCTTACCGATTAAAGTTGTTGATAAAGATATCGAGAGGAATAGGATGAGAAGTTTGTAAGTTGGCTTGAAGGAGAGCTGGAAAGGAGATTATAGAGAGAAAATATTGAAAAACCGCGATCTCTTTTCCCTTGAGCTTTAGCGATTGTGAAGGGCAGTCCGAAACCGATGAGAAGGTCTAAACTTTGAATTAGTGTTGGATAAATTTCAATATGGGTTATAACTAGTTTAAAAAGTCATTGAAAAGTAGTAGAAAAAAAGTGAAAAAAATTTTTTTCAGATCTTTTTTAAGATAGCTCAACACGTTCAACTTTCACAAGTAATCGGAAAATTTATGAAAAAAAAAACTGCGAGTTTTGAGCCCAACTTCGGATTTACCCCTCTGAGGAAACCGTGGAAACTCAAAGCAGGACTTCCAAAGTTCAGGTGAACGCAAGATAGACAAAAATAAATCCACAAAATGACCTAGAAGACCTGGAAGGACATCCTAACCAACTAAACCTTGAAAAGTACCTGGAACCTGGAGAAACTCAAAAAAAAAACTGTATCCAGTGACCCTAGAATCGATCAGAAGGCCTATAAGTGTAGATAAATGTATGTTTTTTTCATCAAAAATAATCAAATTATCATTTTTCTGTTGAAGGAAAGAACTCACTGAACAATGGTCCCCCAATAGCGGCGGCCATGGCCATCCTGGAGAATCCCCGTCGGGCCAACGCCGGGTCCACGATCATGTCGCCGATGCTGTTGCTCCAGGCCAACACCGACAATCCAAGGATCTCGAACGAGATTCCCGACACGACGCCGATCATCGTCACGACATCGACGACTTCCGACGATATCGCGTAGATCCAGCAGACGGACATTACGAATCCCGCATAGGAACTGATCGACTGTAAGTTTCACTGTTGGAAGCTAAAATTTTTAAGCTTGAAATAGGTGTAGTCTATGTGACACGACTTGAAATTTCACGGAACGACATTCCGCACCTTTGGTCGCGCTTTTTTTATTTTTTTATTTTTTTCATTAAGGTACTCTACTTTCATGTGCTCCCACAGCAATAACAATCAATTGAAAGAGTGGCCTAGATTCGAAAGACACTTCGCGAACGCAGCGCAGCGGAATGTCGTTCCGTGAAATTTCAAGTCGTGGCACACACACTATATACTAACACTTAACACTTTAAATAACCCTGAACAAAGAAATTAGAATAAGCACTGTCAAGAAAAAAAGTTACATTTTTTGGTATTTTCCCTACCGTAACCCTAAAAATGGGGCGGAGTCTCTCAAAATTGTATGTAAAATTTTCAGGAACTTGTTTAGTTATTGACAAATAACTTATTGTGACCACAATATGAGCTCACAAGGGCTTTGTGCGCGGTGAACTTCGAGTTATGAATTGAGGCTTTTATGGTAGATAGACCTAGGGGAGAGTGCTCCAAAACGAAAGAGAAAATCTACTAAGCGCCATAGGGTGCCGAGAAAAAGCTCGTCAAAGTTTTGCCCCCACGTATTTCCCCGCGCTCGGAGTTCTAGTCCAGCAACTGGAAGCGTGGTGAAGTGGCAGTGTTCTTGAATGGCTCTGACGCTATGTTAGGTTCGATTCCTTTTTACGTCAAACTTTTTTTGCTCCAGTTTTTTCAATTCTTCTACACTCTATTATTGAACAGAAACAGCAAAAAATGTTCGAATCGAAGGAGATGATTGAAAATTGGAAAAGAAGGAAGGAAAAAGCACAAAAAACTTTTTTTTTGCGTCATATTCAGTTTTTCCCTTGAAAATATCGGGAAAAATGTTTTTCGAGCTTTTCCTCGGTACCCTATGTCGCTTAGCAGATTTTCTATTTCGTTTTGGAGCACTCTCCCCTAGGTCTATCTGCCATAAAAGCCTCAATTCATAACTCGATGTTCACCGCGCACACAGCCCTTGTCAGAAAACTCAACCTGAAATTTTGGTATAATACTATTTTGCCGTTTATGGATTCTCACGGAGAACGTTAATTTCTGGAAAATTGATCGTTTATCTACCTTGAAATGCCGGGGCTCATCTTCGGTCCTCGTGAAAAAAATTATCAAAAGAGCCAAAATCGCTGAAACACCCAATGCGTAGGCCCAAATTCCTGGGCTTGATGCGAAAAACTTGGTGTTGGTTCCTGTAAGTAGCTTCATAATGAGGGAAACTCCCCGAAAATCACTTCCAAAGGCGAAAAGACCGAATTGAAGACAAATGAAGCAATGAATCACGGCCAGGCCTTTCGACCAACAAGATTCGTTGAGTGGGATCGTTAGTTTGAACAGGAACACTGGAATTATCTGGAAATTCAAAGTTTTTTTTTCAAAAGGATGGCTTCTTTTTAATTTTTAAAGTTCTACCTTGAGCACGGTGATAATTTTAGTAAAGATGGACTGTGTTTGGAATTCTTCTCTAGTCGGGAATGGCTTCAAATGCAGCAACAGGTCCCGTATCAAGCTCCTCCAAGTCATCACTCGGAGGGGTTTCATCACTGAAAAAGGGGAGTTTTGATCTGGAACTTTTTCAATTTTTTCTTAATCGATTAAAAACACTTCAGCGTATTCTCTGAATGTGTAAAGGGTTAAAAAGAACTCCTAATTTCCAAAAATTGGCAAAAAAAAAGCGAGTCGAAAAATCGAATGCTTTGACAGTGTCGCCACAAGATAGTGGGTTTTTTTTCCCTCAGAAGTTTTTAATTTGAGATTAAAGATGGAAATCTGGGAAAATTTAAAGTGGCCACTATAGAGGCTCGCCAAGGACTACTTGGAGAGAACACTAAAGTGGCCGCTACACCCACCTCTATAGTGGCCACTAATCTCCCTTTTAGTAGATCACTATAGAGGTTCTCTATTTAGTGGCCACTTCAGTAGTTTTTCATCTAGTATTCCTTCCAGTCACTCTGATAATTTCAAAGCAAATTGGACCAGTTATGTTGATCCATTGACCCCCTAACCACTAAACTTTTTGAGTGGTCTATTAGTAGCATTTATACCTCTATAGGGGCCGCTAATTTTTAACCCCTTAAGTGGTCACCCATTTGACTACTGTAGAGGCCATTAAAGCGTCATAACCCTATAGTGGCCACTAAAAGTTTTCGCAAATGATAAGAAAAAAAAATCTTGGAAGAGTGATAAAAAAAAAGAAACTTAAAAAAAATAATATTTAAAAAAAATTGAAGGCTTGTAATTCGTATGGCAAACCTTCCTGGAATCGTAAAGATTTAGGGTTTCTCAATTATTATTTCATCGAAAAATCATTCCCTAGTTGCCCAAAACTCACCATTGCTCGGGATCCCAAGCCTTTTTTCCCTTCCTTTGCCAAGAATCGCATATTCCTCCTCGATCCTTTCCTCTTCTTCTTCTGAAGGCTCGCTACCATAACCTAAGAATCACAAATTTTCCAAAAAACGAGTTAGAAATCGACCTGATTCCGGGGTCTCAGCGAAATGAATGATTCTGGAAATGAAGCTGGCCCTCAAAGATGATGGTCCTCTTTCGAAGCCATCGTCTGATTTTGAAGGATCTTAAATAGCTTGAAAATAATCTTTTTATCATTTTCTGTTCAGGTAAAGTCAACCGTATTGGAAATTTATTTCATTTTTTGTTTTCACAAGAGTTTCGCATTTTTCTAACCCTTTGAAATCCGATTTTTCCTGAAATGTCTTTGAAAAGTCAGTGTGTGTCTTCCAGAGGTGGAAGAAATGAGGGGCCCTCCAGGGCGCAACATGCCCGCCCTAGCCATGCGGCCTCTGAAATGAAATGAGCCACGTCATTATGCGGCGATGGCGTGCATCGCCACGTCGCGATAGTTGGGCGAAAGTTGGCATTTTTGATTATTATGCAATTGCTTCGCGTTTCGCAGTTTTTGCATCATTTCATTTTTCAATTTTTTTTGTGTTTATGATATTTACTTAAATTTTTTTTATATAATATGTTGTTATAGTTTTCTTCCTTAAGGCGGAGAACTACATATCTGTGGGTAGAGAGCCCCGGAAAGAACAGATGACGGACGATTCAAAATTAACGGTTTCAGAAGAGCTTGAATATGACGTTTCATATTCAAAAATAGATGTAAAAATAGATCTGTGCACAAACTTTCCGACGACGAAAGAGATTCAGTTTTTTCTCTTGATGAACTTCAATACTTTTATTTATTCGTTCTACAGGCGATCGCGTGTCTCAAAAAGATCGACTCATTTTCGATTTTCGCTTTTTTCTCCGTTTCTTTCAATTTTCAATTTTTCCTGTTGTCACCAAAATTCTTTTCGTCACAAAAGCTTTCTATTCATGTATAATTTGCAAACTTTGATCGCAAAAATGCTTCTCTGGTGAAAAATGATGATTTTACATCGGTTTCGATTGGAATAGCGTTATTTTGTGTTTCCTTTATTATCAATGTGTGTTTTTTGTTTTACTAAACGTTTTTTCAGAAAAGAAACCCTTAATTTGAAGCAGAGAGCCGGTTATTACTCACAAAATGCGAGTCTAATGAGACGTCCGCAACATCGCGTTTTCGGCTACTGTAAACAGCTGTCCGTAGGCCGATCCTGGGATAAGTTTTAGGGGCCCCTATAGGGGGTCGCGATTTTAGGGGGCCCTATAGGGGGTCTGCAAGTGGTCTTTTTAGGGGAAATCCCTAGGGCCCCCTATAGGGGGTCCCTAAATCGCTCCCTAAAAATTGCAAGACCCTCAAGGGGTCGCGAAGACCCCTTGGAACGAACGTGGTTTTTTTAATATCTTTCCCATTTTTCTAAGTTTTTGAGTTGACTCAGTCGACTCAGTTTTTAGTTTAACTTTATAACTTGTATTTATATTTCATCAATTTCTGTGGTGCTTAAGGAAGTAATACGTTATTCACGAACGAGTTGTCAGTAGGATTTTTTTCGTTATGGTTTCAAATTGTATTATAATGATTTGTGCGTTTTTTTGTGCTCCATAAAAGTTAACACGGCAATCTGTACATTGGTTCAGTATTTTTCAGTGTTTCGTTTATGTACAATTGATATATTGGTTTATGTAAATATGTTCAGAGTATTTTTTTATTTTTGGTATTTTTCAGAGTTTCGTCTATGTATAATTGGTCTACTGGATTGTGTGAAACCGTTAGAAATTCACCGGTAGATGATGTTTTTTGGAGGTTTTTGATGTAAATGCGTGTTTATATATTCTATTTGATTATTGATCGTTAAAGAAGAATTAATTTTTTATTAAGATGCCGCGGAGTCGCGATTTTATTGATGCGCATTGGTTCTACAGCAGCTATGAAGATTCTGAAAGGTATATCGAAAATGTTGATAATGATAAATGATCGTAGAAGCACGGAATCAGCCGACGGAAATTTTGAGCCGCCACATGAACCAGAATCAACGGAAGATTACCGCGGGCCGAGCAATTCAATAAGTTGCTTTCAAATGTCAACGTTGGTTGTTTTTTGCTCACTGTTCAAGTGTTCTTTTTTATATGTGCCAAACTTTTTGCCCTTATGTAAGTAGTTTCAACCGTTTCCGTGTCGAAGTCCCAACGTTTTTTATTGAAAGTTGCCCAACCATCTGCCTTGACACAATGCGTTTTTCTTCTATTTTTTTGCAAGTAGCGCTTATATCAATATGCAGGCGTATCTTTATTGTCTTGAAGAGTTTCTATTAGATTGATCAATACGGTTTCCGTTGACAGTGATTTAGATAGAGTCAAATATTTATACGGGTCTTTTTACGGCCAAAAAGTTTTTTTGCTTCCTCGAATATCCTGTTACGTATACATATCTTCAGTTTTTTTGCTCGTTGTTTTTGTTACTTATGTCTATCTGTTTCCATTGATGATCCTGATTGCTTTTTAATGTTTTTCAATTCGTTTCAATAAATTTGGAAACAGTTTCAAACGCGATTAGATGAGTTTACTGCGGATGTGTTAACGATTCGCATTCAATAAGGGTTTCTCTATTTCCTCCCGGAGCTATTTCAGAAATTTTTCCGTGCTCCCCCTAAAGGGACCCCTAAAAAAATTCGTAGGGGTCCCTATAGGGTTTCATTTAGGGACCCCTATAGGGCCCCCTCCAAGGGGCCCTAATTTACCCCCTATAGGGCTCCCTAAAACTTATCCCAGTCCAAAGCATTTTTTTCAAAAAAATAAATGGCGGGAAAGTAAAATCGTGTTTTTCTTCTAAAGTTGATACTGTAATTTGTTTAAGTACACAGTTCGATTCGCAAAGAAAAACTATATAAGATACTGCTTTTACCTGAAACCCCATTTTTCACTGCCCCTATGCCTTTAATTTTTTTTTTACGCGTTTTTTTCTCCATTGGCGTTTTTTTGCCATCGCGGTTTTAGCCCCGGGCGCCCTGGGCAGCGACTTATTAAGAAATGGCCATGGCGGCCTACGTCGGTTTTGAAATGTAAACGTTTCAAAACGCTTAGGGGCGCCATTTCTCCACCTCTGGTGTCTTCGATATTTCCCCCAACCTACCTTTTGATATTTTTCGCGTCGCTGGTAGGGCCAGTTTGTCCACTGCAAATGTATTTTTGAACATGTGTACTCCCATATTTGCTTTTGATCAACATTACCGTCAAATGGGCTCCCTTTTGGTGTCACTTCCGGTCTCACTACGTTCGTTTTTGCCTTTTCTGCATAGTTTTTCATAAATTCAGTATTAAAAATGAGAAATATAAACCTTTAAAATGCTCCGGCCAAGGAGTTGGGAAGCAGCCATCGTGACCACGAAGAGGGTACAAACGCCTGGAATTTGAAGATTTGAAACCAAAGAAGGTCATATCCCTTCCGGGATCTTCCCAAAAATTATCCACAACACTTCTTGATGTACTAGAGGAAGGCCTTGAAAGTCTCAGCTTCCTGGTTGTCGAGAAAAAGTGCAAAAAAATAAGTAGTATAGGTATGAGGGATTATAATACCGTTTTTCGACATTTCAGTCATTTCAACACATTTTTCATTCTCTGACTGCAGAGAATTACCTCATTTACAACACTTTTTTTCGTAAAAAAAGCGTGAAATGAGTCAATTTTTTGGAGAACTAAAAAAAGTGCTTATTTTTCAATAAATTTTTATACATTTTCGATCAATTTTTTTGCTTGGATGTTGATTTTTATTTTTCTATTTCTCATTTTTCATGCTTAAATGCTCGAAAATGTATCACTTCCTCACTTTTTTTAGAAAAATCAGTGGATGTCGATGGATGTCGATTTTATTGAAAAAAAGTGGTATCGTCATTTTTTTCAATAAAATTAATGTTCAATAAATGGTGGCTAGAAAAAAATTTGAAACCTCTGACAAATCTAGATCTACTAGAATTGGTAGAACTTTTTGGAAATCAAGAATTTCCGTGGTGTTTTTCATGCGAGATACTTAACCGGATATAATAAAAAGATATCTAAGTAAGCATCGTAATCAACGATTACTAACCCTTGTTCAATATTTGACAAGCAGTGAATACGACAAAGATTCTTTTTAATTTACTCATCGAGTACAAAACAATCCATATGAGCATATCGACAAAAAGACGAGCACAATCACTCATTCTTCACTCCGACTCGGCCGCCGAGGAGAGGGGCGAAATACCCGCGTAGAGATCGTCCAGTTCAGACAAGACCAAATCCAGAGCTGCTCGTTCCTGCCGATTCGCCCCCGGACCTACAAATCACAATAAGTACATCTCAGCAAACCGAAATAATTTTTAAGAAATATTTAAATTTAATCTACCTGCGTGTGCGAAATCCGCCAGCCTGCACGCACATTGCACCTGATTCTTAAGACGACGTAGAATGTCTCGTACAGGTACCGTCTAAACACCCAGAGTTATGACGAAAGTCTTAAAAAAAAAGAAAAAAAAATCATACATCGTCGACGTCGGGAACGTTCAGGTTCCGGTCGCGGGAGGTCCTCACTAAACACATTTCTTTAAGTAACTTTATAAAGAGTCTGAAATGCTCTTCGACAGGAATGTTATTCGTTTATATTTTCAAAAATTGAACAATTTTTCTCTATATACCTGCCGGGTCGCTCAGTGCATGGCTGATCCTGTCGACCATCGCCACCACGGACGAGAAGGTACTTGCAAGGTCGTTTATGTTCGAGCTGTCGCTATGCCTCCTAAATAGTTTAAAGACATATAAATTGAATGTTAATGATATTTTTAAGAGAAGTCAATCAAAAAGCTTTTTAATTGTTTTTAAAAAAATAATGGGAAATTCAATTCTCACTTCTCTTGTAATGCGAGAACAAGACGAGTGTGCGCTCCGGATATTGCGATGGCCTCGACCTGAAATAATATTCTCTTTAAAACACATACAGCAAAAACGGCATAATAATAGTTTAACTTACAGATACGGGACGCGCCATGAGAGAACGTCGATTATCTATAAAGATTTTCGATTAGTTCGCATTAGGAAAACTAAAACCCTATTCAAATAATCGATTCAGCTGAAGGAGAAGGAAAACGAGTAAGGAACGAATAGAGGATAAAGAATAGAGTTTACACGATAGAAGATACAGAGGAAGAGGAAGTCGCCTCTCTATAAAAAGTTAGAATGAGGTGAAAGAATGCGATGTTGGCAGGTTCTCTACTTCCTCTGCGTCTCTGGTCACGCGTCTCTGCCTTCCACTCTAGCCCTACGCGTTTGCGTGTCGCGTCGCGTGTGTCTAGTTCAACTGGGCAAATGTATGACTGTGCTCGGTCAGAGTGAGGAAGAGAAAAGAAGGTCACACATAGAGAAAGGGAACACTGCTGACCTTTATACGTCACACCAAAAGATCTGAAAGACATTCAGCGAAAAGCAAGCTTCCTTGAAGTGTCTAGTGAAGGAAAGAACTAAAGGAAAAAGAAAGAGAGAGAGAGAGTGGTCAATCTGTGAGATCTAGAACACGACAACTTTGGTCACACTTTTAATGCGTTCGAGAAGCAATTGCATCACACACTGCAATGACACTCTAACCTTCTCGAACGTGCTAGCAAACAGGTACAAGAGGATCTGCAAAAGACATTCACCTAGCGAAGGAGAGCGAAGTGTCTCATTTGAGAACGATTCGTGTCGCAGAATTTCTTCAGTTTTGCTTCGTTTTTCTTGCATAAATTATCTCATTATCGCTTATAACTTGCTTCAAAGCTGTTCTAATGACTTCAAATTTTTAAATTCGATCTTTTTCAGGCAAGTCCTATTCTCCGAAGGATCTCCTACTTATTCAGCGAAAGCAAGCTTCCTAGAAGTGTTTGTGAATTTCAAATGAGTGGAAATCTCCCAACTTCCATGGATGTTGATGAAATCGAAGATTCTGGGATTCAAGATCCTAAGACGACTCCTAAGGTTTCGAAGATAGAAGAACTCGATGCTCAACGAGAAGAATTTCGGAAAGATTCGGAGAGTCTTACTTTGGAACAGCTTCAACGAAAGGTTGGTTTCATTTTTTTACTTTTTTTAAATTTTTTTAAAAGAATGTGAAATACAATGACTGAATTCAGGCAGAAATGCTGGAAGATAAGGCAGCAAAAGCAACTGCAAAGGCTACAATTGCAAGAGCTTACTATGAGAATGAGAAGATATTAATTGGAAAGAGACAAAGCGCATATCAAGATAGAAAAAAGGTGAGAATTTTGATGAATTATCTTTACAAAAACAACTTTTTTTTTCAGAAGAAGGATATTGTGAAGACGCAACGTGCAAAGTTGATGAGGCTACATCGAGCTGAGCGAGACAGGAAGAATAAATTGAAAGATGACGCCGATGACCTTCGAGAAAAAAAGAAGAGTATTATTAACAATTACTAACAAAGTATAAGTTATTGCTCTTTGTGTCAGTATTTATAAAAATATAATCATACTGGTATTTCTAAAATATAGCTTTACCAGTATTTATAAATTATAACTATACTGGTATTACTAAAGAACCATACTGGTATTAATAAACTATAGCTTTACCAGTATTTATGAAATATAATTATACTGGTATCATACTGACACTTGATTTGTCACTAATGTTTATTTCTTCTATCTTTTCTCATTATAATAAATAAATGTCTTGTGAAATATCAGATTCTCCGAATCCTAGAGCTTCCAGCTTGTATTGTTTCAAGTGCAAGATAAGGACGAATACGCTTGATGTTCAATCGATGTTGACAAAGAACAGCAGAGCAATGATAAAGGGGAAGTGTGAAGATTGTAGCACAACAAAGTGTAAAATAATTTCCAAAGAAGTGAAAAGTGGTGGATCAACGAAGGATCTGCCAGAGCCAGAGGATTCCAAGGATTCAAAGGATAGAATCCTTTTAGAAAAAACATATTATTCTCCTAAAACAGGTTTCTGTGGTATCAATGAGCTCTCAAGAGTAGCAAAGGTGTCGCAGAAAAAAGCTAAAGAGTTTCTCGATGAGCAAGATGTTTACACTCTTCACAAGCCAGCTCGTAAAAATTTCAAGAGTCAAAGAGTTTACGTCAGTGGAATAGATGATCAATGGCAATCTGATCTTGTAGAAATGATTCCTTATGCCTCGGAGAATAAAGATTTCAAGTATCTTTTGACAATTATAGATTGCTTTTCAAAATTTGCATGGGTAGTACCTCTTACGAGTAAAAGCGGTAAAGAAACTGCAGATGCTTTGGAATCAATTTTTCTCCAAAGGAAGAAAGCCAAAAAAAGATGCAAACTGATAATGGAAAAAGAGTATTACAATAAAGAAAATGAATAAACTTTTTCAAATCATTAGAAATAAATCACTTCTCAACTTATTCAGATAAGAAAGCATCAATAGTTGAAAGATTTAATAGGACTTTGAAAGAGAATGTGGAAAATGTTTACTCATAGAGGAAATCATAAATGGATAGACATTCTTGATGACCTTGTAAAGGGATATAATAATCATTTTCACTCTAGCATTAAAATGTCTCCCATGCAGGCTTCAAAAATAGAAAATCAAAGTATTGTTTACAACAATCTTTTTCCTAAAGAGAAAAATCTTTTCTCAAAGGAGAATAATCTTTTTCCTAAAGAAATTGAAAAGGAAGAAATTCAAAGAGATTCAAAGGCTTTAGACAAAGCGAAATTGCCGAAGGTCTTGCACAAAGTGAAATTCAAAATAGGTGATACTGTCAGAATTACAAAATATAAAGCTATTTTTGATAAAGGATATCTACCAAATTGGAGTACAGAGCAATTTAAGATTTCAGAAGTTCTAATAGGTGATCCAATTATGTATTCAATAAAAGATTTAGCAGATGAGGAAATTAAAGGAAATTTTTACTCTGAGGAACTTACACTTTATAATAATGTCAAAGAAGAATATAAAATAGAAAAAGTTCTGCGGAAAAGAAATAGAAAAGAAAACGGTAAGACGTTAAAAGAAATACTTGTCAAGTGGTATGGATATCCAGATAAGTTTAACTCTTGGATTCCAGAAATAGATATGAAATCCTAAACATAAAGGAGTTATCTTAAATACTGACAACTTTAACTCTATTATCCTTGACTTCAACAACATTTTTCACTCAAAAATGAGACAATAACATTTAGTACTTTGAGCAATATTTTTATTGAAGCTTGCCTTAATTGTAACATCAGGTCGAGATGCAATAATTCTATCATTCTGTTTTGATACATCGAATACTAAAAGAGGATAGTAATAATAATAAACATCTTCTTCCATGAAAATGTAATCCTTCGTTGATTCATAATAACTGTTTCTAAATTCTTTAGCAAAATTGTATTGTTGAACTGCATTGAATTTATCAAAATCGAATTTCAAGCATTCATATGGATATCTTTCTGAATTTAGTTCAACATAAATTTCTTCTAATCCACAATTATCGAACTTTGCAGCATTTAGATAATTGTTATCTCTAGCAGTCTGAAATGCTATGACAATGTATTTTATTTTATCATATTTAGTTCCAAGTTTCCAAGTGAATTCGCGGTTGCCATTTGGAATATTATAACTCTCAAATTGTCGGGAAATAAAAGGCATTTGAACTAGTTTATTACTTTCAAATAGATTAAGAAGTTTGTTTTGCATCTCCAAGGAAGGCATAATTTTAGGAATTATCCATTGAAGTTTATTAATAGTCATTTTAGATGTAAATTTAGTAGGATCTGTGGATGTAATAGAATTCTTGTTTTCTGGAGATCTGTAGAGCGATAGTTGATGCTTTCTTCCATAAATTATTCGATTGTAACATTCAGCAAAACCAAAAAAATATGACTTAGAGGAATGCAGAATGTTAGATTACCTTTTTCTATTTTTTTGTGTATTTATTTATTTTTGTATTGAAGGATATCTTTTTGTTTCAAGTATCCATCCAAATGTATTTTTGTTTATTCATTGTGGAAGAATAAGTAAGTAAACCTTTTAATAGTGTAGCTCTTCCAGGATCAATGACATTTTCAACTTGCATACCATCCATACTATAAGTTGCTCTATCAAATAAAAAAACATTGGGGCATTGTTGGAGAGTGTAACTTCATCAGTATCCGCGAGTTGCGTACCATCAAGTTTAGTCAATGAAGCTTCTAAATATATATAAGATTTATGAAGTAATAGATATTGATCACAGGTTTCAATTATAAAATTTATTTCTCCATGTTGATTTAAACTAGATCCTGATGAAGGAAATATGCTAATCAAATTTTTCTTTTTGAATTGAAGTATCTTGAATAATTGGACTATCAACAATCAGGATTCTATCAACAGCTTCGGTCATTTTTAGACTTTTCAATTTAATTAGAATAAATTTTTTCTAAGTTAAATACAATGAATCTATTGCAATTCTACTTTTTTTCTTTATATTTACTCATCATGATATTTTTAGCTGCTATCATTTGTACTTCTAATGCACCAGTTCAATATTTCAAACTTCCGAAACTACACAAATGTAATTATCATAGACAATTAAATAGTCAATCAAAAAGTAGTAAGGTATGAAGTATATAAACCGAACATTATTGAATATTCAAGTGATGCAAAATTGTGTAAGAAATTAGTAAGTGAAGTATCAATGTATACAGATTTTTCAGGATATGAGCATCTAGTAGAAAAAGAATTGAACCATCGTTCTATCAGTCTCGCAGAATGTAGAGATTGGATTGTAAATAAGAGGTGTGAATATGGAACTCTTGTAAAAAGCAGTGGTTTGTCAGATTCAAAGAATCCTAGATCTGGAGGATTGTCAGATTCAAAGACCTTCGGTAGATCCGGAGGATTGTGGAGTACAAATAATAAAGTTGAAGTAGATTATCCAAATAGATTTACAAGTATGTTCTCACCAAAAAGATATTACAAAGAGAATTGCATCATCATTGACACAAAGGTTTATTCTCATTTCAATCAAAGTAGTCCAAGCAATGTGCTAGCAGATATGTCAGAGTGTAAATATCAGGATGGTTCTTGTCCAATAAAGAAGAATGAAATTATGATTTGGGATGTCAATAAAGATCAGAAGTGTCAATATATTTCTATTGGAAAACTAGATGGAATCATGAATAATGGTCTTTGGATAAATAGTAAAAATCAGATTGCTTTAAGTCTAAATAAGAGTAAAATTGTAAGAGATTGTAATCGAGATACTTCTCAAGGAAGCTCTTCTAACGCTGATCTAATAGTTAGTGAAGAAGGTTTTGCAGTCAAGGAAATTCAAAGACTTCCTTCAGAGTCGAGGATTCCTAGATCCGAAGGATTGATTCCTCAAGCTCAAGTATCACAATCAACGAATCCTAGTCTTCAAGAAATGAGTACAAATCCAGGATTGTATCAAAAAGAAAGAGAAGAATATTATAAAAGACAAAGAGAAATCCAAATGGATCGGGAACTTCGTGAACAAAAAGACAAAGAAGCAAGAGATAAATACGAAGCTGATCGTAAAGAATTTGAGAAGAAAAGAGAAGAAAAAATGAAGCAATATCTAGAGTTCGAAAAGAGAAAGAAGGAAAAAATAGAAAGATTAGCTAAAGCATCTACATCACAAGCTCCTTTAATAGTTGAAAAGGTTGAAAATACTACCAAAAGGGTCAAAAGATCTACGAATCAAAGTTTAGAAGAACCTTTCCCACTACCAACTTATGAAGAATACTCAAAGATTAAAAATGATTGTTTACCGCTTCCAAGTTATGAAGTTTACTTAAAATCTAAAGATCTGGAAATCAAAGATTTCGTTCAATCAAAAGATCTAGAAGTCAAGGACTTTGAAAAACAAAGAGAAGCCTGTGATACTTTCCCAAGTTATGATGAATACGTTACTAAATTTGCTAAATATGCTCTCGAAGAATTAGAAAATAGAAAATCTGGAAGAGGTAATAGAACTAGGAGACAAGTTTACTCAGATTTTCAAGCTGCTGGAGAGTTTCAATACCTTGAGAACAAATCAAATAATCTACTACGTCATACAACGGAAGTAATGTGCGATATATTTAATGAGCATACTTCTCTTCTTGAGACTCTTATAAAAGAAAACCCTAGAAGATACATTCAAAAACAACTAAATCATTCAGCAATACGGGTAAGATCAATTGATACTAATGACGATATTATTCAAGTGACATTTTGTAAAGAAATTGATGATTCTGACATTGAATTTGTTGATCTAACACATTTTGATGGATTCAAGACAAGTTTAGCTCTTACTCAAGGACAAATACCCATTAGAATTAAACAATTTGGAGACAAGATTTGGTATTACAAGAACGATCCAAGTGGGGGAATAATTTCTAGTAGCCTAGCACTACATCCTATGGCTAATAATGTTACTAATTTCAAAAACTTTGATCTAAATTTTGATCTAAATTTCTTAGATGATAAAGTAATCTTTCATGAACATATCCTCCTTGATACAAAAACGAATATTGAAGAAGAACTAATAAATGAGATGCGAGAAAAAGCTGATACTAGCATTCAATTACACTCAAATAGTCAAGATGGTATGATTCCTCATGAAATATTAGATGAGGTAGAATCCATTTTTGAGAAGTATTACATTAGAATTTGGAGGATTTATGTAACTATTGGTGTTACTCTCTTTTACATATTTATAGGTAGATCTATTTGGATGGTCCTTTCTCCAAAAAAACATTCTTTGATTCAAGAAAAAAATAGAAATCCGAGAAATAGGAATCCAATTTTTTTGTGAGAACAAAAAAATCATGAAGATGTTGAACTGCAAGATTTCAGAAGTGAACATAGAAGATCTCTTGTTGTAGACTAAATCGAAGACAAACCAGAGGTTCTAGGATTCTTTGAATGTGATTCCTAGATCTGAAAGATCGACTAAATTTTTTTCTATCTTCAAATTATTTTTTTATTATTATTATTCTTTAATAAATTATAATCTGCGTAAGCAAGCTTCCTTAAAGTCAACTCTACAAAACGTAATAAGAATCTTCCTTCGAATTCACCAGGTTTTGCAGAGCAAAAAAACGTAATGAGATTCTTCAATTCTGGTGATTCTTCAAAAATATGTTATCATTAGTCCAAAAAGAGAAAGATAAAATAGAATTGATTCAAGATATTAAACATGAAGAAAAAAATAGAAATCAATGAAAAAAATAAAAAGTCAAGGAAGGATCTGCAAGACATTCACCTAGTGAAGGAGGAAGTATTACTCAAAAATCAATGAATACTACAAATGAAAAAAATTGAATACTAATAGATCCGAAGGATTGAATAAAAAAAGAATGCAGCATTTCTTAGAACTCTAAAGAAAGGATCTGCAAGACCTAGTGAAGGATCAGGATTCAAAAAGAATTTAATTTAAATTATTTCCTTTTTTTACGTTTTTTTACATATAATTCTATATGTAGGGACTGCAAAAGCCACGCCCCTTTTCGCGATAGAAAAAAAGTGGCTTTTTTTGGTTTTCAACTTTCATTTTGATGTAGTTGTAAAATATGTGGAACTGGCAAATAAAATTTGACACACTTGTACAGAAAAAGCTTCCTCTTTCGTTTTAAAAAAATATTTCACGCTTTTTTTGATGCGTTCGCGCGGAATGTCGTACAAAAACGTGAATGGAACTAAAAAAACTTTGTCGTTTTTTTGCTTTTTTCATGTGTTTTTCAGGTCGAACGCACTCTTTCTTTTTTTAAATAATGATTTTGATTCAAGTAACGGTAATTTTAAAACAATAAAATAAAAAATTCGTCTTTGCCAAAAATTTTAGGGAGTGCCGAAAGTCGTAATTCAAAATATCGTTAATATGCGAATATAATCGAGTTTTTCTTTTTTCAAAATTTAGATCACGGGCTTACTTTAAATATTTCTCCACAGAATATGTGCTTGAAAAAGTTGTTTAATACGCAAAAATGCTCTTGAAACTAGAGGATAAAATTAGCGGCGTTTATCACACAGAAAGCGGTCGAACGCAGGTTTTTTAAACGATTATATACATTTATTAGTAAAAAAATCTTTCAATTAAAAAGAATAAAATAAAAAAATTCGTCTTTGCCAAAAAAATTTACGGGGCCGTTTTAATGCAGCGATCGTTAAACGAGGCAAAAAAAGCACTAAAAAAACAGTTTTTTTCGAAGTGAATTTCCACGAACCGTTTGAGTAAAGATTTGCAAACATATTCTGATAAAAAAATAGCTAAATTACTTCAAGTTTTTTTCTTTTTGAAATAGACAATCTGTGCTATTCAAACGGCTCAAGGGTATGGCGGATGGAAGCTCCCCGCGTTGGACCTAACAGCTTGGCGCAACGCGTGCGCTCCGATTTTACATTTTGAGGTAGCGAGTTCGATGCCCGCAAGCGGCAGTTTTTTTGTTTTCTGGAAAATACCGACTTTTTTTCGACAAACTAGCTGATTAGCATCATTTTAGCACTCTAGTATGATTTGTTACATCATAATAGACCAGTATCAAAAATTTGTTCTAGAAGAAAAAAATCGAAAAAAATGTCAAAAAAATGGATAATACCAAAATTTCAGTACTAAAAAAATGGTGCGCGGCGCGCCACCTTTTTCCGTCATAACTTTTTTTCATCCTCAATCTTTTTGAAAAAAACCAAACGGTTCTGAGTTTTTGAATCGAAACAGCTATCGAACCATACAAAGCTCAATGCTGAAAAAAATTTTTTGAAAATTCGTCTGCGGTCCCTATCTATATGAAGATCACATTTGTTAAAAGTCAATAAGGTTATTTTTTTATCATCCACTAGTTTTTAGTGTTAAAGTATTACAATTATTAACACTTCGATGATAAATTAAGTTTATTGGTTCATATTTTACTCCTCCATTAGGTGAATCTAAAGGAAACTTGCAAATGATATTACTTTGTCGTTCATCAATGAAAGTATCACAAATAAGATTGCATGATAGATAAACGAAATCGGAGATTCCTAGATCTTTAGATCTGACAAAAGGCTTATCATTAGAACAATCCAAAATTCCATCAATCTTCACAACACTAATACTACTAATTTTTTTAAATCTTGTGGAAATTGAAATGTCTTTTCATTTGTTCGATATAAATTTAAGAAGAGACTTGTCATTCTTAATTAAAGATTTAATTTATTTAAATAATTTATTTTTATCTTATATTTTTTTCAAACATTTTAAATACCTAGGTATAAATTTAAAAATGAGTGATTTCAGTGACTACAGTATCAAAAATTATTATCCAGAAAGAAAGAACAATCCTTTACTTCCTCAATCAATAAGAGGATGTATAATTGGTAAGAGTGGATGTGGAAAGACTAACTTACTAATGAACTTACTTTTTGGATGCTTACAAAGGAGAAGAATACCTTGATTATAATAATCTTTATATTTTCTCTAGTACTTTATTTCAACCTTGTTATCAAGCGCTTATTAATGGACTTAGGGAAGGTTTAAGTAAAATGGAAATTAGGAGGTGTTTTGAAAAGCAAGACTTTATAATTGAGGAAAAGGATAATCCAAAGAAAATCATTGATATTCATTTCTCAGAAAAAATAGAAGATATTCCAGATCCTAACTCAATTGATCTCAATAAAAAAAGACTTTAATAATTTTTGATGATCTTTTATTAGAAAAAAACAAAATAAAAATAGAACAATATTATACAAGAGGAAGACACTCCGGAGTGGATTGTTTTTACATTTCTCAAAATTATACACTGCGACCCATAATTATAGACCCACCCTAATTTCTCCGATTTTTAAGAAAGATTGAAAAAAACTTTCAGCCACCAAACTTTTTTTGTGATAAACCTTGTTGATAAGGAACATAATCATAATATAATTATCAATCACCCAGTTGAAAAAGTTTTTTTCAAGATACGAGAAAATCTGATTTTTTTGACCGACCCAGAATTATAGACCCACTATAAGTAATCAACAAAATTCATTTCACAAAGTCAACAAAAGTATAACAAAAAGATTAATTAATAATGTGTGATGCCTCCTTGTTTCTGAGCGACTTCGAAAATCCTGTTCGGCATGCTGCCAACGAGTGATTGCAGCAGTGACTTGTCCAAACCATCCCACTCGGCACGAATCGCTCTTTTTCAGATCGTTGACCGTTGTATACTGCTTGGCATTCGCGTAGACCCTTCGTACAAGGACTGACCATAAATTCTCTACAGAGTTGAGGTCAGGACTGCACGCGGGCCAGTCCAGAAGAACCACGTTATTGGCCGCAAACCAAGCCAATGTGGAGTTGCTCGCGTGAACAGATGCATTGTCTTGTTGGTAAGTCGTATTAGCACGTCGTCGGCGACGGAGATAGGGCAGGAGATGCTGGGCAAGCAGTTGCTGGTAGTCTTGCGAATTCGTTCTGGTCCCAATAAAAGAAAGAGCTACCGTCCCGTTGCCGCAGAAAGCCCCCCAGACCATGGGGCTGCCGCCGCCGAAGTTTCTCTTGGAGAAGTACATCGGATCTTTCCTCAAATCTCTCCAGTAGTGAGCGTACCCATCTGGCCCATCAAGGTTGAATTTCTTCTCGTCGCTGCAGATGATCTGAACAGAAAAATTGGGAATCATAAGGTGATAGAAAACATTGATACCTTATTCCAATCCGTGGCCATGTTAGAGCGTGCAAACTGGAGCCGTTCATTCTTATGGCGTTGCTGTAGACGAGGTGCTGCCTTCATTGGAGTATTCACAAGTCGACCGGACCGATGAATTGTTCGTAAGATGGTGTTCTTCGAGACGTTTTCAGGAATTTTGCATCTGATTTGGTTGGCGGACTTCGTAGAGTTTGATGCTTTTCGACAGACGTCTCGTTCAGCTTGAACCGATAGCAGCCTGTGCCGTCCAGGATGTATTGATGTGCCGTATTCTTGCGGATTCCTTGCATAACGGTCAATAGTTCGTCCACTGGTCAAGAGGAAGTAGATCAAAAGAAGGGAAATAAAGAATGGCCACTTGAGCCGACCATTGGGACCAAATGTTTGCCTTCTTTATGAACTTGTTATTGTTCGAACCCGCTTCTCCGCACTTCAAACTTGCTTTTTAAGTGATTTTTTTCATCTCAAAATGAAATTTACTGGAAATAAGGTTCATCAAGATAGTGACAGGATGAGAAAAGATAGAAAATTAAAAAGAAGAGGTTAACTTAAAAAAATTCAGTGCTAAGAAAAAAATATAACTTATTCAATAAGCTGGGAGAATCTAAATTGAAAATAATAAAATTTTTTTCAATTTTTTTCATTTTTTTAGTTATATTTTTTTGAAGGATTTCAAAGTCAGAAACGACAAAAATACGCCTTTCTTTGTGTTTACTTGAGAACTGGCTGATTTTGCATGCTCTTTTGCGCCCTACGGATAACTTCTTTTCAATGCTGTTAAAAAAGCTTCCAGGTTTTTCCTTTTCATGGAAAATCAAGACAGAAAGAGGGTGATGATAAACTTTAAGTCCTACAGCAAACACACTTTTTATCGCTCTGAAACTTTACCCTGTAATTTTTCCCCAAAACAAAAAATCAGTTGAATAGGAAATTCACCTCACAGAAGACGGCAGATCAAATGCCGGTCACTCATAAAAAGGGATAAAAATCGATACAAAACAAGAGTTCAACTGGGATTCAATGGCGGCAGAGGAGGAGGAAAACTTTTGAAACGGCAGGAAAAGAGGAAAAACGAAAATGGTTACATCATCTAGTGAAATTTGCCGTGCATTGTTTCGGACTTTTATCGCCCGCCCCACATCTTTGCACCTTTTTCGCTTCTTTATATTATACTTTTATCTTTGTCCTTTTGAACTGTCGAGGAAAAAGGAATTGAGCTTGTAGTTGACGCCTCGGCTTATTTTCGAAGGAATTTTGGAGCCTCTTATGGGAGGTATTGAGCCTTTGCGTTTGATAATCGATATATTAAAAAAACTACTTAGTAGGATTTGAGCCTGAAATGGATAAAAGTTGCTTCTTTTCAAAGTTTAAGGTTATATTCGAATAAATTTCAAAAAAAGTTTCCAGAATAGAGCAACTTTCTAAATAAAAACAAAGACCAATGGAAGCTCTGGGTTGAGAATTTATGAATATTTTCACATATTTGCTGGACTACTTTTTGAAACAATAGAGGCGGGGATCGAACTTGTGACCCTGTGGACCGTATACAGGCACACAACCTGTTGCGCTACGGCGCGCCCTGACTTTTTCTATTGCCCTGCTTTTAAATAAATCAAAAAAACTCTCATTGAAAATCATTTTTTTATTTCACTTTTTAAGCAAGCAATAGGAACATAAAAAAATACGTGAAAAAAAGTCCCGTGTACTCCTGAAAACCGAATCGTTGAGAGGAATCACCCGTGGCGTGGGTTGAACAAAAAAAAATACACAGAAAAAAGGACTTTCAGTACATATAAAGCTGCTAGGAGAAACTATAAACACATGAAATACGGCCAGCGTGTTTGAAATTTACAAAAATTCGTCAGATAATAATTTTGAGACGCGTCTGCGGTCGCGTTGCGGCTGTCTAATTCCAAACCAATACTCTGGTAGCATCTAGGAGAACAAATACAAGGAAAACGATATAAATCAAGACGAGTATGACTCCGTGGACCCGCCGTAATCGGAACCTTTGAACGAGCATGGCTGGAAAATTTCCGATTGATTTTTTAAACTTTGGAAGTTTCTTACCGATTAAAGTTGTTGATAAAGATATCGAGAGGAATAGGATGAGAAGTTTGTAAGTTGGCTTGAAGGAGAGCTGGAAAGGAGATTATAGAGAGAAAATATTGAAAAAAAACCGCGATCTCTTTTCCTTGAGCTTTAGCGATTGTGAAGGGCAGTCCGAAACCGATGAGAAGGTCTAAACTTTGAATTAGTGTTGGATAAATTTCAATATGGGTTATAACTAGTTTAAAAGTCATTGAAAAGTAGTAGAAAAAAAGTGAAAAAAAATTTTTTCAGATCTTTTTAAGATAGCTCAACACGTTCAACTTTCACAAGTAATCGGAAAATTTATGAAAAAAAAAACTGCGAGTTTTTGAGCCCAACTTCGGATTTACCCCTCTGAGGAAACCGTGGAAACTCAAAGCAGGACTTCCAAAGTTCAGGTGAACGCAAGATAGACAAAAATAAATCCACAAAATGACCTAGAAGACCTGGAAGGACATCCTAACCAACTAAACCTTGAAAAGTACCTGGAACCTGGAGAAACTCAAAAAAAAAACTGTATCCAGTGACCCTAGAATCGATCAGAAGGCCTATAAGTGTAGATAAATGTATGTTTTTCATCAAAATAATCAAATTATCATTTTCTGTTGAAGGAAAGAACTCACTGAACAATGGTCCCCCAATAGCGGCGGCCATGGCCATCCTGGAGAATCCCCGTCGGGCCAACGCCGGGTCCACGATCATGTCGCCGATGCTGTTGCTCCAGGCCAACACCGACAATCCAAGGATCTCGAACGAGATTCCCGACACGACGCCGATCATCGTCACGACATCGACGACTTCCGACGATATCGCGTAGATCCAGCAGACGGACATTACGAATCCCGCATAGGAACTGATCGACTGTAAGTTTCACTGTAGGAAGCTAAAATTTTAAAGCTTGAAATAGGTGTAGTCTATGTGACACGACTTGAAATTTTACGGAACGACATTCCGCACCTTGGTCGCGCTTTTTATTTTTATTTTTTTTCATTAAGGTACTCTACTTTCATGTGCTCCCACAGCAATAACAATCAATTGAAAGAGTGGCCTAGATTCGAAAGACACTTCGCGAACGCACGCAGCGGAACAGCGGAATGTCGTTCCGTGAAATTTCAAGTCGTGGCACACACACTATATACTAACACTTAACACTTTAAATAACCCTGAACAAAGAAATTAGAATAAGCACTGTCTAGAAAAAAAGTTACATTTTTTGGTATTTTCCCTACCGTAACCCTAAAAATGGGGCGGAGTCTCTCAAAATTGTATGTAAAATTTTCAGGAACTTGTTTAGTTATTGACAAATAACTTATTGTGACCACAATATGAGCTCACAAGGGCTTTGTGCGCGGTGAACTTCGAGTTATGAATTGAGGCTTTTATGGTAGATAGACCTAGGGGAGAGTGCTCCAAAACGAAAGAGAAAATCTACTAAGCGCCATAGGGTGCCGAGAAAAAGCTCGTCAAAGTTTTGCCCCCACGTATTTCCCCGCGCTCGGAGTTCTAGTCCAGCAACTGGAAGCGTGGTGAAGTGGCAGTGTTCTTGAATGGCTCTGACGCTATGTTAGGTTCGATTCCTTTTTACGTCAAACTTTTTTTGCTCCAGTTTTTTCAATTCTTCTACACTCTATTATTGAACAGAAACAGCAAAAAATGTTCGAATCGAAGGAGATGATTGAAAATTGGAAAAGAAGGAAGGAAAAAGCACAAAAAACTTTTTTTTTGCGTCATATTCAGTTTTTCCCTTGAAAATATCGGGAAAAATGTTTTTCGAGCTTTTCCTCGGTACCCTATGTCGCTTAGCAGATTTTCTATTTCGTTTTGGAGCACTCTCCCCTAGGTCTATCTGCCATAAAAGCCTCAATTCATAACTCGATGTTCACCGCGCACACAGCCCTTGTCAGAAAACTCAACCTGAAATTTTGGTATAATACTATTTTGCCGTTTATGGATTCTCACGGAGAACGTTAATTTCTGGAAAAATTGATCGTTTATCTACCTTGAAATGCCGGGGCTCATCTTCGGTCCTCGTGAAAAAAATTATCAAAAAGAGCCAAAAATCGCTGAAACACCCAATGCGTAGGCCCAAATTCCTGGGCTTGATGCGAAAAAAACTTGGTGTTGGTTCCTGTAAGTAGCTTCATAATGAGGGAAACTCCCCGAAAATCACTTCCAAAGGCGAAAAAGACCGAATTGAAGACAAATGAAGCAATGAATCACGGCCAGGCCTTTCGACCAACAAGATTCGTTGAGTGGGATCGTTAGTTTGAACAGGAACACTGGAATTATCTGGAAATTCAAAAGTCAAAAAGGATGGCTTCTTTTTTTAATTTTTTTAAAGTTCTACCTTGAGCACGGTGATAATTTTTAGTAAAGATGGACTGTGTTTGGAATTCTTCTCTAGTCGGGAATGGCTTCAAATGCAGCAACAGGTCCCGTATCAAGCTCCTCCAAGTCATCACTCGGAGGGGTTTCATCACTGAAAAAGGGGAATTTTGATCTGGAACTTTTTCAATTTTTTCTTAATCGATTAAAAACACTTCAGCGTATTCTCTGAATGTGTAAAGGGTTAAAAAGAACTCCTAATTTCCAAAAATTGGCAAAAAGCGAGTCGAAAAAAATCGAATGCTTTGACAGTGTCGCCACAAGATAGTGGGTTTTTTCCCTCAGAAGTTTTTTTAATTTGAGATTAAAGATGGAAATCTGGGAAAATTTTAAAGTGGCCACTATAGAGGCTCGCCAAGGACTACTTGAGAGAACACTAAAAGTGGCCGCTACACCCACCTCTATAGTGGCCACTAATCTCCCTTTTAGTAGATCACTATAGAGGTTCTCTATTTAGTGGCCACTTCAGTAGTTTTTCATCTAGTATTCCTTCCAGTCACTCTGATAATTTCAAAGCAAATTGGACCAGTTATGTTGATCCATTGACCCCTAACCACTAAACTTTTGAGTGGTCTATTAGTAGCATTTATACCTCTATAGGGGCCGCTAATTTTTAACCCCTTAAGTGGTCACCCATTTGACTACTGTAGAGGCCATTAAAGCGTCATAACCCTATAGTGGCCACTAAAAGTTTTTCGCAAATGATAAGAAAAATCTTGGAAGAGTGATAAAAAGAAACTTAAAAAAATAATATTTAAAAAATTGAAGGCTTGTAATTCGTATGGCAAACCTTCCTGGAATCGTAAAGATTTAGGGTTTCTCAATTATTATTTCATCGAAAAAAATCATTCCCTAGTTGCCCCAAAAACTCACCATTGCTCGGGATCCCAAGCCTTTTTTTCCCTTCCTTTGCCAAGAATCGCATATTCCTCCTCGATCCTTTCCTCTTCTTCTTCTGAAGGCTCGCTACCATAACCTAAGAATCACAAATTTTTCCAAAAAAACGAGTTAGAAATCGACCTGATTCCGGGGTCTCAGCGAAATGAATGATTCTGGAAATGAAGCTGGCCCTCAAAGATGATGGTCCTCTTTCGAAGCCATCGTCTGATTTTTGAAGGATCTTAAATAGCTTGAAAAATAATCTTTTTTTATCATTTTCTGTTCAGGTAAAGTCAACCGTATTGGAAATTTATTTCATTTTTTTGTTTTTCACAAGAGTTTCGCATTTTTTTCTAACCCTTTGAAATCCGATTTTTTTCCTGAAATGTCTTTGAAAAAGTCAGTGTGTGTCTTCCAGAGGTGGAAGAAATGAGGGGCCCTCCAGGGCGCAACATGCCCGCCCCTAGCCATGCGGCCTCTGAAATGAAATGAGCCACGTCATTATGCGGCGATGGCGTGCATCGCCACGTCGCGATAGTTGGGCGAAAGTTGGCATTTTTTTGATTATTATGCAATTGCTTCGCGTTTCGCAGTTTTTTTGCATCATTTCATTTTTTTCAATTTTTTTGTGTTTATGATATTTACTTAAATTTTTTTATATAATATGTTGTTATAGTTTTTCTTCCTTAAGGCGGAGAACTACATATCTGTGGGTAGAGAGCCCCGGAAAGAACAGATGACGGACGATTCAAAATTAACGGTTTTCAGAAGAGCTTGAATATGACGTTTCATATTCAAAAAAATAGATGTAAAAAAATAGATCTGTGCACAAACTTTCCGACGACGAAAGAGATTCAGTTTTTTTCTCTTGATGAACTTCAATACTTTTTATTTATTCGTTCTACAGGCGATCGCGTGTCTCAAAAAAAGATCGACTCATTTTTCGATTTTTCGCTTTTTTTCTCCGTTTCTTTCAATTTTCAATTTTTTTCCTGTTGTCACCAAAAATTCTTTTTCGTCACAAAAAGCTTTCTATTCATGTATAATTTGCAAACTTTGATCGCAAAAAAATGCTTCTCTGGTGAAAAAAATGATGATTTTACATCGGTTTCGATTGGAATAGCGTTATTTTTGTGTTTCCTTTATTATCAATGTGTTTTTTTGTTTTTACTAAACGTTTTTTTCAGAAAAAGAAACCCTTAATTTGAAGCAGAGAGCCGGTTATTACTCACAAAATGCGAGTCTAATGAGACGTCCGCAACATCGCGTTTTCGGCTACTGTAAACAGCTGTCCGTAGGCCGATCCAAAGCATTTTTCAAAAATAAATGGCGGGAAAGTAAAATCGTGTTTTTCTTCTAAAGTTGATACTGTAATTTGTTTAAGTACACAGTTCGATTCGCAAAGAAAAACTATATAAGATACTGCTTTTACCTGAAACCCCATTTTTCACTGCCCCTATGCCTTTAATTTTTTTTTACGCGTTTTTTTCTCCATTGGCGTTTTTTTGCCATCGCGGTTTTAGCCCCGGGCGCCCTGGGCAGCGACTTATTAAGAAATGGCCATGGCGGCCTACGTCGGTTTTGAAATGTAAACGTTTCAAAACGCTTAGGGGCGCCATTTCTCCACCTCTGGTGTCTTCGATATTTCCCCCAACCTACCTTTTGATATTTTTCGCGTCGCTGGTAGGGCCAGTTTGTCCACTGCAAATGTATTTTTGAACATGTGTACTCCCATATTTGCTTTTGATCAACATTACCGTCAAATGGGCTCCCTTTTGGTGTCACTTCCGGTCTCACTACGTTCGTTTTGCCTTTCTGCATAGTTTTTTTTTTCATAAATTCAGTATTTAAAAAAAATGAGAAATATAAACCTTTGAAATGCTCCGGCCAAGGAGTTGGGAAGCAGCCATCGTGACCACGAAGAGGGTACAAACGCCTGGAATTTGAAGATTTGAAAAAAAAAAAAAAAAAAACCAAAGAAGGTCATATCCCTTCCGGGATCTTCCCAAAAATTATCCACAACACTTCTTGATGTACTAGAGGAAGGCCTTGAAAGTCTCAGCTTCCTGGTTGTCGAGAAAAAGTGCAAAAATAAGTAGTATAGGTATGAGGGATTATAATACCGTTTTCGACATTTCAGTCATTTCAACACATTTTCATTCTCTGACTGCAGAGAATTACCTCATTTACAACACTTTTTTTCGTAAAAAAAGCGTGAAATGAGTCAATTTTTTTGAGAACTAAAAAGTGCTTATTTTTCAATAAATTTTATACATTTTCGATCAATTTTTGCTTGGATGTTGATTTTTATTTTTCTATTTCTCATTTTCATGCTTAAATGCTCGAAAAATGTATCACTTCCTCACTTTTTTTAGAAAAATCAGTGGATGTCGATGGATGTCGATTTTTATTGAAAAAAAGTGGTATCGTCATTTTTTTCAATAAAATTAATGTTCAATAAATGGTGGCTAGAAAAAAATTTGAAACCTCTGACAAATCTAGATCTACTAGAATTGGTAGAACTTTTGGAAATCAAGAATTTCCGTGGTGTTTTCATGCGAGATACTTAACCGGATATAATAAAAGATATCTAAGTAAGCATCGTAATCAACGATTACTAACCCTTGTTCAATATTTGACAAGCAGTGAATACGACAAAGATTCTTTTAATTTACTCATCGAGTACAAAACAGAATCCATATGAGCATATCGACAAAAAGACGAGCACAATCACTCATTCTTCACTCCGACTCGGCCGCCGAGGAGAGGGGCGAAATACCCGCGTAGAGATCGTCCAGTTCAGACAAGACCAAATCCAGAGCTGCTCGTTCCTGCCGATTCGCCCCCGGACCTACAAATCACAATAAGTACATCTCAGCAAACCGAAATAATTTTTAAGAAATATTTAAATTTAATCTACCTGCGTGTGCGAAATCCGCCAGCCTGCACGCACATTGCACCTGATTCTTAAGACGACGTAGAATGTCTCGTACAGGTACCGTCTAAACACCCAGAGTTATGACGAAAGTCTTAAAAAGAAAAATCATACATCGTCGACGTCGGGAACGTTCAGGTTCCGGTCGCGGGAGGTCCTCACTAAACACATTTCTTTAAGTAACTTTATAAAGAGTCTGAAATGCTCTTCGACAGGAATGTTATTCGTTTATATTTTTCAAAAAAATTGAACAATTTTTTTCTCTATATACCTGCCGGGTCGCTCAGTGCATGGCTGATCCTGTCGACCATCGCCACCACGGACGAGAAGATACTTGCAAGGTCGTTTATGTTCGAGCTGTCGCTATGCCTCCTAAATAGTTTAAAGACATATAAATTGAATGTTAATGATATTTTAAGAGAAGTCAATCAAAAGCTTTTAATTGTTTTAAAAATAATGGGAAATTCAATTCTCACTTCTCTTGTAATGCGAGAACAAGACGAGTGTGCGCTCCGGATATTGCGATGGCCTCGACCTGAAATAATATTCTCTTTAAAACACATACAGCAAAAACGGCATAATAATAGTTTAACTTACAGATACGGGACGCGCCATGAGAGAACGTCGATTATCTATAAAGATTTTCGATTAGTTCGCATTAGGAAAACTAAAACCCTATTCAAATAATCGATTCAGCTAAAGGAGAAGGAAAACGAGTAAGGAACGAATAGAGGATAAAGAATAGAGTTTACACGATAGAAGATACAGAGGAAGAGGAAGTCGCCTCTCTATAAAAAGTTAGAATGAGGTGAAAGAATGCGATGTTGGCAGGTTCTCTCCTTCCTCTGCGTCTCTGGTCACGCGTCTCTGCCTTCCACTCTAGCCCTACGCGTTTGCGTGTCGCGTCGCGTGTGTCTAGTTCAACTGGGCAAATGTATGACTGTGCTCGGTCAGAGTGAGGAAGAGAAAAGAAGGTCACACATAGAGAAAGGGAACACTGCTGACCTTTATACGTCACACCAAAAGATCTGAAAGACATTCAGCGAAAGCAAGCTTCCTTGAAGTGTCTAGTGAAGGAAAGAACTAAAGGAAAAAGAAAGAGAGAGAGAGAGTGGTCAATCTGTGAGATCTAGAACACGACAACTTTGGTCACACTTTAATGCGTTCGAGAAGCAATTGCATCACACACTGCAATGACACTCTAACCTTCTCGAACGTGCTAGCAAACAGGTACAAGAGGATCTGCAAAGACATTCACCTAGCGAAGGAGAGCGAAGTGTCTCATTTGAGAACGATTCGTGTCGCAGAATTTCTTCAGTTTTGCTTCGTTTTCTTGCATAAATTATCTCATTATCGCTTATAACTTGCTTCAAAGCTGTTCTAATGACTTCAAATTTTAAATTCGATCTTTTCAGGCAAGTCCTATTCTCCGAAGGATCTCCTACTTATTCAGCGAAAGCAAGCTTCCTAGAAGTGTTTGTGAATTTCAAATGAGTGGAAATCTCCCAACTTCCATGGATGTTGATGAAATCGAAGATTCTGGGATTCAAGATCCTAAGACGACTCCTAAGGTTTCGAAGATAGAAGAACTCGATGCTCAACGAGAAGAATTTCGGAAAGATTCGGAGAGTCTTACTTTGGAACAGCTTCAACGAAAGGTTGGTTTCATTTTTACTTTTTAAATTTTTTAAAAGAATGTGAAATACAATGACTGAATTCAGGCAGAAATGCTGGAAGATAAGGCAGCAAAAGCAACTGCAAAGGCTACAATTGCAAGAGCTTACTATGAGAATGAGAAGATATTAATTGGAAAGAGACAAAGCGCATATCAAGATAGAAAAAAAGGTGAGAATTTTGATGAATTATCTTTACAAAAACAACTTTTTCTAAGTTTTGAGTTGACTCAGTCGACTCAGTTTTTAGTTTAACTTTATAACTTGTATTTATATTTCATCAATTTCTGTGGTGCTTAAGGAAGTAATACGTTATTCACGAACGAGTTGTCAGTAGGATTTTTTTCGTTATGGTTTCAAATTGTATTATAATGATTTGTGCGTTTTGTGCTCCATAAAAGTTAACACGGCAATCTGTACATTGGTTCAGTATTTTTCAGTGTTTCGTTTATGTACAATTGATATATTGGTTTATGTAAATATGTTCAGAGTATTTTTTTATTTTTGGTATTTTTCAGAGTTTCGTCTATGTATAATTGGACTACTGGATTGTGTGAAACCGTTAGAAATTCACCGGTAGATGATGTTTTTTGGAGGTTTTTGATGTAAATGCGTGTTTATATATTCTATTTGATTATTGATCGTTAAAGAAGAATTAATTTTTTATTAAGATGCCGCGGAGTCGCGATTTTATTGATGCGCATTGGTTCTACAGCAGCTATGAAGATTCTGAAAGGTATATCGAAAAATGTTGATAATGATAAATGATCGTAGAAGCACGGAATCAGCCGACGGAAATTTTTGAGCCGCCACATGAACCAGAATCAACGGAAGATTACCGCGGGCCGAGCAATTCAATAAGTTGCTTTCAAATGTCAACGTTGGTTGTTTTTTGCTCACTGTTCAAGTGTTCTTTTTTATATGTGCCAAACTTTTTGCCCTTATGTAAGTAGTTTCAACCGTTTCCGTGTCGAAGTCCCAACGTTTTTTATTGAAAGTTGCCCAACCATCTGCCTTGACACAATGCGTTTTTCTTCTATTTTTTTGCAAGTAGCGCTTATATCAATATGCAGGCGTATCTTTATTGTCTTGAAGAGTTTCTATTAGATTGATCAATACGGTTTCCGTTGACAGTGATTTAGATAGAGTCAAATATTTATACGGGTCTTTTACGGCCAAAAGTTTTTTTGCTTCCTCGAATATCCTGTTACGTATACATATCTTCAGTTTTTTGCTCGTTGTTTTGTTACTTATGTCTATCTGTTTCCATTGATGATCCTGATTGCTTTTAATGTTTTCAATTCGTTTCAATAAATTTGGAAACAGTTTCAAACGCGATTAGATGAGTTTACTGCGGATGTGTTAACGATTCGCATTCAATAAGGGTTTCTCTATTTCCTCCCGGAGCTATTTCAGAAATTTTTCCGTGCCCCCCCCTAAAAGGGACCCCTAAAAAAATTCGTAGGGGTCCCTATAGGGTTTCATTTAGGGACCCCTATAGGGCCCCCTCCAAGGGGCCCTAATTTATCCCCTATAGGGCTCCCTAAAACTTATCCCAGTAACGCGAACGGGACGCGAAACGGACGTGTCGGGGCATTTCTAGTGACCACTTTAGTAGCCTCAGAACTCTTAAGGGATCCCTAGAATCGCCCAGAAACGTCCGGAGCACATCCGTTTCGCGTTACCAATGTCCGAGTCGCCATTTTTCGAATTTTCGCTTTTTCATCGTTTTCTTTTCGCTTTTCAATTTTGTCTGTTGTTAATGGCGTGTTCATCGGGCAAAACGTAAATTGCTTCAAAACGCAAAAAATTTGCCCCTAACAAAAATTAGTACTGTTTTGAAGCAACTTTGGCGCGCCGATGAACACGATTTTTCGTTTTGAAGCATGTTCCTTTTCTCCGATGAACACGCCATAACAAAGTTCTTTTCGTCACAGAAAACTGCTATTCATGTATAATTTACTAAATTTGATTGCAAAATGCTTTTCTGTAGAAGAATGATGATTTTTACAGCTTTCGGATATGAAATTGATATGTTGCGTTTCCTTTATTATCCGTGTTTGTTTTTTGTTTGTCTCAATGATTTTTTCAGAAAAGAAACCCCTGTTTGATTGAACCCCGGTTTTTTACTGCCTTTAAACAGGCGTACTCGCTAAAAAGGAAGAGCTTAACTTCCGGTATTTGTAAGACATACTTCACGTAAATTGACAAGAGATTTATCATCAAGCGCTCTTTTTCACACCGCTTTGATTCGTTTTTTTTTTCTTTCTAGGCTACTGATAACGCAAAACGGACGTGCTGCGGACGTTTCTGAGCAATTCTAAGGGTCATTTAGGAATGCTGACGCTACTAAAGTGGTCACTAGAAGAAATAACCCAACACGTCCGACTCGCGTTACCAATTTCCGGTTTTTCGCTCCTGTTTGGGATTTGTTCATTGCCTTTTCGAAGTGATCCGCGAAATTCAAAATATCGTTCAGACAGTTTGTGGAAATTACTTAAACATTAAACGCGGCGTTATCTTATCTCGTCATATTTCATTCCTTTTTGATTTTCTTTCAATGCTTGAAATCTTGTGAGTTCAAGAATATGACAAGATAAAACGTCCGGACGTGTTGAAGCATCCCCAGAATTACTCAAAAACGTTCAGAGCGCTTTCGGTTTTCGTAACCGAGCTCTTAGACAGAGTTATGCGAGGGCCGGATTGTCAGCCTAACGGTTCAATCATTGTCTGAACCCGGGCCAGGCTGAGCGAAGCTTCAAGCATAAACAAGCCCAAAAAAAGCTCAAGATTTTTTTCCGAGCCGAACATCATCTTTTTTTTTTTTACAAAAAGTTATAAAATGTCTCTGATAATTTTTTATACTTGAAAGTTCAAGAGAAACTAGGAATTTGGAAATTTGCGTTTTTTGGTGAGAAATTCGAGTTTGGATACAATTTTTCAAAAAATTTTTTTGAAGCCTTGCCTGGCTTCAAAAAAAAAATTCGCGAAAATTTTTCGAGCCAGGCGCACGAGTCCGGACCTGGGTACCGCAAAACGTAAGCGCCTCGGAGCCAAAGAAACGTCCAGGACGAGTTCGATTAGCGTTACCGAGGTCCGAGTAATTGAAGGCCAAATCAATGAAGCTTGCGCGGGCTCTGACCAAGCCAGGCTCCGAACAAAGTTTTTAAACTTCATCAAAAACATTTTCATCCTAACTTGAAATTTTTACCAAAAAAAAATTACTTATCACTTGTTTCATTAAAGTCTATCAAAAGTTATGGAATGTATTGAGGGCGATAGGTTGACAATCTGAACCTCGCACAAGCCTGCTTTAAACAATTATTTCCATGCCTTTGAGCCATTGTGAATTCACTGTTATTCATTTTCTCCTTTGCAATTCAACACGGAATAAAAAAAAACCCTCAGCTGCTTTTAAGAGCATTGGGCTGGTACCTGTTTTTGTTTAACACGCCTCCCAGTTGATCGACTACCGTCAGCCATGGATCGAGTTTGAAACCGTCGTCGCCACTTCGAGCAAGGAAGGCGGATATCTCGTCATCGCTGTTGACTGAATTTTCGAAGATAAAAGACTTTCAAATGCGAAAAAAGAGGATATACAGTGGCGAAAATGGGTGAGTATTTTTTGGTTTTCATCCGTAACTTTGTTGAAAGCAATCATTTTGACCTGAAATTTCGATGTTTATGACGTTATTGATGATTTGAATTAGAGTTTTTGAACCGGTTCCAAAAAAATAACTCTGGAAAGATTCTTTTTTGAATATTCATCAAAACGTTTTATTTTTGAAAAATCTCAGGCTCAAAAATTCGCTTTTAACAACAAACTTCTTCAAAATTTCAGGCCAAAACAATAATTTTCACCAAAGTTGTAAACGAAAAAACCAAAAAAAAAAAATAATTACTCATTTTCGCTACTGTAAATACGAAATTTGAATCAAAAAGAGCTGCTGGTATGCACGGCTAGCTTGGGACGCAAAAAGGCGTGGCCTGTCTGCACTCCCACCAACAAGGCAGTGTTCTCTTTTCGTGGCAGGACCCTTTTCAAGATGGTTCAAGCCAGCCGTGAATCAGCTATAAATTTAAATCATATTATCCGCAGCCAGAGTGTCTGCTTCGCGAAAAAATAGTACAATAGTGTACGAACTAAATAAAACGGTCGAGTTTGGCCTGAGTGTTTCTAATAACCTCATTTTTCATAAATGTTCATATATCTCGGGCAAAGTCGAAATGGTGGATAATGGCCGCTAAGAAGGAGAGACTCAAAAAAGACCGCAAACCGGCAGAAACAGGATCCTTCCATTTTTTTTTTGGAATTTTAAAGACTCAAGAAATGGTGGAAAAAGGATGAGGCAACAAAAATGGTGCATAAGGAACGATGAAATTGCGCAAAACAGCAAAAAAGAAACTTTGCCACCCTAAAAGAAAAATTTCTATGGAGCCTTTTCCACCCTTTCCGACTTTGCCTATGATATCGGATCAAGGTTTTTCTGGCTTTTATTCAGTTTTCACAATTTCAAGCCCTTTTTTTTTCATCATAAAATTTTTAAAACATTCAAACCTCGCGTCAAGTTTTCCATTAGTAGTTGCTAGATTCATTTTCCAATTTTCAGTGGTAAGCTATAGATGTTTTCTGAATAAAAAAGTGATTAAAAGTATATTGTTTAAATATCAAACTGCACTATTTGAAGTTGTCGTTGAGCCTCCATGGACAGAAGAGAACAAGTTCGTTGTAAGGATCTGCAATAAGTTCAAGATTGAAAAAAACAAGTCGATTGCATCATTGGAATCACAATTTTTTCTGATTAGCCATGAAAATTCTTAAGTCAGTTAGAAAAGCTTTATCGAGTTAGAAGAACTAACTAGGCGGTGCGCTAGAGCTCCGCTCGGCCTTGTTAGAACTAATCCTAGACGCCGAAGGCCGTGACGGCATTTTCCGCGGGGGTCCCATCATCGCTTTGTCAGTATCGCGCTGCCAACAGTTTCTGCTTCGGCCACTGGAATGGGCTTCAGCTTGACTTTGCGTATCCAATTCGCAAGCGAAAAGGATCGGCACTCCGGGAGTCCCGCGGGCCTAATCTACTAGCGCTTATAGCTCAGAAAATTATTTTGGCTGTTAGAACTTTTATGAAGGCTCAAAACTTATCTTGACGTTGAAGAAGCGAGACGGAGTCGTGAGGAAAGGAGAAATGATGATTGAACCCTGGTCAAAAAATAAGAAATGACACGTTGCCACGTGGTTTTTTGTGGATGTAATTTTATTCGATATCAAAAAATGGGGTTCACGTTCTTTTTTTGTATTTTTTGCAAAGAGTGAAATTTTTTTATTTTTGAATAATACTTTGGGTCACATGACGCATAAGGTAGAGCTAGTGGAGACACTAAAAAACTTTTTAAAGAATGATATGAAACGTCCGGAGGCTTGTGCGATGGCCGGCCCGTCAGCTTTTCGTTCCCCCGACCATTTTCAAATAATTATTTAATGTTTATTTTTTTCAGTATCTTATAAAAAAAGCTTGCTAATTTTTTTAAGAATGTGCAAACGTATCAAATTGCTTGAATTACCATGATAATTGACGTTTATCTCGGATGAAATCATGAAATTGATTCAGGGTCTTAGGAAAGCTGTTTTTATAGGCTAAAACCCTAACTTTTTCCTGGTTTCACACTCGAAATTTGCACTTTCATTTTTAAATGGTAGTTTGAATTTTTATCATGAAAAATATAAGAGATTTTTTTTTTCTTTTCTCACGCCTCTATGTCTTAAGCTTTTTATTTTATTTTCCCCGGATTTCATCCCTCTTATCAGGAACTACAAAATCTTCATTATTTTTTCATTATCCTTCTAAACCGCAACGGTAAAACTACAGAAAATTCGAGAAAGACAAGAGATTAAATAAAATTTCAAGATCAACATGACTGGCGTGATCTGTCAGGCGAAAGAAGGACTTATGTGTGTGTGTGCGGGGCAAATCCAGGATAATCAGTTATCACTTGGGCTGATTGGAGGAGCTGGAGCACCTCCGGGCCTCAGTTAGTTCTCTCGGAAGTCAGAACTATGAGCAAGAGGCCCGAGAGGACGATTTTATGGATTTTATCCGTAGTTTGGCTTGCGGCGACTGTGAAGGTTGATTTTTATTTTTTGATTATACCATATCTTTTTCAGTTTGTTAAAGTCTGTTCGAAATTTATGTTTTTTTCAAAGGAGCATAGTCGAAAGGTCTCGAGGGGAATTCTTTTTTTTTTGGTCGTGTAAGTTCTTTCAAAAACAGTAGAATCTCATAGAAATTTTTCAATTTTATGTGCTCTTTTTATTCGATGATATTAATAAAGTCTTTTTTTTTACTTTAGTTCAATTAAAAAAAGTTTTGAGGTCTTTCTCTCAGAGAAACCATTTGCTAACAGTTCAAGGATTTTTCAAAAAAGTTTTTCTCAAAATAGGACTGTTCCTCCAAACTTTATGACTAGCTAGTGGTAAACAAATATTAATCAAAAATAAGACTCGATTAATAAATTTTTAAGTTGGAAATCATCTTTGAATCTTTTTTCTCGAAAAAAATGAAGTTCCGTGAGAAAAATATACTGAAATTATTAACTCAACAATGGAAAAAAATTTCAGAAATAAGTGATTTTTATACTGTGTTTTTCTGTTTCAGGTCAAAGTCGGCCACATCGGTGCCGTAAATGTGATGAAAAACGGGGACAAGATCCTCGAATTATCAAGGAGGCAGCTGGTCGAGGAAGGCGTTTTGGGCGATGATTTCGAAATCGAGTATGTATTCAAAAAAAAAAGAAGTTCTATTGGACTTTTGAAGAATTGTGAACCAAATGGGCTGCGGTGAGGCTTTCGAAGGAGTTGCAGTGGGCGCCGACATGTATCACGTCCAAGGAGTTCGAGCTTTCCTCGGGCCTTACTGCAATGCTGGTTTGTTTGTCGGAAAACTTACTATAGAACTTTTTTATCCCTTTTTCAATTTTTGATGATAATTTGCTGGAGTGTACTTGAAGACACGCCCCAAACATAAAAGAAACAATTTTCGCAATAAGACGTTTTTTTTACCCTTCCGCTAATATTTCAAATCATGTTTGGAACTCATTCATTCTTTGAACTTTTGCTAGCTGATAAATTCAAAAAGCTCTTATTTTTCAACTCTAAAAAAAGAGCTTTTTTCGCGTTCAGAACTGGACGCCGTCGCCAAAATGGCAACGTTCTGGAACATTCCGATCATCGGCTACATGGCGTCGTCGAACGTCTTTGCCGACAAGTCCATTTACAAGACCTTGGCCCGAGTTTCCCTGAGAACAACTAATTCGCTGGCCGAAGCCACCGCCGCCATGCTCAAGCATTATGGATTCGGCAAGGTAAAAAGTGGTTCTAACAAGGAACTTCATTTCACATTTATTAAAAATTGGCCAGAACATTCTTTGATGTATCAGAAGAAGATTATGAAAATCCCAATCTGCCCAATCTTCTAGTTTCAAAGAAATAAGGGCTCAAAGCTTCAAAATTGATAATTTTAACGGTTTTTGAGAGTTTTCTTTGAGGGGTCTTTTCGCGAAAACTAGGAAGCTTTGCAGCTTGAGACTTTCAGGATCTTCATTTCGTATCTCAATGAGTGTTCTGGCCAATTTTCAGAAAGATCCCAACCGAAAAGTAAAAATATCCCTTTTGTAAGTCAAGATGTTGAAAATTGAGATTTTTTAGGTCGCCATAGTCACCAATACTGGCGCTGCCGCTTATGAAAGGACCGCGGCTTTCGAAGAAGTCTTCCACATGAGAGATATCAATGTTGTCAAGAAGGTTTGAACTGGAAAAAAGTTTCAGAAATTTAGGTTAGTGGTCATTTTAGGGATTTTGACCTTTTCTCTCTTCACATTGTCATTAGGAGAGGCACTTTAGAGATTTTAGCACATTCTCTTTTTACATTGTCGTTAGAGACGGTTTTTTTTAGGATTAGGGCGAAATAGAGGTTTTTTGAGAGTTCTGAAGAGTGTAATTTGAAAAAAAAAACACATTTACAGTACCGCTCAAAAGTATATTAAGTTTTGGTTTTTTGAGGATATCTCAGCGAGTACTCATCCGATTTATATATAACTTTCAGGGATTATGTAAAATATACTTTGAAACATATACGGTATACAAATACATGTCCGCAGTCACTGCGACGCGTTTTTAGGAATTTTTTTCGAATTCAATTTTTGTTTTTTTATGCTTTTATTTTTTTATTTATTTCTATTAAATTTTTTTAAAAAGTAATAATGTTGCCATATGTTTATTTTTCATGTTTTCAGACATAAGAAGAACCTCTGGGAAAAAGATTTGACTGATAACGACAAAAGAGCCATCGTTGTGGGTCGTCAAAATGGACTGACCATGATGACGTTGGCAGGAATGTTCGGCGTGACAGAGGCGTGCATTTCTCAGTTCCTGAAGCGTTGGAAAGCTCAAGATGGCACTGTTAAGAGCCAACGCACTGAAAGACCACGTGTCATTGATCGTAATGGCGATAGAAACATTTTGAAGACGCCTAGAACCAATCCAAGACTCACCGCCCCTGCGATCAGACGGGAAGTTTTCTTGAATTCGCCATCTCCGCCATCCGTCTCGACCGTGAAACGACGTCTCAATGCTGCTGGAATCATGGGAAGACGTGCAGTGAAAAAACCGCTGATTTCTGAAAAGAATCGAGTCGCCAGGGTGAAGTGGGCGAAGGAGCATCTGACCTCCACCATGTTTCACAAAGGGTAATTGGTATTTCGGATGATATCTGGACCCAATTTGTCTACGAACTCACTGAATTTCGTCATTTCCGAAGAGGAGGAACTTGCTTTCGTCGGACGACAGAATCTTGTTCCAGTCTTGACGGGTCCAGTTGAGATGCTCCTTCGCCCACTTCACCCTGGCGAATCGATTCTTTTCAGAAATCAGCGGTTTTTTCACTGCACGTCCCATGATTCCAGCAGCATTCAGACGTCGTTTCACGGTCGAGACGGATGGCGGAGATGGCGAATTCCAGCAAACTTCCCGTCTGATCGCAAGGACGGTGAGTCTTGGATCGGTTCTAGACGTCTTCAAAATGTTTCTATCGTCATTACGATCAGTGACACGTGGTCTGCCAGTGTGTTGGCTCTTAGTAAAGCCATCTTGAGCTTTCCAACGCTTTAGGAACTGAGAAATGCACGCCTCTGTCACGCCGAACATTCCTGCCAACGTCATCATGGTCAGTCCATTTTGACGACCCACAACGATGGCTCTTTTGTCGTTATCAGTCAAATCTTTTTTCCCAGAGGTTCTTCTCATGTCTGAAAACATGAAAAAAAACATATGGCAACATTATTACTTTTAAAACATTTAATAAAAGTAAATAAAAATAAAAGCATAAAAAACAAAAAAAATTGAATTAAAAAAAAAATTCCTAAAACGCGTCGCAGTGACTGTGGACATGTATGTGTATACCGTATATGTTTTTAAAGTATATTTTTACATAATCCCTGAAAGTTATATATAAATCGGATAAGTACTCGCTGAGATATCCTCAAAAAACCAAAACTTAATATACTTTTGAGCGGTACTGTATGACTTCGTATAATACTTTGATTACAGCTTGAACAAAGAAAAATGCTTTTTTTTTCAACTTCAAGCCGACTTTTTTTTTTTCCATCAAAATACGTTTTCTAATTTTTAAAAGGGCTCTGTTCATCTCTTTTCATACGTAGTCCTGTTAAATTTGAACTTTTTTTATGACTTTTGAATAGTGAAGTAGGTTAAAGGAGCATTGACAGTTTAACGAAACGAATTTCGACACGAAAAAATGAGGAAAAAAACATGACGCACTGAATAAACTTCAAAGTTGTATTAGAAGAGACGCTAGGGAAAGGGAAATTCTACTTCTCTAGACTCTCTTCATACCGTCGTTGATCTCTCGTCCTTTTGGAATATTTTTTTCAGCTTTTAAAATCATGAAATTCTGAAAGTCTTAAAGAAAAATCATTATTAAAATAATCCTAAAGGTGATGCTGGACGAGTACTCCAACTCCAAGACGATCATAGCCAGTGGACAGCTGACTGAATTGGCGAACAATGCTCGAGGTCCGAAATGACCTGAAAATTCACCTAGAAAATCAAAAAAATTCAGTGATAATCTGTATATTTTCCTCCACGAGAGAAATGTCCAGGGAGTTCATGCAAGCCGTCTCCACGACGATGACGAATCTCCAAGAATTCGTCTTCATCATGCCTTGGTTGCAGGTTTCAGTATCGGTTTTCAAACGATATTTGAACAGCCTGGAAAACTTGAAAAAGGTTGAACATGTATGGAAAACGGGTGATTTTTGGGATATTTCAGAAATTTTTCGAAAAACTGATTAATTTTGAAGAAAAACGAGATTTTTATTGACTGGTTCTAATGATAATTAATTAAACGGCTTCTATGCACGGCATTCCTAAAAGGGTGAGCGAAGGTGAGCGAGGCGTCAAATTTTCTAAATTTACGAAAAAAAAAAGTAAGTGCGCGCTCCGGATAAAATGACGTCATTCTACGTCAAAAATATACTGAGTATTCAACGATAATAACTTGTTTGTTCGATCGCCTTTGGCTGCGTACTTGATATTCGAATTTTTGCGCCAATTTTTTTTTTTTTTGACGTCTCCCCACCCCGTTTGGGAGTGCCATGTAGGACTTGAAACAGAATTTTAAAAAAAAAGGTTTTTTATATGAATTTATGTGCTTTTGACTTTAAAATGTGCTTCTACCCTATATTTCTGTGTGGTGAACTCCTCTCTGACGACTAGAAACGATCTCATTTGGAATGGCTCGCGCGGCGGTTACAAGCCGAAATTCCAAAACTTACATGTTTCCGAAGCACGAAATTTTTTCTATAACCGCGTCGCAGCCGCTTCGCGTTGGTTGAGCTATTCCTCCTGCGACCAGCGTTTTTTTAATTGAAGGAAAAGCCGATTTTCCAGAGCGAAACGAAAGATCTGCCTCCCTGGATTGGCGATGAAGGTCAATATCTTCAAAATGTCAAGGATCACTTTGCCAACGCCTTCATTGTAATAATGCGCTTGATTTTGTATCATTTCCATCAAAACTTGAAGCAGTCTGCCTTCTCTGCGCCCTCTCATTTTTACGTGTTTTTTTTTGCCCTTTCTCTGACCAAGAAGAGTTCGTCTTTATAATGCCTTGGAGAAGCCGAAAATCCTGCTTCTATTCACTAAATGGCCGGATTCCTAACTCTGAGGCGTTTTTTTAAACGTTGTTAAAAATTTAAAAAAATTCCAAAAATGCAAAAAAAGTTTTTTTCGCACCTCAGTTCACCCGCAAGGAAGGTAATTTTTAAGCTTTTTTTAAAATTCTCTTAAAATTGTCCAGGTTACTCATTTATGTACCAGCTAATGACCTTGAAAGTTTCCACTTGCAAAACTTCCTATTTTTCGAGAAATGAGGGCTGAAAAACTTGAAACGGACTATTTTCTAAGAATTTTGAAGGTTTTCTTCGACTTCGAAAGATATCTACTCGGAAAAGGAGAATTTTGTCGCTCATTTAAGGTTTCGAAGAGTTATTCCCAACCACAACGTGCAAATACCTTTCTTGTTAACTAATTTCCAACGAGTTCTTAAAGCTTAAAAATCTCTTGTCAGAGAAAAGAGAGCGGAGAAAAGTCAGAAAACTTCAAGAAATCAAGAGATTGGACTATAGAACTTCCTTCTTTTTTTTTCAAGATCGACGATGTCAACGGCTTCGACAACGCCTTGGTCACCCCCTTCAAAGAAAAGATCGATGCCGCCGGCGTGGCTGTTGATGATCTCGAATCGGTAGCTTTTAGGAAACTGTGTGCAAGATGGACCGTTGCAGAAGAACGTCTACGGCTATGTACACCTTTATGATTCCCTGAGGCTGTACGCGTTGGCCGTGAGGACGGCGATGAACGCCACCGGCCGGGAAGACATCTACTTGGATGGCAAGACTATTTGGAATACCATGAGGCGGCTTGGATTTCCGGGTTAGTGGGGCTCAAGGGTGCCAGAGTAGATTGGAAACTTGTCGAGAAAAAAGGCCCGAAAAGAACAAACATTGAGATTATCCTTTAAGAAATATTTCAAGTGGAAGCTTGAATAAAATTACGTATTTTACTGTTAGGAAGGATCTTTTCAAGTTCTTAAGAATAGCCGTGAAAATAACGTAAAGTCAGCATATCTCTCAAAAAAAAAAGAAGTCGAAAAAATGACATGAAGAAACAGCGGCGAAACGAGATGAATGTGTGCTCGATGGAGAATCCGAAGACACGAAAGTTTTTTTGAACTTTATTATTATTATGATGCATTTCTTAATTTTTCCATTGTTTTTGTCTCATAGAATGACCCTGAAAATTACTTTTTTTTTTTCGGTAAGATAGAAAAAAACTTCTGACGCAAAGCTATTTTTTCAAGGGTTATTTTTTTAGAAGCTCAAATTTCAAAAAAACTTTTGGCTGTCTTTTTTTCAGGGCTCTTTCATTGAGCCTTCTTTTCTATTTTCTAAAAATCTCATTTTTGAAAATTTTTGAATGACTATTTTTCTAGTTCATTTCTGTGGATTTCAACCAACTCTTTGAAATCTACTTTTTCTTGTACTGAATTCATCAAATTTTGACAAAAAAGAGGAAAATTTCAATTTTCAGGGCTCGTATCAGCCGCTGGAGTTTCTTCAGGCTATGTCCAAATGGACGATATTGCCGAAAGGGCTCCAGTTTATGCAGGTTTTTAGGGATTATTATGTCAAATAAGACTTCTTTTTGAAGCGTTCTACGTCCCACCGAAAAGCGACAACGTCAGGAAAGTCAGTGAACTCGAACCGGAATTGCTTGACAATTGCGACGGGATGAAAACCAAGACAGGGTGCTACGATTTGGTTCGGCATCCGAATAAAACGCTGAGCTTGCTGTTGTTCAGAGAATAACCGATGTTTCGACGGGATTCTGGCCGTCTGTCGATGGAAAATTGCCAAGTGACGAGCCCGCCTGTGGGTATCGCAACGAAAAATGCGATTATACCATGATTATCATTGCTGGAAGTCTGGTGGTCCTGTTTATCATCGTGATAATCAGCGCGATGATCATCTCGAGAATGTGGTGAGAATTCTTGGTTCAATGCGCCCGACCTGAAACGGCTTGGGACTTTGAAAGTCGGACGAATCTACTTTCACTTGCATGAGATCAAGAAAAGCTCTTGAAATTTGGTTTTTATAGCGCCCGACTGCTGAACGGTTTTCGCGTAGTGACGTCAGAAATTTTGTAGTTTATGCGCATGTAGTTAAAGATCGGGAAAAATGAATCCGATGATTGAGTTTTAATCCTTTTATTTTTTCAAATGGCACAATGCGTAAGTCATTTTTAGCCGGTTGCATCAAAAGCAGAAGTTGAATGGTTAGAAAAGGTCCAATTTTTACGTTCCCACACCAGCTTGTTTCCGTTAGAAACGCAAAAACCGCTACGCGACCGCAATGCGTTGAGCCATTCCTCATGCGTCCTAAACCCGAAAAAATTTTTTCTAGTGAAAACAAATCACTTGCGACGATGTCTTGGCGAATTTATCGCGACGATTTTCGTGTCATCAACGAGGATGAAGTCAAGTCAATGGTAATTTCTAGCCCGAAAGAGTCTGGCTTCTCTGCGCTCTCTTCCCTCTCACTGTAGAGGTCGTAGAAAAAGAAAAAAAATCACGTAAACGCGAAGCAAGAGAAAGAGAACACAGAAAAATCAGACTTTTAAAATTTTAAGCTTAGGAAATCACAATATTTTAGCTCTCCATTGGATCAACTCGAACGAAAATGTCGAATATGAGTTCTTTCGTGAAACATCACGCTGTTCTTGGAACGAATACTCATGCTTCGTTCCATATGTATCCTCAGAGAAGGCCGATTCAGTTCGGACGCGCTGACAAGCAACTTTTCACTCAGGTAGGAAAAGAAAGGGAGAAAAATTGGCAAAGGAGCTTACGGAATATCTGAAACTTTGTAAAAAAAAAAAGAATGAGCACTGAATCTTTAGAAGTAGCGCTGCTGAGAGGCGGAAAAGCCTTAACGATTTTCTCTCCGATTTGAAAGAAAAAAATTTGGATTTTTCAAAAATAGTCCCAGGTGTGAGTTGGATTTATAAAAAAATTTTCAGATCTGAGAATGAGAAAAAATAGCTCGAAAATTAGTTTTGAATGATCAGAGGGTCTAATGCGCTCCACGGAGAATAATTCATTTTAATGATCTTATGACCAGAAAAAATTGAAGAAAGCGAAATTGGCCGACTCTTTTTGAGAAAAAAGGGTCCATTTTCAATTAAAAAAAAAAACAAATTGTAGCAGGAAGAAAGATGGGAAAAATCGGGTATAGTTTAACTTCAAAAATAAAACTTTACGCCTTTTTCTTTAAATTTACGATCCCATTTTTCATATCAGTTCAAGAAAAAGAAGGGGAGGTCAAAAATTAGAATTTACTGGAAAAGTTTTCGGGAGAGCAATTAAATTCGATCCAATAAACTTATTTTCTTTTCCGGAATTTCAACTTTTTCGCGCTGACTTTCAGATGAAGCAAGCGGTGCACGACAACCTGAACCCGTTCCTTGGAATGTCGTTCAACGAAAAAGAAGAAATGATTGTCCTGTGGAAGTTCTGCTCACGCGGAACCCTCCAGGACATCATCTACAACCCGGACGTCGTCCTGGACACCAAATTCCACGCCGCTTTCATCCGCGACATCACTTTGGGCCTCGAATATCTGCACTCTTCGCCGATTGGCTACCACGGCTCCCTGACTCCCTGGGCATGCCTCATCGACCGCAACTGGATGGTTAAGCTGACGGATTACGGTGATTACGACGCCCTTTGAAAGCCCCGAGGATCCCCCGGATTTTGTAGGGATCGCGAATCCGCTTGAGCGCTGGGAGAAGCTCGGCTACATCAGCACGGAGAGCTTGAAAGAGGGCGACGACAAGAGCGGTTCCACCCAGAAAACCAGTTGGTGAAGGGGGGAAAATGGGCTTTTTGGATGTTTCTAGAGAGGGTAATTAAAATGGATTGACTCTAATTTACGAGAGAAGCTCAAGAGTACATTTTTTCTAAGATTTGTTGGAAATTTTGATGATCTTTTTTTTTTATTTTTGTCAGATTTCGAGCATTAATTTGACAAAATGAGGGAAAAAAATGCCGTTTTTTTCTTTACCTCTCGGAGATGTTTCTTGTGGTAGAAACTTGTTCCTTGCAACTATTTGTAGGAAAATTTTTTTGAAGCTAGTTTTAAAGTCTCCGATTCTAAAAAAAATCGAATTTTTTCGCGAATTTTCCATTAACACGGGCCAAAAAAGTTTCGAAATTGGTCTTTTTGAAGGGAAAAATGATTATTTGAAGCCCTTTTTTGGGATTAAGAGGCTTGCGATGCAAAATGTTCTTATTGATTCAAGATCAGGACGGTCTGAAGTACTTCTCAACCAAGTTACAGATATTTCTCGAATCCAATTTTTTTTCATATTACGGAAAAGAATTTAATTTTTCATCATAGAAATCTTCTCCAGGGAAAATCCAGATGAATATCTCGTTTTTTTTTTTTCAAATTTAGGAGTTTCGCATTTTTGTTATGAAATCAAGTGAGCTTCAAAATTGACGGATTTAGAATATTTTGGGAAAGGCTTGAATTTGAGGTATACTCTACCAGCCGCCGGAGATGCTCAAGAATCGGGAGCAGAACCGGCTGAGAAGAACTGATCAGACTTGGGTCAAACAGTCGCAGACACGACGGCAACTTGGCGACATTTATTCTTTTGGAATGGTAATCTATTCAGCTTTGTATTTATAGAATAAATCCCTGGAATTTTAAAAAAATGCCTTTTTTTAAGGAATTTGGAAAGGATTTTTCTCCTCTTTTAAGGCTTTTCAAAGGGGAAAAATTGGATTCCGATGGAAAAATTCTTCGAAACTCTGTTAAGAATTCTTCGAGAATTTTTTTTTCTTTATATTTGAATCGAATTACTTTCGAGAAAATGCTTTAGAATTGTAGAAAAGGTCACTTTTTGAAAAAAAATAAATAAGTCTTATTTTTTTAATCTTTTTGTTTTTTTTTTTTTTTTTTTGATTTCGTGCTGTTAAAAATTTTATAACGGCCGCACAGTCTTAGTTTTTCTTTTTTTCAAATTTTGAAGAATTTTGACGTTTTTGACAATGAACTGGACTTGGATTGAATGCCGTGTCCAAATGGATTGGAAATTATTCGTCAGAGAATGAAAGAGATAACTAATTTTTGGAGAGTCAGAGAATACTTTGAAAACGACATAAGAAATTAATGAAAACTTTTTTTTCTTTAAAAAAATTTTGGTAGCTACTCATAAGCCATTAAGCCATTCTCAATGTGGACACCGTGTTTCAAGTCGAAAAATTCCAACAAAAAAACGAAATTATTGCAGGTAATGTACGAGATCATGTTCCGTGCTCTGCCCTTCGCCAATGGTACAAATATCAGCGGTAAATTAATTCATTTCATGAAACATAACGTAGAAAAATTATTGACACGTTTTCATGAAGAAAAATAGAATGACAAGTCTCTGAAACTAGTTCTAGAGCATTTTATTTTTGAATAAGTGGAATTTTTTGGCTTTTATCAGCTTCTTCTTTGTCATAGAGCTTTTGGTTTTTAAGATACGTTTTTTTTAATCTTCCGATTGGGCTATGAAGGGGAGTAGACAAAAATAAAGTTCAGGACCGTCTTATCTCAGAACGAGAAAAAAAATTGCTATATTTTTTTATTCGATTTATGACGTTTGAAAACTTTTTTCTCCATTTTTTTTTTCTGTATTTTTTAGACTTTGAAGCGTCACAACTTGAAGACAAGATCTATTGCGGGAATTTTTTTTTAGAAACAGAGGCCCTAAGGTAATTTCCAGAAAAGTTCCATCAGATCTCCAACATTTGTTTCGTTAGCTCAAAACAAAACTTTCCGAGAGAAAATTCACATTCTTGTGAAACTCTTCTAGAACTCATCGACTACGTCCGGGACGGGACGCGAACCTTCCGGCCGACGATTCAAGACAGGTCCCAGATCCATCCCGACCTCAACGCTCTGCTTCTCGACTGTTGGAATGAGAATCCAGAAGTTCGCCCTTCGATCCGCCGTGTTAGACTCAACACGGAGAGCTACCTCAAAGTGTACTTATCCCTTTGAAAATACCCCGAAAAGCCGTGTTTTCTTCTAGGAAAGGTTCTCTGGTGGACCAGATGATGAGAATGATGGAACAGTATGCGAATAATCTCGAGAAACTCGTCGCCGAACGAACTGGAATGTTAGAGGAGGCCAATGTCCGAGCCGATAAGCTCCTCAGTCAGCTTCTTCCGAAGTAATCCCTTGAATGATTTGAAGTCAAGTTACCGTAATTTTTATGGGCTTTCTTTTGATTTCTGTTTTCTTAGTCCTTCGGGATTTTTTATTTTCGGACCAATGGAGTAGATATATTTCGAGAATTTCAGATATGTCGCAAATGAGCTGAAAATGGGCCGATCGGTACCTCCAAAGACGTTTGCTTCAGCCACAGTTATGTTCAGGTAAAACTATAACTTCGATTTCAAAAATTTTATCATACCATTTACGATCTCTTGTTATATGAATAGCAAGTTATATCATAGAACAATTTTAAAAAGTGGACAAAAACAAAAAAAAAATCTCTAACCGCCAAGGGCATCGATTTCAAGTAGTCATTTGAGTGGCTTCAAGAATTATTTGAACGCGATCAACGGAAAAATGGCTTAGTAGACGAGTCATTCCAAATGCGGCACGTGGAATGTGTCTCCAACGAAATTCAGTGGAATTTTTGCAAGCTGACCATCGAAACTCATTTCCTTGCATCATGGCTTTAATTTTTTTGCGACTTCTAAGTTTTTTTGACGTAAGACACTACAACGACACGTTGAGCCATTCCAAGTGCGGTCATAATGAAAATAAAGTCAAAAAAGGCGAATTACAGCGATATCGTTGGTTTCACGACAATTTGCTCTTCTTCCACTCCCATTGAAGTCGTCAACATGCTCAATAATATTTATAGCAAATTTGATGACGCCATCAACCGTAATGAGGCTTACAAGGTTCAAAAAAATCCCCGAGTTACTGAAAAATCATGAAAAATGAAGGTTGAAACAATTGGCGACGCCTACATGGTCGTCTCAGGAATTCCAGAAGAAAATGGCCATGAACACATTAAACGAATCAATGACACGGCTTTGGATATCATGGAGGTTTTGAAAAAAAAATTCATTTTTCAAAGATTTTCATCTTTAGTTGCTGAAAACCTATGAAATACCGCACCGGAAGAGTCATAATCTGCGAATTCGGCTTGGAATCCACACCGGTTCGGTTGCCGCCGGCGTCGTGGGTCTTACCGCGCCGAGATATTGTCTCTTTGGTGATACTGTAAGTTTGGAAGGCTCACTGGAAAAAAAAAAATTTTAGCGGATTTTTCAAAATTTCTCAACTCAAAATGTTACTGACATGGGAATGTGAAACTTTTTAATTTCATTTTCCACATTTATAAACCACTACTAAAAAGTAAAATTGTTAGGGAAAACAGCAAATTTGACGCTTATATAATAGGTTTCAGTTAAAAGTTCAGTAATTGCTCAACTTTTAAAATTCAAAGTGGAAGCTTTTAAGATTGGAACTTCCGAATTTTTATTTTTTTATTTTTTTCCGATTTCCAAATTTTTTTATTTGGGTTTGATCAGAGCGATCAGACTTCATATAGCTGATTCACGGCTAGCTTGAGCCATCGAAAAATGGGTCCTGACACGATAAAAAGGAACCAGTGCCGAGTTGGTGGAGAGCGCAGACAGGCCACGTCTTTTTCCGTTCCAAGTTAGCCGTGAATCGGCTATATATTCATACTTGTAATAAAAATTTTGTTTGAGACAGAATTTTCTGCACTAATAATTTTTTTTCATGGACGTGAATCCATTTTTCGTGAAAGTTGAGGCATGACGAACTCAATTTTATTTTAGTCTATAAAAAATTGGACTTATGTTGCTTGATTCTTATAGGCGCATACGTCTTGCACGTTCACAAAAAGCTGCAAACGCGCCTTCGTTTTAAGACCTTGTTGAAATTTTTTATGGTCCCTTAAACCACCAGAAAAGATTCTCTTACTGACTCGAGAAAATGAACCTTTTAAAACCGAAAAAGTCCTTCGAAGATCCCGTGCTTAAGTCAAACTTGAAAAAGCCAAAAATCTGGAATCTATAACATCTAAAAACTACACATTTTTAGGTAAACGTTGCTTCGAGAATGGAATCAACTGGCCAACCGGAAAAAATCCAAATGTCCGAAGCGGCTCGAGATTATTGCCTCAAATATTATTCCAATTACCGTATTTCTTTGCGAGGCACTGTTGAAGTTAAAGTTAGTGGTTTCAGGGTGATTCATTGAATAAAATTGTTAATTCTACAGGGAAAAGGCCCATGCACGACTTATTGGCTGGAAGGAAGGATCGATGAAACGGCGGAGGCCAATCGAAGCGCTTTGGCCCATCTTGGATTCTGAAAATTTGACATAATTTTCTTGAAAATGATTGCTGAGGTGTTTAAAGGAGCATCTACTGATTTCGAAATGAGTTTTGAGGCGAGAAGCCGCTTATTTTTCGTCTTCCGGTCCTTTGATCACTATCTTTGATTGATAAAACTCCAACGTCCCTCCTTACTAAAAATAGCCTTTTTTTCAAATTGGCTCATATTAAATTTTTACCTGGATGATTTATATTCTGATTTTTTTGTTCTACGTTCATTGGTCACTGATAAATTTTTTATAATTATTTTTTAATAATTTCTTCATTTTTCGTAAAATCGATTCGCAGAGACGATTCGATGATACTTAAATTGGTCCTACTTTACATTTCAAAATGAATGCTTGAAAAATAAAAATGTTTTGTAAAATCTTCAAAGCATGCACTTCTATGTCGTGGTGTATGACGAATTGACGCGCTTTTTCGAGAAATTGTGATTTTTTGTTTTTTCGCCTTTTTTGTTCAGTTATACATTGATGCGTTTGTTCAGCAATTTCAACAAATTTTCCTAACGCTTAGTGAGTTTGGAGTTCTTGCATATTTTTGAAAAATGTAGCTTTAAACTGCATTTAAATAAAGTCTTCTACTCCAGTTTATTATTGTCGTCTAAAAATCTCTGAAAGATTCTTTTGTGTTCGAACATTTTTTTCAAATCTTCATTATTTCACTTTTAAAGCCTTTTAAAGCGTGTCTTGAAGTTTCGTTAAAATTATATCTTGATAGAAATTCCAGGAATAGATTGTGAAAGTTTTGTGATTTGCATTTTTTGCTCCTTCGATTCATACCTTTCTACCTTCTATTTATTTTTTTCAGAGCTCTACATACGGTCAAATGCTCTTAACATCTTGTACAAATAAGGCGAAAACATGTTTGTACAGCAATTGCACGTGGAATCCCAATTAGGAAGGCTGGAAAATGTGCGCGCCAGAGGCACCGAGAGCCCTTTCATCAATTAGCCTTGTGGACTTTAAAGGTAATTTTTAATTTGATTAGTTTTTGGAGATCTATGTGAATTTTGAATATCGCTGAAAAATCGATGCTTTTTGATTTTTTTTTTTTGCGAGATTTCCGATTTTGTTGAATTTATTGATTGAAAGTTTATTCAAAATAATTTTTTGAGAGTTCCGAACTGTTTCTTTTGATGATTTTTATTTTTCGCCACTTTTTTTTTCGAATTATACCCTTCCCTTTCTGGTCTGTGGATATATTTCGCAATATATTTTTGTCCAAAACTGACCCTTGACTTTTTTTTCCATTATCAATGTTATCAGAACATAATTTTTGACACGAAAAGGTGCGACATTTATTGGCGGCGCGGCTGTTTTGTAGAGTTGTTATTCGCGCCCCGCCGATATCAGTTGCATCATCAAATCTTCCTTTTACAATCAGGCCAAGGAGCCACACCTCGACCTTGGATGATGTAGTGAAATAGAGGAAAATTGAGAATTTAGAGGTGAGATTATGAATTAATAATTTTTGATCTCTACTGGGGTCTAAGCTCACAGTGGGACTTTTGAATGAGACTAGGTTCATTAGATGTAGTTTTTCACGCTGATTCCGAATCTGTCTTTGAATAATGCCGGCGAGGTCTGTGAAAAAAGTTAGGGGCTTTCAAAAGTCGAAAAGTTCAGTGCCTTTGAATGAGATCATTTCTAGAGCCTATCCAACTGGTTTGATTAGTTTTCATTTTTTTTTTTCTTGATTTTTCTCTTCTGATTAATTCAATTTTTTGATCTGTCCAGTATATGTTGAGAGCAGCTTCAGAACTTAATAAATGAACCTTCGAATGGGGAAAGTTCAGTTTACTGCTAGATAAACACGAAAAAGTTTTCAAAAAGACCAAAAAGTACTTTTTTTTAAACTTCTCAGAGAGTCTACTAGTCATTGTTGTACTTCAAACAGTACCCTGCGCACTTTTCAAAATTTTTTGAATTTCCAGGTGAATTAATACCATCCTTGTAATTTTTGAAAATGCCCAGAACTAAACCTTTACCTTTGATTCAAATCCTGTGCTGTTCAAAAAAAAAACCGTCGCCAAACGGTGTCCCATTAAACGAGTCTGATGGATGAATCAGTGCATTTGATCACCCAATTCGCGGTTTTTTTTCTGTTTCCTTCGTCGCCAAAAGTTTTGACCGACCATTTGAAAATCTGCACTTTTATTATGATCCAACGCAGTTTCTCACGCATGACGGCGTATTTTTCGTTTTTTTATTCGTTTTTTGATGGATATTGGTTCAAATTCGTTTGCGTTCTTTGTTTCTTGTACTTTTTCGAATGGAAATGGATTATGATTCATTTCCAATTTTAAAATTTCAACCGTTTTTTCTTGATTTTACACAAATGAGAAATAATCTCTCAAAATTTAAAACCACGGACTTTTTTTCAAGACTATGTTTGGCGCCCAACTTTTTTGACGACCGTAATTAGCCGCCGCGTAAAAATTTCAAGGTTGAGAAAGTTCTGAGGAAATTAACTAATTAGAGGTAAACTGCTGGAACGACCCTTTTGGTCAAACTTTGAATGGAGATAAATAGCCTAGCCGATTTTGACTTGATTTGAAAAGAAATTTCGGCTGAGAACATTTTTCGGCTCGACGTCGTTGTGCTTTAAATTTAAATTTATTCGAATTTTTAGATTTTTTTTTCAACGATTTTCGGAGTTTTCGTCTATTTCATGAGGTTATCTGTCAAAGAAGCAGCAAGTTAAACCCATAATATATTTTTCAATTTTTTTGATTTTACGTGTTCTTTTTAAAGCTACCAGTGAGCACAGTATAATTGTTGCACTAGTTGGGTAATAAGTTAATTGGCTGCCATATTCGGAAGTTGCATATTACGCCGGAAATCCGTTGCGCAATTGTTTGACGTCGAATTCTCCTCAACCCGTTGTGTCCGGTGACGTCATCGAGCGTCTCGAATGTCGCCAAAAAAGTCTCTGTTTTGTCGAACTTGGTAAATGTAAAGTTACTTGGACGATTAGATTGAGCTTTGTGCCGAAAAAAGTCTACAAAACTCGATTCTTGACCTCTTTGTGCTCTTTTTTGAAAAATAAACAAAGTATTTTTTTTTGGTTTCAGGTCTTTTTTGAAGTTCTAAAGTTTTTCATTGAAGATTTTTTTGATTACTAAAAAAAAAACCAAATTTCCGAACTCTGTTTGAAAATTTGCCGGAGAAGCTGAAAACATCATTTTTTTTGATTTTCAACTTTATTTTTGCCGTTAATCTTTTAAAGATACTTTTTTTTACTAACTTATTACCGGAATTTAGTTTCAGCAGTAAATAATTAGATTTTGAATAATTTTGAAGAGAAGATAAGTCAGTTCTGAAAATTAAGGTTTTATAGTAAAAAAAAAAAAGAAGACGATTCCATAAACTGCGAAAGTTTTTGGATTATTTTTAAAAGTTTCCACCGAAGATCGCATTTTTTTTAATTAACAAAAAGTGACTTTTACTGCTCTAAAAAGCGGGAGATAACAGGCTTAACCGGATCATTACCGTAGATAAAACCTGAAAGCCGATACGGTTGGCTTGTGTTTGTGTGCACTCGGTGTTGAAGGAGGGTGGTTAATGTCATCGATAAACAGATCATCCAACCGCTTATATATTATATTTCCTCCTTTTGGGTCAGATTCGCAATCGGAGCATCATTCATGTAGTGCAAAACAAGAAGAATGAGTTATATTCTGGCAAAAAGGTGCAAAAGAGTTTTTAGGGCATTTTTTCTTGATAAAGTTAGTGGAAATGTAGGAATTTCTTGTTGAGGTAAATGAGCTTCATTTTGTCAAGGATTTCTTTTTAGGTAGTTTTCATTCACAAGGGTAAAGAAAATGTAGAAGTTTGGGTCTATATAAATAAGCGATGTTCTGAAAATTAGGTTCACGAAAAGGACTGGTTTTGGGCAATTTTTTTTTGATAAAAGTAGTGCTAAAGATATTATTTTTAAGTTCGGATGAATGAACCACATTTTGATTAAAAAAAAAGGTACATGACAGCTGCTTATTTTTCAATTTCCGGAAGTATACTTTTTTCCTAAAAGTATACTTTTTTCAAGTCTTACGGATTTCAAACAGGTTTTCATGATGGTAAAAGATGTCTAAAAATCAAATGAGAAACTAGGTTTTTTTTTGAGGACATGTTTGTAAATAGGACTTTTCTCTATAAACACTGGAACAGGAAAAATCCCTTGCTTCCAAGTCTTTTTTTTTCCTTTCAAGAATCCCTTAAATGTCCCGTAAACCGCGATGATCGCAAGACGTTATGTTAATGCCAAATATGGGTTCACATTTACCGTTTTTTGTTGTTGTTAGGACCTGATTCATCCGGTTTCATTGCTTGGGAAGGGAATCCTAGCCATTCATAACAAATAAATGTCCTTTTTACGACGTTGTCAGATTGGATTGTAGTGGCTTCTGGATTTAGAAGCCGAAAATTGACAATTTTTTTCGAAGCTTTCAGGTTTTTTTTTCTGAAACCAAAGTTTCTACTTGTTTTCATAACTCTTCACAAATTGATAGATCTTCAAAATCCCCCTTCAAACCAGTTTCCAAAAAAACCGCCATCGACCTATCAAAAAGCGATTAGCAAGATTGCGCCACCGTACAAACCTTGTACGCGGCGGCGGCAAGGCTATCTTTTCGTCGAGGGCAAAGAATAACACTGGGATGAGTTACGGTGGTAGGATATGATCAAACGCGCTCCGCCGCCAACCACAACGATTTACAGCCGGACCTCAAAGCTCTCCGAAGGGAAGCCATCAGCTGCGCCACCGTGATCTTATCTTCCTAGGCGATGAATTGGATCGCTGGGTGGCGTCAGATGTTTCAGGTCATCTGAACAGTTTCTTAGAAGGTTTCGAAACTTTGGAGAGGTTCTGAAGCCGTTAGGAGATTCTAAGGCTTCTAGTCGGCTTTTGGAACCTCTATAGTACTTTATGAGCTTCAAAAGTTTTTGGAACTTTCTTTGAATTCTCGAATGAAGATTCTGAAGTCGTCAGGAAGATTTTTATGATTCGCTTCTGAAGTCACTATGAATTCTTTCGATTCGAGTGACGATTCTGAAGTCGTTAGAAAGGTTTTTATGCTTCTATTCGCTTCTGAAGTCACTATGAATTCTTTCGATTCGAATGAAGATTCTGAAGTCGTTAGGAAGATTTTTATGCTCCTATTCGCTTCTGAAGTCTCTAAAGTCCTTCTAGAAAGTCCCGTAGATTTCAAAGACCTGAGGTTGTAAGAAGCATTTGTGAAGCTTTTAAGATGGCGTCTGATACTCTAGACCTTGTTATAAGCTTATTTGGACAAAGAAGAGAATTTCGAAAGTTTGAAGAGCTTCTCGAGCTTCTGGGATGAATTCAGGTTTTCTCATCTTTTTGAAAATTTTTAGTTGGAAGTTTTTCGACTGCATTGAAAACCTTTGCAGGGATATACTTCGAACTTTTGAAAAAATAGACCGATTCTGAAGTCGTGAGAATGATTTTGAAGGCTTTGACAGAATTATGAAGCTTCTGGTATCGAAGTCTATAGTTTTCTTTCTATGAATTTTCCGAAAAACCTTCCCAGTCCTTCAAAATCTTATCTCAACACACCAAAACACCGAAGAAATCAAGATAAGAAGCCCTAATCCAAACTTTTCCCCTTCCTTTCGAATACCGGAACGTGGGGCAGGTGCCGGCGCAGGTGTCACATCACCTTGTCCCAGCGGATTACCAGAGTCAATTGCGGCGCGAGACAAGACGATGAGGAGGAAGGAATGGATCCCACCTGGGCAAACGTCTTGCAACAGGTAAATGAGGCTCCACTTTGCTCCTTCATCTTCGGCGCGGTAATCCCAGGCGAGCGGCTGGTAAGAAATTGGCGTTTGAATGGGAGAATAATGGTAGGCTTAGAATGGGGATTTTTGGATCGGTAGACATCGTAGTTTTGCTCACCTACAAGGAAAGTCATTTCACTTCGAGTCTTTGATTTTCTTTGTTCTTAAAAACTTGCAAGAGTACTCATCGATGTACCACATGAAGATCTTGATGCGAAATTTTCTTTTTTTCGAGAAAACTATCAAAAACCGTTAAAATGGTTCTCTTGAGGATTATTCTCGAAAAACAAGAAGTTGGACTGGGATCGCCATCGAATCCTTTAGAGAACAATAAATTCATAAAGTACGAACAAAAGTTGGCGTGAGTTTCGGAACATATATATGTATTGATTTTCCGATTTCAGGAGCTTTATTGAAATTTTCGCATTTTGAAACAAGTATAATTGTAAATTGGAACCCTCGAAGGTATTTCAGACCTGAAGATTGAATTTTTTCATGTTAGTCTGTAATTTTTGAACAATAATAACACCAAATATTCAAAAAAAAAAAGACGCTTTAAAAAATCTGAAACAATAACTATGAAGAATTTTGAAAAAATCTTTTTCAGAATTTTCGTTTTTTGCTCGACAAAATCGGAAATTTTTAAATACTAACACCTTGGCAACACGAAAAAAAGACGAAAACTGTTATAAATCCCCATAAACGGTCATATATAATATGTGTGAGCAGACATGTTTCACACTAGATTGCTACTCTCACCAAAGATTGATATCTGTTGGATTTCCGAGTCTCTGCTGCCCAAGTCAGGCGCTCCTTTGATTTACAATGGTGTTTTTGGTACGGGGGCGGGAACCGAATCCAACAGCCGATACTTGTTGGTTGCGCCATCGCAGCTGGGAACTAGTCGTCTGCTTTTTCGTCCCCGTTTTACAGGCTTCTTGGGAACGCATCCGCTTCTTTTTTCGTTTCGTTTACTTCTCATAAACTTTTCCGGTGGTTCTTGGGAATTCTTCTCGATTTTCGTTTTTTTTTTTTCTGGACTTTTCGGCGCACTTTTTGATGTTTCAATCTCAAAAAAGGCTTACTCATTAGAAATCTATTCGCCTTTTTTTTTCGTTTTCCTTCAATCTTCAAGTTTTTTCGGTAATCTTGTTGCGAATTTTTTTCGATTTACCGTGTTTTTTTTTGGACTTGTCGGCTTGACTTTTAGCGTTTTAAGATTCTAAAAAGGCTCCGAACAGTTTCAAACTTGTTATTTTTAGATTTAGAGAAGCTGAGAGCTCTGCTGGACCATTTTCTAAAATTTGAGCTTCTAAAAAACTTTTTCAGCTGGGTTTTTTGTCACGTTATTTTTTTTTGACGCTTTCAGGTCATTTTTCTAATTTTTCCATGCCTTTTTTCACTACTTTTGGGGGTTTCAGCTTCCAGGAAAGCTGAGAGCATTTTTAGGTTAAATAGAAGGACGCTGGACTTTTTAGAACCTTTTCTTGGCATTTTTAATGTTGCAAATACGGTTTTGTGGGTTTTAGCTTCTATAAGGGCTGACATTTTTTTCTGTTAAAATAAAATGAACACGGACTTTCCTGGGAATCTCCTCTTGATGTTTTTTCTATCGGTCCTTCCTTTTTGAAAGTTTTTAGAAGGTCGGAAGACCAACTTCTCAAGAAGCTGCCTCACTGAAAAAGCTGACAACGGCCTTGGAAGTTCGCGTTTTTCTTGGTTACCGAACCTCGGTCATAGTAACGTCTTCTCCCACTCCTCAACGACGTCTTCTGAAGTGGGTGTGGCGTGTTTACCGAGTCGGAAACTTCACATCCCGAGGAAGATGAAGACGAAGACATAATCCGCGTGCGGCGACGCATGTTTCCTTCTCCTCATCGCAGGTCCATTAGTGTTCGCACCCACTTGCGTCACACCTCCACACACTTGTTCCTTCCTTCCTTCTTTGTACAGTTGTCGTCTCGATAACTTGTCCCCGAGGAAGTTACCCGTCCATGAAATGGTGGGTATATGACTGAGAAGCTCAAAAAACCATGATGTTCATCACGATCGAAAGAAAGCTTTTCTGTGCACGATCATACAAAGTTTTAGGGCGGTAGAGTTGAATAAGAATCGAAATTGGATCATTCCTGGTTAAAAAAATTTTTCGAGACGCTTTTCATAAATATGACGCTGTACGGAATCGCCAAACGAAATCTTTCCGGGGAAAAAAAAGAGGTGGAAAAAATAGCCTCTTGAGATAGGACTGTTGCGCTCTATTGATAACCCTAGATAAACTCACAAGATTGTGGCTTTTCCTCTTACCCTCTCCGGTTTGGGGCCTTCTTTGAGGATTTATCAATAGAGCGCATTTGTTTCGGGTAATTAAGCTATTTTCTAACCTTACTTTTTTTCTCACCTTAAAGAGCTTTAAAGTGAAAAAATATTTTTTGGTTTTTAACTTGAACCTCCAATTTTTGAAAAAAAAATTTCGTTATTATGAAACTGGAGCTTTTGAAGTTCTAACTATACGGAATCTAGGATTCTGTACCAAAATTTGAAAAAAGTTTGAGCAAATTCAAATTTCGAAAGCGGTACCTTTTCCACGCCGACACACTCCAACATCTCATATTTACCCAATCACTTTTTTTTTGAATATTAATTGTCGGCACGGCGGCGATTGTCTCTCTCTGAGTCGGCGGCCGCGGGAAGTTCTTTCGCGGTCACCGACCAGCTCCATTCACGCCTCCTAATATCCTGCACTATTCATCGAAGGCCTTGTTCCGATTCGATAGGTTTTATTCCAAATCGGGTTAGCCCATAAGGCTATTTTTCGAAGTTTCTTTTCATATTTTGGTTTTTGAAGAATGATAGGTTTATCCACTGTAAACACTATGAAGATAGTCAAATCTGACAGATTTCACTCCGAATCTGGTTAGAACACATTTTTTGAATTTTCAGCTTTTTGAAATTTTTAGTCAAATCTGAGAGGTTTAACCCCGTATCTGGTTAGGTTTCCATGAGAGAAATTTTTTTTTCATTTATTTTTTTAGTCAAATCTGATCAAAGTCTAGTAAGGCCTTTTTGAACTTTACGTTTTTTTTGTTTTGTGTCAAATTCATTCTATATGAAATTTTATAGGGCCCAATTCATTAATATAGTACAGAAAAGGTCTTTTTTTCGAAAAGTTCTATCAGAAAAAAATAAATCAAAAATATTTTTTTTTTTCTAATCCCTTAAAAGCCTACAGTAACTGACCACCGTAGACCGATTCATCGAAATTCAATTACGCTATAATCTTCAAACTTGGAACTTATATCTTTTGTTTACTAAAGGATCATGTTGACTGGGCCCAAATTTGTCCTTATCGGTTCAGCCTCCACTTAGGGCCCGCCTCCTTTTAGGGGAGTATTGCGGCGAAGAAGTGGGCGGAGCCAATTTGTCATTTGCGATTTACACGGCGCCCCGCTAATCGTTTTCCTTGATCCGTATGATATCTATTGTCTTTTTGAAAGTTTTTCGGGATTCTGAAATTTCTAAAAAACTTGGGGAACCCTTAGAAACCTGTGAAGTTCAGAATTTCCAGATTTTACTCTCAAAAAATTTTTTTATTTGAAATTCAATGGGGTTCAAGCATGTCAATTGAATATTTTCGTCAGGCATATGGAAATTTCTGATTTTCTGAATTTTTTTTACTTACCTATCTATCGTTATACCGCAGTTTCGATTTTTAACTTTTTTCATCTAAATTTTCCGTTTCAGCATGTCCCCAAAATCTTCAAGCCGCCTGTCGCACTCGGACTACGGATCGACGTCTTTCTCCTCGGATGACGACGAGTTCACGATGATGTCATCGAGATTGGCGCCGACGACGCCGCCAGGCGTCTGCCCTCACTGCAGCAAGGTCTTCGAGCAGGTATATCATTCTTTAATTTGAAAAATGAACTCTCTCTGTTTTTCATTTCAAACAGCCATCAGAACAGTTAGGAGAGTTGTGAGAAGTTTCAAAAAGGAGAAAAAATAGCTTCATGTAAAACGTCTTCTGTGCTCCAAGGATAAACTGAGAAAAAATGATCTACAAGGCATCGAAAGAAATTTTAGTGACAGTCACAAACTAAGAGAACTTTGGAATATTCAGCGAAAAATTGAGAAAATATAGCCTCGCGTTATGAGGTTATATGCTACATTGCTAAATAAAACTATCAAGGAAGCTCCTAAAATGAAATCTGAAGAATGGCTGGGTATAAAATTTTGGGAAGAATAGTCTCACCAGCATGTCTGCTCTGATGCGAAGTTCAGAAAAAAAAATTTTAAAATTCAATAAAAAATAAGGAAAAGTTCCTTAACTGGTCTTTTTGCGAAGCTCAATGTTGAAATTTTCGTGAGTTCAGATCATTTTCTAAGCGGGCACTTGAGTAATTTCAGATTTTTCCTCAAACTACCACTTAAAATTTTTAAAATTAACATCCAATTTTCCACCTGAGAGGTTTCAAATAATTCTTTAAGCGTCTGGGTATCTGTAGACTATCCATCAAGAAGCCACTTGAGTAGTTACAGGAATTTCTTCGAATCTTCACTTGCGTGATTTATTTTTTTGCTAAGTTGTCACCATCCAAAAACTCATCCGTAGAGGCCAAACCCATCATCTGCGAATACGGAACAAGAAGAGGAAGATTGACAAGGCTGAAGGCGTTGCGCAACCTGCGCTCCATGGGACATGCTGGGGTTTAGGTGGATATTGGAAATTTGTTTGCCGACCCATTAGCTTCAGCTCGAACTCATCTCTATTTGAACTTCTTAAGTCCCGAGCCTAAGGGCGGTTGGTCACCTGGTGTCGCCTCACGCCCAAGTGTGCCCGAGCTCGCGCTAATTGGCGGTTAGCCTCGAGAGCCCTCTTCTTCTTTCTTCTCTCTTGTTGCTCCTTAATAGGCTCTAATTTTACGAGAAGTATTGTGCAATACACCCGCAAATTACGGGGGTGTTTTTTGGGACAACAATAAGAGTGGAATATTTTTTGGTTTGAAGTGGTTACTGTGTTTCAAAAATGACGGAAGAGGTAATTTTCTGAATTTTATGAGAATATAGAGTTGTATTCGAGCTATGGCATGCATAATGAACTAGAGGAATAAAAACTGCAAAGTTTGAAAAAAAGTACATGCTGGTCAGTGGAGCACAAGTGTGTTCTTGGAAAAGGCCATTTCTCAAAAGAACTTTTTTATAGAGTTAGATAGAGTAAGGAAAGTTAGGATTTTTGGACAGCACTATTTTTGATTTTTTTAATTGAATTTTGAGAAAAAATACAAAATTGTCGGTGGAGCGCATGTGTGCACTTGGTTGAGGCTAAATTTCAAAAATAACTTTTTTTTTCCCCTTACTGTTTCTTGGCAAGTTCTAGTTGAACGAGAAATGAGTATTTTGCATTGTTTCCGCCAATTTCTGCGTTGTTTTTGGGGTAAAAAAAAGTGAGAAACTTGGCCAGGTTGACGTAAGTTTCAGAATATATATTAATTTTCAATTTCAAAAGGATTGTCAATTTTTTTGACACACACATAAAAAAAAGCGTGAAATGAGACCTTCAAACCTCTTGATCTCGTTTTAGCCGTTAACTTTGACGAAAAAAGACTCGCAATAAAATTTTGAACACTGATACGGTAGCCTTCTCGCTTAATTTTGAAGCGGGACCCGCAAAAAAATTTTTGAAATTGTAGTTTTTTTTAGATCATTGGGGATCCATAGATTTTTTAAAAGTTAGTTTGAATGCTGGTCACTAACTTTTTACTCTTTTCTTCTCATTCACAGCGAAGTATCCTCCTTGGATAGGTTCTGACGTTTGAACGACGTTCAATTGAAGTGAAGTGCCGGATTTGGAGGTACTCAAAACACGTAACTTTGCCGTCCAGCTGTTCCCCATTGTTTTGTCGAATAGGCCGATCCCCTCTTGACAACGGTTTTACTTCTAACGATTTCGATTCTTATTCAAATTAGATGTTTGATGGGCTCAGAATGGTACCATTCTAAGTAGCTTTTTGTACTTTTATGAGATCGCAAGGCAAGAAAAATCATGAAAGAGGAGAAGTTTTTGAAACATGGTACTGCGCGATTTTCACGAGTGAATCTAGATGTTCCTTTCCTTGGCTGGAAGGGTAAAAGTCAAACTTCGAGGCTTTATAACTCGGCTTGAAAACAAAAAAAATATTCTTTTTTTTCCATGGTTTCTAGAGCATTTCAAGAATGTAGACATTCTGCATGCTTCGTTATTCTTCCTGTAAGAAGGAATTCCAGCCGGTCTCCCTGCAATGCGGCCACTCTCTCTGCCTCGTTTGCTGCCACTCGCTCCTCGTCGCGGCTTCTGAAGCCCCGGTGCCGTCGACGCCGTCCCGACGACCTCGGATGGGCGTCAGTAGCTACGTCGGCTTCCAAAGACCTGAATCCAGGTAATTTTTCGATTTTCCTAAGTTTTAAAGGTGCACGGGTGGTAAAAAGCGCACTTTATGCAACATTTTCGAACGGATCGTATTAAATAATTTCAAATAATGTCACCTAGAAAATAAGTGAATTCGTCTGTATGAAATGAAGAAGTTTAAAAACTATTACGGATATAGGCCCTATATTAATTGAAATTTGAGTAAAGCATAACGGATATGTGAGCGTTACAACGTAAGTTAGAGATATTAGTGGTTTCGAGTACTTCGACCTTCAAGTATTTATTATTTAAAATAAAAAAAAGATTCAAAGCTTCCAAAATTCAAAAAAACCTTCAGAGCTTCCACGCCAAGCCTCGGAAACAACAACGGAGCTGCCTACCGTACCCCCCAATGCATCGTCTGTGGAGCCCCGCCAAACATGGCTTCCCCGATCCCGAATCTAGAGCTCGAAAGCTTTCTGAGGAACATCAGAACCCTCAGACTCAACGAATTCCCGAGCAGCACTTCCGATTTTGATCGAAGACCTCAGAGGTAGTGGAATCTGAAGAATTTATGAAATGATAAGGTCGAAATTAAGACTCTCGGAGGCGTTGTGCATGCACGAGTGTCGGATCGCCGTCGTTGGAGCCAGAGGGGTTGGCAAAACGTCATTGGTTGGTTTTCACCTTGCCGCATATCTTGATCTTAGAATTTTTCTGTGTACTTTAGTTTTCCTGAACATTAATGGTAGCTTTAAAGTTTTTTTTTTTTGAAGTTTGAGTATTAGAGGAAAAAAGCTTCACTAGAACTTTAGAGTTTTAATTACTTCTATAGATCTTGAAGGGTTAGGCTACTTTGTACTAATGAAGAGAGCTAGAGTAATATATCGTCAAGCTTAGGATTTTCCCGCCCAGTTTAGGACTCACTTAACAAGGACATTTAATGAAAGACAGAGTTTCAGAAAAGCCTAAGGTTGCTCTAAACTTAGGAACTCCAGAGTGGTCCCTATAGGGGTTAGGGGGAAAAAAAGCCCTTATAGGGACCGAAAAATTGGTCCCTTTAGGGGTAACATCAAGGTGGTCTTTATAGGAGTTTAGGTTCTGACCCCCAAGCTTCAGTGGCCTTATAGGGGTTAATATAGTTTTCCCTAGACTCCCCCTTGTATCCTGACCCTCCAAGGGCCCCTAAGGTTGCCCCTATAAGGGCCACTCTGAAGTTCCTAAAAAGAGTATTCAAGAACTTCAGATAACTTTATTGGATTTCAGAGAAGAAAAAACTAGAAAATACCTAAAATTAAACAACTTGTCTAACTTCTCAACTATTTTCAGACCCGAGTGCAATACTCGAACGAAATCATGTTTCCGGACCTCCTAGGCGACGCCAGTCCCACTGATTCCTACATCATCGACATCATCGACGGCGGCGTTAGTAGCTTCAGAAGCAATTCTTTCAGAATTCTCCTTTTGCAGGATCTCGACGAGAGCATGAACAACGCGCACGGGTTCATTGTCATGTACTCGGTGAGCGACCGGCGGTCGTTCTACGAAGCCGCCCAGCTGTTCAAGCAGCTCGAGGTCAACTCCGAGCACAACGTGAGCGAGTTCGAGAGTCGATTTCGAATGTAAAAAGTAGTATTGGGAAGGGTTCAGCAATTTTTTCGTTCTATACATAGTCCTAGAAGGCTTATAAGGCATAAGATATCTTCGGAAAGTAGGTTACATAAAAAGTTGAAGTCATCTTCAAAAAAGTCACAAATTGCCGGTAACCGTTTATAATCCCCTGATCAAAAATCAAAAAAGACTGTAGTCGGATCATCTCCAACTTTCTTCAGCAGCCAATCGTCCTCGTCGGCTCGAAAAAAGACCAGGAGAAGAAACGCGAAGTGCCGACCTACGAGGGCCAGAAACTTGGCCGCGCCATCGGCTGCCCTTTCCTAGAAGTTTCCGCGAAAAGAAACGACTGCGTCAGTGAGGTAACCCCCTTGTGAAGCTTCAAAATCCCACGATCTCGAATTTAAGACCTTCTCCGAGCTGATGATCTTGATTCAGAAACAGCAGAAGCAGTGGCAAGAGACCATTTCGCGCGCAATTCGATGAAACATTCTCAATTTTCCATTAAAATAAAAATAAAAATTTCATTTCTACAACGTATAGAAAGTGGTGTGAAAGCTTGGCAAATACAAATGAACCCTTGAAAGATTCGAGCAATTCAAGAAGCTTGCTCTAAAGTGGGAGATCAACTCGAAATTTGAGCTCGAATCTGAAAAAAAGATTAAAACATGTATCAATCGGTAGAGAATTTCTAAGATTAACTCGCTCGTCGAGTCAAGTACTAGTCTGAAGCTCTCATCGGTGTGGTTTCCTCCCGAAAAACGGAAATCTAAATAAAAAGTACGACTTTTCAAGTTTTTTCTAGTGTAATCGATAGAGCAGCTCCTATGTAGTACTGTTATCATATCAGTTTCTGAGAAAAAGCTCAAAAAATGGGTGAAAACAGGTCCGAAAAAAAGGCGCTTTTAGACTTTCAAGCTTCATAACTCAGTTCTATTTCTAGTTACAGATAAACTGATTGAATCAATCGATTCGTCTGGTTATTAGCTTTTCAATGGTATAAGACTTCAAGAGTTTCCATCAACGTTAATATCTCAGGAGTGATCCTAATTAGGACAGAAAATAAACTTGAGTTTCTTCGGAGCCAGTATTTCACAAATTCTTCTTCGAGTTTCCATAACGATTCTCCGAAAGAGGACCAACTCCAAAAAAAATCATAACTTTCTTTCTAGAGGTCTAAAAATCTTCCTACTTTGATTTTTGGGTCTATGACGTCATTCCCTATCGATTGATGTAAAAATCTGGAAAACTTTGGTTTTCGGGAAAATCGAAAAAAGTGCAGTCTAACCCCTTAGCTTTTTTTCGAGCTTCTGAGGTCATGGAAGCCGTTCAGGACGAAACCTATATCAATCGATAGATCTCGACGAGAAAATAACCGGAGACCAGGTTTGACCTCCGTAGGTCAACTAGGAACTGAGTTAGAGACGATCAAACTTGGAGATCGGAAATCGCAATTTCCGTCAAAATTGGTCTCAATCGATAGAGGAGATCACGGAGGTCAGGAAAAACTTGGTCTCTGAGTTCCTAGGTTCCTAAAAGTCCGGATATAATTTTTCAAAAACTTATAAATGACCAACTTTGAAGAGCTTCAACTCTTTTCCCAGGTACTTTTGAGTGATTCAGCTCTGGTTTTTGGACACAGAACGTCATTCTGCGTCGATTGATGTAGAAAACTTCAACATTTACAATTGCATTGACAGTGCAAATCTAAAGCTTCTAGATGAAGCTCAATTCTTTCATCACTATTCTTATGAAAAAGCTGACGGCGAGACGAATCGATTGATATAATCAGATAAACTGTAGCTGCTCGGGGAGCCTAGATATGAGCCGCAAAAGATCTCGTTAGAAATAAACTTGCGCGTGAGATGAAATGTCTTGTATGAGGCTGCGCGTCGGGTCAAGTGCTAGTCTGAGGCCTTCACCGGTGTGTTTTCCTCGCCAAAAAGGAAAAGCTCAAAAAAAAGTTCGTCTTTTTCAACTTTTTCCTAGTGCAACCGATAGAGCAGCTTTCATATAGTACTGTTATCATATCCGTTTCTGAGAAAGAGCTCAAAAAATGGGTGAAAATCAGGTCCGAAAAAACGGCACTTTTAAGATTTTCAAGCTTCATAACTTCGTTCATTTTGAAGTTACAGATAAACTGATTACATCAATCGATTTGTCTCGTTATCAGCTTTCCGATGATAAAGCACTCCAGTAGTTTTTATCAGTTTCGATGATGTCACAGATCTTTCCATCTTACATCCCAGCTTTTCACTCAAATCAAATGCTATCATAATCAATGAATAGAGAATCTTGAGACGAATCCAATGATTTATCTCAATCCCTGATATCTTATCTGAACAACGACTTATAAGCTTAGGCGAGTTTGAAGCTTTTGGAAGAAGCTCAATCCGTTGATAGCCTATATCATTGGAAAGCTGACGACGAGACGAATCGATCGATGTAATCAGTTCATCCGTAGCTTGAATTAGAATGGAGTTATGAAGCTTGAAAACCTAAAAAGTTCGATTTTCTCGACCTCGTTTTTGATCCAAATATTGAGCTTTTCCTTCGAAACTGATATGATAAAGGTACTATATAGAAGCTGCTCTATCGAATGCTTGAAAAAGACGAACTTTATTTCGAGCTTTTCCTTTTTCCCGAGGAAACCACACCGATGATAGACTCAGACTAGCACTTGACCAGACGCGCAGCCTCATACAAAGCATTTCACCTGACGCGCAAGTTTATTTTTTACAAGATTTTTGAAGGCTCATATCTCGGCGCCCCGAGCAGTTACCGCTTATCTGATTACATCAATCGATTTGTCTCGTTGTCAGCTTTCCAATGATATAGGTTATCAACGAACTGAGCTTAAACGAGAAGATAAAAGTTTGTCTCAACTTATAAGTCATTATTTTGATGAGTTACCATGGATTTAGATTTAGATATATCATTGCACCCGTCTCAAGGCGACCTACCGTTTGATAACGACTTTTTTCGATTTTGAGGAAACGCTGAGTTGTCAGCTGGAAAAATCTATGACGTCATCCAATTTGATGGAAACTCTTGAAGCTCGAAATCATTGGAAAGCTGACGACGAGACGAATCGATTGATGTAATCAGTTCATCCGTAGCTTGAAATAGAATGGAGTTATGAAGCTTGAAATCTTGAAAAGTGCGATTTTTTCGACCTCATTCTTGACCCAAATTTTGAGCTTTTCCTCCGAAACTGATATGATAAAGGTACTATATAGAAGCTGCTCTATCGATTTCACTAGGAAAAAGTTGAAAAGGTCAATCTTTTATTTGAGCTTTTCCTTTTTCGCGAGGAAACCACACCGATGAGAGCCTCAGACTAGCACTTGACCTGACGCGCAGCCTCATACAAAGCATTTCATCTCACGCGCAAGTTTATTTTAAAGGAGATCTTTGAAGGCTTATATCTCGGCTCCCCGAGCAGCTATCGCTAATCTGATTACATTAATCGATTCGTCTCATTGTCAGCTTTCCAAGGATATAGCTAGTCAACGGATTGAGCTTCATCCAGAAACTTCAAAACTTCCTTAGCTTACAAGTCAATATTTTGATTAGTTATCAGGGATAAAAATATACAAATTTGTTCAATTTTAATGCTCTTTTGATTGGTATGGAGGAGAATGCTTCCAATGAAAAATAATTTTGAAATTTTCTAAGTGTCTCCAAACTTCAAAAACGCAACACTTTAGTATTCGAGTATCATTTTGAAGATTTCAAGAAAAAAGAAAAAAATAAATAAATATTCATTATTATAACGATAAACAAAGTGGTGAGAAAACGTAACAAATACAGAAAATAGGATACAAGCGGCAAGGGTGGGGAGAGATCAAATTTTGCCGGTGACGAACTCGTGGAGGATTTGGGGGACGGCCGAGTCGAAGCCGACGACGTCGAGCATGCCGGCGTCCTGGGGGTCGGCGATCGTGAAGTTGGTCGCCGTCATGCCCATCACGACGAGTTTCGCGTCGAGGATACCGCTCGACTCGCGGTACTGCTGCAGGGCCTTGAACGGGTGCACCTGGAAATTTTGAACGGTTGAGGTTTTTCGGAATTTAGTCGGTGTCTGAACTCATGTCACAGTTTCAGGATCCAAGATTTTTAGTCAAGTTCCCCAACTTTTCTTTTGAAAAACAAGATATTTTCAATTTGAATTTCTTCCTTGCATTTAAATAACTATAGCCGATTCACGGCTAACTTGGGACGCTAAGGGGGCGTGGCCTGTCTGCGCTCTCCACGAGCCAGGAACTATCTTTTTAATTATCCCTTATTTCGATGAATCAAGCCAGCCGTAGCTATGCACAAAAGTTCCTATATTTGAACTATTTTTTTCCCTCACATTTCCAAAGTAGGTCTCGCAATCGGTATAAACGATGAAGACGTCGAAAAGTTTGCTGTTCTCAGCGGCCCACAGCATCGGCTGAGCACAGTCCGTCGAGCCAAACTGAAGAAAAAGTCCATCATTTTGCCGTTTCTTTGACGTTTTTCTCACCGGAAGCCTGACAATGTAGTCGTTGACATCCGACATGCTCATCTCCTTGTCGAAAGGCAACTCGACCAACTTATGAGAGAACGCGACGCATTCCACCTGAAAAAAAAATGACATTGAAGCAAGTATTTTTGCGCCCTTTTCAGGTTTTCATTGAACATGAAGTTCCTCAGAGCGAAGAAACTTAATTTCGAGCCATTTTCCTCGGCTTTTTTTCTTTAAATTTTTTAGTGACTTTCACACCGTGTTTTTTGGAGCGCATAAAGTTCATTCCCAACTTTTTTCAAGGCGATTTTTGCCATTTTTTGAGCCTGCTACAGAAGTACCGTGGAGCGCATAAACTTTGGCCAAAGCTGATTTTTGCGGCTATTTATTCTCTCTTTTTACTAGGAAAGCATGGACGTCCCCTAGAGCGCAAATACTACAGTCAGAGCTCTTATCTGCGGCTATTTCTTACCATCAGGGATTTTCTCTATTTCTTCAAGGGGACCATCAAAAAGACTTTCCCTAGAGCGCCTAAACTTTAGCCCCAACTTTGTCGAGGCTATTTTCGCTAAATAAAGATACATGCTACAGAAGTTCCTTGGAGCGCATAAACTTCATCCTGAGCTTTTTTTGCGGCTATTTCTTCTCATTCTTCTAGCGAACCATGGACAAGGCGGCGCGCACAAACTACTCTCTCAGCCCTTTTTTGGCGGCTATGTCTTCCCCGTTACGAACATTGTCCTCGTTCTTCAAGTGGATCATCGACATGGCGGTGGCGGCGTCGCGGCAGCTCAGCGCAGTCCCGGAGATCGCCGCGCTCATGCTTCCAGAAACATCGAGGGCCAAGCAATAGCGGAGGCCGGTTTTGGGGGCGTTCACGAACGATTTGTAGAAGGCCGACTCGAGCGCGTCGATGATCTGAAATCCGATTTTTGAGAAAATCGTGATTATTTTTCAGTCAAACGTCATAATTCGGCGACCAGGAGAGGCTTCCCTTGTCACCTCTGCCCGATTCGTAGACGGCCTTCGCGAGGAGAACCTGTAAAGAACACTTATCAACATATTTTTCCTTTATTGATTTTTAGGGAAAAGTTATCCTCAACTTGGGAATGAAAAAAATTTTTTTAAAAAAATAAATATTAGAAGAGTTCTACAAAACATATTTTTTCAGAAGGAACTCCCATTCCCTCGTTTTTTTCGAAATTTTTTTTATAGATAACTCAAAAAAATCGGAAAAGTTCGCTTCAGCTCATAAATCTGTGTTCAATGCGATTTCCGCGGATTTCAAAATTATCTCAGACTCTCTAAAATATATCTATCTTCTCCCCCCTCTGACAACAGTTTTGAGTTTTGCGGAACCCCTTTGAACACGGTATAAGCTTCTTTTTCTGTCTTGACTTGGTCAAAATTTCAAAAAATACGTCTCCAATTCAAATCGAGAATGCTTCAGATTCTAAAAAAAATTTCACAACTTTCAAAGCTCTATTTATGTTCTTTCATTGACCTCGTCATTGGGAACATTTTTTGCGGACCAAAATTAAAAAATCGATAGTGAAACTTAACTTTGTAGTATTAGTTTTTTTTTCCATTGACTTTTTTTTCAAATGAGTTTTTTTCTAATTTTGAGGCTCAAATTCCTTCGAAAACTGAAATCTCTGCGCTCTCTCACATCTCAACGATGCTCTCCTATTTTCCTGCTCTTTGGCCTCTCCGGTGAGGGAAAAGAGAGCGCAGAGAGGTCAGACGGAGAAAAGTTAAAAAAGCGCACATTGAGCGGATGGATGCGAGCCCTGCGCAGTTCCTCCTGATCGTTGAGCTTCTTGACGATATATTCAACGCGGGAGCTGAAAATTGGAACAGTTAGAGGAATACATCAGTTTTTCGATACTAACGCATCAAGGCACTCGATGGAGGACATCTTGCCGAGATTTCTGATCATCGCCGTCATCGGCATGTCGACGTCTAATAGCGCCTGCCACACGTTGACGCTCTTCAGCGAATCCGTCGGCAAGTGTTCGCGGGAAAGTTCTGGGAATAAATTCTCATTATTTTAACTACTAATATCAAATTCCACTTTTTTATTTGATTGAAACTCTTATTATCACCACTTTTTTTAAAATTAAAGTCTTTATTTTCAAGGTTAATGTCTCAATTTAAATAAAAAGAAGTTCGAACCAAATTCCGCGAAGTTCGAAATTATCTCTGACTCTCCTAAATCTAGTTATCTTTTTCACTCTCTAACGGCCATTTTGTACTTCGCGGGTTCACTTTTCACACCGAATAGAGTCAGAATTCTCATTTTTCTGGTTTAAAAAAAACCATTATTTCTCGAGCTTTTTCCGGCTTTTAAATGGGCTTGAAGTCTAAAAATTGAATTTTCCCCGATCCATAACATTTCAAAACCTTCTTAAAATCTTTACTCTTTGGGTCATTTTTTGCATTTTTGAAATAAATCATTCTGTATTCAGAAAATTACAGGACCTTCTTAAAGGTGCTGAAATCACATAATATTTATCACCTATTATTTCGATTTAGGAAAAACTTGACTCCTTTTTTTCAGTTCACCTTACTACATACATTTCATGTCTCAAAATCAAAAATAATACTAGTTTTGCTCTAAAAATCCAATTTTTCCCCATTTTCTCACGCACTGTGTTTTAGAATCGCAGCGACGATTTCCTGCTCAGACTTCTCGTTCTTCAGCTTCAAGTAGGTCTCGATGAGGTCGAGCGATCTGAAAATTTGAATTTTCATATATTGACCTATTGTTTATTGCATCTTCAATGTAAGAATACATGTGCAATCGACTTTTATTGATTTCAACTGTGTTTAAACGGCGGCAGGAGCTGTGGCTTAGGCAGAGAAGCTGTAAATTTCGCTCGTAGAACATCAGGTACAAGAGAGGTCGTAGGAAGAAGTACGGTGCCGGCTTTCCAAAGGCCGATGGCAGAGATTGAGCCTTTTCGCTGCATGCAGCTCCTATACTTGACCTATACTTCACTAGAAATTCTACATTTTTGAGATCTAGAATATTCTTTCAAATCTGACTGTAGTTTTCAACGCCTTGAAAATCCATGTAGTCACACTTCCAGGCATTTTGGTCGCGCTACACTTCGACAGTAAGAAATAAATTATTACTACTGCGCCCGACTTTTAGCAACTTTCCTGCTCAAATACTGAAAGATACCGACACGCGCACTTAATTTTTGGTTCTAGGTAACCTTTTCGCGATACTCTAAGCCCCTTCTTAGCGTTTCAAGGCCTTGAAAATGATTTTTTCAATTTCCGTCAATTTTTCGTACTACGAACCGGCTGTCGCGCTCATTGTCCAACTGCAATTCGGTGTAACGGGCTCCAGGCTCAGGGCTTTGCTCCTCGGTTGGAGGCAGGAGCCTCTTCCGGATCTCCAGGGTGCCTGGAAGTCAAAAAGTTAATAAAGTCGATGAGATTTTGAATTATAATCTTGCAGAAAGGCGAAAAAGTCACAGAACTTCAGCCAGTACTGTTAGAGTTCTGAGGACAATTTCTCGAACTTTCGAAAAATATTTGCAGCTTTTTCTAGCTTCTCCTAGAAGCTCAGTTCCCACTGTCTTTTTTTTCATGACCTTATTTCTAAGATTTTTTTCTTCGAAGTTTCCTTTTCAACTACTCCTCTGTTTTTTTTTTTTAGGGATCCACTTTTTTTTTAAAACTTTTCTCGCCAAAAAGTCAAAAATCTACTTTTAACGGCTCATTTATTGGATTTTTCTTTAGAATACTCATGGCTCAATTTTTTAAGCTTCTTTCATTCAAGGCTAAACTTTCAGCACATTTTAAAGCAAAAAATAAATTTTCACGGCTTATTTTTCTGCGGCTCTTGTGTGAACGGCTATAACTGATTCACGACTTTTTTGAGCCCTTGAAAAAAGATAATGGATAGACAGTACTTGATTGATGGAGAGCGCAGACAGACCACGCCCCTTCAAATCCCAAGCTACAGCTGATTAACGGCTGTCAGAAGACATAGAAAAAATGGTTCTGACAGGATAAAGGAAGACTAGAAAGTGTTTTTTTGATAGAGAGCGCAGACAGGCCACGCCCCTTTCGTACCCTAAGTTAGCCGTGAATCGACTCCATTACGCGACTGTCAAAATCCATCTCATTCTTTCTCAATTTCGCACCTTTGATGGCGTATTTGAAGATCTGCTCGTAGACGAGACGGTCGGGACAGTCGTTGAAGTTCTCGATGGCCTTGTGGAGAACTGGGTGAGCGAGACGGAAAATGTCGCGGTGGGACCAGCCGTTCCTTTGCGGGTACTTGGTCATGAGGCGGGCCAGAGTTTCCGCCGATTTCGTCGTGTACCTGGAACAAATTATAATAATTTTATCAAAATTATGGAGGGAAACGATCGTTTGAAGATAATGTCTGTAATAAGTTTACGTTTTTTCAAAGCTCCAGGAAACGAGACAAAAATAAAAACTTCTTAGTTTTTGAATATTCGAAAGTTCTTTGCACAAACTTTTTTTTTCAAGTTTCTCATGGGCTGATTCTTGGAAAAATTATTTTCACTACTCTCATGCTGCGACGGGTGACCCGCGGGACAAAATTGTCATAAAAATCTGCTGGACGGGTGATTTTCGGATTCCCCCAGGACTTTTTGGATGCTGCGGAGCACTCGCAGGGCTAAAACGGGTGATAGGAGTGAAGAATTTCGTTTCGGGTGAGCCCGCGGGAAAAAAGGGTTGAGAAGCACGTCCAACTTTTTTTTTGGGTGGAACTCGGAGCGGCAAAATGATGTTTCGGGTCAGCCCGTCGGACGAAAAAGGGTTGAAAAGCGCTTCAAACTACTTTCGGGTGGAACTCGGAGCGGCAAAATGATGATTCGGGTGAGCCCGCGGGAAAAAAGGGTTGAGAAGCACGTCCAACTTTTTTTTTTGGGTGAAACTCAGCGTGCCGAAAATTCCACTTCGGGTTAGCCCGTAGGACAAAAACGGGTGAAAAAACGCGTCAAACATTCTCCGGGTAAAGCTCGGCTCAGAAGAAAAATGCTTCGGGTGAGCCCTCGGGACTAAAAACGGGTGAAGATCGCGCGCCAAATAGCATGAGAATAGTTCTTTTTTTCGTTCTCATCTTCTAAAACGGACCAGCGATTGATGGCATTTCGCATGGAGCGACCCCAGCCGGTCGACGTCTTCGTCGCGCATTTGTTGGTGGCTTTGGAGATGGACTGGCAGTAGCCGACGAACTCGAAGAGGTGCGTCGGCGTGCGGCAGACCTTAATTTCTATTTTGAAGAGAAAAGTCTTCTTTTCAATCAATCAATGTTCATTTTAAAGCTATCAGTGGGGGTGGAGGAAAAGATTTTTTAGGTCAAACTAAGTTTAAAAAAAAAGGAATAAGGAAAAAAAAAGGAAAAAATACTCGATTTTGAAGGGAAACCATACTTACAAACTACTATGAGAGCTGCTACAAGAATAACAGGAATAAGAGATGATTGAATTTCCAGGATTTCCTACCGATTCGAGCATGGAGAGGGCCGTCGAGTGCATTTCGGAGATGTACTGTCCCCGGGCGACTTTGAGCCTTTCCTCCTTCGGCTTCGCCTTGTCCTGCTCGCTGAGCTTCCGCAGAAGGCTGTCCTCGACGTTGTACCTGGAAAGAGAAACTAATATTTTTTGTGTCTCTTAACTACTGAACTGGGAAAATTTTTAGTGGCCACTATAGTAGTCAAATTAGTGGGCACATGAGGGGTTAAAAACTAGTGACCACTTTAGAGGTCAATCGATCATCATAACTGGTCCAATATGTTTGTTTTGAAATTATCAGAGTTAACGATAGGAATACTGGATGAAAAACTACTGAAGAGGTCACTAAAACGGATATTAGTGTCCTCTCCAAGTACTCCTTGGCGAGCCTCTATAGTGGTCACTGAAAACTTTCCCAGAAGTAAAATCTTTCGATAACTTGGAAAAATCTGGCTGCCATGAACTTTTTTTGGACTGAAACTTCAAAGTTCCAAATTTACGAGTCACATAAAATTAGATAAAAATAGATTTTTCGAAAAATTGGATTTGAAAAAAATTTTTCCTAGTTTCTATAAGCTCCCTGTGCAGGTACAATTTGAATTTTTTTGAACCAAAAAAAGAACTCAAAAAGGTTTTTTTCTTCAATTTTTTTCAAAACTATTCTTGGAATTTGAACTCGTTAATCGTTTTGAACCATTTCGCTCCGAAAATCGGTTTTTATTATTTTTGTAAGCTCAGATTATTACAATTCTTTTGATTTGAGGTCAACTCTATCTCTCTATCTAAAGTAAACCGCAACAAAAAACCAAAACAAAAAACGTGTCGCCTATGTGAAATCTGCCTTCTAAAAACCACAGAACGACATTTCAAAAGACGATTGTTTCAAAAAAGGGCGAATTCAATTTTCAATGACCCTACCTGGCACAAAGAGCCAGGGCGTAGAGCAGGGGCGTGTGTTTGGGATTGCGGTTTTCCTTGTTGATTTCGTAGATCTCCTTCAGAAGGATCGCCGCGTCGCCCGAATCGATGATGTCCGTGAGAGCCATCACGTTGTCGATGGTCAGCTCCTTCTGCGTCGTGTAGAAGGTCGCGCCCTGGGTTCCGAGGATCAGGAAACGGCGGACCCGGGTCGCCTTCGAAACGGCGAACACGTAGCCGCCGGCGTTGTTTTGGACCTGTAAAATGTCGATTAAGCACGTGAAAAAGACCTGCTTTTTTGACTATGTTGTAGTGTCGCGAAGCTTAAAATAACCGTCAGAGAATGAAAAAGATTACAAAATTCTGGAGAATCAGAGAAAATTTTGAGTCTCGCGGAATTACTTTGAAAATGGCATAAAAATGTCAAATCAAAACGAATGAAAATCGCAAAATTTCAAAAAAGAAGTATTTCGAAGCCGATTTCAAGGTCTTTTTCAAAGAGGATTTTTTTTTCACCTTTAGAGAATATCTGAAAAAAACTTAAAATTTTTCGATTTTTTGAAGATAGGGATTTCAAGAAAATTTCCAGGAAAAAAAGACTGCTGAAAAGCCAATGAAAATGGAAAAATGGAAGTTTTATCATCATTTATGAACATTTAAAGTAGCCAAAACTGTTATTGAAAGACCTAAAAACTTTTGAAATTAGCCTATGAGTACCTAAATTCATGATCATTTTAAATTTACAAACCTGATCCTCGCGAACTTTCTTCATCTGTCCGGGCAAATCTGTGAGAGAAATCTGCTCCATCTCGTTCTCGATACAAATTTCACGCAAGCAAGCGACGGCACTGAAAGAAATTTCCTTATTATTTTTTTAAAAATTATAATGAAACCTTTCAAATTTTTTTGGCACTATCCATCTTCAAAGAAAGATCCGTAAAATGAAAAAAATGACAAAATTTCATAAATTAAAAAAACTATATGAATGAATTTTTGATACAACCCTACTTAAAAATTAGTATCAGATATTATTTTACATCAAAATATGGAAAAAAAAATCGGTTTCAAGTTTTATAAAAATCCTAGGCTGCAAATAAAAAAAAATCAAAAAGTTATCTCACTATAAAGCATAAAAAATATAACCAAAAAATACTCAATTTCAAAGTTTCATTCCTTAAAAGGTACCTGTTGAATCGCTCCAACGTGCGATTATATCTCTCCTCGGGCTGCTCGACCCGACGATTTTGCCAACGGATATTTCTGAAATGATCCGGGTTCGGCACATCAAACTCCTCGAGTAGCACATTAAACTCCTCATCCACCAGATTTATTTCGTCCGCCATGATGATTCTCAAAAAAAAACCTTTGTTTAAACGAAAACTGCAAAAAAAGTTCACGAGAAACAGACGAGAAATTGGAAGAGGAACAAAAATGCTTCAAAATAAAGTAAGAAGAAACGTTTCGGAGCATTTTTTAATTTGGAGACAATTTCTGTGTTTTATCATGAAATAGAAAATATTCTTAAGCTTCAAAATTGAACAGGAGCCAGGAAAAAAAGAGAGAGTTGTTTTGACCGCGCTTCAAAACAACACAGTTTCGAACTTTGATTTCAAAATGGTCCGCCCCTTCTCAATGGAAAAGAGCCGCATAAACAAAGCGGAAGAGACTTTTCCGTGGCATTGTTCTTCGCGCATCCAGATGTGACAAAAAAGCGGATCGGAACAAACAAAACTGTTTATCCGACTTCCTCAAAGGAAAAAGCCGAATAAACCAAGAAGTTGGAACTTTTTCGCCGCATTGTTCTTCGCACATAGACAGAAGAAGCGCTACGAAAACAGCGAAACTGTTCCAAAATGTTTATCCGACATCCATACGCGCTTCGCAAAGGGAAAGGGGCGTATAAACAATGCGGAAGGAACTTTTGCGTGGTATAGTTCTTCGCCCATACAGATGTGACAATAGAAGAGCTACGGAAATAGATGAACTGTTCCAAATTGTTTATCCGACATTCATCCGCTCTTCGCAACGGAAAAACCCGAATAAACCAAGAAGTTGAAACTTTTTCGCCGCATTGTTCTTCGCGCATAGATAGAAGAAGCGCTACAAAAACAGCGAAACTGTTCCAAATTGTTTATCCGACATCCCTCCGCTTTTCGCGAAGAAAAAGGGGCGTATAAACAATGCGGATGGAACTTTTCCGTGGTATTTTTCATACAAATGTGACAAAAAAGCGCATCGGAACTAACAAAACTGCTTAAAATATATCAATGATCTGCTGCTCTCAATGAAAAAAGTCGTATAAAAAAAGAAGTTGTTCTCGGGAAAAGTCGGAATAGCGGATGATGACCTCTAAAAGGCAGGTGGATCAAAAAAAGGCAACAAAAAGAGTCCATTTACAGAGCCTTTCCTTGTTTCTAGAACTTTAAAAGCTCAAGAAATGGTAGAAAAAGAGTGAGGCAGCAAACAGGAGGCATAAGACCCAAGAAATGGCGCAAAAAGGAAGCCACTGTCACCCTAAAAGGAACGTTCCCATGGAACCTTCCTCGATCTTTTACGACTTTGCCTATGGTCGCATTGTTCTTCGCGCTCTGAGCTGAGAAAAAAGCAAACGCTGCAAAACAAGCCAAATAAACGATTTTGAAACATTTCGCGCCTTAGGTATAATTATGTACAAGACGCCTCGCAGGTTGGCGAGGGGCACCCGCTGCGTCTATATGAGAAGACATCCTCAAAAAACGATTAGTGTGAGCGATTGGACATGTGTTCGCTCACGATACGGTCTGCTCTATAACGATTTCATATGACTCATGGGAAGTGATGCCGTGTTCACAGTAATTTCCGCGAAATGCAAAATACCCGTTAGAGAAAGGAAAAGATCACTAAATTTTGGAGAGTCAGAGATCATTTTGCATTTCGCGGAAATTACTTTGAACACGGCATGAAGCTGATTTTAGTGGGAGGTCCGAAATTTCCTGAAAGGCGCTTATAAGTTCATTGAGGGTCTATATGAAGATTCTAATAAAGTCTATTCAAATTTTTTTTTTCAGAATATTAACTTTAATAGTTGCTAGAAGTTCAGAAATTTGTTCCCACTAGAAATGTCAAATTTTAAACAGCGATTTTAATATTTTCCACGCGAAACAAGCTTATATAAATGTTAAAAAAAGTTTAAAATTGAAATATTGCGAAATGTGCCATGAAAAGATGCCGGAAGATTTAAAACCAGATGTAAAGCTGTTCAGAAACCCACCGAGAAGAAGAAAAAGACATTCAGTCGCTAACAAAAAAAATATAATTCAGTTGATGAAATAGGAGGAACGGAAAATCTCTTAAAGTCGAATAAAAAACGCAAAAAGACCGCTTTTTTAAGTTCCTAAACATGTTTAAAAAACTAAAGCTGTCCGTTTTGAAGCACTATCCCTCCGTTTCAAGACATTACTGCTTTCGGCATCGAGAACTAAGTTTAAACTGAGAATCGAGAGAATAAATTCAATAAAATCGACTCAAAAAAACGTTGTTCAATCGAGAACGGAGGCTGTCGACGAAACTTTCTGACTCGGACGATTAGCGCGTTCGGAAAAGATCAATAAACGACCGGACAACAAAAAACGAAAAGGCCAGGAAACGTTCTGAAAGTTTTTTTTTTTTTGAAAAAAGGCGTCACAGTGCAAACGCTTGCATTTCTATGGCAACAACTCTCCGTTTCGAAAAAAAAGTTTCAAAAGAGAGGGCTAAACAGCTTGGGAATCGTTTTACCTTGAGAAAAATCAACAATAAAAGGTCAAGGTTAAGAGAGATGAAAGAGTGCAAAAAAAAATGTTCACAGCAAAGAAAATCGTCGGCTTTTATATAGCAAGATTGCGCAACGTGGAAAAATGTTGCGAAATTTGTTTAGAGGTGCCATTTTTTCTTGAAAATGGTATGAATTTCATTAACTTGCAAAAAATTGGGTAAAATTGCAAATACAGGAAGAAATTCCGGAATACCACGACACTTTCTCAGTTTTATTCCTCAATCTCAGTTTCGGTTCGTTTTTATGGAAGAAAAGTGCGCTGATAACCGCTATTGAACATTGCAAATAAGTTTATCAACCATAAAACGGATGAGTCGCTGAAAATGACGTTTAATCATCCTTTATTTCAAAGTCGGAAAGAACCAATAGTGATAAAAAAGTACTTGGAAGACGGGAAACAGTTTTTATGCGTTTTTTTTTTGATAAGTATCGATAGAATGTTAAAATTCCTGTTCAAATAAAAAAATGGAACTTGAAGCCATTCTCTTCATAAAAAGAAATGAAGCAAAAAAAAATTTTTTTATCATATATATATACACTATTAATTGAGAAATATGATTCTATTTTTTTAACACACCAGCAAGGATTTGAGAGCGGAAAAAAACAAGATGAATGATAAAACAGCTTTAAAATCCTAGTAATTAAAAAGATCTTAAGAATGTTCTAATTAAAATTATTAATGAAATAGCGCCTATTAGAAGTTTTCGAGCAAAAACATCATCCACCATATCAAAATTAACTCAATTCATGATAGAAACGACTTTGAATGAAAATATTTGGGAAAATAAACAAATAAAAAAATAAAAATTTGAAAAAATAAACATTCAGCGCGGCGGATAAACCATGCGGCGGGATTGCATGCAGGCTTTTTGCGTCGGGCTGGACGGCCCATCCGGGTGAGATTCGGGCCTCATTTTTCGCGAAAAAAAGCTGAACGGGTTGAGGCCTTGGATGAAATTCTTGAATTATATTAAAATTTCTTTTTCCTAACTCGAAATTTTTCATCACCGAAAAAAATACCTTTATTGAGCCCGAATAACCAAAAAAACGGATTTTTGTTGTAGAAAAAGTATAATAATAATTTATTTACAGATCAGTGTGAACCCCAACGAACTATGATAATTGACTTGAAGAAAGTTTGCGCTTTTGGGCCGGGCCGCCCGTTTTGGTTCGAAATTCTGCTAATTCAGGGCAAAGTCGGGCTTAGAAAATGGCGGGGCCTCGAAAAAGTCTGATTATTTTTTCATTAAAAAATCGCTTTCTCAGCTTCATAATAATAGTATTTTCAAAGCATAAAAAGGTTGAAGCCTTCATTTTACTCAAAGGAAGTTTGTCTTTGAATAAAATTCTTCATTTCCATAAATTTCACAAATAAAAAGCGATTTCTGCCAGTCGATGCTGGGTCCACGGCATCGGCCGTTCGATGATAACGTGTCCCAAACGCGATTTGAAATGGTTTCGATTGTTTGCCGAGTGCAAATACCTGAAAACCGAGCATTTCTTTTTTTTTTCCAAAGGTTTTAGAGCACCTTTTACAAACAATTCTTTTGAAGACCGAAGGAAGGAGAAAATGGTTCGAATCATCGTCGATTTTGAGAAGAATATGGGCCAATCTCAACGCACAAAAACGCCAACGGAGGGCCGAAACTTGGCCAAGAGTTTTCCCATAAGGTTCCAAGGAATATTCTGAAATAAATATTCTAGAGAGCTCCCTATCGAAGTAAAATTAAGGTGGTCTTTATAGGGTTTAAGGTCTGACCCCTTAGCCCCTAAAGCTCAAGTGGGCCCTCTAGAGGTTTTCAATTTCATTCGAAGAACGCTTATAAATTCAGTTTTTCCCTTGGAAACGCTTCTTCGCTTTGAGTTCATAACAAGCCACTAACTAAAACCCCTATAGGGATCACTTTTGCAAGCTTTAGTGGTCCCTATAGGGATTGGTAAAGTGGTCCCTAGAGTGATCCTCCAAAGACCCTTAAGTTTGCCCCTATAGCGACCATTCTGAAGTTCTTAATTATATGAAGCGACGCTGATACTTTTTAAAATTTCTTCTAATTTTCAAATGCATCTTGTTCAAGCTATTCTGGTCCTTAAACTTTATTTCTTTAGCTCTGAAAAATATTAGATTTTTTGAAACCATATAAGGCTCCTAACATCCCAGGAAAACGTTTTGAACAGAAAAAAAGGATTTTCCTACCAAAAGGGAGGATTTTCTTGCGAAATCCACTCGGTAAAACGTGATCCTCTTTAGCAAGCAGGCTCCGGAGTTCCGTCTCAGTTAAGCCGGTCTCAACGATCGTCAGAAAACACAATATCCCAATCAATAAATGTCCACGGCCTTCCGTTTCCATCAGACAAACTTCGGCTTCGCATACTCTGGATGATAATTATATTAATTAATATAAATTAAAAAGCTGTCAGAGTTCGAAATGACCAAAAAAGGGTCTTTTCAAAGTCCTTCTATGTCTTTTATCCTGGAGAACTTCTTCAAGAAGGCAAAATGATAAGATTTTTGAGAAAAGAAGAACAGATAAATCCGAAAAACGACATTTTCCTTAGAATAAGGAATAAAAATAGCTTAATTTCTCAAAATTTTTCAGAACCAATAGTTTTTCTCAAGGTCCCTAAAAAATTGGACTTTGGTCCCCATCAAATTTTCGTTTGAAGCTAATTTTTTTTCTACAAAAAATTCGAAATTTCCGTTCAAAAATGAAAAAAAAATGTCCCAAAAGCTAAATTATTCCAACCGCGAAGCGACCGCGACGCTTCGAGCGATTTCCCGAGCGCCGATAAAAAAGATGCCAGTGACAACAGAATATTAAAGAGATACCAGAGAAACAAAACTGCCTGATTTTTCTGGCGTCTCTTCAGGCCGCCGTTGATCTCTCACTCTTACCTCGAAGTACTGATATTCACCAAATTGGCGCATTTCTCATCCGTTGTTCCTAATCGACTCAGGGAACCAATTATTCGACATTTCCACTCGTTCCAGCCCAAATTCTCCTTCCTTCCTGTTGAAAACACATAAAATAATAAAATTGAAAAGCGAAAACCTTCCTCAATATCTTTCGGTTCCGATTTCGAAGAAAGTTTCAGGATTTTTTCAGCTTTTTGTACAGATTCTGGCGAGGAAAGTCCGTCGCCAGCCAAGGGGCCATCCAGCCATCGGGCCAGTCTTTTCTGTGAATTTTAAAATTCCGGAAAATAACTTTGGTTTTGAAAACTCCCTGATTGAATATTCGAAAGCTAGAGAGGACGGGTAGACAAGAGGGTTCTCAGAGAAAAAAAATTTATGCCCTCTCATTTTTCAACGCTCTCTAACTTTCGAAGTTGCAAACGTAGGATCATTTTTTTTGCATTGATTAATCAATTTTTCTATTTTGCACAATTTGAATTGAGACTATGGCCAGTTTTCAGAAAACTAACATTTATCAGTGTATTTTTGTATAAAACTCAATAACTGAAAAAAAAATCCAAAAAAAATATTTTTTCTTCATTTTCGCAAACGACACTCCGCTGAAAAAAATAAATAGGACTCAAAAAAAAATCTTTTTAGGTGGTTCCACTTATTTTATTCCATACTTGACTCTACGCATCTAGGACCCTTTGGTCGCATTTGGAATGGCTACAGGTGTTACGGTAGCACTGCTTTCCAAATAACTGTTTCGAAAACCGTCTAAAGTTATTTTTTCTATGAATTCTTCTTACTTTTTTGATGCCCTCGAGCCATTCTCAATGCGTCCAGATTTATTTTTCGAATATTTAGCAGGTTTTTGATAACTTTTTTGAACTTTAGAAAAAAAAACCAGAACGTACCAAAGCTACAGCTTCCGGCATGGGCGGTAGGTCGAAAATCTCGCAATTTGAAAATTTCATGGAAGGTTTGCTTTTCCGCACCGTCACCACCACTGAAGCCCGTTCTGACAGCTCCTCGACCACCTTCAGAAGCTCCTTTCCTAGCTGAATATCCAGAATTTTCATCAACTCGTCATAAAATTCAAAGAATCATTGATTTTTGAAAAATATGTCTTTTAACGATCAAAGAGAGAGGAATTACAGTACCAGCGTTGAAATGAGCCCTTTTTTCAAAAATATCAAATCTTACCAAGTCCGCATCGTCGATAATCACCACGGACGTCATCTTATGCCTGACGTCTTCATATACCTGAAAAAATGAGTTTTTTGTAATTTTTCCGGTCAGGATATGTTCTGAAGAGAGTTGTATGCTCCTTTAATAACCATTTTTTTTTATAGTGACCACTCAAGCTTGAAGACGCCCCTAAAGAGGCCATTTTGGTCATATCCTTGTCTACTACAGTAAGAAAGTAAAGTAAATTTTTACAAAATTCCTATAGCGGTCCCTTATCTCTAACCACTTTAGTGACAACTATAGCTGGTGCTAGGCCTTAAAGTTGCCCTTTGAACTATCACTAATTTCCAAGCCTACTATAGTGAAAACTTTAATGCTGTCAGATCTATTTAAATCCCTGAAGTGACCACTGGAGCCGTCCGATACTCTAAAAGCTCACAATAACTTTCCCCCGTCGTCCGACGTCCCTCAGAACGTCTTCAGAATTCATTCCAGGCCTGGCAGAGATCCAAATTGGTTCTGGCCGGAGTTTATTTCGTAGCTCCATACACACAGCTGTCTTCCCGCTACCGTAATTGCCACAAACTACAGTAATTCCTGGTCGGGAGGCGTTTTCTTGGACCTGAAACTGAGCTCAGTCTAAGAAGGCTCAGCAAATTAGAAGCCTAGTTCGGTGGAGCGAACAAGCTGGACTGGAGAGTTGTTTTTAAGGCTCAGGATTCTTGAATGGCTTAAGATTACTTGGAAAACGTCTATGCTCCTTTGAAAGACACACCAAAAACTTGAAGGAGAGACCGATACCTGCCGAACGACGCTCTCCACGTGAGGAAGAGAAATATTCGAATAATACTGTGCCAAAAGTTCGGCGCCGCCCAACGGAGGCGATGGAGACGGATAGGATTGAGAAATGGCCGAGCGGATAAGTTGCTCCACGGCACTGAGCATAGGCTCGAGACCGGTCAGGACGATTTGCTTGAAATGCGGATTGTTCATGCCGTCGGTCTTGACGCTGTACTCCTTGTAGGCCGTCGGCTGAAAAACTCTCTTAATTGTCGCTAGAGCTCGTTTAGAAACACTTAAGAGGACCCTATAGGGACAACATTAGGGGCCCTTCTAGGGACCACTTTGCCTCCCCTATAAGAGGCACTGAATATGCAAAAGTGGCCCCTATAGGAAATCATGCCGGTCGTTTATAAATCGATAACTTATGCGAAAAAATGAATAAAATGCCGTTTTTCGAATGAGAAATATCAATAAAGGATCAAGCTTCCCTTTTAAATTTTGAATCTGAACAAAAAATCTGAAGACCCTGTAGGGGCCACTTGAAACTTAGGAGCTTAAGGGTCAGACCCTAAATCCCTACAGGAACCACCCCATTTTATCCCTACAGTGAGCACTTTTACCGCCTCTACGGGCTGTTTTTTTCCTTAATCCCTATAGGGGCCACTCTGGCGTTCCTGAATAGGTATGGAAAGCAAGAATGGGGCGGAGCGATGCGGTCGCGAAGCGGCTACCTTTATTTGAAGCGAATTTTACCGTTTCAAAGCGTCAGAGAGCCTACCTGTGGCAACAGCTATGATAAATTCATCTGAACGTGGCGGAAAATTCAAGTTTACGCTTTTTTGCGATTTTTTTTTCTACAAATATTTTTTTGATGATTTTTTCGTGGTTCACGCTATTGGTATTCAATTTGAATGCATAAAAAACCCTACCCTGGCATTATTTTTGACGTTTGCGGCAAAGTATATGGCTCTTTGACGAAGAACCTCGTCATCAGTGAAGGACTGGACATTGAACGGGATTTCGTCCAGAAACGCCGGATTTCGGTGAAGGAATAGGGCTCAAAGTCAGCGTTTTACTCGACAAGTTCAAAAGAGGTCGATTTACAGTTCAAAGTTCTGAAGCCAGCCAGACCTAGGGCGATTTCATTGAGACTGAGTCCCACAGAAAGGTTGTTTCGTTTCAGGAATCGGTCGTCTTTGAACGTATCTTCGAGTATGTAACCGACACATTCCCTGAAAACGGATTGAGGTTGTATTTTGGAACGCTTCAAAATAACTTTTTTGCAATGTAGCTCTCACAGAAATAATAGGAGTGGTTAAAGTAGCTTCTCAAAAATCCTCTTGAAAGGAAAATATCTCAACCTTCTTTTTGACAGAAATATTCAGATCGCTAAAATGATCACTTCCACTTCACATCTAATGACACCCAGCTTTTCTTTGCTGAGGGTCCTCTTAAGTGACTAAAATTGCTTCTCAAGATATAAATTGGAATATCTCTCAAATTTTCCAAGTATCTTCGACAGGAAATATTCAGATCCCTAGAATGGCTACTTCCGCTCCTTAATGGCTTGCTAAGGGACCACTTAAGTGACCACAGCTGCTTCTCAAGGGATAAATTGAAAGATCTCTTAAATTTTCAAACTATTGTTGACAGAAAATATTCAGATCCCTGAAATGGTTACTTCCACTTCTCATCGTATGAAATCGAGCTTTTCTTTACAAAGGGTCTTCTTAAGTGACCAAAATTGCTTCTCAAGGGATAATTTGTAAAACCTCTTAAATTTTCAAAATATCTTAAAACGGAAATATTTAGCTCCCTAAAATGGCCACTTCCACTTCTCATTGGCTTGCTAAGGGCCCACTTTAGGGACCACAGGTGCTTCTCAAGGAACAAATAGGAAGATCCCTCAAATTTTGAAACTATCTTTGAACGGAAATATTCAGATCCCTAGAATGGCTCGCTAAGGGTCCACTTAAGTGACCACAGTTGCTTATCGAAGAATAAATTGGAAGATCTCTCAAACTTTCGAATTATCTTCGAACGGAAATGTTCAGATCCCTAGAATGACTACTTCCGCTCCTCATTGGCGTGCTAAGGAGCCGTTTAAGTGACCCCAGTTGCCTCTCAAGGAATACATTGAAAGATCTCTCAAATTTTCAAAACTCTCAAAGAACTCTGAACAAAAAAAAACTTAGACTCGGTCCCTAAAATGACCACTTTCCCTTCCCTTATTCGACTGGGACCCGCGATCAGACGCGATTAAACTGTGAGGACGTCATCCGCTCCTCATCCATCCGCATATGGAAAACAGGCTTGATTAAACAAGACAAGCGCCTGGGGCGGTCAAGTCGAGAGACAAAAAGGATCTGGCCGTCGAAAGTCGCCGTTTGTTCCACAAAATCAGCCCTCCCTTTCTGGCCATACACCAACCAAAGCCAATACCTGTTTGACCCTATCACATTCGTTTCACTTTATCTTTTCTCCCTCGAGAAGGGGGGACGAAAAAAGCGACCGGTTTGGCTTGCCGCGGCTTCTCCTTCAAGCTTAAAGCTGTTTCCATCCGTGGGATCTATTTTCTCTCTCTCGCTTTTATTTTTCCCGAATCCGCGCGTTGGATCAGACGGAAGTGCAGATCTTGTCTTTATTATTTTTTTTTTCATGGCTTATTTGTCTTCAAATTGTCAAATGGAGCTGAATTTTTGAGATTCCCGAGATGAATAACTGACTAACCTGAGGTTTTGTAACTTTTGAATTAAAAATCGACTTGAGATCTTCAATTTTTTACCAGTAATATGAGCTGGACTAGCTCAATTTTCATGTAGAATCGAAAAAATCCAAGTATTTTCCTGGCCTAAAATAGGTTACAAAGGTACTGTTTTCAATTTTTCAATTTTTTAATTTTTTCGAGTCCCTAAAAAGCTGATCTAATCAATTTTTTTTTCCTCTTTTTTCGTCAAAAATGAGGTTTTTTTTTTCAAACTTTCCCGTTGCTCTTCTTTTTCAGACCCTTTTTATAACCATATATTGAAAAAAAAACTGAAGCTTAAAACTAACCCCAGAAGATGAATATAGGCCCAATCGTGACTTTTTGCCTCCCGGATACAATGAGCCAACATGTAGACCGAAGAAATTTCGTCATAGTTGGATTTTGAGCCCTAAAGTCGATATTTTTGGAGATGTGAAAATCTAGGTGAAAAAGTATCCACGGAGCACATAAGACCCGAAAAATGGAAGCTATTTTCTTTTAGAACAAACAAGAGAAAAAAATAAATAAATTTTTTTCATAAAAAAATCCCGTTCAAAAAGGAAAAAAATTATCAATAGAGCGCACTTGTTCATATTTTTAGAGGCTGTTTTCTACACATTACTTTTTTTCAGGTTTATCGGATCCCCTTTTTGATTCCACATCTATTTTTTTCAAACATTTTTCCTCATTTTTTTCTATTTTTTTGCAACAAAAAAAAGCTATTTAAACGATTGATAGAAATTTTAAATTTTGAAAAAAATAAATATTTCTACGCCAAAAACTATACAGCGAGCCCATAATTTTTTTCAAAATTAATGAAAAAAATACCGAGTTGAAATCTTCGAGTTGAAGGAAAATCTTGCTTTTCGAGGCGATTGGCTGTAGTTCCTCCTCGATCTGAAATATTCAAACTTAATCCGGAATTTTCAAAAAATTCAAAAAAGTCCTAACTTCAAAAAAATCATTGAATTTTTCAAAATTTCATTCGAAAACTGGCCAATTTATGAATGGCAGCCCTCTCATTGCGGAAATCTTTGAAGGTCGAGACGAGGACGATTCTCAAAATCTTCCAATTTCTAAACAAATCCTCGCATTTTTCTTGCATAAACTGAAAATTTTCCACCGATTTTTGTCGAGATTTGGGATTTGCGGCCGTCCATCGATGCTCATCCGGCGCCAAATCAGGTCGAGTTCCGATGGAGCAAATTTGGTCCCATCGGATGAGACGGTGCAACCCATTTTTGTGAAATAATACCCCTGGTATAAGTTAAAGTAACAGAAGAAGTGATCAAATTCAACTTTTTTTCATTCTTTTTGAACGCTTATAATTTTTTTAAAAAAATGATTGTGAAAAACCCGAAATAAAGTACTGAAAAGCTCAAAAATTGAAGTTTCTATCTAAAAATCATGAAAAACAAAAATCAAAATCAAAAATTCCAATCAAGAGGAATTTTTTCGATATCTCTGGTTTCTTAATGGATGGAAGAACATAGAAAAAAAATTTTCGAGCTTTTTTTGGTTTTAAAAAAATCCTAGGCAAGTTATTGAAGCACATCCGACAAAAACGTTCATTTTTTAAGTAACCACTTGAGTGAAATTAAAAGCACTTCTTCATCTTTTTTTCTACAATTTTCATTTGAAAATGCTTCAGATCCCTTTTTTCTGCAGTTTTTCTGAACAAAGAATCACATTTCAGAGAGAAAAAGGTTTTTTTAAATGAAGTTTAAATTTTTCAATGGAGCACACACGTTAACTATATGGACGGCTTTTTTGAAAACCTATTTTCGTAGACTAAAACACTGAAGTGGCCACTAAAACCAGCCCTATAGAAGCCACTATTTTGCGTCTCAGCGGCCACTACAGTGGTTTTTAGTGATCTTGTAGTACCACCTAGACCTCTAAAGAGGCCACTAAATTTTAGTCACTTAAGTAGCCACTAAATTGACTACTACAGCGGCCACTAAAACGTCAAAACCCTCAAGTGACCACTAAAAGTATCATGTTTTTCAATTGTAACTTTTCCTTACATTTTTCCTCTTTTGCAACTTCTTCCTTGACCTATTGGAACAATGATAAATCAAAAGTCCAAGAAAACTTTTCCGTGAATCGGAGAAAACTGGGCCGGAACCGGTTTATTGTTTCCTTCCTTTTCATTTTTTCTCATTTACAAAGAAGTTTTGTGGTCTATTCGAAAGAGATACAGTTTTCAGTTTCTTCTTTTCATCAGGAATTTCTCATATTTTTCTCTCCTCTTGCAAAAATCTCCTGGCGGCACTTGGAATGGCTCAAAACGATGCGGTTCAAGAGTTATAGCTTCAAAGTGTGTCAAAGAGCATAAGCCGTTTATGGTCGGTTGCATCTCTAGAGTCAATTTGAGCCATTCCAAGTAAATTTCGGAACCGAAAAAACTCTAATATTCGACTTCATGCCTCAAAACCAATGGACTTCGCAAAAGTCCAATCAAAAGCCTTTTGTAAAAAAACATAGTTCTTTTTTGGTTATTTTCTTCAGATTTCTTCATTTTCTGGTTTATACACTATCTGATATCTTCCTAGAAACTCTTAAAAACATAACTAGCAACAGTAAAATCAAGATCCTGCCGTCCAAAATGACCAGCTTTCTCAGAAAAACTAGTTTCTTATCAATCAATCTCCACGGTTCTCGATCCTAAGCTTATCTTCGGATCTTTGAACACTTTTACAGGAAGTAAAAAAGCAAAAAACTATAAGGAAATAAAAAAAAGCTGAAAAATTAGGGGTTTGAAACTTTTCTTCGGTCCGTTGCCGTGGAATTTCGTCAATTATTCAAGCTTCTTGGAGAAAAAATCACGTGACGTCCTGGAACACCCGCTTTTTCCACGCAATTGTTTCTTTTTTTGCTTCGAGAAAATTCGTCAGAAAAAAAATGAAAAAAATTTTTCAGGAATGTGGCTTTACGCCTTCCTCATGGCGACGTTCCTCGCACGAGGTTTGCTCAAAAATTGAAATAAAAAATAAATTTATCTATTTCCACAGATCGAAACATTTCAAAGGAAGAAAATGTCCTTTTTCAGTAAAAAATATGGCAAGAAAACCCTAGTTTGACTTTTCGGCGAAATTTTCATTTTTCAAGAGTTTCTCTCCTAAATTTTGAGTTCTGCTATCAATTATTCTCGCTTCTAGAGAAAGAAAAATCAAAAATTTCAATTAGGTCTTTTTTTAAAATTTTTCTCCAGTTTCAAGTTCAGAATATTCAGTTTTAGGCTCTAAAATAATCCGAAAAAATTCTGAATTGGTTTCAGAAAAATTGGGAAAGAGTCTGTAAACAAAACAAGGCGCTGAAATCGAAAATAGCCCTATAGAAAGGCGGAATGGTGCTCCGAAGATAAAAGAATCGAAAAAAAAAAGTTTAAAGGAAACTTCCTTCAACGAAAATTGATTCTAGTTCTTGCTGTAGGCTTTTTGAATTTTCCACTTATTTAGTTGTAGAAAGTCTGACCGTCTGCACCCTCTCTTTGTCTCATCAGTGGAGGGAAGAAGAGGGCGCAGACAGTCAGACTTCTCCAGTTCGGAGACGACCTTGGGGACCCCAAAGTGGTCCCTAAAGAGCCAACTTTAAGGGCCCTTTAAGGTTTTCCTCTAGGGAGCACTTTATCGCTCTCTCTTTTTGGAGCACCTAAATTTTCTCCTTGTGAGGGCGATTTCTTCTCTCCATAATGGACTGATTTTTCCATTACCCCTATAGGGACCACTCTAGCGTTCCTTAGAATGGACTTTTTCAAACCTACTCCCATCTTTTCAGGAGTCGCGACGGAAGGCTGCGAAGACGCGGATCCAAAATGTCCGGACTGGGCTTCAACCGGCGAATGTGCTTCCAACGCCGTCTGGTAATTTTATAAAAATTTTCGAGGTTGCTCTTGGAATGACTCGATTTCAAAAAACACGATTACTGTACTTCTCCTAAATTCTGTACGTCTTCAGGATGATGGCCAACTGCAGAAAGTCCTGCCATTCCTGCCAGGGTGGAGATCGGGCCTGGAAATTGAGAACCCATATTCAGACGACTTATCAAAACGCTACGGATAATAAAACACGGCTGGTTCGGGTGGAAAGCGTCCGAATCAACAACGTTGAGATTGTAAGTGAATGAATTTTGAACACTCGTGTCTGCGCTCTCTCTTCTCTGGGCGATCCTCTCTTTTTTACATACTATTTTTCCTACGAGAGAAAAGAGAGCGCAGAATAGTCGGAATATCCTGAAAAGTTCATATTTATCTGCGATTCCTTTCACCCCTACGACTCTCTCGAGTTCACATGCTATTTTCTCGTTTTTGGCCTTATTGATGAAAGAAAAGAGCGCGCAGACATTTCAGAATATGTTGAAAATTTTGCCAATAGAGCGCACAAGTGTCTTTTTCCATTAATTATTCAAGCTCTCTCGTCTCTAAACGCTATTTTCCCGCGTCTATGAGGGAAAAGAGAGCGCAGACAAGCCAGAGACCCGAAAAATCAATTCGACTTTTTTCAGGATGAACGACGACAAAACGTCAAAGTATTTCGGGCGATTCGTCTTGGTTGGTTTTTTAGATTTTTTAAGTACCTAATTTTCGAAAAATAGAGCTGGAACGACACGGCGATCAGCTGGGACAAGGAACAGTGGGGCTTGAGCTGGCTCAACTTCTATTGGATCCAGATCTGGACTCCGATGGTCGTCCAGATCAATGGGTTAGTGTCCTTAGAATCCATGAAAAAACAGCCAGAAAAGGTTAAGAGGATAAACAGCCAGAAAAGGTTAAGAGGACTTGTAATCTTTCTTCCATTGAAAATCCAAAAAAGGGTCTTGGCACGACAAAAAATGCACAGTACCCTCATAATTATTATTAAAAGCACACTCTTTTATTGATGAAGCGAGAGAAAAAAGAAACCACACAGTTAGACGGTTCAAAGAATGAATAAACTTTCTCCTTTTTTTAAATTCTATAGTCCGTGTGCCGCGACTTGACAGTTTTCGCGTGTCTGCGTCTCTCTGTTCCCTCCCCGACGAGGTCATATAAACATGGAAATAGCACGTAAACATAAGAGAGTTGCCGAGAGACGAGGAGGGCGCAGAGAAATTCCAACCTCTCGAGTCGCGGTAAACGGACAAAAATTAAAGAAAGCTTAATTGAATTTCTGGCATTTATTGAAACTTTCAAGGTAAATTATAATTTCCCAGAGCCTCAACCTCCAACCCGGGACAAGTGACGAGCAAGGTCCTTGCCGCAAATTACACCGGCCAGGTCTACCTGTGGTCCGACTTTTCCTTCACCACACCCTTCCGATTCCAATACGAGGACTATCCCAACGACCTTCAGAAGGTATCATGAAACCACATGGAATGGCTCAGCGCGTCCGACTGAAAACTACTTGCGCGCAGCGGGACTGTAAATCATAAGAGAGTCGCTTCTGGTCGGGCGCAAACATGGAGTTTTCTGGATGAGACGGCGTTCACTAGGGACATTTTTCAATCTGAATCCGAACCTAGGGTTAAAAAAACTGAAGAGGTTTCTGAAAAAAGTTGTGAGGTCTCAAGATTCGAAAAGTTTGAAGATCTAGGCCTGATAGCTCTTATTTTCAGAAGGTAGATGAACTAGTTACAATAATCAAGAAAAAAAAAGACGACTTTGAACCCCTATAACATTTTTCACGACCCATTCGGTAATTTTTTGACCTCAGATTCGGAATCAGCTTGAGAAATCGCATTGAACGTCTCTAACTCGAAAGTCCTAATCAGAAGCTCTACCTCAAAAAGTCGCTCTAGGTAGGGCGCAAAGAAAGCGCTGCTTTGAGCCATTCCATGCTCAAGCCGTGACGATTCAAATATCCTTACCTTGTCCTCAGGTCTGCTTTAAATTCGACGACAAACGTCTCCTGGCCGTTCACTTCACCGTTTCTGACGGCGTCAAGAACAAGGAACGGGAGGCGACGACGGACCCCTACGTCTCCGGCTGGAAGATCGAAGACGTCGATGTTGTGGTCAGACTAGATTCTGAACTCTGAGATTCAGAAGGGGTTCAGGAGTCGCCGTACACCGTCGAGCAGCTCTCCGACCCACGGCGCAATCCATTTGATGTGCAGGCCGATAACTGCGAACTTTGCGTCTCGTTGAGAAGGTTGGCATGGGATTCCTTCATATGAATAAGTTCATTCATAAATGGCTTCAAGAAAAAGGGTTATAAGGTCGATTTGATTCGCTGTGACTTGAAACTGTCTGACTCGTCTGAGCTCTCTTTTCTCTCGCCGACGAGGCTGTAGAAGAATGAGCCTCAGAGTGTCGGGGAAGAGAGAGCGCAGAGTGTTAGAGTATCTTGAGTCGGAGCAAAAAAAAAAATCAAAAACATTTTTAGTCGATTTTACGCGTTTCAAAGTAATTTTCATTGGAAAAAGACGATTTTTCAGGTCTTTAAAAATGTTATAACTCGAGTTAAACGCAGAAAAACTACTACCTTCAATTTTTTTTGGAGTCAGGATGCTATAATGAGGGTCTCAAACTAAGTTCCAGCTTTCTTTTCTTACTAAGAAGTTTGAAGTTTCTAAAATTATAAAAAATGGCATTGCAATAAATTATAGTAACACGATCTCAGGACTTAAAAAAAACGTTAGACTCAGCCTTTTCTCAATAAATCTGAAACACCAACCTTCAGAAACGCGGTCTACTTCACGGCGGAGATGCTTCTGCCCGCCTTGATCACCTCGTTGTTCACCGTCTGCGCCGTCTTCTTCCAGCTTTCCAAGACCCAGCCGATGCTCCTCGGCTTTTCCGTCGTTTCGCAGATTTTGGCCTTGATTCTCGTCTCCCAACGTCTACCATCCTTCACGGCGCACACTCCGACCATCCGTGAGACTTTTAAAAAGATTTTTTTTATCGAAAAAAGTACCCCTATTTTTTGGAGATATTCTTCTTAAGTCGCTCGAAAACAGATAGAAAATTTTAACTAGTATCTTTTTAAACACCCTATATAACTGAAAAGGTTCCAAAAACAAAAGCGAGAGAACAGCTGCGCCTTAAGAGACGCCAGAGAAAGAGAGACATATTGCCTTGTCTGGTGTCTCTTCAGATCGCCTTATCTCTCGCTTTGCCCTTTTTTTTTAGTACATTACAGTCCCTAGTGCAGAAAAAAAGCGAAAAGATCTTGGTAAACCATGAAAATTAGATCAAATCCTCGCCTTGATTTGCTCAATTGGGTCAATAACTAAAATCGTAAAAAAGAGAGGAGATTCAAAAAAAATTGAACTAGAATCTGACTTCCAGAAAGTTTCCTATGAAACAACCTTCCCCATGAAAACTCACCATTTTCAGGCATTTTGCCAAAAACTTCATTCTTTTCTTCCTTTTCAATAACATTTTTATAGCCTAAACTTAATACCCACCAAAAAAAAACCAACTTTCAGTTCGATTCGCCGGTTTCAACATGGTGATGACGGCGCTGCTGTTCATCATTTCCCTGGTTCTGGAACGTATGGCGGGAGCTACTGTTGAAATTCCGCCACCGCACAGGGTGACGCAGTTTGCTGGGATTGTCGATCGAGCGCTTCCACTTCCGAAGGTAAAGAAAAAGTGAAAAAATCTGGAGTTAAAAATAATTGGACACAAAAATAATCTGAAAATTAGCACCTTCTGCGCTCTATGGATATTATGAAACTAAATTTTACGAGTCAAAATTTGTGAAATCCATTTTTTTTTTGAGTTTTGACCAGAACTGACTATCCTCAAAAAAAAGGTACAGAGATCACCAAGAAACTGGAGAGACTCCAGAGAAATAAAGACACTCTCGCTGTCTGGCGTCTCTTCAAGCCGCCGCTGCTCTCTCTTTTGCTTTTTCCTGATTTTCAGTTCAAAACAGAAGTTACTCTCTGAAGCCATTTGACGTGACTATTTATATGCGGCTGATTTTACAAGGCTCTTTTTTAAATCATTTTTTATTCAGAACTCCAAACACGAGGACACAACTCTGCACTACGCCTCATTCGCCCACGCTCTCAATCACGTCATTTTCGCTATCTCTGGCTGCCTCTACTTCATCGTCATTATCTCTAGCTTTGTCTTTTAAGACAAAAAAAAATTCCAAGTGCTTCTAGTGGGAGTGGAGCCTGAAAATTGAGCCGTCAAAAATTAGCTCCATGAGCATATTTTAATGACTTTTTTGAGCATTTAGCCGTTTTCCAAGAAAGATGAGCCTTAAAAAATAAAATTGATTAGTTGCTTCCTGGATAACTGCAAAAACGGACCTTATCTTTGAAGAAAAACAACATTTTTTTCGAAAATCGATTCTTCAAAAAATTGTCGTAAAAGACCTACTGACAAGTGTGCTCCATTGATAGCTCAAAAAGTTAACGTTATTCGCCTAAAAATTGTAGAAATATGAGATATTGTCCATAGAGCAACCTTGAAAGTGAAAACTCAGAAATAATAACTTTACAGCTAAAATAATCAAACTAGAACATTTTTTATCCGTGGAGCAACCTTGTGAGTGAAAATACAGCCAGAATATCTTTTCAGCTGAAATTATCCAACTAGAACATCTTTTATCCTTGGAGCAAACTTATAAGCACAAAACAGCTTTTCCTAATTTTGAGGCTCAATTTTCAGATACCCCTCTCCTATAATTAATCAATTCATTAATCATTTTCCAAAAAACGTGTACAAATGGCAATAAATACATTTTCTTTCAAATTCCTACAATTTTACAAAAAAATTGCTCATTTTGTTGCTAAACGCCAGTCATCAATCGCCTTCTCGACCACTAGAGCAAACTAAAAATTCAAGTTTTTTTCACTTTGGAATTTTGGGAAATTTCTCACGTTTTTGTAAGATTCCTTGTGTTTTTCACTGCTACTCGACGTCGGCGCTTCATTCACCTTAAAGTTGAAGATTACAAAACCTTGGTCGCACGTGGAATGGCTCAAAGCGTCGCGGTTTGTTATTTAGTTGTTGTTTAGCACGCCTTGAGCCATTCCACTAGCTATTCGACTACAAACCATGGTTTGAAGTGACCGCTCTAGGGATTTCTGAGCCGGGGAGAGAATTTCATTCTCATATTCGTATATAGATTCTTCAACTACTCGTCGGACCTAAAGTTTTTTATTTTTTGTTTTTCGATATTATCTCAAAGAATGTAGAAATAAAGTGGATCAGAACATTTTCTTTTTCTCATTGGTATTTCTTTGTTTCACTTATCACTACTATACTGCAGAAAACAATTTCTGTTATTCTCTGGCGTCTCTTCAAGCCGCAGCTGAGCTATCGCCTTTCCGAAGCTGGAGATGCACAGGGACTGAGGAGAAACCAGAGAAAGAAAGGTTTCTCCTAACGTCTGGCGCCTCTTAATTTACACTAGGCTCCCGAAAAACATAAAAGATTCATAAATTTTTATAAATGAAGCCCAAAAAAACCATTTTGATCCGGTTTACAGAGTTGAGGTCGCCGTCCGCAGGAAGACTTTCCAGCTGCAAAATTTCCTTTTTCTTATTTTTTTTTAAACTTCAATCACCGCCAACTGGAGAGTCTTTCACAATATCGGTCCTCATCGAGACCAATTTTCTGATTCTTTTGAGTATCCTCTCATCCTCTTTATCGTGATTTTTGAGCACTTGATTGAGGCTGCCCCACGGATGACCTTAATTTGCTAATTTTTTAAAGTTGAAGTTAGAAAAACAAAAGCGATGGATCATAGACACCAGAAGAGACGCCAGAGAAGAATATTTCCTTCACTTCTCTCTCGTCTCTTCATGCCTTTGCTGCTCTATCGCTTGAACTCAATCATAATGAACAAAAACTATGGATCATGGAAACTAGAGAGAGGCCAGAGAAAAGAACTTCTTCACTTCTCTAGCATCTCTTGAAGCCGCTGCTTATCTATCGCTCACACTCGCGGTTTCAGATTCAAAAACGAGAGATGCGGAGACTGAAGAGACACCAGAGAAAGAGAGACTTCTCAAGTTGTCTGGCGCCTCTTCAGGCCTCTCTTGTCTTTCGCTTACTTTTTTCGTGACAAAAAATCGAAACCTTCAAAAAAGCGGACCAAATAGAGTTGTCCAGTGAATCGGGCAAAATAATAGAACAAAGAAAACGGTGGCGGTAGTCGCAGTTTACTTTCATATCTAAAAAAAAATCCAATTAATTCAAAAAACTATCGTGAGGGTACTCAGACAGAAATCAGTTCCCTGAAAAGTTCAAAAACAATAATTTTACATTTGATGCTGATTTTTAAAAAGAGACATAGATAAATTCATGATAGCTTTTAGCTTAGAATCCATCTACCCTCAACTTGAAGCGTTTAACATTGATTCATGAACGTCAATTGCGTCCGACCAAAAACGGCTTTCGCGCTGCAGCAAGGAAAAGACTATGCGTCGTTTTTGAACATTCTGCGTGTGAAAAAAAAATTGATGAATGAAATAATGTAAAAATGAGTATCAGAGAAGGTTTTTTTGTTCGAAGTTTAAGGCACACATGCACCGAACCGAAATGTATCTCGACGCGAAATTTTTCAAAATTCAATCTAGTGGTAAATGCTGCATGAAAATGGGCAACAGGTCCTTTATGTTTTAATCAGAGTACTCTAATTAAGTTCAAGAAAAAAATGTTAGGAGGAATTTTCGCAGATCTAAAAAATGAAATCATCACTTGGCCAACTGCCCGTAGTACTTGTAGTTGAAGCAGGTCTCCTCGCAGGCTTCCTCGTATTCTTTCCTTGAAAATAATCATTTTGATTGTCTTGCTCACGGAACAATCATTTTACGTCAACTGAGCGGTGAAGAGGTTCATGAGGAAGATGCTCGCCACGAACATGTAGCTGAACATTATGACTGGGATCAACGTGCTCCGAATGAAGCAACGGATTTGCTCGAGCCGCATCGTGCTCATGTCACGGAGATATACCGGATCGCAGCCGGAAGTGCTTCCTTAATCCGTTAAATCAACTGTACAAGGGAAAACTCAATAGGTCTGGGAGAAGGGGTCGACTCACAAAAATCTCGTAAAAAAGGAAGAAAATCAACTTTGGACGTCAGAAGGATGGTCATTCTACATTGCGCCTGTGAATGAAAAAACTAGCCAGGACATTCTTTAAGGTACCCAATAAGGTTCCTAAAAACCTCAACCTCGTTTTCGAGAAAGGACATCTCAAAATTATAGAAAACGCCCAATTTTGTTGAAATGCGCTATTAAAAATGCTTCAATAAATTCCCAGTGCCTCTGGTCCAATTTCCATTATGCTTATTATATTTAGAAACTTTATCAGGCTTCAAAACGTTGCTTCAGTGGCTTATCCCATAAATAAAAAGTGAGCCCAACAGTCTTCTCTTAAAATCTGAAATGTTTGTTCTCAATATTCAATACGTGTCTCCCATCCCGGTAAATCGCTCGCTAGGGCGTTTTTATATCGGGCTCCCCATCACTCAAATTCTTCCTTTCAAGTACTCCGTACTTTCTTGTTTGAGTGAAATAAATAAATAAATAAACAACTCCGACCAGAAATATCGCCCTCCTTGGCTTCACCGAAAATTTCAAAGGCTCCAGCTTGGAAAAATCGAAACATCAAAGTGTCGTTGGTCTTGGCGAAACCTAAAGATTTTCTTCATTTTCTCATAACTTTTTTTTCAAAAATTCACTCGTATTGCTAACGTAGAGAACCCCCAGAATCGACCAAAGACTGACGAAAAGAAGGAAAAACTTGCCGAAAATGACAAACTGAGAAAAAATTTTCAAGTTTGAAAAAAAAAACTGTTTTTTCCAACCATTCTCTGCATGATGACTGTGAAGAAGCCGAAAAATCGAAAAACGTCGAAATAACTCAAAAAAGAGAGCGTTTCCACCACAAATGAGAGCTGAAGGATACATTCGCAAAAAACCGTCGCGAAAAAATACAATCTCATCGCGGCTTCTGAAAGCTTGAAGAAGCCTTCTCCTCAGAAAGAATCCTGATTCTACTTGTTTCCTTGTGAGCATATTCTTCCTCGCTTTCGATTCCAGATGAAAGAGAAGTAGGCAGGTACATGAGTGAAGCGATCGATAGTGCGTTTAGAAAAAGACGGAAAAAATTGTTGTTCTTAGTGTATTCTTTCGTAGCCTGAAAAATCAAAGAAACAAACTTGTCTGAAAATGCTTTTCTAACCAACTATTATAGTCTGTTCGTTTTTGAATGTCAAGCAACAAACTCCGCCCCCAAAAATGCTCTGTGAATGGCTCGATATCTGAATGGTTTGATCTACGCATAAAGGACGGAGTTTGAGCAATGACTTGACATTCAATATCTGAACAGACTATATTATTTGTTTCATTAATTCATGTAAAATCTTCACTCGAAGTCTCATTTCGAGACTTCCAACTAGAAAATAGCTTCTCACTTCGGCAAATACACGCTCTATTGATATTCAGTTTGGATAAAAATTTGAAGCTTGTTTTACTTTGTGCGATTCTCAGCGACTCAGTTATTTTGAAATGGAAAAAAAAAAACATACGTTCCCATAATTTTTTTCCCCAGGAAATTCTTTCGAAGAATATACTTGACCAAAGTTCAACTGCAAAAAAGTATTTTGTAACTACAAAACAAAGATGGTCGCACTTGAAATGACTCAACGCGCAGCGGTTGCAAAGCGATTTCGCATGACTTCGGACGACATTCGCGTGACGTCATTAGAAAGCATCAAAGGGGACTTTTAGATAAAAAGCTCTTCGTCCAACCTCAACGCGACCGCGACGCTTTGAGCCATTTCAAATGCTGTTTTTTTTTCACTCACCCTATCCAAGAAAAAAGTGATGACGTAAAGAATCTGACAAAGTTGAACGGCAAAGGCATAAACTAGGATTCCAAGCGAGAACTTAGCCCAATTCCAATCTTTCAAATTTTCGTAATTCAATACATTTGGCAGCAAAATCAGAGCATGCGCAACGATGTATAAAAAGGCGAAAATCTGAGAAATAATGGTTGACTTTGAAAAAAAAAATTGAAACCATGTGCCAGACGTGCTTCGAGTTGGTCGTGCGGAAATAGTAGAAGAAAATCGACTTTATGAATTTCGAAAACTTTTTTAAGGCCTGTAAAAAATTGTGCACATTCCATGCAAATTCAAACTCTCTAGTCGCATTTGGAATGGCTCAAAGACGTCATTCAAAACATAATGCTTTTCTATGCTGATTCAAGTCGCTTTGAGTCGGGCGCAACCGCTTTGCAGCCGCTACACGTTGAGCCATTCCAAATGCGATCATGAGTTTTCAATTAAGCTAGTAAATGAAAAGCCTGGAACCTACTTCGAAAGTTTGAAAAATGTGAACTTTCTAGTTTTTTTGGTTTCTTAGTGTTAGCTGAAAGAAGTCATAGAAAAAGGTGGCGTGTCCAGCCAATCAGATAAATAATTCATGGAGCGCATTTTCATTTTATTATTTTTATTTTCAAAAACTTCTGAATAGTATATTTTCCCGTTCGTATTTTCCGATTTCCATAAAAATCCTTGACACATCCAAAAACTCCCATTCTCTTCCAAGTGATCTCTTCTCAGATTCAAAAAGTTCAGAGCCGTCTTCCTTCTCATAGCCTTCAAATTTTTCAAATAAACTTCTTTCAAAACATAATGAATTCACATATCGACCCTCTGGATTGCCCATCCACCGTTTTTTCATCAAAACGAAGCATGCCGGATGCGATAGGAATTTCTACAAAAAAAAAATCAAAAAATCAAGTGATCTTCAGAGCTCAAAACCGTAGCTTCCGCCAAATGAGCGATCGCAAACAGCTCCATTGGCTGGGCGTCACGTCTCCAAACGTAGTTTTGCCAACCTTGAAAAATAGTAAGATCGGAACGGTTCGGAGCTTCGCCCGACCACGAAACGACTTACGCGAAGTTGAAATTTTCAAGGGTGGGCGCGACAACAACGCTTCGCGCCAATTTATATACGGCCAGCGTTTTTGAAGCATTGTTCTTCGCACTCGGAATGGCTCAAAGCGTCGCGGTCTTCAGGTAATTTTTTTTTCAAGCATTGCGCAAGCCGTTTCAAGGTCGGTCGCACTTCTCTCAATCTCTTACCGCATTTACGCTTCATATTTTTCTCCAATAACTTCTCAGTTTCGTCTAGTGACACATTTTTTTTTGCCTCCAAATAAAGATAATGCTGAAAAACAAGGCATAAAATAGGAAAAAATTCTCTGAACAACTCGGTAATCGATTTCCAAGGCCATAGAAGCGTCTTCAGGGTCGACTTCGTAGATCGCATCCAAAATTTCAAAGGCACGCTCGTCGAACCATATAAAATTTGATAAAAGATTAAATAAAATCGAAGTAGTCACTATAGGGTCTTAGGGAGGGTTTCAGACAGTTCCAAGCCAGAAATTCGATCTACTCAAGTTTAAAGTTGTTCTTGTCAACTTCAAGATTGGAATCATCACTTTTTTACAATCTACTCGCGAGTGTTTGCCATCCTCTGATCGCATGCAGGATGACTCAACGCGTCGCGGCCGCGCTGCGGTTTTTTCTGGTTCAGTTTTGGCTAAAACTTCCAAGTCGTTTTAGAGTCGGGCGCATCTTTCCGCGACCGCGACGCTCCAAGCCATTCTTCTTGCGGCAAATAAGTTTCAAATTTTTAGGTTTAAAAAAAAATGCACTAGATTTACTCCAATATTCATGAAAAAATCACAATTAATCTTTAATTTTTTATTTTATTTTTAGGACTCACTTTGATAACTCTAAAAAGCGGTCCTTCATCGCAAAGTTCCGAGCTTTTTCGAAAGCTTGCGACATTTGAAATGCCGTCTGGCAGGCTATCAGGACGGCGTGAAGGGGGAATTTACAGTCGATCAAGATATCTTTGGTGCTGGAAATTGTGGAGTTTTTTTTTGATTGGAGAAAATCGATAAAATCAATAAATATTGAACAAAAACTTTGGAAAAAGTACCTAGGCTCCCCTTTCTCATCCAGCGGCTGTTTCAAGCCGTAAAAAGCGGCCATCATCAAGTCGAAAGCGCTTCTGTCGGAAAAGTAGTAATGAGCTGAAAATTGAGTTTCAAATCAGGAAATAGTATTAAATCTTTTATAAGGGGTATTCATAATGATCTGCAGAGCGCAAAAGCAATTTCTCGCGGCAATTTTCAAATATTTTCTTCTTAAGTGGTCCCTACAATTATTTTTTATTCAGAAGAAAGCGGAACCGAAAAGCTTCCGAAAGTTCGAGCTCTTATTGACACTAAAAAAGATGTTAAAGGGAACAACATTTGAGTGGTCACTATAGTAGCCCAAATGAAGCTCCGAAGACTTCAAGTAACCCCTTGAGTGATCATTGTAGGAGTCTGAATCAAGCTCTAAAGTTGCCAAACATCACGTGATAGTTTGAGTGGTCACTTTAGCAGTCCTAGGATGAAGCTCCAAAGTGAAAAAAATTGGAGAAATCTTTCAAGTGGTCACTATAGGAGTCCGAATGAAAAAAAGTCAAAATTACCCAGTTCCATCCTCAGAATCGACGCCGTCATTTTCTGCATCTCTTTAAAAATTTCAATACTTCCAAAATATTTCCAGTTCATATTTCCCCCCACTGGAAACTGATTCTGGACCCGGATACGAAGCTTTGAGAAGGTTAAAAGCTGAAAAATCAGAGTATATTTTGAAATTTCAAGACGTTAACCTTCTTCTCATATCTGTCGATAACGTTGTAAATCTCATGGGTAGCTTCTTCTTGGGGCGATTCTAGAAATACTCAAAGTTTTCGGTTGACAAAGGAGCACACAAAAAATGGCCTAACGCGTGACGGCTATAGAGCAGTTTATATGAACTTGCGCCCGACCAAAACCGGTTTGGGAAACTCTAAGCGCAACGCCTCAAGGCGTTCTAACTGCGACCAGAATACATTTATTGTAAATCATGGATTTTTTTTTCGAATAAACTCTTCAGAAAAAGACGAGAAGGATCGAGAGACCCAAATTTTTCTCTTTTTCTCTGATGCCTCTTCAGTTCCTACGATCTCTTGGTATTTCGATCAAACTTAACGTTGTATGAACTTTTTTTCATTTCAAAAATCGGCTTTACATTTTGGAAAGCGTTTCAGAAACGAAAGATAATCAAAGATGAATAGACGCAGCTTTATTTTCTTCTCTGCTGCCTCTTCAGTTTATGCCCTTTCTCGACGTTGTGGCCTAATCTATCGCTAAATTACTTTTGTTTTTCAGAATCAAGTTGCTACTCTTTTGGAAGAAGCAAGAGACCATGAAAGTTTGAGAGACGCAGATTGCTCTTTTCCTCTGCAGTCTCTTCATCCTCATGTTCTCTCGGCCTTCGTTTCATTATAGCGGTGAATTAACTGTTATTTTTTTAAAATCAACTCAAAGATATTTTAAAGGCGTTTCAGAAATGAGAGATCATGAAAGCTGGGCAGACTCAGATTACTCTTGTTCTCTGCAGTCTCTTCATTTATCATGCTCTCTCGGCCTTTATTTCATCACAGCGGTGAATCAACTATTTTGATAGCCACGGAGTTGCGATTTTTATACTCCTGATAACGTTGTGGCGCCAAAATTATAGTTCATTTACTGGTCTTTTTTAAGAAAAAGGAGAATATAGTATCTAAAAAAGCTCATTGGGCGAATAAGGCTTCTAAAAAAATTTTTCAAAGAGCCTTCTTATTCAAAGACCCAACTATAAACCTTCCAAAAAGAACCATTTGCTCAAAATGGGTCCCAAAAAAAGATAAATCTTGAAGAATTTAAAAAAAAAACCTGATGTGATTAAAGGCGTAGACGCAGAAAGCTTCGACATCCAGAAGTACAGTCGATTTCAAAAAGGATAGTACACAGGAAGAAACAAAAGAACAGTATCAATTGTCTCCTTATCTTTGAGAGTATATGATAAAAATTTGTCGTAGTGAGCCTCTAGTATTAGCGATGATAGTCTTTGACTAATAAACTATGAAATTTCTCGCTTTTCTTTTACGTCATTCTCAAAACAGTCTGACCTGTCTGCGCCTCTTTTCTCTCGCCAGTATAATGATTCGCGTGTTTTCTGTGATATAGGCGGTAAGAGTATTTTACCCTCAAGTTATGAAATTTATAGCTTTCCTCAAATTTTTCCTAAACAGTCTGACCTGTTTGCGTCTCTTTTCTCTCGCCAGTACAAAGATTCCCGATAAACTCCGCTCTTCTTCCAGTACCAGCAAGTGGACTTTAGCAGATTTACAAAACTGTGAGAAAAAAAACGGATTTCAGTCAATTTTTAGGAAATTTTTTAGTTAAAGACTCAGAAAGCTTTCATGTCGGCGAGAGAAAAGAGAGCGCAGACAGGTCAGAACGTTTCTTCACAAATATTTAGGAACTCGACTCAAAAATGAAGTTCAAAATGGCCAAAATTTTCTACGTCTCCCCATTTTCTTTCAAGTTTTGGATTAAACCCTATTTTTCTTGATTTTTACAAATTTCGAAACATAAAATTTCATTTCCGGGCCATAAAAATAATTTCGCGAGGGTTGCTATTATAAGAAGGGTGATCAGCCGCAGTGACGTCGAGGAATTCGATCTGAATATGGAAATATCAAGATTTAACTCAAGTTGAGGAAAATATCCTATTAAAGGCGCATCCTCGGCCAGCACGCGCCTTCAATAAAGAAAGATATTTCAACGATTTTCGATTTTTTTTTCCACTGAATCCACAAAAATATGAAATTCTCAGATTCTCCGACTTTTCGAATAATATGAATTTGAGAAGAAAAATCGTATGATCCATTAAAAAAAACCAGAAATTGACGAAAATTCCAACTTTTCAAAATTCAAAGTCCTTCGAAAAATTCCTACACAATATTATTCATTGAAAAAAGGTTCATGTTATTAAAACATTATAACATTGAAAAAGCTTAGAATATCTTGTATTAATGAACAGTTTTATAACTTTTTGACGCTCGAATTTCACCTTTTCAAAGCCAACAGCTTCGAGACACTCCCGGTAGGTGTCGTTCAAATAAAAAGAAGATAGTTTCCTCAGCTACTTGCTCTAAACAAATCAATTATTTTTATTTTTATTAAGAAAAATTAAACCTCCATCGGCAAAAGTACTGAACCTTCAGGGGCATTTCATCCATAAGTTCAATGTTTTCAGGAACTTCGATTGAATTTCCTAAAGAAAAACTTATAGAGGAACAAGTTTGGGAATATATTCTATATGAAAAAAGTAAAATGCAATTTTCTAAGAATTACAGTTTCTAGGCTCTTTTTATTCCCCAGAGAATCGTTCTGGAAAGAAAATACTGTACTGTACACTGTGATATACTGTAATAGTTATAAGTAAAAATTCCTGAAGATCTATGTTCTTCCCTTGTTCAGACATTCTAAAAATGGAGTCTACGTTCGAATATTCAAAACCGAGAGAGCGTTCAAAAATGAGAGGATCGCTTTTTCTCTGACAACCTCTTGTTTACCAATGCTCTCTAGATTCCAACGATTAGAGCCGCAAAAAATCAAGGAGAACCTCTAAAAATTAAAAACCAACCCATCGCCTTGGAATCCTTCTTATCTGGCTTGAAATTCGGCAAACCGTTTGGAACAACGCCAAGGAATACACCGCCGTCAGTCAGATGTTCATGGACCGCTTGGGCCATCGGAAAATTTGACAATTATTTTTTTTTTTCGTTAAAGTCCATTTTTCTGGACTTGAAATGACGGGTTTGCAAAGCAACCACTATCCATTTTTGGCGCAAATTCGAAAATTACTGCTCTTCTGGATGGTTTTTCGCTACGCACTCTTCAAAAACGTCAATTTTCACATTTTTTTCAAAGAAAACTTTTATGATTATTTAAAACGTGAGAAGGCAGATAAAAGTGACGTAAACGCTGAATTATTTGATTTCATGCCAATAACTTCAATTTTCCCTTCAAAAAAAGCTTCTCCGATTACTTTACTAAGTGTCAAGATCAGAAGAAAAAAATGCGAGAAAAGGGCGTGGCCAACCAATCAAAAAAGTAGTGCGATGGAGCGAACTTTCAAAAACTATCGTCTTTACGTTACCGCGCCTCAAAATCGAATAAAGATCAAAAAAGGGCGTGACCAGCCAATGAAAGACATATTTCAGTGGAGCGAACTTCCTAATCTCTCGACGTCTCTCATGTTTACGTGCTATTTCCATGTTTCTCTGACCTCGTCGGTGGTAGAACAGAGAGACGCAGACACGTGAAAACTGTCAAGTCGCGGCGGACAGTAAGAGAATTTGAACTGAAAAGTCCACTTGGAGTCGTGCCAATCTATTTTTTTACAAGAATTGAAGTCTCATGGTCGCAGTTGGAATGGCTCATCGCTCCCGACCAAAACCTACTTACGCGAGCTGTCATTTGATTGCACAGCAGCCAGAATTTGACGATACCGTGACGCTTTAAACCATTCCGAGTGCGACCATGCCCTTTTCTTTGAATTTATTTCTCATCGTTATCTCAAAAACTGTACAAACCTTTGAGAACGTCCTCTTCTGCTCTATCTTTCCCTAACTGTTCTTGAACGCTTTTCCCGAAAATCCCACTGATCCTTCGAATTTTGCAAACCTTTTGCAAATTCTTGTTTTTCTAGAAGGTTTTTCTCAAGCTTCTTAACAAAAGCGACTCGATTTTCACTATAGTAAGTGCACGATTGAGCTATAATCTCCACTATAATCTCTGTTTTTCGCCTCGTTTTCTCTGTTTTTGCGTGGAGAATCATGATGAAAGCTGTCCATCGGATTTGAGAACTTTTTCAGTATAACGATTTTTCACTATGATTATTTCTACTCCCCAGGTAATCTAACTTGAAAAACGACGGGAACCGGGAAAATGGAGAAAAAAACGGAGGCGTGCCGATCGTGAGGCTCTTCAAATGGACTACCAGCAGGAGCAAGACAGTTCAGTTTTTTTCCGATTTTTCGAAAAATTTGAATTTCTCTGTAGAAACCTGTCAAGAGCTTACAATAGCCTCAGGAACCTATGAAATTGTCGAATAAGCTCTTAAGGTACTGGAAAAAAATTTATTTCCTACGAGTTTTTGAAAAAAATTTCATAAAAAAATTCCTGATGCTTCAGTGTAGTATGTATGCCACGACTTGAAATATCACGGAACGACATTCCGCTGTGCCGCTGCGCGCCTTTGCGAAACTTGGTCGCGATTTTTAATTTTTTTCTTTTTATCAAGGTACTTCATGTGCTCCCACAGCAATAACAATTAATAAATTGAAAAGTGACCTAAATTCGAAAAACGCTTCGCGAACGCACGCAGGGGAACAGCGGAATGTCGTACCGTGAAATTTCAAGTCGTGTCACACGGACTATATTTGAATGTTTTGGAGTCGATCCGTCGACTAGGAAAAAAGTTAGAAAATTCCACGAAAAGTCTTACCGTAACACAGTGAGGGACCTCACAGTGACTAGCTTAAAATTTTGCACATCATCATAAAATAACAAAAGACGTTTCAGTTTTTTGTACGAAACTCCGCTAAGACGCTTCGAAAATCGGGTGAAAAGTATATAAGATTGAAGAGGAAGGTTTTCTCTATGCTTTCCCCAATTTTCTCCGTTTTTGGTTCAGTATAGTGCTTTTACGAAAACAACAAACACAAAATCTGAAAAACCAGTGCATTTCACCATCGCGAAAAGGGGCGTGGCTTTGAGGTCTCTAACAATATGTTTAGTAACTGTGATAATAATTCCAACTCTCAGAACGAAACATGAAATTCTTGTACCAACGGTTCATCGTGAATCTGAGAACTTGTGTTAAATTAAAGGCCGCATTTCGCCTTCACTGCGAAGCGGTCGCAACGCGGTTTTTCGGCGCCAAGTCATGTTTCTCGCTTTTTCCACGTTGCCTATTAGAAAAACTAGTTACTTTAAATCAGATACTTCGAAAAAAATAGCATTTTTGAATAAATGAAGAAACTTTCTTCAGTGATCCCACTAGTGCGAGAATTTCTGAAACGGCGCCAAAAACGCATCGCGACCGCTTTGGACCACACTGCAAATGCCGCACCCGTTTCATTTATATAGTTTTTTTGCGAAAAAAAAATCAATCGAAGCTTGGAAAGCTTGATCTTAATGCAGCAAGTCGACGAAACATTGAGATTATGGCCTGATTTATGAAATCATCACGAAAATTGCAGTGTTCCACCGGAAATTCAGCATAATGGCCGGACTCCTCTGCACGGTCCCGTTCTGCGTCCTCGTCATGCTTTTCCTCTACTTTTTTTCATGTTCGGACGACGATAATTTTTTTCTTTCATTTAAATTCATATTTTTTTCTGCCTTGTTTGGAATATTTTATCCTATTCTCGAGGATTGCTGGGACATTTTTCATTACCTTGAAGCGAAAAAGACGTCTTTTTTTCAAGACGAGTGCCTTTGAAAAAGTTCTCCAAACTTTTTATCAATAAAATATTCCAACAGTCGCCAATAGCTCAAATTCTATGATGCCAAATTAGTCGCCCGGTGTAATATTCTGTGAACTAATAAAAAAATTATTCCTAATCTTGTGTTTCTCTAGAATTTTACGATAAAGACATTCTGAAAATCGAGAAAAATTTGATTGATTTGTGAAATAATTCATTTATTTCTCTCCAACGCTTGGAAATACAATCAAATTCTATTCATGGGAGTTCTCGGTCTTGTCCTGCGGATCACGAGATGGCTTTGACGAGGCCTTGGAAGGCGTCTTCCCTTCCTTGGGAGCTTCGATTCTCGACGTCGGAGTCGTTTTTTCAGCGATTGGGTTACTTTTTTCGGCCTGTTTTCCGTCCTTCTCCTTCTGAAATTAATCAAGCTTTTTGATAAAAACTGCGACACAGGAGATTTTTTTCGTGTATCTGGGAACAATTTTAGTGGCCACTTTACGATTTCGACGTTTTAGTGGCCACTACAGTAGGCGATTTAGCGGCCACTTGAGCGAATAAAATTAAGGAGCCTCTTTAAGAGTCTAAGTGGTAGTATTAAAAAAACTATTGTATTTTTTTCACTAAGGTGCAACACAGCGGCTTCTATAAAAGGTGTTTTAGTGGCCACTTCAGTGCCCTCTCCAAGTGGCCCTAGAGGAGCTTCTTCAGTGGTCATTAGTTGTTGCTCAAATGGTCAAAAAAAACTACTATAGTTATGCACCACAAGCCATTTCTCGAAAAAAAAGTTATGGACAGTCGAATCCAATATCATCTGATAGAACAGAATGTCCAAAAGTCAAATCAGTTTAGTTTTTCAAAAAATTTTGATTTTAGGCCGAGTTACGAAGCTTTTAGTGACGCGCGGGAAAACCGAAAAACATGGCGTTTTTCGAATTTTCGGCTTACGTTTTTTAGGCTTTTTTTTCAATTTTCAAACAAAGCGCTCCCTAACTATAGTTTAGTAGTTTTTTGACGGATAAGGTGTTCCCCTTTTCTCGAATAATCAGATCATGTTCCTTAAGGCAATTGAAATGGATTCGTATATAGAATAAAAAAGGTAAAAGAAAATGATCTAAATTGAACTGTCATGCTCACCTTTCTCTTCAGCTCTTCCTTCTCTCTCGAATTTCTCGCGTTCATTGCTTCGTTCAACTCTTTAATCTCACAATTAGTGGTCGGTCCATTTCTACACGGCTGAAAAAAATAGATTATATATATATGACTTCTTGAGAACTTTCAAAGAAGGACAAAAAGCTCCTTTTTTTCTATAGTCTGTTCAGATTTTTGAATGTTAAGTCGTCGCTCAAGCTCCGCCCCTATTGGTGCGATAAACCAATCAGAGAGCGACACAGAGTGTTTTAATGACGTCATTGCATTTTAAATTGATAATCTGAACAGACTATAACCTTTTCAAGAAAAAGGACCTTGTTATCTGAAACCTACTATTTTTTGGAAAAACATTTCCGATAAAAAGTCACGAAAAGACACGTGTCGCGCCACACCATGACTTTTGAAGGCTTTTTTTTCTAAAAGTTCTGTTTCAGGTTCTCAGTTTTTCTGAGTAGTTTTTGTAAAGTTGTAGAAGACGGACTGCCTCAAGACCGCGCGAGAGCCTCCATGTCCCTTCGCGATCGAGAAAAGTGTCGGCAGGCGCATAGGGTTTTTTAACCGCAATGACAGCGGGAGTAACTTTCTTGCGGACGACCGTCAGATTTCTGCGCTTGACGAACTTATTCACCAAATATGCCACTACGTCATATTTTTCTTCAGCATCTAAAATAATGAGATATTGAGGGATGAAGAAATTGACTCGGATTATTAAAATGAGTATACGTTTGAATAATCGACTCTCGAATCTTCGCAAGTTTCTATAATCATTTTTTTCTCGACTTGGAATTTTTGAGATGAGTAGATTGGCAAGCGTTAAGCGTTGCATGGCGAAGCGAAGCGCGAGGAATCTCGAGGTCGAACGCGAGCAACCATTGAAATCCTTCTTTTTCCAAACTTTTTTCAATAACTTCATATTTTTTTATGATTTTTAGAAAGATTTATTTGGACGAATAGAAGTATGAAAAAAAGTAAATAACTTGTTTTTACTACATTTTTTTCCATGATTGCGTTCAACCTCGGGCTCCCTGCCAAAAAAACGCGTCGCAGCCCTTAATACACCCGTGTCGCCTTTCATGACGGGAAGGATTGACTATGATAGCGTTCAAAAAAATGCGCGTTCTTTTTGTTCACAAGGTTTCGAACATTTTTCTTAATTCAAACGTACACTTTATGCGATGAACAGCGTCTATAACACTCTCGCATTGTTTCGGAATTGGCTGCGTGTAAACGAGACCTGAAGGAAAAAAAAGGTCGTTTGTTCTTTGCCTATATTAAAGGCATAGTAAAAAAAAAACGGTGTTTCAGTTAAAAGCAGTACTTTGTAGAGCTTTTCATTGAAAATCGAACGGTGATCTTTGAAATGAACCAAACTTCCTAGATTTGGAGAAAAAATAATTCAAAGTCGGAGAGAAGAAAGTTTGAGTTCCCGCGAAAAGGGCGCTTCGCAGTAAAGTTTCTCTATGGACAACAGGCTTCGCCTTCTTTCGGATATTAGCTTTTTTCTTCGTTTCTTTCAATTTTCAATTTTTTCTGTTTTCACCAAAGTTCTTTTTGTCACAAAAGCTTTCTATTCATGTATAATTTGCAAACTTTGATCGCAAAAATGCTTCTCTGGCGAAAAATGATGATTTTACACAGGTTTCGATTGGGATAGCGATTATTTGTGTTTTCTTTATTATCAATGAGTGTTTTCTGTTTTCTAAACCGATTTTTCAGAGTAGAAACTCCTTGATTTAAAGCAGATATCCGGTTATTTCTCACAAAATGCGAGTCTAATGAGACGTCCGCAACATCGCGTGCACTGCTACTGTAAACATTTGTCTGCATACCGATCCAAAGCTTTTTTCAAAAATAAAAAAGCGGGAAAGTAAAATCGCGTTTTTCATTTAAAGTTGTCACATCTCTAATTTTTTGAGTACACCATTCGATTCGCAAAGAAAAACTGTATAATATACTGCTTTCACCTGAAACCCCATTTTTTACTGTCCTTAAACGGGGAACTCGAGTTCAAATTGGCGTCACCATTCTCTTTTATTTCATTTATTTTGACTTTTCCAAAACGGTTCTCGATCATTTTGTTATTTTCTACGGTTTTGGAGTTCCACTTCGAATAATCTTTTTACTCAGTTTCGCTCGCTCTTGAACTTCTTGTCGAAAACGCGCTTCACGTACACAACAAACCACCCTTGCCAATTTGCCTATGTCGCCCTCTAAGCCGGCAAATTTTTGTTTTAGACGAAGTTTTTTGAAAGTACGATAAATAGTCAATGTTTCCCGACTTGAAAGGCGAGGGAGGCGGGGCAAGGGGCAGGACGCGTAGCGTGTGCGTAAGAGGTTCTTGGCGCCAGTTCAATTCAACCGCCAGCGAGCATTCAGAGAGCTCATTTATCGCTCTCCTCACTCATTTTTAATTATTTATTGATTATGTTCTTGTGTGCATCAAAAAATAGAATAGTAGAAAATACAGAAAAAGAGCGGTGACCGAGCTTTTTGAATAGTCGGCGGCGATTGAATTGAACTGGCGCCAAGAACCTCGTACGCACACGCTACGCGTCCCGCCCCTTGCCCCGCCTACCTCGCCTTTCAAGTCGGGAAACATTGACTATATATCGTACTTTCAAAAAACTTCGTCCAAAACAAAAATTTGCCGGCTTAGAGGGCGACATAGGCAAATTGGCAAGGGTGGTTTGTTGTGTACGTGATGCGCGTTTTCGAAAAAATTGACCATAATCGACTTCGCCAAAACCCTCGATGAATTTGGAAGTTACTCACGTCCTTTCCATTCACGATAATCTGCTCCCATGTACTTCAAAGCGAGGAATCTTTCATATTCGCTCTCCTGAAGGTACGTCTTCAGCTCTAGGTCTACCGGCTGGGGGAAGTCTTCGCTGTTGAGAATGTCGTAGACGTCTACGAAAGCTGCCAAGAAAAGAGGGTTTTTCGACGAAACTCCGTTTTGTCTTCGATTTCAACTTGAAAATGTCTTTGATTTCAACGTTCACTTGTTTCAACTTTTATTCTAATCAATCATTTGCGTCGGTGTTCATCAACAATAAAAAGCAGCAGTGAATTTTTTTTTTGACTTTCATGATTATGAAAATTTTCCATAACGATCCACAAATTAGCTAAAAAAAATTTTGGAATTAAATATTCTAATTCGAATTTTTTTTTTGTTTTCTATATCAGCTCTCGAACCGTCGATTTTCTTTCTCAACTTTTGTTGAATACCGTTTTTTGTGATAAGTTTCAAGGTGGCATTTCGGGGGTATGAAAACAAGATTAGATCTTTTCCATCGCATTATGATCCTTGTATCGGAAAAAAAGACCTCAAGTTTTTGTTTTGAAGTAAAAAAAAATTTTTTTGGAATAATTTTTCGTCGTGATGGCTGTTGGAACATTGTTTATAACAGTTTTTTTCTGCGTTTCAATTACAGAATGAGTGAAGAAGAAAGAGCTATGAGAGAAACATTGGATGACATGCTTGATTACTTGAGTGACGCTGATTCCTACAAATCTGTAAGTTATTGTTTTTCGTTTCGGGCAACATCAAAATTTCCTATATCTTTCACATTCTTCTCGTGTCATTTCTTATTTTTCCAATTTCTTGTTTTATTTCATTTTCTTTCACCATAGTCCATAGATTTGTTGTTTCCAAATCTTTTTTTTTCATTGACATCGTTTCCTATCGATAAATATATTGTTATCGAGAAAAATTAGGAACAATGCGTACCAGAGGATCATAATGCGATGGAAAAGATGAAATAACAGAGAAAACCAAAAAAAATGAGTGACGAAATCCAAAAATTTGAAAAAAGAGGCAAAAAAAAAGTCGGAAAAAGTTCCGTCGGAAAGGTGTTTATTGATTTTTGCGCAAACAGTATGCATACACGGTGGCATACACCGCCCGCGATTTCGCGGTCTTCGATAAGTTCGTCAACGCAAATTTCGCAAATCTTGTTTTCATACCCCCGGCATTTCAAATCATACAGTGGAGATCCTTGACGATTCCCTTCGTGAACCGGTCGTTCGAGTAGGCCGCTTTGTTGTTGAGCTGCTCATCTTCTTTCAATTCCGCCAACAAAAGACGGCACATTATAAAAGAGACTTGGCAATAGTCTGAAAACCGAGAAAGTCAAAGTAAAACCCGCGTTTTGAATTCGACGTTGAAAAATATTAAAACTCAATAAAGTTTTTTTTCTCATAAAGCCAAATAGGAAGAAGAATTTTCTATAGAGTTCTTCTGAAAAAACAAGTGCGATCCCGCTTTTGAATATCGTTCAAAAGCGGACCGAGAAATATCCTTCAAACACAATACATATTTTTCAAAAGACAACTGAAACTAACCCTTTCTTATGTTTATGTGAGTGTCGCTCTGATCATACATAAATCGGTTCAGTGATCCCAAAAGTAGCCCTGAAATTTTTTTGTTTTCACAGTTCAATCTGAAAGAAGTTCATTCTCGATCGAAATTGGAAAAAAAGTTCGTGAAAATATGATCCAAAAACTTCAAGTTTGATATCTAGCTCAAATATGTAGTTTAAGATATTTTTGGAAGGGCTTTTACAAAACTGAAAATTCTCTTCGCATGCGAAAAACGGAAGTAAATCTTGGCACGAACGTTACTAATTTACGACCGTTCTCAACTTTGATCTATTCAAGTGAAAAAAGAGACGAAATAGCTTTTGCAAAATCAAGTATCCCTCGAAATGTTGCAGTTTCGCCATTTTGGACGACCATATTTTTCGCCTATACTGAACCGTTTTGGAACACTGTGAATAACCAAATGAGACTCACACGCTTTGGCAATGGCCTCTTCTCCTGGTTTAGGCTTTTCACCTCTCCATTTCCTGTACTTTTTTTCGATGTTATCACTCGTTTCTTTCCGCTTCTCGTTTAGTTTGTTCTCCGTCGCGGGGTCTACAGGGGGTTCGCTGGGAGAATTGTCCTGTTGCAGAGGAACAGGTTCATCTTCCGTCAAGTGCGGATATATGGCCACCGCCTTCAATCTTTCTAGTAAGTCAAAAGGAGGAGTCAATTTATTGATGGGTGTTTTTTTTGGTTCCACCGGTCCTGCAGTTTTTCCAGCTGCGGTCTTTGTTTTTTTCTCAGCCTTCTTCTCTTTGTCTTCTTTTCCTGCGGTCTTCCTCCCTTCAACTGTTCGGCTTTTGCCGGCCTTCTTTTCCAAAGTCGGTTTCATTTCTTGGTCGAGCTCCAGAATCGTGACCACATTGCTTCTTTTGGATACTTTGTACTCAATAAAATCTGCTGGTACGAAAGCTGGGAGAAAATCGTCCCTGCCACGGAAAAGTTCAGTCTGTGGCACGTAAAGAGAATTTTTCGCCATTAATGTTTCGAGATTCTCCAAACTTTGGCCCTTATCCAGATTATGCTGGGCGAGCAGCACCTTTTCGTACGCTTCGTAGAATGTTCGGTCTGAAAATTTAAGCTTTCGAGTGCCTGAAGACCAAATTTAACAGCTATCAATCAACGGGTTCTAAAGGGATTACGTCGAATATTTTTTCTATTATTCATTTTTCGACCTTGATTCAATCTTCTCTGCAGTGGGGGTAAAAGTTGATAATATCTCTAATTTTTTTGTTTTAATGCCGCAAAAAAAGTTTTTTTCTTCATTTCGTTCCTGAAAAACTATTTATCGCAAAAAAAGTATGGTCTCATGATTTATTGAGACCATGTGGACTATAATCGTCAAGATCAAACTTTCACCAGTTTGAACTTTTCGATTTTAAACGTGAATTTTGATTTAAAAAAATGTTTGAAAAATTTTTAATCAACCTAAAAATCATTCCAACGGTTCATCGATTGAAAAAAAATAGATACCGTTGAAAATATACTGTTGAGAATGTTCGAAACTAGGTCAACTGTTGAAAAAGTTTGAACGGTTGAATTTGACAACTACCCTGTGAACATTTTCAATGGTTCATGAGAAACGTTTAAGAATCGTTAAGGAATTGTTCATCTGAAGATTTTTCTTGTTAAACTTTGATATCAGATTACATCAGTTTTCAGGCGAACCAAGTTGTTGAATATTTCGTCAAGCGAAAAAAAAAGCGAATAACTTCAATTGAAACAATATTTCACAAGAATTTACAAAAAAAAAAACAACTAATATTTCTTTTGCGAATAAAATATACTCACTTATGCCGTCCACACCCATTGATTTCATGTCGTCCAAGTCGAAAACTGAAAGCGAACAAGGAAATTCAAAAGATCTAGAAAACGAGTAACTTACGAAACTTCGAGTGATAACAGTTCAAGTTGTAGAAGTTCTGATGCACGCAGTACGCCATGTACTCCACTGAAAGTAAGAAAATTCATTCGGTAGATGATTATAAAGTGTGATCCGGGCCAGCATGTCGCGATATTTTCTTTCAAAATTGTCTCTGTGAATCCGCCTTCTATTTATTCTCTGTTGTATTAAAGGCAAAGAGACAGGCTGCGCGTTTTAAAGAGAAGTAGCTCAAAGGAAAGAAGAAAACCGTGACAAGCTGAATCGACTAAAACGGAAAAGAAAATAGAAGCCAACTCACATCCTTTGACAATTGCGTTGATTTCTTTCCTCAGCTTGGAGTCTGTCGCAGCGCCATCTTTGCTGGTGACGCCTGTTGGAACCTCCGTACCCGGGCCATCCTTGCTGGTGACGGGTGTTGGAGCCTCATTACCAGACGATTTCTTAAAAACATATCTCTTGACGTTTCGCTCGGACATTGATAACGCAAACCGGACGCGCCCCCGACGTTTCTGAGCAACTCTAGGGATCTCTTAAGAATGCTGACGCCGCTAAGCAAGGTGAGAGCTGCTCAGAATCGTCGGTGGCGCTATCGAAGCGCGAGGCAGCAGAAGAAAGTTTTACTAATTTTAAAGCCGAGTATACAATGGCACTTAGAAAACGCTTCAAAACGGAGGATTGGAGGGAGAGGGAGTATGGATTTGATGAAAACGGACCTTGATGCTTCCAAAGGCAACAAAAAAAACCATAATTTGATTCTTCTGCATAAAAATCTTCCCGTTCTATAGTTACACGGGAGAAATCGCAAGTATAGTCTGTTCAGATTTTGAATGTCAAGTAGCATGACGTCATTCGACAACGCTCGGTGGATGGCTCGCCATCTGATTGGTTTATCGCACCATTATGGGCGGAGCTTGAACGACGACTTGACATTTAAAATCTGAACAGACTATACCCAAAACGCTTGCAAAGTAATGTGAGAAACAAGAAGAACTCCGTTTGTCGCCTTTTTTCGAGTATTCGGTTTTTTTCCGTTACAAAAAAGAGTCGAGGTTCAGCGGCTGATATACGGGCGCAAAAGGGAGCCTTTTTGCACTTTTTCGTTAACAGTTGACAGAAACCTTAGAAGTCGTCCCGGCTTTGACAGAGTGTGGGCGGTCCTTTGACTTTTCACTGGAGACATCATCAAGGGCGACGTCCTTCCTTTTCTTCTGATCGTAGATCTTCTTGGCCAGCAGGAACGCGGCAAAGAGAAGAATCCAGAAAAATGAGGTGGCACAGGCCGAAAAAAGGGCGGTCCCTGAAAGTTTTTTTTTTCCATATTATGAGGATTTTAAAATTCTTGAAACAGTGGATGACAGTTTTCTTCGCACAGATAGTGAACAGCGAGGAAAAAAGTTTAGAAGGAAAAGGCTAACAATTGGTGATTCTGAAGACTCAAAACGAATTTTCATTTCAATTTTTGTAAAAAAAAAATAATATGCTTTGTTTACATTTCGTATCACTTAACCCTAATATAAATAGTTTCAGATCGATAAAACGTCCTCACAAAAACAACTGCAGTCGCTTTTGGGATCCGAAGAATCTTCCTTCTGGCCGAGTGCCGCTGCAGCTCCGACTACCGATCCATTCGAACTGGCTCTCTGTGGCGATCGGCTCCCGGTGGGGATGACAGCTGTACATGTTGGACAGACGGGCGGCGCAGGACATGGAGCGGGAGTCGGTGGCGGAATCGTGGTCAGAAGCTGCGCACAAGGCGCCAACACCTCCTGCAATACGTTGAATGTTGGTAACGAGGGACGGGAAAAGTAGGAAATTCAGTTTTTCGATCGATTCAGGTAAAAATAACAATAGTGAAGGGCTTATGCTGTTTTTACAAAGAAATTATCGTAGTGTTTTGTTTTAAATAATTTTTGAAACGAATTTTTCAGCCAAGGGACGATTAAACAGAAATTCCTTTAGGAAATTTTTTACTTTTCATACCGACTTTTTCAGGTCCAACTTCTTCAATTTCGAAATCGCCGAAATGACTCTGAACATAGAGGATTCTCCCACCTTTTCGCGATCCTGCAGTATTTGAAGTAGCTCCGGTGGCAAATAATCGATGTCCAGGATGGTCCCTTTCTTGCAGTACGGCAACAGCGGAGTAACCGTGATTTTCTTCAAACTCTCAAAGGAGAATTCAGAGAAGTTGGTACGCCTGATTCGGATAACAGATTCTGCAATTTATTTTTTGCTCGAGTTTTTAATTTCTTCAAATTGTTTTTGGGATAACCACGCGTATATTACGCCTGTCCTGGATATTTTATCTTGTTCTGGACGTTCACTGATTCAACATGCCATAAAGATCAATTGTAAAAATCATTTTCATAAAAAGGGCAGAATGAATTCAAATTATCTCAATAATATAATATGCGTGATTCTCCAACACAAATCTATAATTTCGCTAATCTTCTAAGAATGCATTTTGTCCCCCTTTGCTGATGAAGCGGCAGAAGCAAAAATATTTGTCAAATCTATCGAAAAGAAACGAAAAAACACTATAAACAACGGTTTACCTGGAAACTCCATGCTATCTATTGCGTTAAACGAGATCTCTTCCAACTTAGAAATGTCAAGCTTTTGGACAACGTTTTCAAAAACGATTCGCGACGCCGAAGTCAGAACATTAGCGAGCCCAATGATCCTGTTGTCGGAAGGAACATCTTTGAGGATCAACTCCTTGGTCAAGCAGTCCGTACAGCCAGCGTTACCGCAGCTGAGTTTACCCACACCAAAAACAGGATTGTTGCAGCACTCTTAAAGTAGAGAGATAATTCAAGTTATACGAAGAAAAACCAACTCTTTTGGGCAAGTGCAGGGTCGGGGATGAGGCTTAGAAGAACCGTCAGCGCAAAGAGAAGGGCGACTGAAAAAGACTGACTTTCCATTCTTTTTAAAATAAATGTTCTCATCAATAAATCAACGCAAAATTACTTTGCTCCATCTTCTTTGAGGTAGGTTTGGAACTACTAAAAAGCGCTTTCTCTTCAAAGAGAAAAACGTTTTTCAACCCTAATCACCATGATTCCAAATGTTGCATGCCTTCAAACACCCAATGATTTTGAACCGAAGGTTGGCTTTTCTCAAACTTTTCCAGACTAAAGAAATGTTTTCTTTCAGAGTTTATATGCGGTTAATCAGCTTTTTTTGCTGGATAGACCTAGTAAAGAGGGCTCAGAAGAAGCTGGTCAAAGTTCTTCCGGCTCGTATATGGCGCTCTCAAAATTATAGTCACTGTGAGCTCAAAGAAGGGGCAGAGCGCTATGGTACTCAAGACTTGCCAAGTCATGGTCCTTTTTTCGCGAAACCTTTTTGGCAATGTAATACCGCTTTGGTTTAAAAACTTTTTCAAACTGCTCCCGTAGACTTCTAACATTTCGACAGTCTCGTATGTTGTCCGTTAAGCTCATTTGACAATAGAGTCGAGAAGAATGAAATTTGAACTAGCAAAAAACATTCCAATGCAAGAAGGATCCGAACTTGTCATACCGTGGATGTCGTCCGAGCGCGCTGCCACTTTACGCTTTATTAAAATTGCTGTAGGCCATTCCGCGCTAGCTTGTCACGTTTTTCTTTCAGCCAAAAGGCCAGGTCAAATTTAACCAACTTTCGCTTCAAGACCTTTGTTTCTTGCCGTTATAAAAGCAGAAATTTGATCTAATTTGGTATACGGTCTTTTTGGCAGGAAGAAAAACGTGACAAGCTGGCTAGGACTAGACTATATCAGGTAACTTGAGCGCGAGGACATTTGCGGACAATACTTTGACAAGCTTATTCTTAGCGCACAACAATTTTTCTTTCTCTTTTTTACTATAACTTCTACTTAGGTCTATCTACCATGAAAGCCTCATAACTCGATTTTGGTCGCGCACTAAAAGCTTAGAAAAGATTTCTGATTTAGGACGAATTTTCAAATTTATTTCAAAGAGGTAGAGGATTGAGACGCCATTATAGGGCATGCTGGA